TAGGTATCAGCTGGGACCATGCTGTTTTTAACCAGCCCCATGGCCAGCAACCGCAACAGCAGCCTACACAGCCGCGGCGGAGTCCGTTACCAAGCGCACAAGATGGGCTATACCCGGCCCCAAGCCACCAGGGTTGGCAACAAAACCCGCTACATCAAGCATCATTGATGCCCTCTACCCCCCAGGGGTTTGGCCTGCCGGCACAGTATCGGCAGGGGCCCCAATATTCCCAGGGCCATACGCCCGTGACGTTCAACGCACAGGAAATCCCACAGTTCCAGCAGCAGTTCTCGTCGTCTGGTCTTTATCACGGCCAGCATCTGTCGGTGCCCGACACCTTCCCACCGACACATTCACAGTCACATTCTCCCCCGGCGCAGCAACCACAGCCGGGTCACTCCATGTCTTTCTCACAGCCGGCGGGACATCAGAATTCCATATCTGATTACACCCTCCCGCCTGGGTTCGGGGACGAGAGCTCCGTAAACCCCCCCCGCCAAGTCCACCTTAGCGAGATGTCGACGGCAACGGACATCTCGGGCATCGTGGGCATCCCGGGCGCCTCGGGCCTCGCGGGCCTGAGAGGCCTCCCGGGCGTCTCGGGCGTCCCTGGCATCTCGGACGTCTCGGGCGTCTCGGACCAGTCTGCTATGAACCCATTATTTTTTGGGACTCCCCAGCTACCAGGCAACTCTCACAACCATTCCATTTACGGCAACCCCTCCGACTTCGACCGTCCGGAGGACTCCAGGTATGTTATGATCCCTCTGTTCCCGCTTTATCTATGGAGCTTCTGAGCTGACAGGATTCGTCAGACCGTTCGATTATTTTCGCAATGATCTGCAATTTGTGGTGCCTGCTGCCAATCATCAGCCAATGCTTGCTGCCAACCATCAGCCGACGCCTGCTGCCAACCATCAGCCAGCGCCCGCTGCCAACCATCAGCCAACGCCCACCGCGACGTCCAGCTTGGGTGTCGCTCCGTCGGTCATGCATGGTATCTATGCCCCGAATCCCGTATGGCTCGCCTTCGTTTACTAACGGTGACAAATAGGTCATCCTAGACTGCCACCTGCGCCGCCAAAGAAGTTATTGGATGCCAGGAAGAAGAAGAAACCCCGTAAGCCCAAGAGGCGAAACGCAGCCGTACCGTCGCCACTACCCAGCATCGAGGAGGAGATTGAAGAGGAATTTATCTCTGACGATGAATCGGACGAGTCGGACCTGGAAATTGTAGAGCCTGAGGAGCCGTCACCGATCCCTCCGGCTCGTCCGACCCAACCGGAGCCTGGGGTGGAATATGACACCCTCCAAATCGTGTGGTTCCCCCGGAACAGACAGCCCGAGGCGGACAAGGTCAGATCCGCACTCGACGGATACAAAGAACTGGTTAAGTCGATCCGGGATAAGCTGCGGGCAGATATGCAGGCCCTGAAACGTACGGAGCAGCTACGGGCGGAGCGGGCCTCATCGCCCGGGCAAATGCTGAGCAACCATGCTCTCCTTTGTGGGGCGCAGCTGGAGATGGAGAGTGCGGAAAACCAGCGGCGATACATGGACATAGTCGTCACTACGACGCTAGACAAGGGTCATCCACTCATTGTCGAGAAGTATGTTTCCTCCTTTTCTTTCCCTCCCTGATCTGACCATGTCGCTAACGTGGAATACAGATTGGGTGAACATCCTATGATCGTGGCCTCCCTCTATTCTTTCCTCCTGGACCAACATCAGGCTTCGAAGATGAACTGTCCCTTGACCGTGAACATTCTCAAGGTAAATCTTGGCTTGCCCCTCTCCCTAGTTCCCCCAGTCCGCTGTGGCATGAGCTCACCATCGCTTTAGTTGCTCTCTCGCTTTGTGACGATGGACGAAGATGTTCTTTCCAAAACAAATATTGCCAAGTTACTGTCGCGTTATGTCAAGAAAGGTAGTCCTGTGGTGAAGGAACTTGCACAGAAAGTACTCGACAATGCGGCTGCGCGCACAGAGCAGAAGCAGGAGACTGCCAAGTCCAGTACCAAATCAGGGTCTCCTACCAAAAGTGCCACCCCTGCTGGGACCGAGCAGGCGGGGTCGAAACAACCCCGGGAGAGCGAGAGTGACGGTCAGCCAGCGACTAAGAGAACGGTGGTTACTTCCCAGGCCAAGAATGTTCCTAAGGCCCCGTCAAATGCCCCGCCGAATGGTCCTGCCAAGCGCCCAGAAGCCGGGCCAGCCGATAAACCACCTACGGCCGCCCGTACCCAGAAAGCGCAGGTCGTGGCACCCAAGGTGACCAACCTGTTTGGAACTTTGAGCTCGGCTTCCAAGAGGCCAGGGACGTCGAACGCAGAGAGAGCGGCTGCTGCTGCGGCCAAGACGAACGCTGGCCCCAACAAAAAGCGCCGCCCACTTCCGAACTCGTGTCCCCCACCCTTCTCTCTGGGTGATATCATGGCGGGCCTGAGCAAGCCCAAGGACCCTACTCCGGAGGAGCCAGCTGAGGATACACCCCCTGAGACGGAGGAAGAACGCGAGAAGAGGCTGCGTAAAGAGGCTCGACGGAAATTACGTGTCTCATGGAAGTCAGACAGCGAGCTCACCGAGGTTCGTTTCTTCACTCACGATCCGGAAGAAGAGCTTGGCCCCGGCGACCGCTCGCGAGATGTGGGCGACCTCAGGGGTGAGGGCAGCGCGCTCAAGCTCCACCGGGATCTTGACTTGGACGAAGACGACGATACTAGCCTTCGTGAAGAGAATATGCTTGACTACTTTGAGCCGTCCGGTATGTGTTCAAGATCTGCTTTCATCTTACTTTTGTTTCCTTTTTCTTTTTGCGTCTTGCAAGCATGTTGACTGACTGCTATAGAAATTGATTACATCGGGATCGGACTGGAGGATCAAGCCAGGAATTTTCTCAAACGTGGTGGTACTCAGCAGCCTACCAGCCCGGAGAACAAGGCCCAGGAACACCGGGAGGCCAACACACTGATGGAGATTTACGCACCTGGGGATGTGCCGCCCTCACCTAAAGAGCCCCCACTGCCCAGTGATGATGAGCCTGCAGTGGAAGTGGTTCCTTTTGGCGAAGTCCCTGATCATATCAAGGTATGTCTTTCATTTATCTCTGTTTTGGGCCGTTTCCCCACCCTTTCCTCCAGCATCTAACATGGTTATCAAGGCCCGTTCTGAACGGTACTACTCGATTGTCCATCCCAAGCCGCCACCCCCTGCTCAGACAAGCACCCCAAGCGCCCCAATTGACATCCCCAATTTGCTTCGAATGCTCGGTGGACAGCAGCAACAGTCCACCCCACCGCCGCCACCCCAACCCGCCCAGACTGCAATGTCGGACCTGGAGCGGACGGTGAGCCTGCTGTCACAGCAACCACCGCAAGCCTCCCAACAGCAGCCGGCCCCTGTGATGCCGATGCCACAATTTACCCCTGATATGCAGGCGATGCTTGCTATCATGAATGCCCAGCAGCAGGCGCAGCCAGCCCTGCAGCCGCAAGTCCCTCCGCCACAGCAGCCAAGCATTCCGCCCAATCTCGCCGCTATCATCTGTCAGTTTACTGGTCAAAACCAGCAGAACGGAGTCAACTCTTACCAAACCCACGGCTTGCATGAGGACCCCGAACGCAAACGGATGCGTGAGACGGCCTTTGATGGCACGGACGATGAGAGGTACTCCAAGCGGAACAAGCCGAATCCGCCCAACAAGCAACACCCGAAAGTGGGGTTGGTTCCATGCCGGTATTGGGCGTCTGGCAAATGCCGCAAAGGCAACGATTGCACCTACCGCCATGATCCCTCCTGATCTGGCATACCTTGTCCTTCTGTTTATACATCTCTGATACCCTTTTCTTTTTTTCTTTAGAATGTTCTTCAATGGCAGTGTATTGCGGCGTTTTGTTTCTGCTGTGCCGGCGAGCCAGTATTGTGCATTGACTCTTGGGATTCTCTTGTTTCTTGGATTTGTTCTTTGCTTGGGTTCTTATTACTACTCTACTTGGTCTTATTACTACTCTACTTGGGTCTGTTTTGCTTTGTTTTGTTTTCTTCCTTTTTTTTTTCTTTTTCGATGGGTTCTTCTTGCAGGACTTATTACTATCCAGGTCTCTATCACTATAACTATTACTATTACTATTACTATTACTACCATTGGTCTGTTTTGTTCTTGAATTGTTAGGATATCAGCCAGGTTAAGCCCTATACCAAATACTGGTCAATGCTTGGGCGTAGCGATTGTGATAAATTCCTCCGGCAGGAGTTACCACTTGGGTCTGTTGGTCTGTTGGTCTGACATTGACATGATTTTTTCGTGCGGGGGTTTTCGTCATCTGCCTATCACTACTGGTACTACTATGAGCTATGGGTGATAAATCTCTAAAGCAACCACGCAGCCGCTCGTCTCTACACCTCTCCTCCTTTGCATTCTTCTACCACGCAGCTGCTTGTCTCTACACCTCTCCTTCTTTGCATCGTCTAATCATGCAGCTGCTTATCTCTATATCTCTTCTTATATTCTTTGATCATATAGTTACTTATCTCTATATCTCTTAATTTGTTAGAATATCAGTCAGGTTAAGCCATTTACCAGACACTGGTCAACGTTTTGGCGTAGCGGCTATGCTGTTCTGACTACACATGTTTCATACACTATATCAGTAGTAGTAGTTTGACTACCAACCAAGCTGCGCCAGTCGATAAAGGGGCAGGGATATTCTATAGGCCACTTACTACATGAACCGTCCTTGCCTGTGATGTATATACAATAGACAGAAAATAGGTACTAAAATGTGTACGTTGAACCTCATCGACGCTCCAGATTCACGCTGATTAGGTAATATCTTGAAACAGGATCAGTACCCAAGTAGGAATTTGTTGGCATTGATATGTTTCCTACAATCATCCATACTGCTACATATCTAGCATCACCGACGAGTCTACCTCGTCACAGCATACTTCAAACAGTTCTGGTCCGGCATACACTACGCCAACAAGGACGAACGCTGAAAATGGACCTCAGTCACTGCACACACCTGATAATCGTCTGCTGCCACGCGATATACCTCGGGGGACCGACCAAGGGCGCCTCTGAAGATGAATGGTGTGTAAACTGAACAATTCTTTCTCGTACTCTATATATATCTAGACATATACACATACCCATTTTTGATCCCCAAGCATACATCATAAACCAAACAGCAGAAAGCAACACGCTAATGTAAGGGACCCCTGGTACAAATAGGTTAATAGAGTCCTTCCAGAAGGGCGAAACACCTACTTATACCCAGCATGTTAAGGCTGGGTTGGAGTTGTTAGACGGTGATCCTGAAGGGTTTCTTGTGTTTTCAGGGTGAGTTCTTTCCATCTATTTCTGACCCTCTCGCTATACATGTGTGTATATATGTCTGGCTGTTGGAGTGGTAGGGTTGGGTTGGGTCTTCTGTTGGGATTGTTGAAGGAGAACCTAGATATAATTTTGGCAGGAAGAGACTGACTGTATTTCAGAGGCGCCACGAAGAAAGACCGAACGGCGTTGACAGAGGGGGAGTCATACCTCGTAAGTTGAGCCTCCTCTTACCACTCCAGGGTCCTATTATGGATGTTGTCGAAATATATTATCATTTGCTTTTAGTGCATAATTCCTGTGCTATCACCTACCCCTGCCTACTATTCTCCTACCCACTACACTTAGATAGCTACACAACCATACAAACACTAATCTAACACAAACAGAACCTAGCAAAAGACAACAGCCTCTTCTCATTCAACGTCCCCCCCTCACAAATCCACCCCGAAATCCACGCCGTAGACTCCTACCAAAACGTGCTCTTTTCACTCCTTCACTTCCGACTTGTGACTGGCGTCTATCCCCGACGGATCAGCGTCGTGACGCACGAATTCAAGCGGCGGAGGTTCATGGAGTGGCATTTCCCGGCTCTTGGGTTGCGGCCGGTGTTTTCCTCTTCTACTTCTACTGGTGTGCATGGGAAGGGGCGAGCAGGCGTGGATGATAGCGGACTAGAGGCGTTAGTGAGAGTCATCGGCATCAACCCCCCCGAGGAAATTGCGCCGCTGGAAGGGCTACTTGCCGGGGAAGAGAACAGCGGGATTGGGCTTTGGAGGAATGATCCATATGGGGTTTTGGGGGAGCTGGCTGCGAAGAGGAGGAAGAGAGGGTGGGTGGGTGGGATGGAGAGGGGAGTGTTTGTTGGGGTTGGGTTGGAGGGGGTTGTGGAGGAGTTGGTTTGTTGGGATGGGGATGGGGGGCGTGGTTTGGGAGGTTGGAAGGGTTGCCCTGGTTTGAGTGGTTTTGTTCGTGATCTGCTTGTGAGGAGATGGGGTTTGCGTGATAATAGAGACGAGGTTAGAGAGATTGTTTATGTTATTCGTGAGTCATTTGTATTTGTGTAGCATGCGTGATGTCGATACACCCGAAATCATAGATCCTGAACCACCCAATCCGAACGCCTTATAACCTTCCATTCCGCAGCTAATCCGCAAGACGGTAGCTGACCAGCGTTTCCACGCGGTGGTTATTCGTGCTGAAGCTGCGCAGCTGCACCTTCTCAGCATCCTTGATCTCCTTGGCATCGCTGTCGCCCCATTCCATCGGTACCTCCGAGTCGGCGTCCGCGTACACGAGTACGTTGAATGTGCAGTCGCTGTCGAGGACAGGTAGGAAGGTCACGGAGGCGGTGATCTGGCGGAAGATGGCCTGGACTTCGTCTTGGATTTCCTTTTCGGTCTTTTGTACGGTCTTGGCTGCCTCACTAGATGCCATTTCCGTTAGTGAACCATAGAGATGCAGGAATGAAGTAGACTAACTCTGGGCCCGCGTTTTCTTTGTCGCCGCTTTTTTGGGACGATTTGCTCCTGCTGTGCTTTCCGAATATTTGGACCTGGGCTGGTCAGCTGCTGCAGTGGCCTGCAAGGAAGGACACCCACATCGAACTGCCATCGTTCCACGTGCTCGCCGGTTTCTTTGCTTGTGATGACCACCACCAGTTTGGAGATTTTACCCCCCGCCATCCATTTGTTCAATTGGGACATGATCTTCTTGATGTACGCCTTGACTTGGTCGTCCGAGGACACTGGTTCCGTCAGTGGGGTAGGATAGAAACAAAGCTGGAGACGAACCAAGCATGTTGAGGCCATATTTCTTGACTCTGACTATAGTTAGCTTCTCTGCGAGTAAGGGTTGATCGGGATAGTACTGACGTCGTAAAGTCCTCTGGCGGGTAAACTCCGCGCTGGAAGCTAACCTTTGTAAGTAGAGTCCATATATGCCACCACTGAATCCTTACAGAATCGAGTTGATCGAGTATTCAAACTGACAAATTAGCCTGACAGTCGTGTCTAAACGGGTGCATGTATACTCACGAATTCCGACACCAGCTTGGACGACCCTACTGGGAGTGAGCTTGCCGATCATCATACAGGCCCACAGCGATACTCGTACCTTTGAGTGACAGCTTGTGCACCTTGGACTTGTCTTTGGTTGCGGAAGACATGATGAACCGAGTGTGAATCAAGTACGATTTCTAACTGTATAAAGGAAGCGTTGAATGAGTCTAAGAAAGAGGGAGCTTTGTTTACCACGATAGTCGCTGCAGCAATCACCCACACCGCCAGGCATTTTCTCCGCCGCAACAATTTTACTGCCGGATGGACACTAACCGATTCAATCAACGCGCCTGCTTTCGTTGAAGAGACTCCTATATTACCCCCGATTCCCATGCACTTGCAGAACTCCAGATGCGAGGATGCCTGCAGTTAGCCAGATGGCTGAGCGCAGCGCCCAAACGCCCAGCTGCGAGCCTTTTTAAGGCGCCATCCGGCTGTATCAACACTCGGCCTTTCACCACTTCCGTTGCTTATTGGGCCTCGAAAACATCCAAATCCTCCAAATCCTCGAGTAGTCACTCGTTTTCTGACCTGGAGCACCGCATCGCGGAGATTCCTATCGAACGATACCGGAATTTTTGTATCGTGGCGCATGTCGACCATGGGAAAAGTACACTTTCCGACCGACTCCTCGAACTCACGGGCACGATCCAACCTGGCACGAACAAACAGGTCCTCGATAAGCTAGACGTCGAACGCGAACGAGGGATTACGGTGAAGGCGCAGACATGCTCTATGATCTACAACCATAACGGGGAGGATTACCTCCTGCATCTCGTCGATACGCCGGGGCATGTGGACTTTCGCGCGGAGGTGTCGCGCAGCTACGCCAGTTGCGGGGGCGCCTTGTTGCTGGTCGATGCTAGCCAAGGTGTCCAGGCACAGACGGTCGCGAACTTTTACCTCGCTTTTGCGCAAGATCTGGAATTGATCCCGGTCATTAACAAAGTCGACTTGCCTTCAGCGGATCCGGAGCGGGCCCTGGAGCAGATGAGGTCCTCTTTCGAGCTGGATACCGAGAACGCGGTGATGGTGTCAGCGAAGACGGGCTTGAATGTCGAGCAGTTGCTTCCCACAGTGGTCGAAAAGATCCCTGCGTATGTTGGCGTTGAATTAACAATGCGACTTTGTTCGTGAGCTGACAGTTGTACAGCCCGGTCGGTCACCTCGACAAACCCCTCCGAATGCTCCTCGTCGATTCGTGGTATGACCCGTACAAAGGCGTGATCTGTCTGGTCCGCATATTCGACGGCGAAATCCGAGCCGGTAACCACATCATATCTTTCGTCACAGGCATTAAGTACTACGTGGGAGAGGTGGGCATCATGTACCCCAACGAGACTCCCCAGTCGGTTCTCCGCGCGGGCCAGGTGGGATACATTTACTTCAACCCTGGAATGAAACGGAGTCAGGAGGCGAAGATCGGGGACACCTACACGCACGTCGGGATGCAAAAGCTCGTCGAGCCGCTTCCCGGCTTCGAGGAGCCCAAGTCCATGGTGTTTGTGGCCGCGTATCCCGTGGACGCCGACCACTTTGAGCACCTGGAAGATAGCATCACCCACCTCATGTTGAACGACCGCAGTATCACCGTGCAGAAGGAGTCCTCCGAGGCTCTCGGTGCCGGATTCCGACTGGGATTCTTGGGGACGCTGCATTGCTCGGTGTTTGAAGACCGTCTGCGCCAGGAACACGGAGCCAGCATCATCATCACCCCGCCCTCAGTGCCCGTGAAGGTCATCTGGAAGGATGGCAAGGAGGAAATCGTCACGAGCCCCGCTCGCTTCCCGGAGGAGGACGACCTGCGCGCCAAGGTGGCCGAACTGCAAGAACCCTACGTTCTGGCGACTCTCACCTTTCCGGAAGAGTATCTCGGCAAGGCGATCGAGCTGTGCGAGGCCAACCGCGGTGAACAGGAGAGCCTGGAGTACTTCACCTCGACGCAGGTGATCCTCAAGTACCAGCTCCCCATGGCGCAGCTGGTCGACGACTTCTTCGGGAAGCTCAAAGGCTCCACGAAGGGTTACGCCTCGCTCGACTACGAGGAGTCCGGGTGGCGGCGCAGCAATATCGTCAAGCTACAGCTCCTGGTCAACAAGGCCCCCGTCGACGCGGTCGCGCGCATCGTCCACACCAGCCAGGTCGACCGGCTGGGACGGCAGTGGGTGACCAAGTTCAAGCAGCATGTCGACCGACAGCTCTTCGAGGTCGTCATCCAGGCCGCCGTGGGCCGCAAGGTCGTGGCGCGGGAAACCATCAAGCCCTACCGGAAGGACGTTCTCGCCAAGCTGCACGCTGCCGATGTCAGTCGACGACGGAAGTTGCTGGAGAAGCAGAAAGAAGGCCGAAAGAGACTGCGGGCAGTTGGGAATGTCGTGATTGAGCACAAGGCGTTCCAGGCATTTTTGGCCAAATAGTGTATATGTGTGTATTATATTGGAGTTTCCTTTTTCATTGAGTTCACTTGCGATATGTGTAGTATATTCCAGACTATATAAGTACCTACCTCTAAGGCCTACATGAGGCACTCCATCTGTCAGTCCAGTGTATTTTTCAATACAAATATCTATCCAAATCCATCATACCCAATCATGTCAAGCTTTTCGATCTGTATTTTGTAAGAATTCTGCAATTTCCATTGGCCGTGACGGGCGATTCCGCATGCAGGGCCCTCTGTGATTGGCCGGCGGGGCGGAGGGGCGGGAGCTGCGACTTTTTGCGCAAAAAATTGAAGTTCGTCGCCGACCCCGCCGCAATCTTTCTTCATCCACATCTTCTTCCCTTCCTTTCTGGCTTGCTGTCTGCTCTAGTCTGTTACTCTTGCTGTTCGACATTAGGTTCGACTGAGTGCCTGCGTCGACCACACCAATCTGTCCACTTGAGATTCTCCTGTCGCATCGATTTCCTTCTGAGTCATACCGGGCCATGCTCTACCTTTGATCCCGGCAATGCAGCCTCCAGAAGGTGTGCAGGTCGACCTGGGCAAGGCCCAGGTCATCGACCGTGTTCCCAAAGTGATCAGCCAGTTGAAATTTGGTGTTTTGTGAGTGGACGTGAGGAAGAGCTCGGACCGAATGATGACACTAACCGTCGCCTCCGTAGGTCCAACGATGACATTGTGAGCCAAGGTGTCGTGGAAGTCTCGGACCGGAAATTCTTCGACCTCGAACATGACAGAGCGGTGGTCCCGCACGGTCCCCTGGATTCGCGCATGGGTATATCGAGCAAGTCGGGGGCATGTCAAACCTGCGGTGGTGCACTCCAGGTGTGCAACGGACACTTCGGCCATGTGAAGCTGGTATTGCCCAGTTTCCACGTGGGATACTTCAAGCGCGTCATCACCATCCTGCAGGAAGTGTGCAAGGAATGCTCCCGGATTCTCCTCCCCGAGGCCGACCGACGAGCGTTTCTGCGGGAAATGCGACGCCCGGGCCTGGATAATCTGCGACGGATGCAGATCGCGAAACGGATCAACGAACGGTGCCGCAAAACCCGCATCTGCGAGTGTTGCGGGGCGATCAACGGCGTCGTCAAGAAGGCCGGCACGAGCGCCCTGAAGATCGCCCACGATAAATTCCGCGCGTTCAACGCGTCGACCTCCGTCAAGAAGATCCCGCCTCCCTCCAAGATTGTTTTCGACCGCTCGTTCGAAGAGGCTCGGACTTCCAACCCCGAGGTGGAGAAACATTACAAGAAGGCCTCGGATGATATGAATGCGCTGCGGGTGCTCAATCTGTTCAAGAAGATCACCGACACCGATTGCGAGCTGCTGGGACTGAACCCGACGGAGGCCCGACCGGAGATGTTCCTCTGGCAGTATATCCCCGCCCCGCCGGTCTGTATCCGGCCTTCGGTGGGTCAGGATGCGGCGTCGACGGAGGACGATTTGACAGCCAAGCTGGGTGATATCGTCCAGAGTAACATCAACCTCAAAAATGCCCTGCTGAAGGGAGCGCCGGTCCAGACGATCATGGAATGCTGGGATTACATGCAGCTGCAGATCGCCGTCTACATCAACAGCGATGTCCCGGGTCTCAACAAGGCGGATCTTGGGAAGCCCATTCGTGGATTCGTGCAGCGGTTAAAGGGTAAACAAGGGCGATTCCGTGGAAACTTGTCCGGCAAGCGTGTCGACTTCTCGGGTCGAACGGTCATTTCGCCCGATCCCAACTTGCGGGTGGACGAGGTCGCCGTGCCAGTGTTGGTGGCTAAGAACATGACCTACCCAGAGGTCGTCACACGCTACAACAAGGAGAAACTACGGGAGCGGGTGCGCAACGGGACCAAGAAATGGCCCGGCGCGAACTATCTCGTGAAGAAAGGATCGACGTTCAAGAATTTCCTCAAGTACGGTAATCTCAAGATGATCGCCGACCAGCTGCAGGAAGGAGACGTCGTCGAGCGACACATTGAGGATGGCGACATCGTGCTGTTCAACCGACAGCCCTCCCTTCACAAGCTCAGTATCCTCTCCCATTTCGCCAAGGTCCGTCCGCATCGGACGTTCCGACTCAACGAATGTGCCTGTAACCCGTACAACGCCGATTTCGACGGAGACGAGATGAACTTGCACGTGCCCCAGACGGAGGAAGCCCGCGCGGAAGCCATGGAGCTGATGGGCGTCAAGAACAACTTGGCTACCCCCAAGAACGGAGAACCCATCATTTCGGCCATCCAGGATTTCATCAGTGCTGCGTTCATTCTCAGTGGCAAGGACAACTTTTTCAACAGACGGGACTTCACCCAGCTGTGCTTGTACATGCTCGGCCCCGAAACCCGGTTTGATCTGCCCCCGCCGTCCGTGCTCAAGCCGCAGATGCTCTGGACCGGAAAGCAAGTCTTCAACATCCTCATGCGCCCGAACAACGACGACCCCGTGATGGTCAACCTGGACGCTGCGTGCCGTCAGTTCAAGGCCCCCAAAGACGGCCGCCCGAAGGACTTGGATCCCAACGACGCCTGGCTCGTGGTCCGCAACTCGGAGGTGATGTGCGGCGTGATGGACAAGTCGACCGTCGGTTCGGGTAAGAAGGATAACGTGTTCTACATTATGCTGCGTGATTTTGGCCCGCCGGCCGCTGCGGAGGGCATGAACCGCCTGTCGAGGCTGTCCGCGCGTTGGTTCACCAACATGGGTTTCTCCATCGGTATCACCGATGTCTATCCCAGTGAGAAGCTGCTGCGGTCCAAGAATGACCTGGTCGAGACGGCCTACGCCCAGTGTGACGAAGTCATTGCCAAGTACAAGGCCGGAACTCTGGAGAAGTACCCCGGTTGCGACGAACTGCAGACCATGGAGAACCAGCTCTCCGGTATTCTCAGTAAAGTCCGTCAACAGGCCGGTGACGAGTGTATCGCGCAGCTGAGCAAGTACAACTCGCCCCTGATCATGGCCACGTCCGGTTCCAAGGGTTCCAGCATCAACGTGTCGCAGATGGTTGCGCTGGTCGGACAGCAGATTATCGGTGGACAGCGTGTGCAAGACGGCTTCCAGGACCGGACACTGCCCCATTTCCCGAAGAACGCGCGCCAGCCGCCGTCGAAGGGTTTCGTGCGCAACAGTTTCTTCTCGGGTCTCGAGCCGCCCGAGTTCATTTTCCACGCCATGTCCGGTCGTGAAGGTCTGGTCGATACGGCCGTCAAGACAGCCGAGACAGGCTACATGTCCCGTCGTCTGATGAAGTCGCTGGAAGATCTGTCGACTCGGTACGACGACACGGTGCGAAACTCGTCGTCCAGCATTGTGCAGTTCCAGTACGGTGACGACAAGCTGGATCCGGTAGATATGGAGGGCAAAGCCAAGCCGGTGCACTTTGACCGGACTTTCATCCATTGCGAGTCGACGACGTATAAGAACGACGAGCCTAGTCTGCTGCCCGCGCAGATATTGGATGTCTCCGAGGAGATGCTGTCTAAGGAGCGTGCCAAGCTGCAGCGCAAAGACCTGATGGGCGAGTCGCTGGGCTACATGGACCGGAGCGATCACGGCATTGACCAGTACGAGAGTGCGCGTGACTTCCTCGAGTCCATTCTGCAGTATGTGTCGACAAAGGCCGAGCGGCTCATCTCGCGGGGTGGCGACAACAACGAAACCGACGAGAGAAGCCAGAAGGGCCTGCACCACACGGGCAAACTGACCGACCGGACGCTTCGGGCGTTCATCACCGCTTGTTTGACGAAATACAAGCGGGCGCAGGTTGAGCCGGGCCACGCCGTCGGCGCCGTCGGTGCGCAGTCCATCGGTGAACCGGGTACGCAGATGACACTGAAGACATTCCATTTCGCTGGTGTCGCCGGCATGAGTATCACGCAGGGTGTGCCGCGTATCAAGGAAATCATCAACGCGTCCCGAGAGATCAGTACGCCCGTCGTGGCATGCGAGCTCGTCAACAACACGAACATCGTCGCCGCGCGGATCGTCAAGGGCCGCGTGGAACAGACCTACCTGCGGGACATCATCCACTACGTGCGCGAGACGTGGACAGGCAAAGACGCATTCATCACGGTCAAGATCAACTGGAAGACGATCGACGACCTGCAGCTGGAGTTGAAGATCCACAACATCCTGTCGGCGATCAAGAACCACCGGCGGTTCAAGGCGGACGACCTCAAGTTCCGACACTCGCGCACGCACATCCACATCCACATGGACCTGGACCCGTCGAGCAAGTCCAACCTGTCCAAGACGGAGATCGCCTCCACCAGCGCGGATCCCTTCCTGCGCCTGAAGCACCTCAAGCGCATGCTGCCCGACATCCAGGTGCTGGGCCACCCGCAGGCATACCGGGCCATCATCCGCACGGACGAGACCTCAACGTACAACACGCTCCTGGTCGAAGGCTACGGGCTGAAGCCATGCATGACGACACTCGGCGTCGACGGGCTGCGCACAACAACCAACAACATCATGGAGATGAAAGAAGTGCTGGGCATCGAAGCGGCGCGGTCAACAATCGTACGAGAAATCAGCGAAGTGATGAAAGACATGGACATCGACCCGCGGCACATGCAGCTGCTCGCCGATGTCATGACCTACAAGGGCGAAGTGCTGGGCATCACGCGGTTCGGTCTGTCGAAGATGCGCGACTCGGTGCTGCAGCTAGCGTCCTTCGAGAAGACAGCCGACCACCTGTTCGACGCGGGCGGCGGCGGCCGCGCCGACATGATCGAGGGTGTCTCGGAGTGTATCATTATGGGCAAGACGGTGTCGCTGGGCACGGGGGCCATGGAGGTCGTGCGACGGATGAACTTCTACGAGGGACAGATTGGGCCCAAGAAGACTACGTTCGAGGATGCGTGGGGCGAGGACAATACGGCCCCTGTCAAGCGACGCAAGCGGGTGCCGAAATAATATGTGTTTGTAATTGTTGATGCTGGAGGGCTGTTTGATGGACTTTTGGCTTTGGACATAAAAAGTCGCATTCTTGGCGTTGGTCTATGTAGGCTTGGTTAGCGAGATCTGCCTAATTGATTTGGTTTTTATAATTATTTACCCTTATTTAGACGAGTAGAGGCTACTCCGTAGAGAGTAGAGAGGCTCTTTCTAGACAGGTTCACGTGGGATATGGCATGCATGCATGCATGGATCTACGCGGACCCACGATGATATCATCCACGCCCCGCATCATCTTGTCCATATCTCTCTACAGTCTGGACTCGTAGTAACCTACACCAAACCAAACCGCCAAAATGACAGCACTGAAAGGACTCCAGGCTACCCACCGTTTAAACTCAGGCCATGAGCTGCCTGTTCTTGGATACGGGGTAAGCCACGAACCTTCACCATAGACACAATCAACTCAGTATTGACTAACCTCCGCAGGTTTACATGATGTACGCCACAACCTACACTTAACCCAATACCTAGCGACAAGTAGCATAGAACCGATCTAACTCACACAGCCCGTCATCTCAAACCGAGAAAGCCGTCCGCGAAGCCCTCTATGTCGGCTACCGCCAAGTACGACCCCCGTACCCAGCATAATCCCAACCCAAACGTGTAGTTAACCACATCGCTGGCAGATCGACTCCGCCATAATGTACCGCAACGAGAAGCCCTGCGGTCGCGCAATCAACGCCTCGGGCGTGTCTCGCTCAGATATCTTCTTCACGACGAAGATTCCTCCGAACTCGATGGGGTATGAGCGCACTCGGCGGGCGATTGACACGAGTTTGAAGGAGGCGGAGCAGGAGTATTTTGATTTGTATTGACCCTTGTTCCTCATTCCCAGACTGAGAAACAGCTCGGTGGCTAATGTGCGGACCAAAAGAATCCTGATCCACGCGCCGTACGGCGGAAAAGAAGCTCGTCTGGGATCGTGGCGCGCACTCGTCGAGGCGCAAGCATCTGGAAAGGTCCGATCCATCGGGGTGTCGAACTATGGGATCCACCATTTGGATGAGCTGGAAGCGTATATCTTAGGAGGAGGAGGAAGCAAGATAGATGTTGGACAATACGAGCTTCATCCGTGGTGCGATCGACCCGAGATCGCAGAGTGGTTACAGAAGAGAAAGATCGCCGTGCAGGCTTACTCGCCGCTTGCTCACGGGGAGCGCATGAATGAGCCTGCTTTGAGGAAGATTGGAGGGAAGTATGGGAAGTCGGGGGCGCAGGTGATGGTTCGGTGGGGGTTGCAGAGGGTGAGCTTCCTTATTTCTTCCTTCTTTCCTTCCTTCTTTCCTTCCTTGTTTTTTTCTCTGTATGGATAAAGGAGGAAAAGCTGATATTCATAGGGATTCGTCCCCCTACCCAAATCCATAACGCCTAGTCGGATCAGGGAAAACGCCGAGGTGTTTGATTTCGAGCTGGACGAGGGGGATATGAAGGCGTTGCAGACGGGGATTTATGAACCGACTGATTGGGATCCGACGGTGGATGATGATTGAGTCATCTAGCGTAGTCATGTATATGATAAGATCATTGTGATCTGATGTACAGTGGGTATAACTGAAAGATCGCAATGTTATATATCACGTTAGTTACTACGTTTATAGAGGTTCTGCAAGTGTATATCATGTAGATGCTGCCCAGTGCGTCCATATGTTCGTATCCCGAATTCATGCCTTATGCTGTATACAGTATAATCCGACTAGGTTTGACCTGAATAATTATAAGCATTTGTTCAAATCGTAAAGAACAAGCGTTAGAACTACTATTCTATATATGTCTCATGGTACTCGGTTTTCTGATATAGGGCGTGCGTCTGTAGCAGGTGTCTAATCTGTCAGTGTGATCTATACATAAATACATATGTTCCTATCAAAGCGATCAACTTGAGCTATTCGGAATAATGTCACAAATTATCAATATAATGTGTTGGTTCTACAATTATATGATCAATCCTAGTATCAAACGGACAAGAATTCGCCAGTTGACGGTCCGCCGCTGCTTAGCAATCCACCGAATGCAACCAAATCATCGCCGCTTCACCCCGCTATTCCCGCTATTCTTCCTGCAACTTTCTCTCTTCACCGTACTCCTCTTCGTCCTTGGTACTTTTCCCCTCCTTTGAACTTATTTGGAATACCTTCCCTCGGTCACTCAATCACCCACCCCTACCAAGGCCCCTGGGCGCCATGAAGTTGATCTTGTCCACATCGTAAGCCTGCCCCTCATTCCCCCCCACCGACACTTACAGGGCATAACTAACAACAGCATAGAAATATCATGACGGTAGGCGGCCCGTCCGTCATCCGCCCCGTCACAACCGCCAAATCCAACGTCGAACTGATCAATTCCCTGCGCTCCAACTTCCAAGCCTCGCAACAGCCGACCGCCGATCCCACCGACCGACGCCCCGCGGCCGCCTGGACACACCAAGGCCCGGACGCCCTCTACATCCCCGCGCTGGACCCCTCATCGCCGGGCCTCGCCGAAGAACGCGCGGAGTACGATATCACCGTGAAGCTGTTCTACCTGCCTGGGATCCCTGCGTCGCGGCGGTGCGCGCACACGCGGGAGGCCATCGACCTCGTCCTGAAAGAGCTACGGGTCGACTCGATCGACCTGCTGATCGTCTCGTTCCCGGGGATCCTGTTTGACGCGGAGGACGACAGCGACGAGGAGGAGGACACGCGGTCGTCCGACAACGGCAGCGAGGAGCCCGACGACTTCGACAGCATGATCCAGACGTGGCGGGCGCTGGAGGCGCTACAGGAGAAGGGCATGATTGCGCAGCTGGGCGTCGCAGAGTTTGGGAGCGACCGGCTTGCTCGGTTCCTGCCGCATACGCGCGTCAAGCCCTCTGTCGACCAGATCAATCTCAAGGACTGCTGCGTGGTACCTAAGTCGTTGATTCTGTATGCGCGTCAGGAGAAGATCCAGCTGCTGACTCATAACGATTGTAATGATATCTTGCCGGTTGGGACTACGCGCGAGCTGCTGGGTCCTGCTGGGGCGGGCATTTTGGCTTCGACGTCAAATGCTAAGGATGGGATTGAGGGGGACGTTGAGCCGCAGTGGGTGGTCAAGTATACTGCTGTCGTCAAGGACCGGGGGGTGGTTGAGAACAAGGGGTATTTTGCGTTGGCGGACATGGGGAGCTGCGTGAAGCCGCGGGAGTAGCCCCGTCGTCTAATGTCTTTCGTTGTTTTTTTCTTCTTGTTTGTCTATATCCAGAATGCATTCACAGCGCGGCGTTGCTCAATGACGATCATGTCCACATCATCTTCCACAATTAACAATCCAGTATATACTACTCCTAACCAATCATGCTCCTCTTCCGCCCTCTCAAGCGCACATCCTCCAACCGCTTCAAGGCAGTAGCAGCCCCCTTGAAACTCTCCCGATACCCCTTTAGTACCTCCTCAAAGAACTGTTCCGTGTGGGGATGCGTGCTCCCAAACGCGCGCTCAAGAACGTACAGATCGACCGCGCGGTCCTCATCCTGTGCACTCTGCGCCGCGAGGCCAAAATCAATCAACACGACCTCCCCATCCATATCAACCTGTCCATCATCCTCCGCCTCCTCCTCAGATTCCCCCCTCGGCGGCCCCTCCGGCCTCAACATCAAATTACTCGTCGTAAGATCCCCATGCACCACGCCCGCGCGATGCAGCGCCCCGACCGAAACCCCAATCCTCCTCATAAGATCGCGCACACGCTCCTCCTCCCCACTCTCCACTATCCCCCAGCCCCACGAACAAGTCTCTCCCACCTCTCAAGCACAACCCTCACAACCAGCCCATCAACCCACTCCATCAACAACCAAGCGCCCCCAACACCGCTCTCCCCCCCATGAGCATTGTCCACGCCCTGACCCTCCCAGTCAAGCGCCAGCAAAGCGGGAACAGGGACGCCCTCGCGGACGAGCTTCGCGAGACAGCGCGCTTCCTGCAGGATGCGTTGGCGGGTGAGGCGGCGGTCGAGGATCGGGTGGCGGTAGGGTTTGGAGGGGCGGACTTTGAGCGCGGCGGGGGTGGAGGGCGTTAGGTGGGTGGTTTTGTAGAGGCGGGCTTCGGCGCCTTGGGTGAGGAGGGTTGGTGGGGGGTTGGTGTTGTTGAAGGGGGTTGGGAGGGGCGGGGGGTATATTTTGTTGTTGTTGGTGTGGACATTGTGGTGGATTGTGTTGTTTGTATTGTTTAGATTGTGTTGTCTGTATTATGGAGATTGAAATTGAGGGTTGAAAGAGTGACGGTGGGGTCGAGTGGGATGTGAAGATTGAAGATCGGCGTGGAAAAGTCCCGCGTTTATGGTCACGTGGTTGATATTGATGGATCTATACAGTCGTCTCAACTATTCGATCTTGTCCATCAATCATTATATTGCAGTACTGGTTTATGTTATGGTTGATTCAGCTGCAATCTGTTTGATAGAGTCATATTCATCGTTTCGCCTCCCCGTAGGACGATTCTAGCACCCTATTATGATCAGTAGGCTAGGGTTTATAGTAAGCGTGGGTACGATTGACTGAGCGCGACAAGGCGATACAGTATGATTTGATGGTATATCAGTTTGCCAATTCTGACCCCAGATTATATATATATATATAATAGTAATGATAATAGTACTAAAGCAAAAGGAAAAACGGCTACGCCGTTCGAACCTCATACCTCTTCATCCTCACCCAACAACCATCCCCACTCGACACAACCAAAGTAAGAACCTGCTTCTCTTCACCAACCGGCATATTAAACGGCTTATACTCCGTCATCTCAATAGTCTCAAACGTCTGCAACAACCGAACAACAGTATAAGCAGCCTCCAGCTCCGCAAAGTTCTGACCCAGACACACGCGCGGACCCCGGTTAAAAGGCACATAGCCCCATCCGATATCTTTCAACGCGTCATTTTCCCAGCGCTCAGGACGGAAACGGTCGGCATCAGAGCCGAAGAGGTCTTTTCGTCGGTGCATGGCGTACACGCAGTATCCGACTCCTTCGCCTTTGCGGACGAGGATGGGGGCTGTTCCGTCGGGGCCTCCTCCTGTGGGAAGGGTTGTTGTCTTTGTGGCTGCGCGGGAGTTTACGGGGACGGATGGGTATAATCGGAGGACTTTTGAAGCAGAGTTAGATTGTTGGATCCAGACAGAAGGGATAAGAGGGACCATGGATACCTTCTTTGATCACGATCGATAGATATGGCATCATCTTGATTTGACGGATCTGGGGATCTGATGCTCCCGGACCAACGCCAACCGTATCTTCAACCTCGCGCCGTAGCTTGGCAAGAACTTCAGGATGTTGAACAAGCAGGCGTCTTCATTGGGATAACGTTAGCATCTGAGCCGGACGGGAGTGCACAATGCTCTGACTTACAGTGTCCATGTGAGGCAGCACGCTGTCGTGTCTCTCCCCGCCAAAAGGATATTCAGACATTGGTCTCTCAGAATCTTTGGACTCCTAGTATTCTCCATGATAGCATCGACAAAAGTGTACGCTTCACGTGAGTCCGTCGACTTGGACGGGACATAGCGATCCAAGGCCTTCTTGACCGCACCATCCACGAAATCATGGCATATCTTACAGACTCTCCGAAAGTCCTTTCCGTCTACAAGCCAGTGCAGATCGCCGAGCCGTCCTCGCTGAGCAAGATAGTTCTGACCTCGGTTAAAAGCCTCCGCGAACTCAGATTCAAGACCTGTAATTCCATCGGCCTTCAAACTGGGCAGATGCTGTCCAAAGAGCAGGAATAGGGTGGTCTCAAATGTGAGGCGGAAGAAGAGCGGCTGCAGGTCCACGACTCCATCTCCAGGAACGCAGTCGATAAGGGCGTCCACTGCAGACTTCACCTGTTCGAAGTTCTCCATCCTGTTATTCATGAATTGCGGCCGGAGAAGCTCGCGCGAGCGCTGCCACTGTTCCCCATCTTGAGTGAAGATACCGCTGCCCATCAAAGGGTCGAAATGCACCGGTCGTAGTCCGAGATCGAAATCTTCAGCTCTCGTCAGCAGAGGGAAAGAATAAGACACACACTGTTTCGGAAGTTGATCATACCGGAAAACTGCGATGAAAGGATAGCCTCAATGTTTCGGGGCTCGATTGTATCGATCCCTCGAGAAAACAGGAGCTTCTGCTCAAAGGTATTTCCCGACTCGGATATTACGTCCAGAAAGAATTGGAGAATCTGCTGTCTGCGATCGTACTCGAAAGCTTTGAAGAGTAGATCCAGCCCTAGAGGCCATTTTGAAGTCCACGGCTTGAGTGGTTGGCATCCATGCGCTGCTGCGAATTGTTCATCAATCTATGAGCAGTCAGAATGAAAGCTTTCTGGGTTTAGAACCCCAGTAGAGCTCAAAAAAAAAAAAAACCCCCCTAACATACTCGCCGCTCATTCTGAGACTTTATGAATCTGTATATCAGGGATAGCGCTAACGAGCCAACAACGAGGTTGAGAAGTAGAGGAATTGAGAATATCATGATGCTTAAACAAGATAAGATTCTAGCATCTGGAAATTAGACTTAGACTAGAATAAACCAAGATTTGCGTGACAGAGTGGTGGGCCATCATATATACACCATGGTATGGAAACGAGTGGGACGCCTCATTCTACAACGCTCGTTCCCATATTGGGGCGTAAGGTGCAGGGGTTGGAAGGAGTGATACGCCGAGGTGGCTGCAGCAATCACACGTAAGGCCTTGGCAGTTGCAGTTAGCAAACGCCTCTCAGCGACTGCGCCATGGATAACATGGGCAGCCATGCTCTTCAAGAGATGAGAAGGTCTGTTCTTCGAAAGTATCAAGCCCTGGAGCAGAGGGGGTGCACATGTAGGCCAACGTTAGGGCTATCCTTGTTGGCCCACGGTAGATAGCCTCACCATGTTGATCGAAGAATCAACATTGCAGCTTCCGCGCTATACGATTTCGTCAGATAAAGAGGGGTATCTCAGCAGGTTCGTCCGAAAGTACAATAGTTTGCAGGTAAGCGAGATCCTCGCGCTAAACCTGGCATAGAAGATTGCGAAGCCATCCATCCCGCCACACGTGTCTGATACATCTTCCAGTAAACCCGACAGCCAGATTATAGACTTTCCCGTAAAACAGTCCTCTAATTTCTCTCCCCTTTCATCCACGGGTTTGTACACGCCCACCGAGTGTCCTTTGGCGACCCCGCCTGCCTAAAATGGATCCGCTTTCCATTATTGCGGGGGCGACTGGGATTGCTGATATCTTCCTGCGTGTCGTCATCTTCTTGAAAGACATCCCAGACGCGGTTGCGTCTGTCCAACAGGAGATCAAGGTCTTGATTACAGAGGTGGAAACCCTGAGAGCCGTTCTAAATTCGGTTCAAACAACCTTTGATGGCTATATAGAAAACCCCGACAAGTTATCCCTCCTGAAAGCCACCAATCTCGAAGATCTATCGAGCAAGTTCCGCTCAAGCATCGAGGCTTGCTATGACCTCGCAACGAGACTCGAGAAACTGACCAAGGAGGTCTACGGGAAATCTGGGTCGACGGTCACTGGAAAGCTCGATGGGCTTAGGAAGGAATTCCGTAGGCGGGACAAGAATGCAGACCTCGCAAGGCTGCGTATGGAGCTGTCCGCTGAAAAGCACAATCTGACACTGCTGCTGGATGGGATTAACCTGTGAGTTTTCAGACCTGCTACCCTGCTATAATAGTGCTGAAATTGGGAAGGCACAACCAGAACGCTTCCCAAGGAACGCTGAATCACATACACGAGGACGTACGTTCACTCAAGGCAGTCATCGTTACACTTGAGAGCCGCCTAGCGCTACCCAAAAGTGATGACCCGGACCATGAGCAGATGGATGCCACAAGGCTGTCGAGGATAAAGCGATTACAACGGTCTATCCGAGCGGTTGTCACGGCTGTCTCGACCCGCACTCCGAATGAGTTTTTCGATATCCCTCAGCCGGTCAGCAGCTATTACACAGGTCGAGCCCGGTACCTGGAAGAATTGCAGAATATACTTGTGGCCTCTACGGCCGACGAGCAGGACCCACGGCAGCAACGCTTTGTTGTCTACGGCATGGGGGGTGCAGGAAAGACACAATTTTGTTGCAAATTCGCAGAACAAAACCGAGAGAGGTACTTGAACATCTTCGCCTCCCCTTGTCAAAAGCGTTGCTGATTACCGTCACGCTGAAGCTATTGGGGCATCTTTTGGATTGATGCCACCTCGCATGAACGGATCAAGCAAACCTATGCACAGATTGGCAAATTTGGAAAGGTGGAGGCAAACCACACAGCTGCAATGCATTGGCTCTCCAACCAAGAGGGTCGGTGGCTCTTGATAATGGACAACGCCGACGACCCATCGATTTCCCTCGACCAGTACTTCCCCCGAGGCGATAGAGGTCATGTCATCATAACCACCCGAAACCCATCCCATAAGGGGCACGGGAACATCGGACCTGGGTTTTTCAGGTTCGAGGATCTGAGCAGCGACGACGCCAACTCCCTTTTACTCCGGGCGACCACAATGGCGGAGCCATGGGACACGGATTCCTTGTCCTGGGCGGAGACAATCGCCCGGCAGCTGGGCTACCTTGCATTGTCTCTGATCCAGGCCGGTAGTGCCATTCGAAATGGCTTGTGCACGCTGAGGAATTATCTCGCCTTTCACGACGCAGAATGGGAGCACCTTCGCCTTTTACGGCGACAATCTGTCGGTGTGGACCATGCGGAGAAGTATTCGAGCGTACACGCTACGTACGAAGTCTGCTACAAGGGCATTGAAGACAAGGGGACACAGGCCTCCAAGGATGCCATCCAATTACTCAAGCTGTTTTCGTGTTTCTACTACAAGAAAATCCGATTCGACATCCTGACGAAAGCAATTGAGAATTGCAAGAAGGAAAGGATTCAGCAGGAAACGGCGGCAAAGGACGAACAGAATCAGCCAGTATCTTGGTACGAGACATACAACAATCTACGATTGTTCCTGTTGGTTTATCTCACACAGGGACGCGATCCTCCGATATTGCCTGACTTCATACGGCAGGGGCGAGAGTCCGAGACTCTTGACATTCCACGGATACGATATGCGCTAAGGGAGCTCACTCAAATGTCTCTGATCACGCATGATGAATCAGACGACAGCTATTCCATGCACCCCCTCATACACGAATGGGCGAGTAAACGGCCTGCCATGAGCTCAGCAGAACAGGCTGTTTGGTCGCATGCCGCAGCGACTACTCTCGTCTATGCGCTTCTCCTCCCTCCTCTCGGCAACACCGAAGACCAGGAGCTCTTTCGGATCCGAGTTCTCCCACATGTCGACCACGTGCGCAAAGTACAGGAAGCAGCGAGGCGCAACGCCCTGGAGAGCCGGAAGCCCGGACTCTTCGACTGGTTCTGGGTGAGATTCACGTTCGACAGAGCGCAGGCATTGCGCGATGCCAAGTTCAGCATGGTGTACCTCCAGAACTGGCGCCTGAAAGATGCCGAGGAGCTTCAGACGGGGGTTAAAGATTCTCTGGAAGCTTTCCTCGGACCAAACCACGCTTCCACCCGGCGGATCACGCTTGCCTTGGCGAGCACGTATCGGTCCCAGAGTCGCGGGGACGAGGCAGCGGATCTCCAAGAAGCGGTTTTGAACGCGTGCATAACCTCGTTGGGGCCGGACCACGTCGACACCCTGACAACGATGGACGTCCTCGGTCAATCCCGATGGCTGCAGGGACGATTCAGCGACGCGAAAGTACTCCAGCAAAAGGCCGTTGACGGACTGCTTAAATCACGGGGTCGAATGCACGAGGACACGCTCACCGCAATGGGGTATCTCGGCCGGACGCTGGGCAAGTTCTACGAGAACTACGACCATGCATTCCAGCTCCTCGAAGATTCATATGCCGGGTTAAAAGAAACCCTCGGCCCTGTACATTCCAAGACGCTGGAAGTGAAAGAAGAGATCGCCATGCTGAATCTGCAAGTTGGCAGCAACCTGTCTCTTGCGTCACAGATGATGCAGGAAGTGCTCGAAGCCCGCAAGGAGAACATGGGCAAGGAGCACCCGTTTACCCTCTTCGCAATGGCAAGCATGGCAAGAATCAACATCGGCCTGGGTCGGCACGACGAGGCCGAAGATCTACTTCGCAGTGGATTAGCCATCGCGGACCGCAACCTCGGCGAAGACCACATCGGGACACTCATGGGCAGAACCTGGCTAGGCGCTGTGCTCGCCCATCAATCCAGGTTCGAAGAATCAGAAGCGACACTCCTCCGGGTGATAGAGATGCTGCGAAACATTTCATCCTACCGCGGTGAAAACCATCCCGATCGGCTGAGCGCGATGATTCAGCTTTCTTTGTGCTATAGGCTACAGGGACGATACGATGACGCTATACAACTGTGCGATCGGATTATCGACGGCCTTCAGACGATCAGTGTGACGCAGCATCCGCTGGAACGAAAGACCATAGCGGAGAAATACGAATTGCTTGAGTTGAAAGCTGCGCGAGAGGGGAGAGGGGAGGAGTGAGTGTCAGACTAGACATGTTGTAATATATAAACATATAATATAAGTCCTTCTACATCTTAGCGTTTATATGATCTAGATGGAGTTTAGGATAGGCCAAAGAGAGGTGAAAACGAGGCAATCTGACTCAGTGTAACTAGTCTCATACCTCTTGAATCACATTTTAAACTCTATAACGTAGTGAATACTTGGAGCTTGAACCCTACTGTGTTGGGGTGAAGCCCAAGCAAGGGAGATAGATGTTTAATGTATACACTATACACGACTCTGCATGTAATGACGTCACAGGTGAGCTTCCCCAATTTGTAAGCGAGGGATGAAGACGATATAATGGCTGATTTACTCCAACACGCAATGAACACCACCATTGCCTATCCTAGTCCAATCTTTCAATTGTCTCCATTTTATCCATTCTCTCCAGTATGGCGAAAACAGTCATCGCAACGGGCACCTCGTCCGGCCTGGTAAGCTGCGCATCTTCATCTTCCACCCCACCCATCATCCAACTCTTCAAACCCCCCATCTCATATCCACAATGCACACCAACTAGACACACGAAAGCCGACAAGCTAACCCACCCAGGGCTTCGAGCTAGTCAAGCAGCTCCTCTCGCAGTCCGAGCCCTACACATTCATAATGGGCGCGCGCGACACAGCCCGCACCCAAGCCGCATACGACTCCCTTAAATACGACACCACCAAGCACAGTGTCCATATTCTGCCACTCGAGCTGTCCTCCCTGCGCAGCGCGCAGTCTTTCGCAGGGCAGGCGCTCGCACAGCTCGGCTCCACCAAGTTGGATTATTTATTCCTCGGGGCGGGCGTGCTAGACGGTGCGAGTGGGGCGGGGCCGAATGGGTCGGTTTGGTGTGAGGGGTTTGTGGTTAATCATTTGGGTATGTATTATGTATTGATGTAGTGGGGTGGGATGGGTGGATGGATGTGTGCTAATGTGTTTTATAGCTCAGCATTATTTGGTGCATTTGCTTCGTGATGCGTTGGAGGCGTCGAAGACGCGCGTGGTTGTCGTTTCGTCGGGCGCTATTCGCAGTGTGAGGAACCAGGATCCGGGTATGTTTCTTTCTTCCTTTCCCTCATTTTGGTCTAGCTGTGGCGCACATATAGAATAATGTACTGACGGATGTATGCACAGCAACCCTCGACGTGGACTTGAAAGCGAATTCCAACGCCGGAGTCCGCGCAGTGTACAGCGCCTCCAAGTTCGTGCAGCTGCTAGGCGCGCACTACTGGCGCCGGGAGCTGCCCTCATGCACGGTGGTAGCAGTCTCACCGGGTCTCATCCCTGATACCAAGCTTGCGTCGAGTATGGGGCTGACGATGAATATGGCGGATGCCAAAACCATTCCCGAGGGTGGGTTCTCAGTTTCGGTGGAGAGTTCGCATATGGCTAACAGCTCGCAGGTGCCCAGAATCTTCTCCGCGCGATCACTGCTGACGTCCCGTCGGACCCCGAACAGATCTTCTTGACTAGTTGGGGGGAGTGGTGGCCGAAGGATGTGTACGCGATGAGTCTCGACCGGGACCTGCAGAAGAAGTGGTGTTTGAGTAAGGAAGAGATTGAGAAGTCTGAGGGTCTTATCTGATAGGTATAAACTTACTATATAGAAAGAGTATGTCTTTATAGATAAGAAAAACACACCCCGTGTATGAACTCCATATGGAACCTGACTTAAGCATAGCTGGAACATTTCCAATATAGTATCATGACCTCCCCCCCCTCTTACTCCTACTCCTACTCTCACTCCTAGGCGGCCCATTCACCTCCCTCTGAGCCCTTCTCGCAAGAACAAACCAAGGACAGGAAAACGCCGACTTGCGACGCAAGTTACCGTCCTTCCCCTGCCCGTCGCCCGTCTGGCTATCCCAGAATCCGCCCGGCGAATCGGTCGTATAAGCCCACCCCGCCTCAGTATCACTTGCCCTCCGCGCGAGTCCCACCAGCCGCGTCAAAATGTCAAACTCCACTTTCAGCTTCACGCTGTAGATAAACCCCCGAGCGGCCGTCTGCGACGCATAGCGCCCCGTAAACTCCAGCACCACTATCGCGATACCAAGCAGCACCACGATGGCATTGACGTATACCAAATGCTGCAGCAGACGACGGCCGACCTGGCCGTGGACCTCGTTGAGTGACCCCTCCGCGTACAGCATCTTCCAGGTCTCATACATATACAAGCCCGAGATTATGGTCTCCTGGACGAAGAAGATCGTCACCTGGACACGCTCTAATATCGCATACGGGTCCACAAAGCGGGGAAACTGGTGGGAGTTGGCGCCGTAGAAGAGTACGATGGTCGGAATCTGCAGGATGATCGCGTCGAAGATGATCATTGCCAGCACGCAGCGGAGAACGAGATGCTGACGTACGATGAGGTGCAGACGCGAGAATAAAATCAGCGACTGCCCGGTTACCATGGCGACCCAGCCGATGGCGATGAGCGTCACGTATAGGTAGGTGATTTTGCTTGAGATGTGAAAGTCCCGGAGGAGGAAACCGATGGCGTAGATTGCTGTGCCCCATGTCGACGCGAAGAAGCTCCAGAAGTAGAGCCCGTTGTGGCGCTTGAAGGTGATGAGGAGGAGGAAGTTCAGCTCAAGGACGTTGTAGAGCGATATGGAGATGAACGAAACCACTCCGTATGTAACGGGGCGTGAGATTGTGGAGTTTCTATCGATACCGTGATCGTCCAGATACATTGTATAGGGGGTTGTCCATGTTGCGTGCTTATTTAGTAGCTTGCGCTGTATTATATAGCACCACCATCTGCCTATCCATCCAGACACTGCGATCGACCTTATGGCTTAACGTGGTTGCCGTAGAAAGATAGAGATAGACTCATGACGCCATGGCGTCAGGGGTTACCATGGAGCGACTCGGGATGGATAGTTGGTTCCACGGGTGGGATGCTCCGTACATGATCGATATAGTAATTCGCAAGCAATGCGTCCTCTTTTACAGTCACATCCATGTCTATACAGAACTTTCGATCTGGGCACGTTGCGAGTAACGCATGACCCGGTTCATCGACTGAGGCCGCGACAATCATCTGATTGTTTTCAGTTGCCTATATAGATTTAAATGTTAGGCATCACCCTTCATAAAACCTATTTACGCCTCTGACAGTATAGAAAGGCTGCGATTGCAATACGTACCTATCACATCAGGTATCTGGCCGTCTATAGCCTCAGCCAGGTTAGCCTACACAGATAGACCGGGCTGTTCAGTTGTATCCAAAACTGGAGGGTCGAACCACGTGGTCGACAAGGCTTTTGAGGATGTGAATTTATAAAAAGATAAAAAGGAGAGATGCGAGTATAGTTGTCAAGTGGAAGAAGGATAATCACATCTGCAGGAGATGACAGTCCAGCACTGCTCCTTCTCTTCCATGTAACTTTCTATCAATTGACTCCCTTCAATGCATCTCATTTTTCCAAATTAGCTCTATAAGCGCATTCAAGTCATGCAACGAACCAAAGCCATAATCACACAGAAACCATCAAACAAAACAGCCAACGCATAGTAATACCCACCTATATACTACGACCTCTAGCAGCGACATAGATACTAAGGAAGGTGCGTAGCGCATAACACAACCAATAAACAACAAACAAAATCGACAAGCATGGTGGCGTCTCATCCTCACAGGGATATATATATCACCCGTCTGGAATGGGAACTAGCGTTGTTGATCCATGCAGGTTATATAGTGGTGCTAGTACCATCGTCGGCCCACGGCGATCGATCGGTGGATCTGATCTGATCTGAAGGATCAAAATTTGTATGGGGTTTGGGTGTTGATTCTTGGGTGTTTTTTTAATTGTTTTTGTACATCAGGTGGGGGTTGGATATACCGGTGTGTGGAAGAATGTTAGCTGAGTGTCGCGTCTCATGATATATGGATAGATCCGTGACTCCATGAGTAAGGGCGGGTGAAAACAGCTCGTCGGTAGAAGAGACTACAGCAGTAAATCGAGCAAACCAAACATCGTCAAATTCATAACCAATATATACACCAATCATGCAACGCTCTATCAAGCCAATGCTAGCCCGCACCATCAGCCCAATCCAACTCCGTCCCAGATGAAAGATATAAGAGCACTCTAGTTGAGTTGAACGTAGTTGGCTAGGTTTGTTAGCATACAATCTACGAATAAAAGGGAGAAAGAGTAAGAAGGGCATACCTGGGAATTGTCCTTCCCGTCCGTCAACCCTACCCGTCCACCACTCATTCGTGTTATCCGTGCGGTGGATGATCTGGATCACCTGCCCAGCGGAGAAGCTCAGATCGCCATGCGCCTGCGCCTCGTAGTCATACAGCGCGGTGACGGTCTCGGTGTGCTGCGCCAGACGGGACGGCTTGGGTTTCGGCGGTGGCGGGGCGGGCTTCTTGCCGCTGAAGCTGCCGGAGGGGCTGCTCGTGACGGACGCGGCGGTCGCGGCGGTATACGGCGGCGGGGGGTTGTCGACGCCGTCGGAGTCTCTCCGCCGCCCGGCGAAGCTGTTCCCCTTGTCGTCCAGCTTGCCCTTGCCGGCGAGCTTGGGGTTGTGGCGGCCCAGGCCCTTGGTCTTGAAGTGGACGATGACGAGCGCCTCGGCCTGCTCCTGGACGTTGCCGCGTTTCGCCTCGTAGGCCTCGATGACGTCCAGGGTTAGGTTGAAGTAGTTGATGTTCATGCCCTGCATCTTCTCGTGCAGCGTGTAGAAGATGTTCAGCTGCATGTAGTAGAAGGACTGGAACAGCGGGCGGATGAACTCGGCTTCGAGCTGGAACAGCCGGGGGAGTTCCTCCTTCAGCAGGTCGTTGTAGGTGTTGAACTCCTGCGTCGCCTGCTCGACGTCGTTCTCGGCGCGGTACAGGGCTTTCTCGTCCTTCAGCGACTTGTCCTTCTTCTCCTCCAGCTTCTTCAGCGTGGTGCGGTGGCGATCGTAGTCCAACTTCTTGTGATCCCGCTTGACCGCCACTTTCCGGATCACCTTGATCACCTCAAGTAGCTGGTCCGCCGGGCTGACGATGCGGCTGTCGATCAGCTCCAGCTCGGGCGCTAGCGATTCCTGTAGTTCGGCCACAATGGCCTCGTATTCCTCGCAGGCCTGGATGCCCTCGGGGTTTCCTTCCACCACGTATGAATCGGGGTCGGAGGCGCGCCCGGAAATGGGTTTGTAGAGTTCGGTCATGGCTTTGGAGAATTCGATCTGGTGGTTGAGCATGCCTATTTTACGTTATATTAGCCCGACCTGTTCCAACCGGTGAATCCGGTGAATGTCGGCAAACTGGATAAAGTACCATTAATTGCGCCGAAGTATTTCTGCGACTCATCGTGCAGTCTCTTCGTCTCTCGTTCTAGCTCCTGAAAGCGCCTCTCGGCATCCATATAGACGGCATCTTTCGTGTGCTCGCCAATGTTGAAGCGGGCCTTGAAATTTTGAGGGGCCCGCACAACGCCTTTCGAGAAACCTTTGAAACTCATTTTGAACCAGGGTAATATAGATGTAGGGGAGAATAAGGAGGAGAAAACGAAAGAGAAGAAGAGAAGAGAAAAAAGTTCAAGACGGCAACAAAGCAGAGTGGGGAAGGTTTGGCTTGATTTGGCTGGATGAGTAGATAGTCGGGAATACTAAGGTGGTCTAAGTCGGTGACGGTTAGACTGGGTGGCTCAACTATGACATCAGACGGGTTGCCCTTGCTTTGTCGGTCTTCAAGTTGGATTGTGCCAGCCAATTGTAATACAATTAGTACTCCGTAGATGGGTTCGCCGAGATCGAGATAGATCAGGCAAGGAGGTTGGTAGGTACCAGCCTTGGGGAAATCCCCTTTATCTATCAGTATTCGGTAGGTATTACGACAAATCGTCGTAGCCGAAAAGGAGTCAATGTGGCGCAGGCTTGGCCTTTCTGTTAGTTCCGTGGGTGGAATTAGGCACCCAGAATCCCCATTCAGATTGGATCCCTCCGGATATAATGGACATTCCTACCTGACCAGGCTGCGCCATTATCACGCAGGATGGAGAAGGTCGAGAGTCGATCGATAAGGCGTGAAGATCTTAGATGCCTGACGTAAGACGGCTTCGGCTGTCCGCTGAGTCCGCTCGATTCCGATCATACAACTGTATGTCTAGAGATTATATATAGTTGGGTAGTACTGAAGTGTCAGAGTACGGATCATGCAAGACACAAACACTTCGACTGAACAATTGAAGAAATAACATACTATACTATGGTGAATTGACAATAAACTGCCCGTTCCAGACTATGTAAGAATAATGTAAGATGATGTCATCATAACTCATTAATGCCCAGTATATCTGTATAAACAATACACATTAATAACCTCATAGTTATGTGCATATCGATCGGACATAACCAGAATCCGATCGGATTTAATTCCTCGGCAATTTATAGCTGAGTCATCCAGAAATGCTGACTAACAAATGATATAACCGGACCAAACAAGTTTCCCGCTCCTGACACTTCCCTCTCTCCGTCATCAAGGACCTCTATTGCCACCCGTTTAATCATCTCGTGGCATCATTCCATCATGTCGTCCATGAATCCAGCTTTGAGACAGGCGTCGCGTGTCTACGCTCGTCGACTGTCGTCGACACAGGGTGCTCGTGCCCTGCGCTTTCGGGCACCCGTCCGCGGCTATGTCTCCGAGACCAAGGCCGGAAGTGCCCAGGTCTCCGTTGACCAGGCCATCAAGCAAGAACAGAAAGACTTCATGAACAAAACCGGCATGCAAGCGTCGAAGGTGGAGCTGCCCGGCTCGGGCATCGCCGGGGACGCCTCGATGAGCCCCTCCGCCGGCATCCTGAAGCAGGCGACCGTCATGGACCAAGGCACTCGCCCCATCTACCTGGATATGCAATCAACGACCCCGACCGACCCGCGCGTGCTCGACGCTATGCTCCCCTACATGACGGGCATCTACGGTAACCCGCACTCGCGGACGCACGCCTACGGATGGGAGTCCGAGAAAGCGGTGGAACAGGCGCGCGAGAACATCGCCAAGCTGATCGGTGCGGATCCCAAGGAGATCATCTTCACGAGTGGCGCGACCGAGAGCAACAACATGAGCATCAAGGGAGTGGCGCGGTTTTTCGGTCGCTCAGGAAAGAAGAACCATATCATCACGACGCAGACGGAGCACAAGTGCGTGCTGGACAGCTGCCGGCATCTGCAGGACGAGGGATTCGAGGTGACCTACCTGCCGGTGCAGAGCAACGGGCTGATCCGCATCGAGGATCTGGAGGCGGCCATGCGTCCGGAGACTGCGCTGGTCAGTATCATGGCCGTGAACAATGAGATCGGCGTGATCCAGCCGATGGAGCAGATCGGCAAGCTGTGCCGGTCCAAGCGGGTGTTCTTCCACACGGACGGCGCCCAGGCGGTGGGCAAGATTCCGCTGGACGTGAATAAGCTGAACGTGGATTTGATGTCCATCTCGAGTCACAAGATCTACGGGCCCAAGGGCATTGGTGCCTGCTTCGTGCGCCGTCGTCCGCGTGTCCGTCTCGACCCCCTGATCACCGGTGGTGGTCAGGAGCGTGGTTTGCGCAGTGGCACGCTGGCGCCTCATCTGGTGGTCGGTTTTGGCGAGGCCTGCCGTCTCGCGTCCCAGGAAATGGAGGTGAGCATCTTACTTTTCCCTTCGCCCCCTCTGAATTTTTTTGCCCCCCAGGTTTGGTCATTCGGTGATTAGAAGCTATAATCGTATCACCTCTGACGGCCCCGGGGGTAGCTGCACGCAATGCGTGTTCCCGGGACCGAATGGTGTACATAGCAGGGGTAATGAGTCGTTGGCCTGGTTGACTGTTTTTCACGCCTTCACGTGGCATAGCGGTAGCTAACTGAGAGTAGTACGATACCAAGCATATCGAGCGACTGTCGACCCGACTGCGTGATGGTCTGCTGTCGATGGAGCACACGGCTCTCAACGGTGACCGGGATGCCCACTACCCCGGGTGCGTGAACGTATCGTTCGCGTACATTGAAGGCGAGTCGCTGCTGATGGCCCTGCGGGACATCGCACTCTCGTCAGGCAGCGCGTGCACGTCTGCATCGCTCGAACCGAGCTACGTGCTGCGCGCCCTGGGCAGCAGCGACGAGAGCGCCCACAGCAGTATCCGATTCGGCATCGGACGGTTCACGACGGACGCGGAGATCGACTACGTGCTGCAGGCTGTGCAGGCGCGTGTTCATTTCCTGCGTGAGCTGAGTCCGCTGTGGGAGTTGGTGCAGGAGGGCATTGATCTGAACACGATCGAGTGGAGTCAGCATTAGACGCATCTTTCCTCAAGCCATCTTTTGTCTGTGAGGAATGAGGGGGTAAAAGTATAATATTGGGCGTGACCATTTTTTGCGTGTACATGTATGATATCAGGGCGGGCGTTGGGCATGTACACCAGGGTTATGATTTGTACAGCTTTTAGAATGAATCTACCTTACCATCTACGAGTAGTATACGATCTTTTTATCGTAAATATGGAATAGGATGGCACGACAGCTCCGGCACTCTCTTATTGCACTGCTCACTTGCCTCTTTGCTCACTACGTAGACGGAGTACGCTGAGTGCCCTGGTTAATCACTGAGTAGAAGCTAGTGGGGAATAAGTACTATACAGGAGTCTTGGAAAAACACACCGAACCAGAGCTAAACGCTGTTCATTTTCCCTTGTATGTAATATGTCTATCATGGAGCGGACTATTCGACATCATTGGTGTATTTAAATACAATCTGGGAGTTGCTCAATGCATGCAACCAGCCAACATCCGCAGACTTGCAGACCTTTCCCCTACCGGTTGTTTTTTTTTTTTTTTTGACTCTTGCTGTTTCTCCCAGATTGCAACACTCGCAACCTTTCCATGATCCTAGGAGTCATCAATATCAATATTCTGGTTGTTGCCATCGCCCCCCCCCCCCTTCAAACAGCCAATAGAGTAACTCGTGGCCCTCTGGATATACTTCTACTTGTTACCCTAATAAACATATCAGGCCCACCGCCAGTGTTGTCCAAATCGAATAGACATAGTACATAAACAATACCAACTCTATCGATCTTTGATAATAAGACCCACACCAACAGCGGGATCCTCTCTCTCAACATAGAAATCGCTCGAGTTGCCATACCGATCAACAGCCGTAAACCAGCAAGGATGCCGAAACGAGTCATCCCACGGCTTGTCACTAGGTCCTCTGTACACAACAGCCGCAGTGATACAAAGGTCATCCTTCCTCCCATTGATCTCGAGCTCCACATAGTGACCCTCCTGTCCGATCTCGACGGTTTGAGGCGCGTCAAGCGGCCAAATATGCCGGAACGCCCCATAGTTGTCGGCGTTTATCCAGTCAAAGCAGTAGAACTTGCCCTGTTCGGTGTTCGGTTCGTGGGCCCCGTGGTATTCGTGGATCTCGAAGCGCATGAGCTTCGTCTCGCGCGTGCTGGACACGTAGTATCTCTTGTAGTAAAGCGCCCACGAGCTGAACCCGACTGTTTCTACGTCGACGATTAGGTCTTTCCGGTAGAGGCGCGCGGGCGTCATCCCCGTCAGCGTCACGCGGGATTCGAACCCTTCTCCTGCAGTGTGGACGATCGTGCCATCCGGTTGCTGGATCCAGGCTGCTAGAGAGCGGTTCTCAGCTCTCTCGGTCCTAACCCAGCAGGTAAGGATTTGATGGCCGAGAGTCGAATCATCACGGGACGGCCTCTCGGCACGGTTCTCGCCCAAAGTGCCCGGCGCGTAGTGGTCGAATTCGTTAGGCTCTTTGTCCCATTCCCAGCCGTCTGGCAACTTCTCGGGGAAGTGGTATTCCACCAGCCGGACTTCGTCGAGCTCTGCGGCTGAGAGCTTGTACTCGTCGCCAGTGTCGGGGTCTTTTGCGACGATGAAGACGTAGACTGGGACTTGCATTAGACCATTTGCGAATAGGCTGTCGTTGACGTAGCCTGGTCTGCTGGTTTCGACTTTTAGGCTGGAAATTTCCCAGGATATAGCCATTGTGGTTGGCACGTTGGGATGGGTAATGTTCGCAAGGAGGGTATTTTGGCAGGTTTGGGGCAAGTGTAAGTGAAAAGGATTAGAGCCGGTACTTGACCAGGTCTTTGAACCGGTCATCCTTATTTAACGCCTGTTATCGTTGTTCGTTTGATGGTCTACCCAATGGATTGTGCAGACCTGCAGCCACCTCGGCTGGAATACGGTCCACTCTTTCAGCCAGCCTTCCAAGGTAGATTGATGTATGTTCTCTGCAAGTATAATAAGTGCATGCTGGTACTTGAACAAATGGCGGAAATGCCGCAACCAAAAATCATGCACACTATACAGATGTCGGTGACGCAGGTGGTATCGGGGCGCAACTCTGTGCAGCCTGGCAACACTATGTGTTGGCAGAATGGACACGTCTATACAGGAATCGGAACAGAGATTTTCAGATGACATGCGTTGTAGTCCATTTCACCTGTTTAAACTATGATTGATTGATTGTTCGACTTGAAGAATCACCAACCCTAATCCCACTACTGCAGCCTGCCAGCTTCTTCTTCCCCACTTTGGACATGAATCATCTAGTATCAACCATCCTGCAGCTTCGCTTCACTTTTCTTGCTGATGCGTGGTTAGATGCAGCTAGGTTAGGTCCTAGATGACGCAGTCATTGAGACAAGTGCCTTGCCAAAGTACCCCTCTGCCTGTCCCATGGTTCTCTGCTTGCTCGCCTGGTTTGACAGTGATCTATATCAGGTATCCCCTCATCTATCAATCCATCTCGGCCTACAGATCAATCCTGATTTATCTACAGGTTAACATTGGCAATGTGCTTGGCTTCTTTCAATTAGACACTTCACATTGCCCCACTCAACCATCAAACCATGTCTTCAAGCCAAAGCAACATCTACTCCCAAAGCTTCAACTACGGCAGTTTTCTCCAGAAAGGCGTCGATCCCCGCACGGGTCAGTACACCTGCAGCATCGAAATCTACGAGACGCCATCACAAGTCCGCAACTGCCCTCCATTCAAGCTATCGCTCGGATTCAATCCCCTTAACAGCCAGAACGCCGGGCTCGGCACGGGCTGGTCTTTCAGTCTGTCCTCATACGAGCACAACAGTCGACGCACGCTGCTTCTCTCCACGGGTGAGAACTATCAAGTTACGGACACCAGCAGTCTTTTCTCCGTCGATGATCAGAAACTTAAAAGTTTCACTATCAAGAGAGGAGACGGGGACTATGAGGTTATATACAAATCGGGATTGATCGAGGTGCTCTCTAACGACAAAAAACGCTGGGACAGATCGCTCCCCACCGTGCTTTATGCTCCCAACGGTCGCTCTCTGCAGTTGGAGTACAAAAGTTACAATGGACAGCCCCGACTGATTAAGATCCAAGACGGGTCTGAAGACCTGCTATCAATCAACTACGATGTGTCTGGGGAAGTCAGCATAACTCGCGCCCCAGATACCCCCGAGGCGAACACCTTCGTTCTCAGCCTGAAGAGCGAACGATTGACCAGTATCACAACGCCGCTGTCCGCCATGCCCCCATGGAAGTTCGACTACGACAAGCTCGGCGACCTAACCTGTATCACCGAGGTGACCAGCCCCACGGGCTTAGTCGAAGCGATAGCATACAACGCGGTAGGCCACCAGATGCCGTCCGGCGCGCCACTAGACGAAAGAATCCCATACGTAGTTTCCCACATGGCCTACCCAAGCCGCCAGCAGCCGCGGATCAAGACGACATACAGCTACTCCGATTACAACTTCCTCGGCTACGGTGGGGGTCGACACTGGGAGAATGGCGAGGATAATTTGTATCGCGTGCCTGCGGACTACAAGTATACGTCGACTGTGACTATCGACGGCGGTTCCACCACCGAGTACACGTATAACAAGTTCCATCTGCCGATCAGAACGACGCAGAAGAAGGGAACTAAGCTGATGACGCAGACGACGGAGTACTATGCGCTTGCGGATACCGCGTTTGAGAAACAGCCGGCGCAGTATCTGCTGCCGAAAAGCGTGACGACGACCTACGAAGACACACAGAGCAAGCAGACCCGGACGGAGACGAGCACATCTGAGTTCGACGAATGGGGCAATCCGACGAAAGATGTTCAAGCCGATGGCGTAGCGGTCTTGCGCACGTATTACCCCCCGACAGGCGCAACGGATCCGGATACAGGGGAGGAAGTCTGTCCTGCTGATCCGCACGGCTTTCAGCGGTACAAGGCTACCGAGACGACGGTCCCGGCGGAGAGTGACTATCCCTCGCTACCACGGACAGAGCACTACACTTACTGTGAGCTTCCGACGGCGACGGATGCACGCGTCGACAAGTTTGTGGTGGTCAAGCAGTCGAGAGTCCTCGAGGGAGACACCTGCGTGAGCACAGCCGAGTATAGCACTATCAACAAGCCGGACTCTCGAGACCACGGCCGCGCAGAGAGCCAGGTCACCCAGCTGGCTGAACAGCATCCTACAACGCAGACATGGGAGTATAAGTACTCGGATAGCAGCAATCAACTGAAACAAACGATCACGACAAAGAGCTTCGACGGGTTGACCGTCAGTGACGAGACCGACATATCCCTCTCTTCCGGCCTGACCATGTCCCATAAAGACCAAGATGAGGTCCAGGACCGCTTCGAGTACGACAAGCTCGGTCAGATCCTCAAAGTGACAACAGCTGTGGGTACAGGGTACGAAACATCGCGCGAGAACAAATACGGCATCCCGGAAGACGGCCACGGGAGCCAGAAAACAGTGATAGACACCGAGGGGTTCGAAACGCGGTACATCACGGACGGGTTAGAACGGCTCTGCGAGGTTGAGAAGCAAGACAGCGATGCGTCAACCGCAGCCGGTACCACTCGCAAAGTGCAGGAATGCAAGTATAACGCGCTGGATCAGTGCATTGAAAAGGTAGAGATCGACTGGCTGCGCTCAGACAGCGGGGCAGTAGAAAAGCGGAACTCGCAGAAACTGGAGTACGACGACTGGGGCGAGGTCTACAAAACGACCGATAACACAGGGGTGGTGAGCATATCCGAGACCGATCCGATTGCACGCACGCGCATCGAAGGCATCGAGGGCGAAGGACAGACCAAGACAACGCTCAACAAGTCCGGTGCTCCCATCCTGACCGAGCTGCTCCGCAAGGACGGCACGCCGTACAGCCAGTTCAAATACTTCTATGACGGGCTCGGCCGGCTCGTAGAGCAGGAAGACGCACTCGGTCGGAAGAGCCGATTCCAGCTCGACGCCTTCGACCGGGTCGTCAAGACGACCTATCCGAGCGGGCGGGAGGTCACCACCGACTATGCACCGCACAGCGACGCGACGTTGCCGGTGTCCGTGTCAGAGAACGGCGCTACCATGGGCGCGCAAGACTTCGACGGCCTGAATCGCGTGAAGACGAAAACGGTCGGTACATGCACGGTCAAGCACGAATACGAGGGTAATGGGCCTGAGCCGAGCAAGATTCAAACCCACAAAGGGGACAGCTTCAACTTCACGTACGAGCCTGCGCTCGGACACGCTGTCACGGCCACGTCCATCAATGGGGCAGCTGATACAATCGAGTACGACCCCAAGACGGGTGTTCCATTCAAACTCGAGAATGCGTATAGCTCTAGGGACTTGAGATTTTTCCCCTCCGGGCTGTTGAAGGGGGAGACTGTCACGCTTAATGATGAGAGGACGTTTTCGTCAGCCTCTGTGTATTCCATGAATGGCAAGCTGCAGGCTTATACAGATGTACATGGGCAGGAGTATAAAACGGAATACGATCCTTTCGATAGAGTAGAAGCGCTGGCACAAGGGACGATGAAAGTCTCATTCACATACGATAGTATCAACCGCCCATCAGACATCGAAGTACAGGATACAGCGCGCAACACCAGTCTCACGACCAGTCTGAAGTACGATGACTTCAGCCGGGAAGAAGAGCGGATTGTCCGCCAGGGCGGAAAGACGCTATACAAGCTCACCCAATCGTACACTAAGACCGGCTTGGTGGAGGCGCGCCATCTGGAAGATGGGAATGGAACCTCCCTCCGCGACGAAACGTTTGACTACGACGATGATGGACATCTGGTGCACTATACCTCCGAGGGAAGCCAGTCCCCGACAGACGAACAGGGCCGGCAGCTAAAAAGCCAGCATTTCGTGTTTGGCGACCACGACAACCTCAACGAGGTGACGACGCACTTCCACGATAGCAGCAAGAACACCACGTCGTACTCGTACAATCGTCAGGATCCGACGCAGCTGACCGCCGTCACAAAATCCCATGACAGCCAGACCGTTTTTCTCGATTACGATGACAACGGCTGTCTAACCCTAGACGAGCAAGGCCGTCGTCTCGAATACAACAGCAAGAACCAACTAATCTCCGTTCGCGATGCAGATGACACACTCCTCAGCCAATACCACTACGACGCAGGCGGCCGACTGGCCTGTCAAAGCATCCCCGGCCAAGACGACCACCATCTCTTCTACAGAGACGAAAAGCTCATCGCCGTGCAAACCGGCGACCGCAAGATCAGCTACATATCCGACAGCCAAGACTACTTTGGCCAAACGGTGCAAAACGGCTCCAACACAGAAACCCAGCTCTGGGCAAGTGACAGCCACGACTCTCTCCTCTTCTGGGCAGACGGCGACGAAGTACACCACCAGGAATACACGCCCTACGGCGTGTCCAGTCCCAGTCAGGGAAGACCCTCCATCGGGTTCAACGGCCAGTGGCGCGACCCCGTCACAGGATGGTACCACTTGGGTAACGGGTACAGGGTGTATAACCCAGTCCTTAAGCGGTTCCACACGCCAGACCCATGGAGTCCGTTCACGTCCGGCGAAACCAACCCGTACGCGTACTGTCTAGGCGATCCTATTAACCGCGATGATCCCAGCGGACACGGGTTCTTCGGGTGGCTGAAGAAGAAGTGGAAGAAGATCGTTACCACGGCCATCGGCGTGGTAGCCAGCGTCGCGGTGGGCATGCTAACCGGTGGTGCAAGCCTAGCTGTTCAAATCGGGATCGGGCTCGCCGTTGGCGCAGCGACTGAATTTGGTGTGAGCGTCGCGACAGACCTTATCGAGCATAAACCTGTGGACTGGGGCAAAGCGGGTATCAGTGCGGGTGTGGGCGCACTTACAGGAGCAGTCTCCGCGACGGGAATGTTCGTGCTAGATAAAGGGTCGAAGGCCGTGGCGAAGCTTGCGGGGGACAGCGTCAAGACCGGGATGAAGGAGGCTGGGAAGCAGGCTGTTAAGGAGACGGTCAAGAAGACCGGGCTGAAAAAGGTTGTCAAGGAAGTTGCGGAGGGGCTGGTTTTCACGGAGGGAGTCACCAACGCCGTGATCATGCCGAATCTTCCGGGGAAGCTTTCGTCGACGGGGCTTGTCTACGAAATGCTGGATGATAGCGGTGGAGGCTCCTCGAGTGCCGGTGGTTCGGCACAAGGATCAGCTGGGACGAGGGACTCTATTCGGCCTATTATGCGGGACGGGGAGAGTGCGGTAGGGGGTCTTCGAATGTAGAAGCCCAGTGCGATATCGTCGTCGGGGTACGGGGCCAGTGGGAAGGCTGGGCATGCTGTTGCTGGGGCGCTGAATTTGGATCTGCGGTGCACGTTTACCGTGGCTGGTATGTCGCGGGGAGGACAACAGACAGGGAGTGATATGCTTTTGCAGGCGTTCCAAGGGACACGACAGGAGTATAGTTCGATGAGAAGGGATATTCGGAGGGGAAGGTAGTAGGGCAGCGTTGGACACGTGCCTGCATAACCAGTGCACTACTTTGTAGGGTGTAGGTGGTTTGTTGCCTTATTTATTCCTAAGATATAGAGTATAACAACGTAGGTTACAGATACAAGAAGATTCTCTTCTACATACTGCAAGATAATAATCACACAGGCATGTCTATTCTAATAGATATATCTGTAGATCGAGGGGAATAGCCTAGAGACTATTTGATAGATCTAACTATACTACTATACAGAACAGTCATAGTCGATATTCTATACATAATGAGTACTTACTAAGAGTATATTATAAAATCCTCACTGGGTGAGCTCTCCAAGCTGTAAACATCCAATTCACCCAGTTCACCAGCTACATATAGAGTAACGACAGACCCACCAGAGAATCACTCAATCCGGTTAGCGTCTCGCTTAATCTGAAGGTCATGGAATTCCACCCAAGTGAAGACTGACCGGCTCATTCTCTAGCACGACGCTAGCCCCACACCCCTTTCGCTCGCACCCAGTTCTATCGCCGGTGCATCTCTCTATCTATATCGATCGATCAGATATCAATCAGATATAGATGGATATCAATAGGTTTTCAATAGATGTCGATGAGATGTTAATCAACACCTTCTACATACTTTTCTCATTCAAAACACGGTCTCCCCTCTTGTTCTCGTCCATCCGCCTTGATCTCCTTAAGCACTTGGCTTATCGTCTCTCTCCCATATACTACTGTAGGCCATTTATTCCGTGGACAATGGTCCACCAGCACGAGAACGCCCCCTGTCTACCAGGTAAATGCACCCGACGGTGACCGAGGGACGGCCTGTTTTTCGGTATGAGAATTGGGATTGGCGTGATGGCAGAATAATCATCCAGCTGATTAATTGTCTCTCTCCCTCTGTCTTCTTGTCTCACTCGACTGATTGTCTTTCTCCTTTTCTTCTTCCATCATCTTCTTCCTTTTGACTTTGCTAGATCTGTGGTACAAGGTAGTTACCAGTACTACCATTAGCTTTGGTTTCTCCGGATTATATCTCCAGACCGTGGTCTTGACCGTGGTATTGGGAAGGACTCGCCACCGGACCGAATCGGGTTCTTGCCTTGATTCCTGAGGACTGGAATTCATCGCCTCTTGTGACGATTATCTGTTACTGCGACCTGGAAAGAACTACATCCAGTGCAGACAATATTCTATTCTAGTCTGTCCGCCCAGCAGGACGTGTCCGCACCTACTATATCACCATAAACGGCGATTGAATACATCAACACCACCGCCGTTACCCCACAGTCGCGACAGCTGGATACTGGTTGACCCAGGGATCTCACCAGATCTAATACAGACGCGATCTCACTGATCCAACCCCACAGATCAGTCGAATGTGACTGGGGTTCTCAACTCCTGATCTTGTCCTACTGCCCACCATCACTCCAGAGCCACGAGGACGTTATCAATACTACTACTACGATGCTCCCCCCCATCCCAGTACTCGCCGACTACGGCATCTCCCCACACTACGGCTTCCTCCCCTCCGAACCTCCCCTCGACCTCCTCCCCGATCCCTACTATGCAGACTGGGAGTGGATCGTCGGTCATCTACAGGCCCTCCTGACCAGCCGACGCATCCGTGACTCAATCGACCGGATGCCGCTACTATCCACATCATACCTAAATACAGAGCCAGAGTGGAGACGTGCCTATGTCGTGCTGGGCTTTATCTTGCATGCATACGTGTGGGGGGGGCGGGCTCCAGCAGAGGTGGGTACTATCTTCCCATGACCCAGACGCACGGCTAACAAACGGCCCAACAAAACAGAGAATTCCTCCCCAACTGACAGTTCCCCTGTTCGCAATCTGCCAGCACTTGGACCTTCCCCCCGTGGCCACCTTCGCGGGCGTCTGCCTGTGGAACTACAAACCCATCTTCCCGGAAGATGCGCAACTCGACCTGTCCAACCTTACCCCGCTGAACACCATCACCGGGTCCCTCGATGAGCAATGGTTCTACATGGTGTCCGTCGCCATCGAGGCGCGCGGCGGGCCCGCCGTCCCGCTCATGTTACAGGCCATCGCCGCCGCCCGGGCAGGTAACAGCCTCGTCGTGACCGACTGCCTGCAGCAGTTCGCCGAGATCCTCGACTCCCTCGGCACGACCCTCGAACTCATGTACGAGCACTGCGATCCGCACGTGTTCTACCACCGCATCCGGCCCTATCTCGCGGGTAGCAAGAACATGGGCGATGCAGGACTTCCGCATGGCCTCCTCTACGACACAGGCGACCTCGATCCAGAGCCGCAATACCGCCAGTACGGCGGCGGCAGCAACGCGCAGAGCTCGCTCATCCAATTCTTCGACATCGTGCTCGGCGTAGAGCACCGACCGACCGGCGAAGCGCGACCCGCATCCTCAGACTCGGATAACCCCGCGTCGCGATTATCCACCAGCGCCCCGCATCACAGCTTCATCCACGAGATGCGCAGCTACATGCCCGGCCCGCACCGACGCTTCCTCTCGCACGTCAGCGCAGTCGCCAACATCCGCGAATACGTCGAAAGCCGCCGCTCCGACAAAGGACTCTGCATCGCCTACGACGCCAGCCTGTCAATGCTGCGCGCCCTCCGCGACAAACACATCCAGATCGTCGCGCGATACATCCTCGTCCCGTCACGAGAGGCACGCACATCAACCGTCCCTCCCCGCGGGCGCAACCTCGCCAGCGCGCCAGAAGGCAAGCAGAAACCGCTACGCGGGACGGGCGGGACGGCGCTGATCCCGTTCCTGAAGCAGGCGCGGGACGAGACGGGCGAGCCGGCGATCGACGCGTGGGCGAAGAGGTTGCTCAGCACGGGGCCGTTGGACGGGCGGTTTGCGGCGCTGAGCAAGGTGGGCGAGAATCACGATGGGGGGTTGCAGGTTGTGGGGCTGTCTGGGACATGGGCGGCTGATGATAGTGAGGGGGGGATATGTCATTGGTAGGGTACTTACCTGGTAGATATCAATAGACTTTATTATCAACGTTTATCAATTTAAGAAATTAGATGGGAGTTTCTACTTCAATAGGTTTGATACATACGGATAAGATGGTATCGGTTATATAGGATTGATAATTCCCTCGATTTCATATAGCCAAACAGCTGATAAAGTATAACATAGTTAGGTGGATATGATATAAACACCAGTCCATGTTCACCATTCACCGTGCGGTACATTTTTATGTAAAAGTAAAGAAGATAGAGAGGAGGGAAACTAACAAAAGCAGTAAATAGCCAGTCCTTCACTCTACTGCATGACTACATCATCATACATTGATCAACATGATCTGGCAGACGGACTGAACTATCGTGATCTACTGTCGCACTACAGATAGATAGTAAACTCAATTCAACACTCTAATCCAATACTACTACAGTAACTGTATATATAATAAATGGGTCATTAATCTAGTATCATCTATGACATCTAGTATAGTATAGTATGTTAGTAGTGTAAGTGGGTAATCATCAATCATCAACACCTCCCCAGACAACAAAGATCAACAAAAAGAAACAAAACACAAGGAAAAACACAAGAAAACAGAACCATCTACTCTATCAGATCAGATGAAAACAGCTCAAGCAAACCGCTCCAAAGTCCTGACAAGTCTATCTCGCAAGGGGCCCCCCTCAACCAACTCATCCACCCAGTCCTTGCCATTGCTGTCTCTCTTGCGCAGCTTCTCAGGGCTGAACATGTCGTCGAGACTGCGTCCGAGCAGCTCACTGAGCTTACCAGACGCTTCCTTACCCTCACTCCCACCATCATCACCGCCCTTCTTCTTCTTGAACTCCTCAATAGCATCCTTCACAGCTTGTCCACCCTTCCCACCATCACCATCTCCAAAGAGACTACTCAACAATCCACCACCCTTTCCATCCTTCCCATCCTTCCCAATCAAGTCCCCAAGGCTCCCATTCGGCCCAATCAACCCCTTAAGGGTATTCCCCAGCAAAGCGCCCACAGGGACATCAGCCGTGAGGACCAGCGACTTCATAACGTCCGTGTAGTAGGGGACCTTGACGCCCTCGTACGTGACAAGCTTACCCACCGTCTTCAGCGAGAGCACGCCGTTTTTGAGGTTGGGCGCTTGCTCCTTGAGGATGGGGCCCAGGTTGGAGATCATGGTTTTGAGGTCCAGGATGCCGTGGACGGGGTTGGAGTGGTTGCCGGGTTTGAGGACCAGGTTGTCGATTGTGGCGTTGCCGAGGACGAGGTCGCCGCTCTTGAGGTCGAGGATTGTGTCGCCCTTTTTTTAACTGTTAGTTTTGTTTCACTTGGTTTTGGGGAAGGAAGGGGAGGTACAATTTCAAGAGTCAGCACGGAGGGGTTGGGAAGCGTGGCGTTGGCGATGAGGTTCGTGCCGTCTTCCTTGGGAGGGAGTATAAGGGTGGAGTCTTTGATGGCGAAGCCAGCGAATTCGTCCAGGGCTGCTTCGTATCAGTCTTCCATTCCTTCCTTAACATAGAGAGGGGGAGGGGGGGAACATACTATTCTGCTCAATATCCTTATCCATAACAACGTACGACTTCAACTTGCCCAGGAACGAATTCGTCCCACCCCTCACCGAAAGCGGCGCGTGTTTCTCAAACACAACGCTCTTGACATAGTCCATCCACTGCTTCGCATCCAGCGGCGTCAACTGGTTAGTTACTCCCAAGGTGGTGTTCCCGTCGACGATAGCCGACGGGAGGTAGGCCTTGGCCCAGGTGTTGTTACCCGGGTTGCGGCGGTTGAATAGCTCGAGGGTGATGGGCTCGATGCGGACGGGGACGCCGATGGGGAGCTTGAGCGCGGATTGCAGGCTCAGCATCATGGAGTCGGGACGAGGTTGCATGACTTGGGCGTTGACGAGGACGAGGTCGGAGTCATTGAGGACGCGTTGGGAGATGGCGGGGATACAGATTAGGAAGCTTATCTGTTAGTATTGACATCTTCATATCTATATGTCCTGATAGGGAGGGGATAGGAGGGACAGGAGGCATTAGATAGGGGAAGAGAAGAGACATACAAGATAGGAAGGAAAATAGCAAGGAAAATCACATTCCAAAACAGATAACAACACCAGAATCGCTTCCAGTGACGAGCCAACTTCTGCGTCGGCGTCCGTTGAATCTTCTCCAAGGTGATGGTCTTGGCCGTCTCGACCTGCTCGAGCGCCTCGAGGTCATCACCGGTAGCATTGGGCGGCGGGAGAGGCCCACGATGCAGACCCAGCGTGTACTTGGCAGCCTTGTCACGGAGATGGTGAGCGGTCTCCATGGTGCGATATGATATCCTTCAATGCCTCTGACAAAAGCTAGGACAAGATATCAATATCTGGGGAGCTGGGGAGGGGATTCCTGGGGTAAGAGAGATTATGGGGAAACGCCGGACCATATTTAATCTGGTCCCCTAAGCTCGTCTAACCCCTGCCTCTGACGTTCGGGTGGAGGATGATGGGCATTGGGATATTCATTTTAGATAGCTGAATTTTCGCTTGTTTTTTTTCGTGTCGCCGTATTTTCGTCCAGACGATGGATCGGTTTCAAGCTCGGCTGCCACTAACGCCGTGAAATGGAGACTCGGGGCAAGACGGTGTCGGACTAGTTTTCCCACTAGGTCATGTCTCGGGGGGAGATCGTCGGGATAGTACCACACTGAGCCAACCATGAAGCCGTACCGGTGAGCTGATGGGGGTTCACATGCGGAGGGCGAGGAATGACGATCGGCATTGGAACTATCGGGAGCCGCGGTTGACCAACGATCATCGGGTGCGCAGTTGGGACAAATCGCTGCAAGTTGGGAGGAAAGGAGGGACCCACTGCATTGAGAGATTGGCCTGTTTTTTTTCTCGGAGGTTCAGTTGAGTTCGGATGCATGTTGGGCATGTGTTGAACACGGGGTAATGCGGGGGTTGCCAATCGGTGTGTTCAGTGATCATTTTATTCTCCATATCCATCCTCGTCTTTTATATCCCTACAACTTCACTCACTTGACTATTATACCAACTATCATACCCAACTATACTCTCCGACTATATCAACCAGAAATCAACACAGGCACATCAACAAATACAGAAATCAGGAAATAAATAAATAAAAATGGCCGAAGTCGAAAAAAACATGGAGACCCCCCAGCTCTCTCAGACGGCCTCTACCGACTCAGCCAGCTCCACCAAACGCCTCGACCAACTCGAACAGCTCGAGATGCTCCCTCAAATCCTGCAAGAGGGCGCCCTCTTCGCAGGCGCAGGGTCCGCCCTCCTCCTCCAGGCCGCCTACCCCGGCATCCGCCACGGAGAATCCAACGGCGAGCTCGCCACCGAGCTAGTCGACTCCCTCCAAGCAACCCTGAGCTACATCTCGTGCCTCGTCTTCGGCACGCGCGCCGAAAAGCAGACTCTGCTGGGTCTCCTCGCGCGCAACCACCCACCCCTCAAAGCCAGCGAGTCCATTCGCCAGAACACGCCCGCGCACCTCTGGGTAGCAGCCACCCTCTACGCGACCGCAACCGACTTCTACCAGCGCATCTACGGCCGCGTCAACTACCGCACGGCCGAAGCCGCCTACGCCGAGTTCACGGTGCTCATGCACAGCCTGGGCCTGCCGTCGGGGTCGTGGCCGCCCACCCGCCACGCCTTCTGGCGCTACTGGGACGAGCAGATCGACCAGCTCGTCGTCACTGACGAGGGCCATCGCTTCGCCCAGGAGCTCATGCACCATACTGCTGTGCCGCGCTGGGTGTCGCCGTTGAAGCCCATGATGCGGGTGATTACCATCGAGATGCTTCCCCCGTCGCTGCGGGAGGCGTACGGGCTGAAGTCGACGATGGGGTCGCGTGGTCTGTACCGGACGACTATGGGGTTCGTGGTTGCCGTTTATCCGGCAATGCCGACATCGACGCGGTCGTATCCGTTGAAGTATTATCTGGGGCAGTTGAGGCAGCATTTGAAGGTGTAATTTTTCTTTTGTTTTCATCTTTTCTGGTTTATTTTCTATCTTGTTTGTTTCGTGTTGTTTAGCTACGTTGTTGGCATTGATTTGTTTCTTACTTCATACCTTTCATGATTGTACCTATCTATTTATCTATCTATCTAATCCAACGATCCGATCAATCCCCCGAGCAACTTGGACACACTGGCGACCAGCTATATCAATAGATTAGCACCACTCAACGTAATCGTAGAGAAAAAGAGAAAAGAAAGGATTACCGGAGCAGCATCCCCAATAAGAGTACTCGTATCATTGACAAAATCCTTCGTGAGCAGCTGATCAGCCGTATCAACCAGTCCCTGCAGCTTGTCGATATTCTTGCTGGTCAGCAGTCGCTGGAGGTTCTTGGGGGTGTCGCCGCCGAGGAGGATCGCGCCGCCCTTGACGATGGTCTGCAGGTCGTCGAGGGTCTCCGGGGTGAGGAGCTCTTTCACGCCGTCGAGCAGGGCGGGGAGCTCGTCGATGAGGCCTGGGGAGGGGGTGGCGAGGAGGGGGACGGGGAGGGCGAGGAGGAGGTATTTCAGGTTGAGCTTCATCTTGATTATTTCTTTCTTTCTTTTTTTTTTTTGTTGTTGGTAGATAGGAAAGAAAGATAGGTACAGAGAGATGGAATGGTAAGATGAATGAGAAAAAGATATCGATTGATCGTCGTCGTCTACCGATCTACTAAATACATCGACCGATATATATACATTTCACCCAGTAACAAATCTCGCCTATCCTCCATCCACTTCCCAGTCCTACTTAAATCCTGATAATATCAAGTCAACGTTTCATACGTGATATATCCTCCGCCTCGTTCTCCCACGATAAACCCCGCTTAACCAGACCCCCCCAACGACACCCCCATTGGCCATGTGTCAGACACGGCCATCAGAGTCTCCACCCAGCTGGCAGCCAAATCCGAGGCGAAAAGCTTCTCTGTCGCCACTGCACGAATCCGAACCCATGTGAAGGTGCCCATTAATATAAGTATCTCCATCCTGTAATTTGGTCCACTATAGGGTTGTCTCCATGTTAATATATATCCCGTGTGGGATTGGGGTTCCGCAGTCTGGAGAATGGAGGTGAGGGGAATCTATCTCTTCCCCGTGGCTGGACCGGCTGGATCGCGCGTGGGGATTTGTGGAGGATGCGGATCCCCGCGTTGGATGTGTCGATCTGATTGCTCATTGAGTCACATTTTGGGTTGGAACTTGGAACTGGTTAGTCCGAGGGACATGTGAATCTTGGTTTTTCTGTCGTTTGGAATGGATGGTTGTTTGTTTGGAGATAACTCTATCTAGCACAAGGTAAACATATACAGATGGATCATCTACATGTAACATATGGTTAACATATAACATCGCTAACATATAAGATACACAATCACAAGATAAATACCAAGACTACGGGGTATAAGAGACAAGCATATGAAATAGATTGAATAGATTAATGTCTCATATTTCTTGTTTCCGCCACTGACGTGCTAACTCGGACTTGTTTCCGCATCCGTATACTAGTATCCATCCATATATCCATATATTCAAATCAGCCATCATACCTAATTCATATCAACTATCATGTATATCTGACACAATAAGTATACCCGAACACACTCATACCAAATAACCGAACCAAAAAGTAATAAACTAAATCATCAAAACAACCCCCATCAACCCCGCCGCCCCGGCAGCCCCAACAGCCCACACTCCCCCCGTAGCCTGCGCCGGCATAGCCCCTCCCTCACTCTCCTTCGCCTTAGCCTCCCCAGAAGACGGACTCGCATCGCCCGTCTTCTGCGCCTGCACATCACTCGTCTTCGTAAGCGCGCCCTCCTTAATCTGGCTCCTCACGACAGAAACGTAGCTCTTGACGTCCGACGGGAGAGACGCGTACCACGCTGGCGTCGAGCCGGCTTTGAAGTCCGAGACGAGGGAACTGCGCTGGGCGGGGACCATGAGCTGCACGAGGGCAGAGGCCGGGATGGCGTGGACGAGCTCTGGGATGAGGGTGCGGGGCGGGGGGAGATGTTTTCGAGGTTGGCGGCTTTGGTGGGGATGGGGATGTCTGTTAGGGAGGCTCTGTTGTATTTTTATCAGCATTGGATTGGATTGGATTTGAAGAAGGGTGAAGGGGGGAGGCATACAGAGTCGCTCGCAAAGCAGACCAGTTGATGCTCGCTTTGGAGGCCGAGACCGACGGGTCTTGCGCCGTGCTTGATGCAACCAGGGAGAGAAGGACGGGGAGGAGAGTGGAGGGCTTCATTTTGGTTGATTCAGTCGATCGGAATAGTTGGGAGAAGAGAGTGATATGGAATGAAAGAAAGAGGAGAGATTATATAGTCTTAGTGTGGAGTCGATCGATTCGCTCAGACACTAGGTCGGGCTAGATTATTAGGGTAATAATCAGCGTGTCTTGAGCTGCCATGAGTACTCCTACATCCTACATCGTTAGCTCTGTATGTAGACCTAATACTGTTAATGTATTGATAAGAATTACATCCTAGATACATTTCAAGCTGCCAAATCCAATACAAATCATGTCTAATCAATCACCCCCCCATCTCCAATCCGTCGCAACAACTCCGCCAATGCCTCATGGTCTTGCTGATACTGGCTCGATGCCAATGTTCTTTCCTCGTTAGCAGACCAGTGGATTCCCATCCTCCCAAACCTCCCAATACCAGTAGTACTGTATGGCATTTGCTCATCATGGTCGTTATACCACTCACAGAACGACGTATATCGACACTGATGCAACACATTCCGCACCGGCACAGTATCAGCACACCACCCGTCTGAACCGCGTTTCCGCCACCCCATGCAGAAGCGAAGCAGCTGTCCCAGCTGCTCTCCGAACAGCGCGAACACGTCCTTCCAGCGTGCGCTGTATCCGCCTTCCTTGCGGCTCGGATATCCGCTTTTCCTTCTCAACTTCATCCCCACCGCCTTGAAAGAAGCCTTCGCAATGCTACCCCCGCGGATGTCCACGAGAATCAAGATGCGGCAGTTCTCCAGTACCACCTCCTGGAGAGTATCGGCGTGGCTCACGATCCACTCCATTTGCGCCTCGGCCGCAAAGGTACACCCCCGCAGCGTGAGCGATTTCAACTGCGGAAAATGCATGTCTGACACATTAAAAATCGACCAGGCGGGCTGGCCCGCACTGAACATGAGGTCAAGTTGCTGCAGAGACGCCGCTGTGGGTCTCAGCCACTTCGACTGTATTTCCAAGGATATGCGTGAGGGTAATATTCTGTATAAGATCCCCAGACGGAAGGTATGCAGCCCTTCCAGCACACGGCGGATGCGAGTGAAGTGGTCGTCTTCAACGGGAGTCTCATAAATAAACCCGAGAGCTAGTTTGCGCGGGGTCGGGACCATCTCCACCACTGCCGCGAAGAAGTCGTCAATTATCTTCATACGGAGGTAATGATATCCCATGTCTAACTGATTGTGGTATGATTCGTCACAGTTCTCTGGGAAATGCAGCGTAGCACTGTCCACCCTTGGCAGCTTCCAGAACTGTGAGCTGACTGTGCCCCAGTTGGGTGCGTTGGGGTCATCCAAGTCCTAGACGACGTTAGTGGATCAGGGTATGGCAGAACGAATATGATGACTTACGTGGATAACGTAGTGACCCTCTTGATACGGTTTAAAGTGGATGTGACGGGGGAGTTGGGACAAGTGGGTGTCGCTGTTAGCGATGCTCGTGAACCTGTCAATGCTCTTGTCGTGTGGATACAGCAGTATCTTTTGAAATAGCTTCTCGGTGGCCGCCGTAGAGATAGGACGACAGGTAAAACGAAGTGATTTTAGGGAGGGACGATCAGCAAAGTCGAAGATGAGCAGGAGAATCTCCTCGGGGAGGGTGGCTAAGGGTGTCATCCTGATGGAGTAGATGTTGGATTGTAGAATGATTTGATGGGTTGATGGGTTGATGGGTTGATGGTTTGCCGATTTGATATTGTAGATAGATGAAATGGAAGAATGATTAGATGGTTGGATGATTGGAGGAAAGCTGAATTGGATGTGATGATGGTCTGGGGAGGAAGGGAAAGACAGAGTATTTATACTGATAGATATTGAAGTCAGTGACAGGAGTTCCTTCCTATCACTAAATACACCACAGTCAATGATACTTGATCTAATCACTTATGTGATCTATTTATAGTATGGTTCATGAGAGGACATCTACATAGGCCACTTGAAAGATTGTATACTCTATATTGAATGACACCAGTCCAATACACCACAAGATACTCAGAATCCCATCCTATACTAGCCAATTTAGAATCAAGACAAGACCGTATAGGCCGTACATCATAAGGACACCCAGTGCTCTACATCCAAGCATGGCCTCTACCGATGTCCGTATGTTGGCATCATCTAAAGTCAATGAAATATTGCGTCTGTCCACAGCTTACAATGACTGTAGATCATTCAGAGTATATCTATAGGGCTGACCATTTATTGAACTACCTCATATTTTTCCCTTATAACCATGGTATGTCGCGATATGGCAATATTGCTTGGACTCATTCTCTCCTGTCCTCGTGTCTAGCAGGTTAATAACAAGAGTTCAAATGCTTCCTGATGATAGGCTCGAAGAGGAGTTCAATAGGTATACTGAAGGAAGACTCTGACAAGACAATTTTATGACATATATCTACTACACTATTCTACACCCCCCGACAATCCAAATCTAGGTACTAAGCACATCATCAAACAGGCCTCAAACTATATCTAACACGACTTCGGAGTCCACGCCAAAGCGTGCTTAATCTTCGCATCATCCACCACCAACGGCCCAACCATCCCATCCAAGTTACCCAAGATAGCCCCCGACCCGGTAACATGCAGCATAACCTCGACGGAGCGATCCTCGCTCAACCTGCTCGTAGCATCAATCCCGACATGACCCGTCGCCGACGTCCCAGGCGTCCAGCTCTTCGCGACCTTCCACCGTCTCTCCAGCGGGAGATAAAACGTATCCTGCTCGCTCCAATCGACCACCCCAGACGCCCACAGCTTGCCCCTCACCTCAAGATAGTACCCAAACAGACGGACCTCGTAGACCTCCAGACCGACAGTCTCGCGGAAGGGACCCCACTCCAGCACCTGCTTCGACACCTCCTTCGCAACGGAGGTCGTAACAACAGGCTCAAAGCCACGCAAGTGCACCTTAAACTGCGACGCGTTCGCATCCCAGCAGCAGCTAGTCAGGTACTCCGCGCTAGGCACGTCCAAAACATGCTTTCCGTACTGGCACTGTCTGCTCCCGTTGTGGTGGCTATGCTCCGTCACAGCCGTACCCCACGTATCGTCCGTGCAGCAAGGCCGGCCGTCGAGAATGTACTCTGTGTCCGAAGGGCTGGTACCGCTATTGTCGAAGACGCTATACAAAAAGACGTGCTGTCCGCTATGGAAGCAGCATTTGCCCGAGACGCCGTTGGGGACGGACCCCGTGTGCGCGCCAAACATGCATTCGCGGCCGTGTTCGGCAGCGGGCTCGGTGTACTTGGGGCAGGTTTTGCCGTCGCGCACGACGGGGATCACTCTGGTTTTGTGGGTTGCGCCGGTTGAAGTGAGGTGTGCATAGGCGGCGCCTGTTGGGGCGTAGGGGACGGCTGTGGTTGCGTTGGTCTTTTTATGATTATTAGTTTTGGTGTGAGGTGGGTGGATGAAATATATAGTTAGAGGAGGGCGTACCTGGTGAGGGGGCGGAGACACGAGGTTTTCGCCAGGTTCCTCGTAGCAGACCATTCGCTCGACGGCGAGGGCAGGCCCGAGAGCCAGAAGCCAAGGAACGAAGTGCTTCATTTAGACGGTTTGTGCTGTGCTATTTGTCTATAGAAGACTGAGCTTGGAAGTGGTTGATGTTCTGGTATCTATCTCCCGGGATAAGACCACTTATATACCTGTCCACGAAGTGGCGGGATCAACACGAAGCAAGGCGCCCTTATATATGTATACCACTCGCATCCACACCGACCTGCATGCAGGAGTATAAGAACACGTCCCGTTCCAGCCATGCCCCACCGGTATATGTATGTATGCATGAGATGCGGCAGAGGTAGTATGCATATCGTGACCCGATTGGGAACTGGGCGTCCAGATCGGGAATGCAGATGTGCGTTGGGGTGGATCAGGACAATAATTGCTGGGTCACTTTTGCTGCTGCTCTGCTTGAGCCACTTTCATTGCTGGAGGGCTACCTACATATTGCGTCGTCGGTGAGGGTAAGGTGGCTAGTGGTTTGAAACGATTTTCGGGATCTGAACGGGTTTTGGGCTTGGTTGCTGGAGTTGAAGCCGGTGTTGTGTTTACCGTGGTTGATCGTTTCTCTTGTTGAGATACTGTCGTCTTACTGATAAGGGTTATAATATAATATGAGATAATACACAATATAAATAGAAATGAGAATGGTTGATCAGATCTGGACGGATATCTATAGTTCTTATGGGTTGTTACAGACTGGTCATACAACATCAGCCACAGATATACATCTATATATGATACAGAATATTTTCAATGCCCCTATTCTTTAAGGCATTGTACCTTGACCATAAACACAAGTATATGTTCCATAAATCTACCAACTTTATCAACAATGTGATATTACTAGATATACAACAACCCAACATCGATCCAACCGCGCCACTGCTCCACTGCTCCACCGCTCCACGTATGTCTCCAACCTCCTCAGATCTCGCGTCAACACACTCCTCCTAATCCAACCACATAAAACATTATCCAAGTCAAATATGCCCATCCGACGCCTCTCGCCGATTGAAGCGTCTTTCCAGATTGTACTAAACCGAGCTCGTGGGTAGATCAAGATATACCTACCCCGGAACTAGGACAAACCAAGGTGTGCTGTATTAGATGGGGCACGTTTGGAGAAACATCCTAAGTTAGATATTGGGAGATGCTTGGCATAGAACGTGTTGGATGCGGTTCCAGACTATTTTGTTGTCTTGTGTCGGCAATAGATCTGTTCCTATATTCTGAGCATATACTCATCTCTGCCGGTGGATTAGTACATTGAGCTTGTCATCTGTTATACAGGTATTAATTTTGAGACCTCATAATAACCAGTGATGCAAGACAAGAATTTTCCAAAGGGAGAGAGAGAAAGAGAAATAAAATACTTATCTAGTCATCAAAGCTCCAGTATTCCCGTGCAGACGCCTCAACGAACCACACGAAGATAATAACATCTTGCAATATAAGGTTATGAGACTACTCACAGAGCGCAAAGGGGTCACGATATGTTTTGTAGCCGAGTGGTAATCCTTTCCCACGTAATCTTTCTAAATCCTAAGTAATACAGTATCCAGCCTCGTCAGCTTATCCTGCCAACAGTATCATCAAATAGACGATCTATCAATTGAACCACATCAACTACCAGCTCTGAAACCAAGTGGAAATCTACCATCCTCTTTCCAAGTTCACTCCTTCCGGCACAGTCTCACAGACCTTCGCAACCACGGGCAGCTGCAGAGATAGTGTCAAATCCAATAATGGATTTTCGAGCAACTGCCCCAGAATGCCGAATCAATATTTGATACGTTTGGTCAAGCTTGATATGACTGATAACCCAACAAAGCTTCTCTCAAGCCTGGCTTTAATCTCTGATATAAGACTTGGGCGTGATATGGTCAATGTTGAAGCCCGACCAGGCGGGTTCAACGTGCACCCCCTCAGCGTGAGCGATCTCAGCTGCGGGAAGTGCAAGTCCGACACGTAGAAGATCGACCAGGCGAGTTGCTCCCCCAGAAGCGACAGGTCGAGCCGCCGCAGCGCTGCTGCCGTGGGTCGCAGCCACTTTGACGGTATTTCCATGGATACGCGTGAGGGCAAGCCTCTGCATAAGATGCCGAGACAGAAGATTTGTAGACCGCGTAGCACACGGTGGATTCCAGCGACGATGCCGTCGTTAATGGAACATCCTTGGTGAAAAACTCATCAGAGCATGTGGGGTGTATATAGTTTTTGAAACCAGTCAGCCTAATGGCTTTCCCCGTCGGAGGTCGTTAGTCACGTACGGCCTGGCTCTGTCCTTCTCTGGCGCCAGTATAGATCGAACAAGCGTAGACGGCCCCGCGTATCACTTCCATGCTGATACCGACTTCTTTGAGTACAGTAGCGACGTGAACTTGTTCGGCGGGCCACATGCACCATATGATAGATGTTTCCTGGTGGAGGATGACTTGGTCTCTATCATTAGGCGACATTACCTTCATAGCAGGTTATTCTCAGAGCAGAATGGCAAGCCGGGACGTCCATATTCCATCGTCCTCGTGCAGTGTATTGCGATACAATCTCTTGCCGGGTCATGTCGATGAAAGTGTGTATATGACAGCCACTGCACCAAAATATTGAATCGGTCTTTGATCGGGCTTGATATGACTGACATCTTACCAGTAAAGATACTCTATGGCACGATCATGGAGCTAGGTTGGGTGCGAGTGGGTGGAAGGGGGAAAGGGTCGATTTACACGTTGGCGTGGTTTGGCTGGAATTTATAGTGACCGCTAGATAGTTGAAAGAGAGATTCTGTGGGTCTTTCTTTGTTCTGCCCAGTAGGCTTTGACAGTCACTGCCAAAATGCTGGATTCATATTTGGTCAGCTTGGTATGGTTGATATCCCACCGTTCAATGTTTCGAGTTGGTTGAGTCGGCCATCATGCTGGTGTTGATAGCGACATAAATGGAATGGTCACTGGAATACTCGGGAGTAGAAACAGACAAGAATTTCTGATGGGCGTGTTATCACCAGAAGAAAGGTCGTCCACCATTCATGCCAGTCTCTTCTGGTGAATGGCTATCTATGGATTATAGTGGATGGTACGCTAAGTTTCTACGCTATTCACTTTAGACTTGTCTTTCCAGTAAAGCTGATCTGTAACCGTGTAGATTAGGCTTAGAATCAAGAGCTATCTAAGGCTTATTATCATTAACTCATGTCCATAAGCCTTCCCCGAGTTTCAGTTCAAGATCGAAATGGATTTTTTCCCGATGATATTGCCCCATACCAGCTCACTTAGTGCGATGACCTGGATAGGGCTGTCGTTTCTCTGCTTCCAGAATCATCTCTGTAATACGAGGATTGTCACCAGCACGAGCAAATTTAGCAGCAGTCATCCTCGACCGTGTCTTCGTGTGCACATTTGCCCCAGAATCCAATAAGACCTTCACTGCCTGTTCGTTCCCGACGAGCGTCGCCACTTGAAGAGCGGTCACTGCAGCGTATGTTACGCAAGGGTCCGCTCCATGTTGAAGGAGGAGCTGGAGCATTTCAACATATGAATCCTTTTCTCCCGGGTTCCAGTCCCACCTCGACAACTGATGCTGATACTCTTCGCGGCCGACTAGGTTACACGCCGAGGAGAAGTGACGCCCTCCAGCGGCTATTATCAATGGGGGCGCCACGGGGCTATTCTCTGCTATGGTCACTTCAGCGGTCATAGCTCCCGCCTTGAGGAGCGCGCGGACAGCTTCGACATGGCAGTAGTAAATAGCGATCTGGAGAGAGCCAACCCCCAATTCCGTGCGCGTCAGATCCGCGCCACGGAAGGCTAGTAAATCGATTATCTCGGCGTGGCCGTTGCCCGCTGCGAGAAGCACTGGCGTCCTCCCTTCGGAGTAGATTTGTTCTGCGCCGTGATCGAGAAGAAGCTGGACGACTTGAATGTGGCCGTTCTCGGCAGCGTAGTGTAGTGGGTACGTACGGACATCGCAGTCGTTGCTGCGGGCCCCGCTATCGAGGAGCATCTGGACAATATCTGCATGACCATGCTCAGCTGCGATCGTTAATGGAGTGCGGTAGAGCTCGTTCGCTCTTCTCTTTGACTTGCTACACGGCGAAGCGCCAGCAGACAGCAGGAACTCGGTTGCTTTCAGGTAGTTATGCTTTGCGGCGATGTGGAGCAGTGCATTTCCTTCATCATCCTGGGTCTCTAAGTCTTTGTCTTTCACGATCCAGGCCGGCAGGAATAGTCTGTTGTCGAGCAGTGAAGCTTTGGTGTGTAGGTCTATGTACTCGAAAATCGTCAGCAGAAGCTCGAGGGGGAGATTGAACATCGGGTGTCCGGGATGGACGGGCTGGGGATCCATCGCGTGATGTAGACCAATTGATGGTCTCTTCTCTCAGTCGTTGGTAAGAAGGTGTGTTTGCAGGACGAGGGGAAGACAAGTGATGGATCAAGCCTCGTCTTGGCCTTGTGAGCAGCCCCGCTCCTCCATTCCCGACACGATATCAAACTGTATGATACACCCCGTGCTTGATTTAGCATTTTTTCCTTATTCTTCTATTTTCTTCACTCTATTATTTTCTATGCTGGTCTTATGTAGATCACAAGTCCAATTTACCCGCATTCCAGAGCAGGGATGATGGCAAAATTTCGGCATCAATTTAGCCTCAATCGCGTCTCCATACAGGACGGAGTAGGACCCGATCCACACCAAATTAGACATACCAAGAGCTGAAATCACTTGGCCCGACCGGGTGTGATTCAATGCAGACAGCTAGTGATGCAAATTCCCCGTCGGAATATATCTCAGGATCGAACTCTCCTTCAATCTGGACTGCCCCTGGCCGGTTTCCGCCAACCACGATAGTGCCCGCTTTGCTTGGCCGTATTTGCTACTGATGTCTGACGATCAATCCGTAACGTAGCTGTTCGGTTCGGTCGGGCCTGTCCCCATGACTTTCTCTGTGCTTGGGGGCGACCGGGTGCCCTCGGCCAGGGTTTGCATATAACCGGTCGTTCGTTATTAAAGGGTGAGGGCCATTGTTATTAAAAGGCGAGGATCCCACATGGTGATTCCTTGAAGATTCCCCGTCTGCCCCAAATTTCTAGAGCTAACCATGCATTTCTCCCTCCAGACGGCAGCCTCCGTGCTAGCCACAGCAGGGCTATCCCAAGCGGTTTCCACCTGGGACGCCGCCTACGGCAAAGCAGAGAAATCTCTCGCGAGCCTCTCACAAGATGAGAAAGTCGGCATGGTCTCGGGAGTGACCTGGATGTCTGGACCCTGCGTCGGCAACACCTACGCCCCGGAGTCCATCCCCTACCCGTCTCTGTGTCTGCAGGACGGGCCGTTGGGCATCCGCTTCGCAAATCCCGTCACTGCCTTTCCGGCTGGTATCAATGCCGGCTCTACCTGGGACAGGGAGCTGATACGTGCTCGCGGAGCAGCCATGGGGGCTGAAGCTAAGGGATTGGGTGTCCATGTGCAGCTGGGCCCGGCGACTGGTCCGCTGGGGAAGTTCGCTACGGGAGGGCGCAATTGGGAGGGCTTCGCGTCGGACCCTTATCTCAGTGGGATTGGCATGAGCGAGACCATTATAGGAATGCAGGAGTCGGGAGTGCAGGCATGTGCGAAGGTTAGTGCACCAGCTAGCTATGATAAATGCTAGACGAGAAACTGACACCAGCATAGCATTACATCCTCAACGAGCAAGAACACGCCAGAACAACAATGAGCAGCAACCCCGACGACCGCACCCTGCACGAGATCTATCTCTGGCCGTTCTACGATTCCGTCAAAGCCAACGTCGCCTCCGTGATGTGCTCGTACAACAAAATCAACGGCACCTGGGCCTGCGAGAACGACGAAGTCCTCAACAAGCTGCTGAAAGAGGAGCTCGGGTTCCCCGGGTATGTCATGACTGACTGGAACGCGCAGCACAGCACCGTCGAAAGCGCCAACTCCGGTCTGGACATGACCATGCCGGGCAGTGATTTGAACGAACCTCCCGGATCGGTCTACTGGGGTGAGAACCTGGCTGCTGCGATCGCCAATGGATCCGTCCCTCAGGCTCGTCTCGACGACATGGTCACCCGCATTCTGGCCTCGTGGTACTTCGTTGAGCAAGATGGGGAGTATCCGCCTGTGGCGTTTAGTTCGTGGGATGATGGCAAAGCCAACGTCGACGTCACGGCTGATCATGCCGATGTGGCGCGTGCTGTCGCGAGAGACTCTATCGTACTTCTAAAGAACGAGGATGGCGCCCTGCCGTTGAAGAGCCCCAAGTCGCTGGCGATTATCGGGTCCGATGCGATTGTTAACCCTGACGGTCCCAATGCTTGCACCGACCGTGGGTGCAATGTGGGCACTCTGGCGTCGGGATGGGGAAGTGGAACTGCCCAGTTTCCGGTATGTGGCCCTACCCATTCATAAGTTGATCGCGTCTAACACATAGATAGTACCTGATTGCCCCTCTGGACGGCATCAAGAACAGAAAGTCAAGCAACGCTACCGAGATCATCACCAGCACCACCGACGAAGCCACGGCCGGCGCAGAAGCAGCCGCGGCAGCCGAGACCGCCATCGTGTTCATAACCTCGGACTCAGGCGAGGAGTGTGTAACCCTCTCCCCTGTCTAAACTTACACAACTAACAAGATCAGATACATCACCGTTGAAGACAACGAAGGCGACAAGAACGACCTGGACCCGTGGCACAACGGCAACGACCTCGTCAAAGCCGTCGCAGCCGCCAACAAGAAGACCATCGTCGTCGTGCACAGTACTGGCCCCATCATTCTGGAGACCATCCTCGCTCAGCCTAACGTCGTCGCCGTCGTGTGGGCCGGTCTTCCGGGTCAGGAGAGCGGCAATGCCCTTGCTGACGTGCTCTACGGCGATGTTGCCCCTAGCGGGAAACTTCCGTACACGATTGCCAAAAAGGAATCAGACTATGGCACGGAGTGGATTGCTGGGGGAGGAGACGATGAATACCCCGAGGGTATCTTTATCGATTATCGCCATTTTGACCAGGACGATATTGAACCGAGATATGAGTTTGGATTTGGATTGTGTATGTCCCCCTCTCCTATATATAAGACTAATAAAAGAGAGAAATCTAACACAGTCAGCCTACACAACCTTCGAATACGCCACCCTCGACATCGCCATCGACGCAACCCCCGGCCCCTCCACCGGAAAAGTCGAAGTAGGCGGCGCAGCCGACCTCTACGACCCCGTCGGAACCATCACCGCAGCGATCACAAACGCCGGCGACGTCGACGGCGCCGAAGTCGCCCAGCTGTACCTCGGTTTTCCGGAGTCTGCGCCGGAAACTCCCCCGCGACAGCTTCGGGGCTTCCAGAAGCTGCTTGTGCCCGCAGGGAAGAGCGACAGCGCGAGCTTTGAGCTCACCCGTCGCGACATCAGTTATTGGGATGTTAAGAGCCAGAAGTGGGTTGTTCCCGAGGGGGAGTTCAAGGTGTTTGTGGGGTCGTCGAGTCGGGATGTGAGGCTTGATGGGACGTTTACGGTTGGTTGATTGCTGGGTTGGTGACCTAGTGGGGATGCTTGTGTTGTTTTGGGTGGTGGTGAATAGGTCTTTGTCTGTATGTGAGACATTATGTGTATTCCAGCATCTGAATATAGTAAAAGTATATTATCATGTGGTCTTTGGTGTTTTAAACCTCTATGTCCTACTCCTGGTCTATCTCGATTCTCAATTAAGACTGTTAGATGGAGTAAGCAACAATGCGATATTATACAACTAGCTATATATCTACACACGATATCACATATACACACAACATAAATACCCCTAACTCAATAATTTCCAGAATCCTATACAAGGCGTCGTGGTAGCCAACAACTAGGGCTCGAGATCCCGTAATCCCCAACATGTGGCTTACCATCATAAACCAAAATAGTCGCCCCAGCCATTAATAAGCCCTTATGGGACAGTGGTAGTCCGCATCACTCGTACAAGTTTCTTGTGTGTGACATGATGAAGTCCACGGTTCGATCCCGTGTGGGGGCAATCCCTTTTTTTATTTACTCTGGTTTTTTTCTTACTTGCAATGAATTCTCTATCTGATTGATTGTTATTTTTAGATAGTGGTTATGGTTTAGTGTTTATTTTCTGGTTGATCTTGCTTGAGATGTTGAATGGTCCATATATATACGTGTTAACTAAGCTAACGTAGATATGTATAGCCCGCGTAGGATCCTACATTGCCCTTGTGGAAATAGGGGAGGAAACATGTCAGGAAGAATGATTTCCATAATATCCAGACTACGGAAAGCTTGCAGAGTAGTCGCAGATTATAAAATATGAAACAATCAAGTGTGTGATAGAGAACTAACTGCTCTTCTTTCAAAACAAAGATGATATTGATAGTTTTTTATATATACAAGATGTAGGCCCTCGCTGTGCTCGGTGACTTGTGATTGAAAGTGCTTATCAGTCAGTCTAAAAACTAAATAACTAACTATTCATTGTATAAACTCCTGTAAAGTAGTAAGATATAGTCCTGCAAAGCCCCTGTGTAGGATTTTTCAAGTACCCATGTAGGGCCCCTAAAAAGCAGCCGCAGCATTCCTAAAAGCACCCGTGTAGGACTCCTAAAAGCCCTGCAAAGCACCCGTAAAGCTCCCATGTAGGACCCCAAAAGCAGCCGTAGGGATTCCCAAACGCACCCACCTAGAACTCCTAGAACGCCCGCATAGAACTCCCAAAGTCTCCGTAAAGCAGCCATGTAAGACTTCCAAAAGTATTTATATAAGGCCGTTCGAAACACCCACATAGAACTCTCAAAGACTCTACAAACAAACACGTAGAATCTCCGAAAGCACTAGCACTCTCATATGTAAGGCCCTCTAAAGCACCCGCGTAGAATCCCTCGAAGCACTTATATTGGACTTCTAAAGCCCCTGCAAAGAGCCCTTAAAGTCCCCGTGTAGAGACTCCGAAAGTACTAGTACTAGTATAGAATTTGAAAGTCTTCGAAAGCAGTCACTATTACTAGAGACTCCTAGGAGATAGATTATTGAGTAAAGTGGATATGAAATTAATGTAAATGAGAAATTTATACAGTAAATCTCTGCCGATTTTAATATACATACTATTGAATATGATATGCTGACTAGAACAGAGATAGTTAAAGAAGAGTAAGACAGTATAACTCAGCGGTTAGCAGCAGAAGAGAGAAAGTACCTGAATAAGAAAAATATGTGACAATCCGGGGTTTAGAGATATGTTGTGTCATGGTATTAGAGAGATATATATATTTCATATATATTGAGTAAATTAGCATCGTGATTTAAACCCCAGGACCCAGGACTCAGGAGGACGGATATAGATATATATATATACACTACATACATATACTCATGCAGTATTAGCATGGTATACTTTTGTTGCTGTGGATATTACGATATTCAACTAGTAGGATGAGCCATTTTCTTTTTTATGTATGTATGACTTTTGATTTTGCTTTATTAGGTTGCGTGTGTTTGAACAGATGATAGATGTATAAATGATAGATGGATAGATGCAAATGAATACAAACAAACATCCAAGCGTCTTGTTGAAAAGTCAGACCGTTGAGCTTGACATGCTTGATATTTGTGATGGGTATAGGTATACATAGAATAGGCAAGATGGATTGATTCATGTCGATCAGAGTATATATAGTCGATCGTGCATGGTTTATGGATAGGTTATGTATGCATTGTCATGGCCATCTATGTCTGTCCATGCATGCCCGTGGAACATACAAGTACATACTCTACTGGGAAATACAATATGGCAGCTACTAGGCCACCCATTACAAGTCGATACTGCAGAATAAATCAAAAGCAGAGACAACCCACAACATGAATGCATCTCCTACGTGTAGAACATCTACATCGTGACAGGGGAATGCAAGGTTAAGGAAGGGAATGAAGTATGAGAATGCATTCATGCGTTGTAGGTAGGTAGGTGTTGGGTATCTGCAAATAAAAAAAAGATAAAGAAAAAGGGGAGTGTAGGTATGGCCACCACAAAAATGGAATTGGGATTCGAAAGCTAAGATGAGTCCGCCTTCAACTCCAATGGATATTACTCCATGCAGTGTTGATAATCCCGAATTGTTCCGCTTTTTTGTCCCCCAGCGTTGGTCATGAGGTCGTACGATTAGATCATAATTAAATTTAGATCTTGATGGCACCCTCGATGGCCTTGCGCTTCTTCTCCTGGCGGGCGACGGCCTTGGAGCCCATGATACCACCACCCCAGTGGCGGCGGGAGTCCTCGTACTTGTCGGTGTAGCCCTCCTTGATGGCGGAGAGGAGCTTGGCGAACTCGGCCTTGTCCTCGGCGCGGGTCTCGGTCAGAGCCAGGACGGCGGAGGTCTATCATTTATTAGTTTACATGCCTAAAAAGACTAGGAGATAGTGATAGACATACCTTCTTGTGGACGACCGTACCCAGACGGGCCTTGCCCTTGACAATGGCATAGGGGACACCCATCTTGCGGCAGAGAGCGGGCAGGAAGACAACCAGCTCAATGGGGTCAACGTCGTGGGCGATGAGAACCAGAGAGGCCTTCTTGTTCTCAACGAGACCGACGACGTGGTTCAGACCGTACTTGACGTGGTAGGGCTTCTTGGAGACATCCTCCTTCTTCTTGCCCTCGGCGACGGCGGTGGCCTCGGCGAGCAGACGCTCCTTCTTCTCGGCCTTGGTCTCAGGGCGGTACTTGTTGAGGAGCTTGAAGGTCTGCGCGGCGGTGTTGCGGTCCAGAGTGCTCTGGAACTGCGCGATGGAAGGAGGAACCTTCAGGCGCATGTTCAGGATCTTCTTCTGGCGCTGCAGACGGACATACTCGGGCCACTTGACGAAACGGCCGAGGTTGCGCTTGGGCTGGATGTCCTGGCCGATGCCGAAGTTGCGGGAGCGGCGCTCGATAAGAGGGTTCTACCATGGGCTATTAGCATCTTCTTTTCTCCAACCCAACCAAGACAAAAGAAGATAGGAGGCTTACCTTGGGGCCCTTCTTGCTGGCACCAGCCTTACCCTGGGGGTAAGGCATGGGAGCAGTCTTCTTACCGGTCTTGGGGGGCTATCATTGAGAAAAAGAAGATCAGCAAATCGGTTCCACCATGTGCTGCATCTTCCTTGAACTCTAAAGAGTGCAGCAGGAGATCTGGTCTGCCGACCAGGTCTCCTGTGCCTCCAGCCAAATCATCGCAGGCGCTCGCATCCGTTTTACAGGAATTGTGCGACCCACGGAATATGCTTCGACGACTTGCGAAAATGGAGCTCGAGGGATGTCCGTCTCACGCCATCTTCGCAGAGGTCACCGAAGACTTTAAACCCTCTTCGCTCTCATCGAGATGAGGAGATTCGGACTGGAATTGAAAAGAGATCAAACTAGATCATGGTTGTCATGAGCTTACCATTGTGTCGTCTGGAGGCGTCCGCGGTTTGTGGTGGTTGACGGGATTGACGAAGGAGAAGAGAAGAAGATCAAAGGGGAATTTAGACGGAGAGAAAAAAGAAGTCGGGCGGGTCGCTTCGTGTGCGCTAGCGGAGAAACCATTCCGCCGAACCGGATCGATCGGATCACGTGGATAGGGCTAGGGCAGGTATCGGCCTTGGCACTTGGCTTGGCATACGGAGTATCCGTACGGAGTCGTTACACTGGTATATTGCACTTCTATTGGCATGTATCAAAGACAGTCACATCTGCTAGTCAGATATCTAGCTAATGCGGATCAAAATACAAAATGCGGAGATAGAGCAGGGAATAGAAAATATGTTAAATAAACAGGTCGATAGATACTTATTTTGCATGCCAGAACGCCGGCCCATCATAATACCACACGTCAAAGGTGCCACCTCGCTATGCATGTCCTTGCGTTGAAAACAGAAAAGGAAAAATGAAAAGTTGGTATGTAGGGGTATCGTGCATGTTTCATGACCGTGGAAAGAAATCGACAAGAGGTATAAAGTGAAAGGTTGAAGGTGAGGGAAAAAAGGAGAAGACATTTGCTGGGGGTTTCCGAAAAGACAGTCCTATCGGTGAGCGAATGATATGGCGGTCGAGGGCGATGGATCAGGCGTCAGAGAGGTCATCGTCCTCGTCTACATCGCTCACTTCCTGTCCCCATCGGTTGACAATGATTCGTCGTCCGAGCTGATCGTCCGGGACCCCGTCGCGGGACGCGCCAAAGTCGAGCACCTGAGAAAGTTAGCGATCTGATGGTTCATCTGCTGAAATCAACCAAGTTACTCACCTCGATGTACGTCAGACTGTCGCGCTGCACGGCCGCAACGCAGCGCCGATCGTTGAATCGGACCTGCCACACGCCGCTGAGGTCGGTCAGGAGATCACGGACGCAGTCCCCGGTGCGCACGTCCCACATCTTAAGCGTCCGGTCCGACCCCGAGACCACCTTCTGCCCATCGTGCTGGAAGCAGGTGATGGCCCCGGTATGGGCACTCAACATGTTCCGGCACTGGCCGTTCTCCGGATCCCAGATCCGCAGGGTGGAGTCCGCGGCCGCCGAGACGAGTCGGTCGCACTTGAGATCGAGGAGGCCGACGAGCGACGCGTGGCCTTCCAAATTGTACAGCAGGGTCCCGCTGTCCAACGACCACACCTTGACCATGTTGTCCATGGACCCACTGATGCAGCGGTTCCGCTTGTGGTCCAGAACCACGCTGTAGACCTTCAGGCTGTGACCCTCGAGGCGGTGCAGCGTTTCACCGGTGGAGATCTTCCAGACCCGCACGGTGCAGTCGTAGCTGCCGCTCACCAGCGTATCGCCGTGGGCCGCGATGGCGCGGACGGAGTGATGGTGCCCCGTGAGGACGCGGACAAAGTACGGGCAGTCGGTGTCGTCCACGTGCGGTCCGCTCTGGTAGTAGCCGGGATCCCCGGGCCGGGGCAGTTTCCACACCCGGAGATTCGAATCCCGCGAGCCCGTAATGATCAACGGTTCCCGCGGCATCATGTCCGGCGCGCCGTTGGCCTTGCGGCCCACCTCCACGGGCAGAACGATCTGCAGACACCGGACGGTGGAGGTGTGACCCTGGAAGATCTGCGTGCATCGGGCCTGCTCGATATCCCACACCCGCACCGACCGGTCGGTGGATCCGGAGACCAAGGTGTTGCCGTGGTATTCCAGGGCCCACACCCCACCTTCGTGGCCCTCCAAGGTCGCCCGCAGGGCCCCCGTCTTCGTGTCGTACACGTTGATGTTCGTATCGTCGCTCCCCGTCAGCACCTTGTCCGTGTCGAACTGCAGGCAAGTGACCACGTGACGGTCGTGCGCCTGGAACGCGATGTGTTTTGGTTTGGCGCTGGGGGCCATCCAGGCTTTGTGGATCGAGTGATGCCGTTGGTAGAGCGACTTGTAGAGGTGAAGGCCGCGGAGGGACGGTAACCCGATGTCCGGGTACGGGACGGCGGCGGCGGCGGCATTGGCGGCGGCGTAGGGGCCCTCGGAGACGGAGACGTGATGCCGCCAATCGGGCGAGTCGGAATGGTCGGTGCCGCTGGAGGAGATCTTCCGCTTCGCGAGCTTGCGGCTGACCACCCGGGTGCACGCTTTGCGCTTGGGTCGACGATGCAGGGACGATGCGCGGTCCCCGGAACCCGCCAGGGATGAGAAGCCCGGCAGCGGGGTCGGTTCGGACTCGGGTCGGATGGACGCCGACCCGCTCAGGTCCTTCTCCCAATCCTCGTCGCCGTTGGGGAACTGCCAGCCCCAGCCCTCGCGGATGGCGCGCTCCAGCTCTCCCTCCGGCAGGAGATGCCCGTCCCGATCGAAGAGCTCCTTCCACGTCTTTTCGTCCGAGTTGACGATATGGCGCCACTTCTTGGAGACCTGCGAGGCCCGGCACATGGTCTGCACGTCGAAGTACTTGACAATGTTGAGGCTCAGCTCCAGCGGGAGGAGAGCCAGGAAATCGCACTTCAAGGCGGGGTTGACCACGTCGGCGACAAAGTGCAACGTGGGCTTGGGGCACCGTCTCAGGAGCTGGTACATGAGGTACGTCTTCATCCCGTCGGGAACCGTATCGAAGAAGTCCAGCACGCCGGGGATGTCCATCAACGAGGCGGGTTTGGGACCACGGGGACCGGCCGCCAGACCGCCCGATTTCCGGACAGGAGACGCGTCGGGGCGCACCGAACTCGACACGCGACGGTCGTTGTCGAGGCTCGAGTCCGTGTCCAGCTCGGGATCCTCGGCCGATTCGAACGACGAATCCGCGTGCAGGGCATTCATGGCCGCCACCGGCGACAAGCTGGGGCTCGGCAGGCACATGTCCTGGGCGGCCACGTGACTAACGCCGGACACCGGCGGGGCGTGCTCCTGTGAGGCATATCCGGTATCTTGAGTTGCCGTCATGTCCGGGAGATCATCGGTCTTGCTCTCGGTTGCGTCCTCTTGGACGGTTGACTGGCTGCCGTCGGTCTCCTGACGATCCAGGTGGCCCATCCCGTCGGGCACCGTCGCCCTCATCCCATCCGCGAGGGTAGGGGCGGGTCCCTGGGATTCCACCTCGGAGGATAGAGGCGAACGGAGGAGCGTCTCGCGGCGGGGAGTGTTAACGCTGTGAATGCGACGCCGGGGGACCGCGACCTCGCCGGTCATGTACGCACTGCTTTCGGTCTCCGGGGTGGCCAGGCCGGGAGCGACGGAATGGGTTGGGTTCGGGCCGAGGGAGCGAATCGAGCGTAGAGAAGGTTCCGAGGGCACACGGAACCGCGATGCACCTTGCTGGGATTCTGGAAGTCGAGACGAACGACGTTTCGAGATCGAGGGGAGTGCTGCTGGCCAGTTCGACGGCTTGGGCGCGGCGGAGCGTCGGGGTAACTGGGTCCCGTCCGAGGTAAACGACGCTACCGATCGGACGAGACCGTTGGAGGCCCTCAAGGCTTCATTCTTTTCGCGTAACTAGAATTGTCGTCAGCAGATGATTTCGACACATCGAGTAAAGTACAAGAAAAGGGGGATAGGGGCGACGAGAGGCAAGCGGGAGAGCTCCCCTGAGGGCGATCTCGCACGTACCTCAGTGACCGCGTCCGCAGTGTCTTCGGGCTCGTTGTAGACCACCGACTGTCCTCCCAGGTCGAACTTGACATTTCTCAGGGTTGATGGGGTGGGCGAGGAGGCCAGGGGGTATAATTTGGGGTCCAGATCCCGGGTGGCGCGAGGGGGGTTGATAAACAACGGAGGAAAGGTGGTTGTCGTGGTGGTGGTCGTGGTGACGACGGTGGTCCGGGTCGCGGGGGCGAAGGAGAACTGTCCTATAGCACTGTCGGATTGTTCGTGGCCAAAGCCGCTCGTTTGTTCGTGATCACCCATCGTGGGTTGGGTGAGTGTCCGGTGTTGTGGGGGGTCGGTATGCCACGAGAGGGAGGTGGATGATCAAAGACGCGTTTGGAGTGAGATAAGGAGTCCGGGTCTTATCCGAACTGGACCAACGAAGGACTTGGAAGGGTCATCCAACCGAGTGTGCTAGAGGATTTCCAATCCGAGAAGCAACCGGAGGTGGTGAGGGAGTGTTCGGCACGATGTACGGCGGCAAGGACCATCTGACTGCCCAACACGTAAGGGGAGGGAGACGAGAGGGAGACGGGGAGGAACGAGAGGTGGAGGCTCGTTAGAGCATGGCCGGGACGGTGGGGACGGTTGAGAGTTGTATAGATGATATAAATGGAACCGAGTTAAAAAAGAAGGGGGGGAGAAGTGGAAGGGGAAAAAAAAGAGAAGAGACAAAGAAGGAATAATCAGTAAAAGAGGAGGGGAAGAGAGAGAGAGAGAGAAGTGGTGGAAGAGTGAAGAGTGTGGCGGGTTTGCTGACAAGGAAGAAGAAGAGCGGGAGAAGAGAGAGAGAGAGAGAGAAGGGAAGGAGCTGAAGGTGGTTGGTTCATCCACCGACCGCGTTAGCTTGGATATCCTATATCAAAGCAACTATCATGGAAAATATCGACTCCACTGGTATGGATTTAATTTATTCTTTCTTCTTCTTCTTCTTCTTTCCTTTTTCTTTATCTTATTTGACCTTTTCTTTTGATATATATTTCACTGATTTCTCCTTGTTTACCCCGGCAGTCCCGATGGAGCGTAAACAAGGAACATCCCGACCAGTGGCAATGTGCGATCGTATTTTTCCTTCTCTCCCACCCTAGGCATTCCCCTCCAGGCTAGATGTGTTTGGTACGGATCAGATCAATCGACAAAGGATATTGCGACGTTGATCAACTCCAAACCCCCCAGAGAGAAATGACCCAGGATCATCTGAAACCATTCCTTGACAGAATCTGCACCTTGTCCACTTGCATCATCCCTTCTTCCAGTGCCCTCGGTCCAATCCTGTCAATACTGGAATGCATCTCGATGGACCATGTTGCTTCGAGATTCCCACACGGTATCAAGGATCGAATTACCATCGCCACTCGCCCTTGCACGTGATATGTGGGGCCAGACGGACCTCTTGTTTCTTTTTTCCTGACTAGTTTTCTCCCCTGTGATCTTCTCAGCCCTGGATCAGCCTGGGTCAGGCCGATATATAATCCGTCGATGCTCACTTCGGTAGTCTTTTCAGGTGTGGTTTGCTTCTCGGACCGTAGTATCGGACCAGTACGAAATGAAATTGTTAGTATGGAATCGTGACGAGGGGAAGCCATCCAGTAAGGGAATTGCGGGGAAGCGGTGACGGTGACGGAGGGTGGGATATTTGTAATGGATTCCATGCCGATGGTAGTAGGTAGTATGGTCATCATGACGGGGTTGTCGACCTACCAACCACTTGAGAACATTCCATGTGCTAGGTTGGTCCTCCCCCAACACATGCCCAGCATGTGTCTTTACTACCCAGTGTCAACTTGTCGGCTCAATCCCAGGTGGATTTAAAGTGTACAAGGCGATCCCCAGTGGAGCGTACCGTGTCACGTGGGTCGTTTTAATCACCCGGCAAGATTGACGATCACGCCGATAGACCTGATGCTGTTGACACATTTTATCTCTCTTCTTTCTCTTGTTCTCTTGTATTGTCCTATTTTATTACTCCTCTCGAGATATCGGCACGTTGTGAGAATCAGATGTAGACTCTGGGTGACGAGTCGTGAGCTTCTATATCTCGATCTAGTAGCTCCCAATATATATAACCTGCGAATGATCGTCAAGACATCTTGTAGATGCAAGGACGATATACCCATCAGCTAGCATGTCTCATCTTCTGTTGATAGACTGTATCAGTGTCACCGGGCTTGAACGTATACTCGACCAGTTTGGTGTAATGGATTGATTTATAAGAAATTAGATAAGTCATCATGGAATTGATTGGATTCTTGTACATTCCATCTACCTAAACGTGACATAACAGACGTCGAGAGGAAACCATTTTGGCCTGAAATTAGACAGATTAAAAGAGAACCAGAGAAGATGAGAGTGTGATCTATAATGGCTTGAAGGTGGAACAGCTGCCGACTCCGAACCGACTCCATATGCAAGAATCGGACCTCTCCTCTCCCGTGACTGACCCGTCTCCGTCCAGGCTTTTCTTTCCTCCTTCATGATCCCGGTCCCTGCTCGCTCACCCATAGCTGTGGATTCCTCTTAGCCTTCTATACTGTTTCTTTCATCCTTCTATCCCTTTCCTTTGCGATTGTCTCTCCCTGTGCTGTCCTCACCTCGAGTTTCCCACCCCCCCAACATGGTTCGCACCAGGCCGACTGGCCCCGCTTCGGCGGTCCAGTTGCAGCCCGTCAAACTGATCCAGCCCATCGTTGCAGAAAGTAAGATAGCACCGCGGTCCAAGGCCCAAACCCAGGTCGCTGCACCGCCGACGTTGACGACGACCCATGAATCCCTGGCTCTCCAACAGCAGCAAAGCCTGGAGATGGTCCAGATCATGCTGCACGTATCGGTAAGTGTCACTTGGTCACTTAACCCTGGAAGACTCTACGAAGTAAATGTTATCTCTAATGAAATCCGTAGCTCGGAACATTGTTCTATCTGCGGTTCGTTGGATGTTGGACCTGTCGGGATTGATGGTCATGGCGATCTGACACCTGTCACAGCGAGCTCTTACCGCTTCCATGTTTCGATGACCGAGATCTGAAGAAAGCCCAGAAGACGAATGAACTTTCATACAGCGAGTTCATTCACGAACCCCCCACCCAGGACAGCCCGGAAGGTCGTCCCGAAGTCCCGTTCGGCGCGGGGAGGCGGGGCCAGCCGTTGAAGATCATCGTCCGAGGGGCCGATCCCAACGCGGAAATGATCCTAAACCTCTTGGTAGGTCCGTGGACGGGAATCCCGTAACGGTACGCTGACCGATCTAGGAAAATGGCATCTTTGACGCGCTGCGTAAGAACGTGCTGGAAGCCGTCCAATTGACCATCCTGGTCGACAAGGACACCCCCGAAAATGTACTAGAGTCCTACACCTTCTCTTTCAAGTACACCGGTGCTGCCGGCGACATGAACAGCCGTCTAGAAAGGTTGTCGATTGACCCGGTGGGCTGTGTCGCCGACATGAAGACCGCACAGACGGCCCGCATCGGCCTGGAAACCATCATCAGGCGCCTGATCACGCTAAGTGCCTTTCTTCCCACGCTGCCAAGTACTGCTCCAAACTATCTCCAAACCACCTACGATTCTAACGTCGACGCAGACAAGCGCCACCTGGGAGTACACTTGTTCTATACCGAGGATTGCCCGAGTGACTACGAGCCCCCTGGCTTTGTTGGAGGGCGCAATGAGACTATTAAGTATCCATTCAGTGAGAATTGGCATAAGGAATCTCAGCCATGCGGCACAATGGACAGCGGATGGCACACGTAAGTGATTACCGAACCCTGCGACGGCTTGTCTAATCTATGCAGTGTGGGTCTGAAGGTAACCTCCCTGAAATGGACGGGCCCGGACCCGGGCGCATTCGAAGCACCGCCTCAGGTACCTATGGACATGGAGTACAGTGATACCGCGCAGCGATCCGATGATATTGGATTCCCCGAGGATGTATCCCGTGGGAAAGAGAGCCCGACCAACGCCTCCGCCAAGGATAACTCGCAGTCAAGTGCAGACCAGCAGATGGAACTGGAGTCACCCCACGAAGAACAGAGTTCCCAGGAAGCAGCACAAGCCGGTCAGAAAATTGTGGAAAGCATGTCACCAACACGACCCGAGATACCCCCGGAGTCATTCGACTCGGAGGAGGCAACTCAGGATAAGGCGGAAAGGATTAAACTGCAGATGATGTTGCCGGCAAGTGTCAACTACCCATATAGATTGTCGTTCTGTTATTCTAACTAGCCTAGACCCAAGAGGCTCCTGGTCCCGATAGTGCCCTTATCCCTACACAGCCAATTCAGTCCGATATCCTGTCTGAAAAGGACACCCCTGCGCCGGTCGAACAAAACAAGAGTAGGTTGAAGCAAATCAAAGTCGACAAGATCAGAGAGCATGCCCGCGGGCAGATACGTGACCGCCAGGGCAATCAGGAACAAGATCAAGCCTCCGTCAAGTGTCAATGTGGCTGGGAGGGCGAAGAGAAAGCAATGGTAACACCCTAAACCGTGTCACAAAGATAGGGACTGACCTGCTCAGGTACGATGTTCTTTCTGCCATACCCAACAGCATGCGCTGTGTTATGGCTTCGAAGGTCCAACCGATCCACGCATACCTGATGTGCACGCATGCTACCAATGCCTGCTGGAGCCGAACGAGCCGCAGTTGCTTCGAGAAATGAATAACCAGGTGTTATTACGAAGGGCGCTTAGAATTATAATTGACGAAGGATTTCCCAGCACGACATCGGCCTTTACTCAGAAGCTCCGTAAGTGACTCAAACCGATGACCCGATGGGTGCTGACAACGGACAGACTGCAACGGCCAAACCGTCGTCCAAATCACCGATCTCCTGAAGAAACAGAAGTTGCTGCTGCCAACCCAGGGGTACAAAATGAAGGGGTTTGTACGAAAAGGGCTGCCGAAATTCTATATACCAAGCTCAGACGATGTCCGCGAGCGGATACACAAGGAAATCATGGACCCGATGGTCAAGATTGGGCAGCATGTGAGATTACTTTCATGTGCATGTGGCAACCTCGATACTGACAGGCATAGTATAACCAGAACGCGCCAGACAAACCCGTCGAGGCACCAGATCGAGCCAATACCCCGAAGAACCCCTCCATCGACAACTTCATCCCGCGCGAGAACGAACAACCCGTTGGCGAAGAGGGAGCTCAAAAACCGCAAGTTTACACCAATGGATCCGAACCACCAACCCCAGAGCCACAAACCCGCAAAAGAAGAATAACCCCAGATATACCCGACGACACATCCGGCACGGACGACCTCGAAAAGACCGACATCACGCCCCAAGCAACTCAACCAAACCACAGCCTTCCCAACGGGCCTGAGCCTGGAAAGAAACCCGCCCGTCGCTCAGGCATGTCCGCCGACGACCGCCTCATCACATCGCAGAATATTCCAGAGAGTTCCGAAGAAACAGGCGGCGATAGTCCCCGACGCAGCCACCGCAAACGACGCAAGGTCAGCAACTTTTCGAAGTTGATTGATGTCGGGGCGGACACGAGCGACAATGATAGTGGGTTTCAGCCGGGGAGGACTGCACAGTGAGAAGAACGATCCAGATTGATTGATCTATCCAGACGGCGGGCTTCGTGGTTATCTGCTGGAACAGACAGCCGGGTCACTTGATTTATATTCTTTTATAATCATCGGATGCGTCTCTCAAGCATGGCGTCAAGGAAAATCCCCTTTCCCAAGAAAGCAATATCACTACCAGTCTGACGAGAAAAAGTAATTCCCAGCCTAAACCAAGCTTTCTCCTAGAAAACAAACCACATCTTTACAAAACCCAATATCTTATAATCCCCAAACCAATCAACTAGTTACCTAGTCTTACCTAGCCATTAGCTTACCCCCCTGCAAAGCAATGAGTTCGACACAATCATAGAGGGCGAATTCAATTGACAAAGTCCTCTCTCTTTAGACCTCGTTCTCTGTAAAAGTGCGTGGCGCTGTCCGTGGGTTCTATTTGTACGGGATGCGGGTGGGTCTGTGTCTTACTACCTACCAAGGTACTCGGTGTATAAATATAACTGTGCCGGATCTTGGTAGAACTAGTGTGGAAGAGATATATCGATTGATTAGTTGGTAGATGAAGATGACTACTGGATCCTCCAGAGATTGACATGATGTAGATTTGTTTATATTGAGGATTTTGGCACATACTGACTGACTGCCGGTTAGTGTCGGTAGGTATTGAGGGAATGGCTACTTAAGGGCCTTGATGATAAAGTTTAGAGAGGACCTGCATGTATGCATGTGAGGAGTCTGAGTAGGTGGGTGAGGTTATAGCGCGCATCAAAAGGGGCTGCATGGCCAACAGATGATAGCGAAGATCTAGATTCCCACCACACGTTGATCACCACTGCACTATCATTCTGCTTTTGGTAGATCAGTCGAGACATGTAGCTCATCATGTATTCCTAAGTCTGGTCCAGGCTATCAGCCGTACTTCAGCCTACCACTGAACAGGTCCATCCAGCGCGATATGCAATATCCTCGATTTGGCATGTCTCAGCCGATCGCTATATGTTTGTCTGGTACGAACCTTGCGAACCAAACTCTTTCGGTAACGATGGACCCGTGACCAGCGCAAATGCGGTAAACGGGTGATTGGATGGCTTGGCGCCGATCTGCACTGATAGGAGATCCTGGAAGCCGTCAGCCTTGCTATTCAGCGAGTGACCGTCTTACTATCTAGTGATGTGGTGAGTTTTTAGCTTCTGTCAGAAAAGTTACATCGACTTGTCAGGTGTCAATACTGTAGAGAGGCTGTGTGTAACCCTCGTCTGGACATGGGTATGCAATGCACAAGCTTACCGCCGTGGAACAAGTATCCATGTCAGTGCGTATGCAGAAGTGGTCAATTTGAAACCACCACTGCTGGTGACCATCGAGCGCTTGCGCATGCCCCTGCGGGGTTAAGTCGGAAATTTCCTGGAGTATTTCCCACGGGACAAGCGTTCATCGACGGGATGGCTATTGTGGCGATCAATTGGATTGTCTATTTCCCCGGGTGGACTGATGTGCGTATGACTATTGGAGAGACGCAATCCATTGATTCCGACGGGATGGAGAACCTCGGATGAGCGACGGAGGGCATTATCGTCTGATTGAACTGATATGGGTATAGAACTGATGAGTGGACACTGATAGTCCAGCCGTCCTGTGGTGATCATGGAAAACCAGCACAAGGGGTTCCTGGATCGATGACTATTGGAATTCCAAGCTTGGGCTCGCCCCCACTCCAGTGGACGGAGAAGGAAGACATTGGAGAACCGGATGATGATCGACATGGGTTGGAATTGGGAGAGGTCCAAAGACGGCTGAGCGGCGGGGAGATGCGAGGGAGTTCCATAGTTCTTCCTTTTAGCTCAGGATCGAGCCGTCCAGAGGAGAGATCGAGTGGGCGATGACGGTGGCTCAGAACCCGTGGAGAAACATTGATGGTGGTACTAGTCTTGTCTAGTTCCTTTTCTTAGCTCTGTTTATGTTTGATTAATTTCATCAGCCACGTAAGTGGAACACCAAACAATCAGGGCTCTCTAATTTTTCTGATAGGGGAGGAAAAGAAAGTTAAATGAGATGGGATGAAGAATGAAGAACAGGAGATTTATTGACATCCGTGTGAGATTGTGAGATTGTGAGATCTCACTTTGGTCCTCCGCGTGGCCCGCACGTGTTTTTTCAGGGAATCAATACTCTGTACGGAGTGCTAAACGCACTATTGTCCACTAACATTTTCTCCCCTTCCCCCCTTTACCGGTGCTGATAATCAGTCAATAGACCAGTAGATGAATGGATTGCAATGTGGATTGCAATAGTATTGTACAATAATAACTATAATAATTATAATAATAATTATATTATTAAAGTAATAGATTAGAAGTGAAAAATCAATATGAAGAATGACAGACAGTCCCTTACAGCATGCAGCAACCTCAGGCCAACCTGTCACTCATCCCCATTTTTTCCTCCTCGGACTTCATCTCTGCCCCTCCCTGCCCTCTCTCCATCCACTCTGCAACAGGGATCATTTTCTCCATTCCCTACTACTCCGTACCTATCACAAAGTTCTTTCTGGTTTGGCCACGGTTTCCACTATTAGAACTCTCACAATGATTCCAAATGCCCCGAAACCAGCCACCAAGACACCAGGAACCACTTCCGCCAAATGGAACCACGGCAGGTGCCTGTCGATGATTACTGCTTCGGAGACGGACTAAGACAACGCTACTGGGTTGCTAAAACTGTTGACACCAAAACTTAACTCGACTGGGCCAGCTGTGCCTCTTCATTGCAGCGTTGGCAGTTCCCTCGCTCGAGGGGCAAGCCCGTCCGTGATGGTGCCCCGTCTGCTCCACACAGCACAATTGAGACACAATTTAGACTGTCGAGATGATGGCACTTGGTCGCAGATCCTCTGTGTTCATCTTCCCCATCCCACACCGCTAATGGTCAATGGTATTGGCCAATGCGGATTCTGAGGCACCCTTGGGAGGAGACCAATTTCCACCACTCCCCCTAAAGGCTTCGCTCGCTCGCTCCCTCTCCCTCTCCCTCCCACCCTCATATTGGGTTCTTTCCAACCCCTCTCCTCACCAATGTAATAATTCCAAATTTCTCGATATCCACTAAATCGTGCCCCATTCATTCCTACGCGCGCACGGGCTGGCCTTAAGGCTCCGATCATTCCCTTGCCCCCGTCATTATTACTGTTAAATGCCCGTCTTGGGCACCAAGCCAGAACCCGGACGCGGTTTCTACTTCTTCGATCGTTTTTTCAACCATTGTCAACCCTCCTCGGCCTGACGAGTTTCACATTCCCTGCCACAGTCTTTCCTTTTCCTCCCTGCCGATTTATCGGACCCTCGTGCGATCATTGCCACGCGACTCAGCGAAAATTGGCAAACCAAACCGCCCGTGACCAGCTTCGTAGATTGTCTCGACCACTCGGCGCAGGGAATCCCCACTGGGTGCAAGTCCCAGAAACTGTTTCACAATTTACCGATCCCAGGAGAGCGTGAGATTCACATTCTCCCTACTCACGCCATTCACATTCGTTCCGACCGATCCCGGTTGCGCATACATACCCAGGGCGAGAGCCCCGATCTGACGGAGTGGGGTCCCGACCATGTCCCATCAGCCCTTTTCCATTCCCTCAAGAACGTCGAGCGCCAACGCGCTGAAACCCGAGATGCTCCCCTCAAAGCCGAGCCAGGATAACCTGAAGGAACACAGGACATCCAAAGCGCAGAAGATACTAGGAACGTCTGAAGTTGCGCTGCAGCAGATCAACATGGACCGTGAGGAGAAACGGCGAACCCGCCGGCCAACCTTTATGCGGTCCCCAGAAACCAAATCCAAGAAGAGCAGCGGCTTCGTGACCTTCCCCGTGGCGCCCGCAAACCCAAGCATACCACCACAGAACCTCCGTGTTCGAGCGTCCTCTCCCCTGCTGGGTCAAGAATATCGAGCGCGAGATACCGCCGCCCCCCCGCTTCCGGAGCCCAAAAGAAAGCTCCATCAGTCGGGCTCTGCTTTGGCTCTATATTCCCATTTCAACTTCCGAGACTCCACAAGCGACCAAGGCGCGGGGTCGGAAAGCGGACGCAAGAGCAGCGGGCGCGGCAGTAGCCGGGGCCGTGATGCGAAACCAGACCCCTCGCTGGACTTTGGCTTGAAACAATCCAAGGGGCCGGCGAAGGAATCGAAGCGGAAGATACGACCCCCACGCATTGACCTTTCTCTGCTCTTTCCGAAACCGCGCGCCGAAGCGGCTCCCCTTCTCTCGCCGCAGCGCATGGTGGAGTCGCCGTCTCCTGTCTCCATCGCTTCGGGAATGGCTCCTGCGCCTCCCAAGACGCCTGATCACCACGTTGCTGCGAAGCCCCAGACCAAAGCAGCGCCGACGCAGACACCCCCGGCCAAGCCACGGAGTCGTCAAAACGCCAATACGGTCCGCGGACCGTCCACGATCTTTGAGAAAAATAACGACAACTGGTTTGACCCCTCGTTGGAAAAGACGGTGCGCACCATCGAAATGGACATGGCCCTGCAGAACCCCGATCCCAAGCGTACCAGCCGCTTCCTCCAGCGCCCGCGAAGCCGAGAAGAGCTCGAAGCGAGTGCCCCCCCAGCGGAAAATCTGCGCAAGGTTCCCTCGAATAGCTCTATAGGTGGCTGGAGCAAGGAGACCCATCTTTCGCCTCGAGACTGCTCGCGAGTTCATGCAAATGGCCTCGCGAATTCCACCCGGCCGCGACAGATCAGCGCATCTTCTGTGCCGCACAGTTCTACGTCGGAGAAGAGTCGCGGTAGCACCTTGAAGGATTCCGACCTCACCATGTCTAGTGTGCTGTGCCTCTCTTCGTCGGAAGATGAGGACGAAGAGGAGGATCATGTCTTACCAAAGGACCGCGGCATCCACAGGGGTCCGAGAGATAGCGTCGCGATGTACGGCGATTTTGGGGCCGAGTTAGGCACAGCTTCCGCGGCCCAAATGACGAAGGGAGTACAGAGACGGGCAGAACCGACTGGCTCGGTGGGCAGTCATAGATCGAGCAGCCAGAGATCCGCTTCGACTCAAAGACAGCCATCCTTCCGCCGAGCCCCGTCGACCAGGGGGTTACCGGCGACAACACCACAGAGCCAGTCACGTCGATCAAGCCTCGTACCAACCATCATGGAGCCTGAACCACCCCACGGGGAGCCTCTCCCCACCGGGGCCCGAAGTTCGGCCAAGCCCGCTCTCTCCCAGAAGGAAATGTACCGGAGAAGTCGAGTGATGGCCGTCACGAGGCAAGAAGAAGATCTCCTGGCCGCCATCCGCGAGCGCAGGGGGAAAATCACCCCGAGTATCTTCCCCGGCGGCCGAGGCGACGCAGACATTCCCGAACCCGACCGGGGGTCCGTATATTCGGCAGCTCCCTCGCGGGAATCTTTCTACGGCTCGGAGACATCCTTCTTGCGGTTGAGCGGCGCCTTTCCTCTCAATACCGCTCTGGCAGACCAAGGTGCAACACACCATGACAAAGGCGCTCCTTCCAACTCCCTGGGCGTGGAATCTGACACTGAGCAGAAAACCACCCCGGTCAGCGCGTCCCCTCGCACTAGCCTGGTGTATACGGAAAGCCTCCCTTCTCCCGCCACCAGCAGCGCATCTCCATTAACCCCGACCCTCCCTATCCACCGGTTTTCACCACTGCCATCACAGAAACCCCACCCCCGTCATCCTCCCCCCGCCGTCCCCACGGTTCAGAGGCAACACTCGCGGCGACGCACGGACAGCAGCGAGGCCATCGTGCTGGGCGAGAGCGGGGAATCCAGGGACCGACACGACTTTCCCATCTGGGCCCTTGGATGGAGTAATGATGATGGGAGCCATGGATCCCACCTGACGCCTGTGCATTGATTTTTGTGAACTTGGATTTTGCATTGCATATTGCATCCTCCTTTCTTTATTATTTTCCTTCTCTCTCTCTCCCTCTCTCTTTCTTTTCTTTCATCCGTTCCATTCATTTCATCAATTTCTCCATTTGTTTTGGGTTACTTAGCACGGCAAGGTTGACAATCGGCATTTACATCATTGGCGCACTACACTCACTTCCTTCTCCTTTTGTGTTCTCATTTACCAATCTCGATGCGCACACTCTATTATACGAAGCTTCCAATAGAAGCTCTATGAGAACATCTTTCTCGTCTAATGTATATTATATATGATATTGAAATAGTGATGACCGAAATTAGAGACGGGTCACGCAATTGAATACTTATTGTTAAAGACTATCTGATTCAGACATGTCATCTGTTATGATCGCTTCTGGATTCGAGACCCGAAACACATGCATCGAATCTATCTCGCACCCGAGGTGAAACGGCACCTGCATCGAATAAGGCTGTGAGGGCGCAGTAATGCTGAACTTCTGCGGATGGGTAATAATAGCAACATCCGTACCCCTTGCAAGCCTTTGGTGGCTGTGATGAACCAGGATTCCTGGGGACAAAAGTGGCCAATCTGGATGTCTGACCCTGACGTCAGCTGCTGACCTGATCGACCTGGTCTCTCGAGATCCCCTCAACCGATTACAAAGATATACTATAAAACTCCAGACGTAGCCTGTAGGCAAAGTAGAAAGATGTGAAGCGGAACGACTGGAAGGGAAAGCCGCCTTGACCGCCCAATTTAAGGAACGATCCACACCGCCCATCGGCTGAACCAAACATTTCCATCTTCTGCTCCGCTGGTTCCCTGGAATGCCCAGACTCTTACTTAATTTATGATGAACTAGGAGCCTCAGCCTGTCCATGACAGTTATAACCCGTCGAATCTCCGAGATACGACTCTACCGACTAGTGCTCTTTTCCCCGCTTAACGTGTCAAATCCCTGAAGTGGTCCCACCAATCCTGTCCGTGAAGCCGAAACGTTTACCCTTAGTTTAAGGGTCCCGGGGGGTTGGGCAGCGCTCCTGGATCGGACGGGGCTAATCATCGTCATTGCTCTCTGATTTCTTCGTTTTAATATTTTTTTGGCACTAGTTCTTTTCGACGCTTCTTCCTTTCCCCTCCTTGATTCGCCCAGACCCCGGACCGGGCTCGTGTGTGTGACCACTCCAATAAGAGCAGGGGGCACTATCCGCATTTTGGCAACTTCACACGCGCCACCACATGAAACATCCTCGGCGAACCAACCCCCCCTTTTGAGCTGGATACGAGTGTGTTACGGGTTCCTTCATAAGCTGCAGGACGGCCGGACGCCGTCCGCGGAGAGTGAAAGGTTACAAGTCAAGAAATAGGGGGACCTTTCAGTTTTAGCTTCTGGGAGTGTACAAAGCTGAACGACTGTCAATATGGGGGATACCGCGCCTCGGCAGTCCTCAGGACTAGGTGCAACCTGGAAACAATTTTCTTGGGTTTTGGTAAGGCCTCCAATAATTACCGGAGGCGAGCCCGGGTGGTTTGGGGTTCTTTGCTAACGGGATTATGGATTTAGTTGACAGTGCAGTATACCACTTTCGCGCTGGTATGTTTCCCGTTCGACTGTCGATGAGGAGGACGGATCCCTGACTGTTCGTTTGCTATAGTTGTTGCACTATTCGAGGGTGATGCCGCCGACGGGCGGCAAACGGTATCTCACGTCCACCGCCGTCTTCTTCAATGAGGTTGTGAAACTGGGAATATGCTTGACCATGGCACTATACGAAGTCTCGCGATCCGCGCCTCCGACTGTCCCCGCAACGTCCCTCCTCTCCTCCCTCGCCTCCGCCGTCTTCTCCGGTGACAGCTGGAAGCTGGTGATTCCAGCCTGTCTCTACACACTCGCCAATTCCCTGCAATATATTGCGCTGTCGAATCTGCAGGCGGCGACCTTCCAGGCGACCTATCAATTGAAGATGATTGTGTCCGCGATCTTTGGCCTGCTGTTGCTGAAGAGGTCGGTGTCGCCGCGCAAGTGGGGTTTATTGCTGCTTTTGCTCGTGGGCGTCTGTCTTGTTCAAGTGCCCGATGGTAGCTCCGACGTGGTGTCTTTGAGCGATGAAGCCGCGCAGCATGCCTTTCCCCGGTCGTTTGAAGAATGGAAAGCCGCGAAATCGCACCACGGGGGTCTACATAAACGCTCTGCGACATATGAAGGCATCGAGGAAGACCTGCAGACGGCCAACCCGCGCATGAACGGCGCTATCGGCCTCCTGGCCACCGTCGGGGCCAGTGTCGCATCCGGCCTGGCAGGTATCTATTTCGAGAAGGTGCTGAAAGACAGTGCCAAAATGACCTCGCTTTGGATTCGTAACGTGCAACTGGCTGTTTACTCTGTCTTCCCCGCGCTTTTCATCGGGGTTATTTTCCTGGACGGCGAGGAAATTTCGAGCAACGGGGTTTTTGCAGGCTACAACTGGACCGTGTGGTCAGCGATTGTCGTCCAAGCGGTCGTGGGTATCACTACTTCGTTCTGCATCCGTTATGCCCACAGTGATATGCGGAACGTGGCAACCGCCACGAGCATTATCTTTACTACGCTGGGGAGTAGCTTGTGTTTTGATTTGGAGCTTTCTAGTACTGTAAGTCTGGACTTTTTCGTCTTTCCGGAGAAATACTCACAATTTTCCCGCTGCAGTTCCTTGTTGGGACTTTTGGCGTTCTTGTTGCCACCTACCTCTGCGAAGACACAGGTCCTAGCCATGGCCAGGGCAAGCGCCAGAGCGTTTCTCGTCCACCGCCGCTCGAGATCGACCGATACGAGAAAGACGCCAAGAGCGACACGACCTCACCGGCGTCACCGGAGCCGAAAGAATTCTCCATCAAGCTCCCCACGACACCGTTCTTGACCGACTCGGGCGTGTCAACGTCTCGGCCTACCTCGCCGGGCTACGCGGGAGTCAGTACCTCGCGCACTGTGAGCAGCGGGAGCTACTTCGACAAGCATTGACGAGATCAGTGATTTGACGAGATGGATACGAACTTGCATTTACCGTGTGAATATAACGTCCCACATTGTATTATGTCGCGTGGGGAGTAAATAAGTATATGTGGAGGGGGGTGCTTCTTTCTTGATCTATTATGCCGGCGTCTGTACTTTTAGTCTGTTCTCTGTGCATTTTTGATCGTGTGTTTTCTGAGCATGCATTAGGTATCTTGAGATAGACCTCTATATATGGGCTGTAATATACCAGCGATCGGTTTGAGGATTGACTCTACAACGCCAAGTTCACGAGATAGGATGTAGATGCAGCACATCATGCCTCAGGCGTAGAGACGGGATGCACGTGCGATGATCGTGAACTTCAAACCAGCAAGTGACCACAACCCGATAGCTTCCCACGTTCATCGAGCCGAGGTTGTCTCGCGAACTCAAGGCCTGGTGTATCAATTGCGTGAGCTCTAAACTCACGTAGTCCAGCCTACAGTTACCATGCGGCAAAACACCCACAAGCCCCTCTCCTCTGCCCGTTGGCGACGGCCAGACACCCGCCCTGCAGTATTCCAATCCTGTGGGAGTGCCATCGTCGACGAGGCGCTTGTTGAAGGGTCACGCAGTCCACCTATCAGATGCCAGTCTGGTGAAGGTAGACATTATAGGGCTCACGAGATGGACTTCTCCCCTCGGGGGGAGGGGTTGCAGTTTGATGCTTTTGGTGAGTGACTCAAGTTGACATGGTGAGGTATGGATAAGATTGATAAGGGTAATCAAGATCTGGAGCTCCTGGCGCAGGCCAATGGGTCTTCGCAGCACAACCAGCTTGGGTCGTTTAGTGATGACTCGATACCGTATCCACCGTCGCAGGCGAAAGATAGTATACAAGTCTCACGGTTCTTTCAAAGTTAGTACTCACATTGGGGCTGGGACGAGGGTTTATACTTTATATGAACTGATGGAATGGCTGCAGGTTCGAGTGCCACTCCACGACGAACCCTCGGGTCGAATATCTCAGAGGCCGATCTAACATCGCCTTCGAGTCCATTGGCCAGAATCCAGAACCAGAGAGCAACCGGGACTCGGCGTTCTGATATAAGGGCCGGTCCTAGTAGACACCGGATCGTGTCATCGGAGCTGGACGAGTCGCCTTCCCATACCAGTCCTACGCTATCGGCCGCTGCCAGCCACGATCAGATGGGAAACCCTTTCCAGGATAGTATACCCATGTCGATACGAGGCATTGTGCTGGTGTCTGCGCATGAACTCCCAGACAATTACAGATCACTCTTCCCGTTCCCTGTGTTCAATGCTGTTCAGTCGAAATGTTTCAACCCTGTTTATAAGGGGGACGATAACATTGTCCTTTCCGCACCCACTGGAAGCGGTAAGACAGTCATAATGGAGCTGGCAATCTGCCGACTGCTCAATAAATTGAAGGATGAGCGCTTCAAAGTCGTCTACCAAGCGCCCACCAAGTCTCTCTGCTCGGAGCGCTTCCGGGACTGGAACAGGAAGTTCCACTCGCTGGGCCTCCAGTGTGCCGAACTAACAGGGGACACTGATCACTCGCAGCTTAGGAGCGTCCAAAGCAGCCAGATAATTATAACAACGCCTGAGAAATGGGACAGCATGACCCGCAAGTGGAAAGACCACGCCCGGCTGATGCAGCTCGTGAAGCTTTTTCTCATCGACGAGGTGCACATTCTCAAGGAAGCCCGCGGGGCTACACTGGAAACGGTCGTTTCCCGCATGAAGTCCATAGGCTCCAACGTGCGCTTTGTGGCACTGAGCGCGACTATCCCAAACTCCGAAGACGTGGCTACGTGGCTCGGAAAGGATGCCACGAACCAGCATGTTCCGGCTCATAGAGAGCACTTTGGAGAGGAGTTTCGTCCGGTTAAACTGCAGAAGGTTGTGTACGGCTATCAGTCTCACGGGAATGATTTCGCTTTTGATAAGATGTGTAACTCGAAGTAAGTGAGTGTTGCTCTTGTCTAGAGTATCTACTCACGAGTGAAACAGGCTGCCTGATGTTATAGCAACGCACTCTCGGAGAAAGCCAATTATGATATTCTGTTGCACGCGCAATTCGTCGATGGCGACGGCGAAAGAGCTTGCTAAGCTGTGGTCGACGTCCAACCCTCCAGCACGGAATTGGACGGGGCCGAATAGGAACCTAGAGGCTCACAATGTTGATCTGAAAAGTATTAATTTTGAATCCTTATACATGTGGGAATGAATTCTAATTGCCGTACAGCCACCATTGCCGCAGGAGTTGCCTTTCACCATGCTGGATTGGACCCCGCCGACAGACACACCGTCGAGACAGGCTTTCTCCAGGGACACATAAGCATCATATGCTGCACGTCAACACTCGCAGTGGGAGTCAACCTGCCTTGCCATCTGGTAGTAATCAAGAACACGGTAGGCTGGCAAGACGGTGGCTGCAAAGAGTACTCCGACCTTGAAGTTATGCAGATGCTCGGCCGCGCAGGCCGTCCCCAATTCGACGACAGCGCTACCGCCGTGATTCTGACTCGAAAAGAGCGTGTATCACACTACGAGAAACTTGTTTCAGGATCCGAGAGCCTAGAAAGCTGTCTTCACTTGAACCTAATCGACCATTTGAATGCCGAAATTGGCCTAGGCAACGTGACGGATATTGAGTCTGCTATCAAGTGGCTCGCTGGGACGTTTCTGTTCGTCAGGCTGCGGAGAAATCCGACTCATTATGACCTGAAAGAGGGCGCAGATAGAGATGACGAGGATGGGATGCTCCGCCAGATTTGTGAAAAGGATATCAAGCTCTTGCAGGAATGCAGATTGGTCACTACTGGGTGCCTCAAGTCGACGCAGTTCGGGGATGCCATGGCCCGGTATTACGTGCGATTTGAGACGATGAAAGGGCTTCTGTCTTTGGAACGCCATGCCACCGTTTCTCACATAGTAAGATGGGCTTACTTACATTATGCGTTCAAAATCAGCTAACAGTTTAAGCTCTCCGTAATCGCCCATGCAGACGAATTCCGCGAAGTGCGTCTCAAAGCCGGCGAAAAGCCCCTTTACAAAGAGATAAACCGGGCTAGCAGCGTCAAATTCCCCGTGAAAGTTGATATAGCACTACCAGCGCACAAAATATCCCTGCTTATCCAGGCCGAACTGGGCGCGGTTGACTTTCCCGACGGCGAGCAATTCCAGAAACACAAGTTCGCCTTCCAGCAAGACAAAGGCATTGTATTTTCCCACGTGAACCGTCTCATCCGCTGCATAATTGACTGTCAGATTGCGCTGGAGGACTCGATTGCGGCTAGGAATGCGCTGGAGCTTGCGCGGAGCTTCGGGGCTAAAGTGTGGGACAATACTCCACTGCAGATGAAACAGATCGATCAGGTTGGGATAGTCGCTGTGCGTAAACTAGCTGCGGCTGGAATTGCTAGCATCGAGGAGCTGGGACAGCTGGAGGCGCACCGGATTGAGATGATTCTCAGCAAGAACCCGCCTTTTGGGCTCAGACTGTTAGGTCGTCTGACAGACTTTCCGAAGCTTCGGGTTTCGACCAGGCTTGTGAAGAAGGTGGGTGTATGTTCCATGTGTGTGGAGGGTTTGCTAACGCCAGGTAGGAGGTCAAAGCTGGTCAGTCGGTGAAGGTCTTCTTCAAAGCTGAGATTGGGTTTATGAACGAGAAATGCCCCGCCTTTTTTCAGAGACGGCCTATATATGTGTGCTTTTTAGCGGAGCGATCAGACGGATGGATAGTGGATTTTCGACGGTTGAGGTAGGAAACCAGCTTATCTGTGGTAGTCAGATCTAACAGATCCCAGCGCCAGCAAACTGAGTAACAGCCTAGAGATCCTGCTAAGTGTGGAGGTCAAGCGTGCAGATGAATATGTGACATGCTACGCTATGTGTGATGAGATTGGTAAGATGCGCATTCTTGATCTTTCTGTGGACAGAAAGTTCACTGACAGATCCAAGCTGGAACCCTCAGATCCGCAGATCTCAAACCAAACCTGCCTCCCTCTTTATTCCCGTCCCATCTGCGCGAGAATCCACAGGCAAAGCCAAGCCAGAGACACGAAATGAACACTTCTCGACCGCGTAGTATCGACTCTTCCAAAGCAAAGCCCAACACAAGCTATGACGTGGATATACTTGATAGTGACGACCAGCTGTTCGACGACTTTATGGGTGGAAATCCCTCTGGCTTATCAGGAGAAGATCTCAACGCAAGCAGGCCATGGATGGAGGACTCTGCGCCAGATCCACCTGAATGCCAGCCACCGAAGAAAGGGCGAAAGGAGAACCACAAACCGGAAAATAGTGACGAAAAGAAAGATGTAGAAGGCCCAACCAGACTGGAAAATGGTCGATGGGCGTGCAACCACAGGTGCAAGGACAAGACGACGTAAGATCCCCCACCCCAGTCAAATATTCATGTATAATTTTGACAATGAGACGTAGATGCAAACACTTCTGCTGCCGAGACGGACTTGACAAGCCTCCCAAAGGAGGAAAAAGGAATACCCCCGACGTTGACCCACGCTCTAGCGGACTCAGTCAGTTGACGTTGTCGGCGAGTCTGACCAAGAAGGAGGGCTACACTTCTCGTACCGAGAATCGAATGGCTGGAAAGGACGTAGAAAAGACACTTCGGAAGGATATTGGTCAGGGTAAAGGTCTGAAAGATTGCCCAAAGACGAGGACGGTGGATGTTTACAGCATCCGTTCGTCGAGCGAGTATGGGGATGACAGTTTTGACGATTACCCGTCTCCGTCGGAGTTGATGCTGGGGTGTACCGCCATCAAAGCATCGACGTCATGCGAGGATCGACAGGAAGAGAAAGCTTTTGAAAAAGGAACAGCAATGGCGGAAGTAGATGACACGTTTCTATCTGACGAGGTGTGGATGACGTCGCTGTCTACGTTTACTGGCGGCACACAGCAGGCAGTAGAAGTACAACCTGCGTCAGAGACACTGGATCGTGATGGAGGGCGATACTCTGAAGTGATTGAAAGGGAGATGATAGAAGAAACCAGCAGCCATACTGATTTCTCTAACAGTGAGAAGGGGGCCCCTACTTCAGCTAAAACATCCCCTCTCGACATCCATCACAGAGTGAAACGGAAGACTTCAGATACTCGCGCCCCCAACTATAAAGCCAGAAAGAGGCTGAAAGAAGACCAGCCTGGTAAGGAGACCTTACCACAGAGAACAACCACCGAGTTACACACAACCCCCGTTCTTGACCTGGGAAACGGTGACTGGGATGTAGCAGAGACGTCACCCCTCCCCCTGGAATCAACCACCGAGTGGCATGGTATCGACCCATCTTTGCTGAACGAGTTCAAAGATATCATTGACTTTTTCTGAGCCATATGGAAGGATGATATATGGTACCTTATGGAAAGGCGGATATGTTGCATTTGCTTGATATTGATGCTTTCTTCCATGTTGTTGTCTTCAAACAAGCTGTATACATACTGAGTTAGCTTTAGCCTATATCCTATACTCCTAATCCTATCCATCGATGGCAAGCAAAAAACAACAACAATATCCTTAACCCAGGGAGAAAGAAAGAAAGAAACAAAGCAACACTACAGACCTGATCTGACGACGTCATAAACAAACACCCAGCACCCAGCACCAACACCCATCTACAATCACCGCAATCACACCCAAACACGGCCACCCAGCACGATGAATTAAGGCGCTAACCCCAAAATCGACATGTAGAGTACCGGCCTGGTCGACAGTGATGGTTGTTTTGATAGCGGTGCTTCACTGCTGGTCACGTCTTTTCTTGTCTTATAAATTCTGGTTTGTTTTGATCCTTCTGCTTGATTCTTTCTTCCTTTCTTCCTTATCTGACCTCTCGCCATTTCATTGTCCCATCCACATCGTTGATCGTTGTTGTCGTCGTCTTGTGGATGACGTCTTGTTTAGTTCCATCTAGAAAGACATGTAAGTATTAAACCCACTTGAGACTTCACACTTGCATATCATACTATACCTCTTTCATTACAAAGAAACGAAAGTATCTAACAGATTGATACTGCGGCAGTCTTCCCATCTCACAATAGCAGTTGTTCACAGCTCGCTCGAACTAACCTCGCGATCACGCGTTCTATCACACACTACTATTTCTCATCATATCTTGTCTTTGTAAGTACACTTCATCTCTTATCCGTGCATATCATATCACCTCTTCACATCAAAGCTCGTGAAAGAGCGAAATGATGAGTATCGTGTCTTCCTGAATGCGTATATGCGTTTGGCATACTTGCTTGCTTGAATATTTGTCCCTCTGACCCATCATCATTCTTGGATGCCTTGTTGATGTGCATAATCTCATACGAAATAAGCTGATATAGAGGTAGACATGTGACCCGCCCATCATGGGCAAACTCAACTACTCCTCTGTATGTATCAAGCCCCTACCAACAAGAGTTAGCAAGCTAACATCATACCAGAGGAGAATATCCGGCATCAAAGCTGGCAAGACCATTTCCAAAGACCTGGTAAGTGGAACCACAACATGTCCGACCCTAGTAGAGAGTATACACTAACAGCAGTATAGAAAAAACGAATCCCGTCTAGACCAGGCTCAAGAAGCACCGCGGCGCGCGATCCCCATCTCGAGATCGACGCCACAGGCAGAGACCTCGAAGACGCCGGCCTCGCGGAGTTCATCGGCGACTTGATCCGCTGCATCGAGTACAAGGAAGAGGGCCATGCAGACGGCGTTGTCAAAGTAACGGAGCTGCGTCTGCGCGGCAACAAGCTCACTGTGCGCGCGCTGGAAAATCTGACGGAGGTTGTCAAGCTGAGTGCTGCTGATCTCCGCGAGTTGGACCTTTCTCAGAACGATATCCGGGTTGAGTCCGCTGAGGATAAGAGGGTTTGGGGGAAGTTTCTAGAGGCGTTTCAGAATTGCTTTCTTGTGAGGAAGCTCGATTTGAGTGGGAATGAGATTGGGCCTGTTGGTGTTGAGGTGCTGGCTAGGGCTTATGTTCAGAGTGAGCTGGACTTTGTGGAGGAGGATGCGGAGGATGTTATTGGTGGGGCGGGCGTTGCTCAACAGGATGTGGGTTCTGCTGGATCGTCATCTGCTCAGTCTTCCTCTAGACAGTCTGGACATGGAAGAAGGGGCCAGCCTAGGGAGAGGGCGTCTGCTAGCAGAAATATTGGTAAGTTTCAAGCCAGTTCTGCTCCTGATGGAATCGCAGCTAACGGTTGTTATTCTCCAGCATCTGCCCATGTAATCTCGCCTCACGAGCTCAGGAAGTTCGCATGCACTCGCGGCCTGCGCTCCATTCCATACCTTATTCTGTCCGACATCGAGCTGTCGAGCACCGGCGCAATTCATTTGGAAAGCATGCTCGCCATGCAGCAGACCCCAGAACATCTCCTAGCCTTTCTCCCCCAGGGTAAAGCAATCGCTGTTCCGGAAGCTGAGAACGGCAACACAGGAAGCGTGATTTGGCTTCCGAACGATGCGCTGTCTGATCACGCGAAACGTCTTCTCGAGGTGTCGGAGACTATTTCCAGATTGAACCACAGCGGCAGCTCATCAGATATCAGTGATATCGATGATATGTCGGAGGGGTCGGAGTACGGGGACGCAGACGCGGAGCAGAAACAGCGTGATAAACTCAAGGTGGAATATGAGAGGCTCTCCAAGAGGGTTCGCTTGGACGCTCTACTCAAGGCAGGGATCACCGGATCTGAGTTGTGGTCTCGCACACTGTTGATGCATGCTGTATCGCGTGCTTTGCTGCTCGAGGACAAAGATCGAGTCGTCGAAAACACTCCCGAAATCAGCGCTTCCGAAGAGATGGGTGAAACGTCTGAAGCTCATGAACAACCAAGAGAGTCGGGACAAGAGGAGCAGCAATTGGAAACCCAGGAATCTCTTGGAGACGTGTCATCTCAGGACGTGTCACCTCAGGATGTGCTTTCGCCGTCTGCAGAGCGGCCGGGAGCCGTTACTATCATTGGCGGCGTCGAGACGAACTTCTCCTCCGACGAAGACGGAGATGCGAACTCTACCAGTCCCCGGCCCATTCAGTGGCGGCAAAGCATGACGCACAGATTATTGAGCCACCAATTCCACCGATACCAAAATCAGACGCAGCAAGAGCCCGGACACATTCGTTTCGCCAACAATCTCGTCACTCGGGCTGCGGAGACTGCACGAGGGGTCTCGGCCCCAGCGCCAGTGCAAGGCCTCTTCCCACCACAGCCTGCTAACCGATTCACCACCATGAACCCGGACACTATGCCCATGGAACCCATGCAACCTGCGCAGGTCCAAATGCCATTCTTCCCTCTGGCCCCGCTGCCACGATTGTCTGATATAAACCGCAACCCGCTGTTCCGGCCACCCACCCCGTACGTCCGACGGGAGACAATCAGGAGAGACAACTCGGAGGAAAATGACTCGGACGTGGACACGTTGCCTCTTTATGAGCCCCCTGAGGAACATAATGTGTCGTTGACGCCCCCTCCCACTTACGAGTCGCTTAGTCGCTCGGACGATTGGCGTGTGGTTGGGTCTAACCCAGTTGTTCTTGAACATGGGAACGCCAGACCTGTTGAGGCTCGGGATCCATCCAACGAGGCCGTCTCGGCGAGACGCGATGCGGCAAACGCAATTGGCACAAGCGGTCTCTTCCCTAAGACTGCTAGACACGAAGAAGCTGGACAGATCGAAGCCCCTCTTTCGCCTACCTCGCAGTTACTCGCGAGGCTCAATCTGGCCAGTCGACCTGCGGATGTGGATCCTGCTGCGGGCAAACCTGAGAGCCAAAGCCATGCACAGGCTACCAATGTGGATCCTTTCGCGGGCAGACCGGAGTATGAACGCCGTGCACAGGCAGCCAGGGTGGATCCTTTCGCGGGAAGACCTGAGTATGAAAGCCGAGCACAGGCAGCCAGGATGGACCCCTTCGCGGGCAGACCAGAGTACGAAAGCCGCGCACAAGCCGCCAGAGTTGATCCCTTCGCGGGCAGACCCGAGTACGAAAGCCGTGCACAGGCTGCCAGAGTCGAGCCTATCGCTGGCAGACCGGAGGATGAAAACCGTGCACAGGCCGCCAGAGTGGATCCCATCGTGGGCAGACCGGGACACCAAAACCGTGTACAAGCAGCGGTTGCTCTTGGCAGAGAAGCCCTTGCTGCCAGATACAGAGCGATGAGGAACGCGGAAGCGGCGCACCCGTCGGTAGGGACTCTGCCAACCTTCCCGCCTGCTCACTTGCCGCAGCGCGCTAATCCACTGGCTATGTCGCCGCCTCCGGCCCCGGTGAGAGTGACTTATGCCAGCATTGCGGGCCACAATACATGGGTGGGTGATAATGCTGGTCCATTCCAGCCAGGCAGCAGGGGCTTTGAAGAAAACTTCCCCAGCCTGAACAGCGCCCCGAAGGCCGTACCCCAAGAGAGCGAAGACCAGAGCTCCAAATCGGAGTCTTCAGAAGAGGATTCGAACGACGATTCCAACGAAGGCAGCGCTGGAAAAACCACGCAGTCCTCCCCGCAGTCGAAAGAGTCTCGCCCCAAGAACGCGAACCGTCGCAAGTCAGCACCTCGCCCAGCTCAGAAGGAGGAATGGCGATATGGACTCTCGCTGGATCAGTGGCGTCAGATCATCGCTGAAGCTGTCAACGCGGACGGCACTTTGAGCACTGCCCAGCAGGTTCGCATCATCCGTCACGCCTCTGATTGGGACTGCCTAAAACAGGAGATCAGCATCGGCGGAGCGCAGAATCACCAGCAGATTTGGAAGTATCTGGAGACTGTGGGATGTTTTATTTACGGCACCATTTGAGTGGAGATGGATTACGGTACCCTTTGATGGGGATTAGAGAGATGGAGGAGAAGAAGATTGTTCAGTCCCATTTCTGTTTTGTTTTATTTCTTCACTCCCCTGCATTGTCGCTTACCAATCCGCATTGTCTGAAGGTTGTTTTCTGGTTGGACCTGAGCAAATGACAGGATCATGAGTGCGTCGCCGAGACGATTGGACCACTGGATGGACTTGACCTGGGACGTTGGGATTGACCGAGTGACGCTTGAAAGGGGAAGTGACCACAAAACGAACAAAAACCAAAAAAAGGCAAACAATGGCGGATTCCGAGATGACGTGGAGGTTGACAGGTGGCTTTGTACATAGCAAGGCAGACCTGCTGCTCTAGTTGTCCATGGCGTTGTTTGACAGAAATGAAGCGAATGATGTCGATATCCGGTATATCCAGTAGATAGATAGTAGTAGAGGCGTAGTCCACGTGACCGGCGATCTGTATAGATAACCGATGCGATTCAACTTCATCCCCACTTCCCCACCAACGCCCATAGACCGACAGAACTGCCTAATAGACAGATAGACAGATAGACAGATAGACACGATGAATATGATGCGCGCGAAAAGAACCAACACCCAGCCCCTGGAAGACGCCTCCACAGCGCCCGCCACCTTCACGGACAACTTGCCCCTCCCGAAACTGATCGCCTTCGATTTGGACTACACGCTGTGGCCGTTCTGGGTCGACACGCACGTCAGCGCGCCGGTGAAGCCGCGCGACAATAACTCGCGCTGTATCGACCGGTACGTCTTCCCCACAGCTGGCAGACGAGTGCACTGGACTAATGTGTAATGTGATACAGATGGGGCGAGTCCTTCGCCTTCTACCCCTCCGTCTCGTCAATCCTCTACGCCTGCAAAGCACGACAGATTCCTCTTGCGCTGGCCTCCCGAACACACACGCCTGACCTCGCCCGCGACATGCTCAAGGCACTACATGTGATCCCTACGTTCTCGGATAACCTGGCGGCGGCGAGGGGCGCGCCGCGGTCGGTGCGCTCGCTCGACTACTTCGACTACGTGCAGATCTTCCCGGCGAGTAAGACGGCGCATTTCGCTAAGATCCAGAGTGCGAGTGGGGTGCGGTTCGAGGATATGCTGTTTTTCGACGACGAGGCGAGGAATCGCAATGTGGAGACGGAGCTGGGGGTTACGTTTTGCTTGGTCCGCGATGGGGTGACGAGGGAGGAGATTGACCGGGGGGTTTGGGATTGGAGGCGTAGAAATGGGATTAAGCCGGCGAATACTGAGAATGTGGAGGTTGATGTTTGATTTTTTTTATTCTTACTTCGTCTTCTTTTCCCATGTATATCCCTTCGTCCTTTTTTTCTGAGGTGATTCCGGTTCTGTGGTTTCTGTTGGTTTTGCTAGATATCCGATTTGTATGACTTTAGACCATGTTTTTTTTCTCTTCTTTCTTTCTTCTATTTCTTCTATCTCTTTTTCTTTTTGTCATTCACATTTTGCAATTCGCAGTTTCTTCAAGTTTTCCTTTTTATACTACTGGCAAGTCTATGCTATAACTTGCAGGCTCTCATATCGATAAGCGATAACCAGCGGGATCGGACCAGCTCCACATCTCCAACTCTTCTCCTTGACTCCGACTTCACACACAACTATTACCACCACAACCACACAACAACCCACGACCCTACGAACCCACCCAACACGCTCAACTCAACCCGAACGAAAGAACAGAACCATAAAAGAATCAAGAAATGGACTACCTCAAACCCCCACCCTCCCGCCCCTCCGCCCACTCCCAACCACAATCCCAGCCCAACCCCGTCCGCAACCACCACCACGCGCCCCCGTCCACGCCCACTCAACAGCAACCATCTCCGACACAGCAACCTTCCAGGGCACACACCCAATCACAATAGGGGTCGGCAGCATTGTGCACCCACGCGCAAAGCTCTACTCCTTCGACGGGCCCATCACAATCGGCGACGCGTGCATCATCTCCGAGAAGTGCGTCCTCGGCCTCCCACCAGCGCAACACTCGCACGTCGCGGCTCAAATAGGGCTGCGCAATGGGCAGGACCGCGAGATTCGCGTGTCAGCGAGTGTGACGCTCGCCGCCGGCGTTACTGTTTTCCCGGGTGTGACGATATGCTCGGCGGCGTCGGTGGAGAGTCTTGCTGTTTTGAGCGGCGGGTGTGTGGTTGGTTCTCATGCGAGGGTTTGTGCCGGGTGTGTGGTTGAGGCTGATGTGAGGATTCCGGAGTGGGTGGTTGTTTGGGGGGGTGTGGGGAGGCCGCTGCAGAGGAGGCGGAGGGCGAGGGGGAAGAAGTCTTCGCCTGTTGTTGTTGCTGCTGCTGCTGCTCAGGGTCAGGATCAGGATGCTGCTGCTGCTGCTGCTACGCTGGAGGGGAAGGTCATTGAGGAGGCGAGACTGGTTGTCTTGCAGAGGGAGAGGGAGACGTTGACCAAGTTGGTTGCTGCAGGGAATACGCGCAAGAAGTGATTTATCTGTCTCTTTTCTTTTTTTGCTTTCCTTCATCTTCGGAGAATGCTGTTTTGTTATACAGCGAGCTACGATACCCATTTCTCCATATCAGGTCTGAAAAACATAGCATAATATCAGATCATACCAGAGCCAGATGTATTATTTAATATGACATGAATGATAAAAAAAAAAAGAACACAAAAGTAAAGAAAAGAAGAACGCTCTACCCATATACCTATAACAAAGGAGATAAATCGAAGATTTTGTTGTCGAAATGACATCCAGCCCCATACACGTACATATCAAATCAAAAAGATGATCACGATCCCCGTGCCTGACCACCTCCCCTCATCCGCTTTCCTCCAGCTCCATCCTGTCCTGCATCGCTGCCGTCTTCGCGAGCGCGCTTGTTGCCTTGCGGCACGAACTGACGCGCTCCAGCGTTCAGAGCGCCGCGTCCGCCTCCTGGACTCGCCTGGCCCTGTGCCTGAGGGATATTGGCTGTCTGCACCTGTTGGTGCCCGCCCCGATGGCCACCGCGGCCACCGCGACCGCGTGGAAGACCCGAACCCCGCTGGCCTTGCGTTTGCTGCTGTTGTTGCTGCTGCTGGCCTTGGGCTTGGGGCTGGCCTTGCTGACCTTGCGGTCCGAACGGATTTTGTTGACCGCCACGGCCGCCCGTTCGACCGCCTCGGGCAATGGGAAGTGCCGACTGGAGAGCCCGGATAGCACCAGTGTTGGCACCGGCTGGGGGTTTGCTGGGCAACGACGAAGGCTGTTGCCCCTGCTGCTGATTCTGGTTCTGGGTCACCCCAAACGGATTCTCAGCGTTGGCTTGTACTGGTGTGGGGGCATTGGCTTGTACAGGCGTGGGGGCCTTGACTGGTTGCTGCTGTTTCTGCGGTGTCTGCGGTTGTTGACCATTTTGTTGCGTTGGCTGAGTTGGCTGGGTTGGCTGCGACGGCTGAGGTTGAGCCTGAGGCTGCGCTTGAGCCTGAGCTGGGGTCGCCGCTTGCCGGGCCGGGGTTGCAGGAGCTGCCTGAGCTGGCCCCGGGGTTGCAGGTTGAGGCGCCGGAGAGGCAGCGACAGGGGTCTGCTGCGGTGCGGGCGTCGGTGGTGCTTGCTGGGTTGGTGCGGGCGTAGGTGCGGGCGTGGGTGTAGGCGCAGGGGACGCGGCCGGGGGTTTAGGAGTCTGCGCCTGAGCAGGGGGTGCCTTGGTAGTCTTGGCCACCTCCCACACCTCCACAACGGCCTTCTGCGGCGTCTCAGCAGCGGCCTTCTGGACAACCTCGATCTTGGCCATGGCGGTCCGAGACCGAGTCTCCAGCATGCTGACCTTGACCAGCGTCTTCTTGTCGGATAATTCCACAGCGGACTTGATCTTCTCCTCCAGGCTTTCCTCGTAGGACTTCTTCAGGGCCGCCTTCTCCTCGTTGAATCTCCTCTCCACCTCGGCAATAGCCTCCTGGCTGGCTCCAGCCGATACCTGAGCCGCCTGTTCCTTGTCCTTCTCCTTCTCCTTGGCGATCATGGCCTTGATGTTGTTGCGCACGATGGTTCGAATGGTCTCGTTCTTCGCAACCAGCGCCCGAGCCTGGGCGTCGGTGAGCTCCGGTAAGGCAACGTCTGTCTTGACCGGGGTCGCCGGCGGCTGATCCGTCTTCGGCGTTCCAGGTTCCTGCTGGGCGGGCTGCTGCGACGCAGGCTGGCCAGCGCTGAGCCTCTCAACTTCCTGTCGGTGCGCAGCTCTAATCTCGGCCAATTTGCCGTTGTAGGTCTCCTTGAGTTTCTCAATGCGTTCCTTCAGCTTGGTTTCATGCTCAGCATCCTTAGCGGAAAGGGCCGAATCCTTTTGCTGCAGGAGCGCATCCTTCTCAGCAAGGGCAGCCTCCAGACGCTGTATCTTCTCTTCCAGCGCCTTCACTCGCTCATCATCACTGACAGGAACCTGGACGGTAGAGGTGGGGAACTGAGAGGCAGGAGTTGCGTCAACTCCATGAGCAACGGGTTGCTCAGCAGGCTGTGCCGGCGCAGACGGCTGGTCGGCCATATTTGTCTTCAACTGAGCCAGCTCCTGCTTCGTCGTGTTCAGTTCTTCCTGGATAACCTCCTTCTCTTGCAGAGCGGTGTTCAGCTCTCCCTGCTTAGCGTTGATACGCCCCGTGAGCTCCTTCGATCGAGCCTTGAATTGCTCGGTGAGCTTCGTCCGCAGCTCCTGCACCCGAACCTCCGCATGCTTCAACTGCTCCGGGTACGAGGTAACCTCAGCCTGCAGCACGTCGCGAGCAGACACAGCCTCGTCCCGTTCCTTCTCCAACGTTTCAAGCTTCTCCTTGAGTCCTTCCATCTCTGCGGGATCCACGCGGTCGTATTTCTGCAGGATGTTCTGCGTACGCTGCTGCCAACGGTCGCGATCCGCATGCAGAAGCTGCATCTCTCCGTCCTTGGTCTCCACCACACCTTCGAGTTCGCGGATGCGAGTCTCTAGAGGTGCCACCTGGTTCACGAGTTCATCCACGCGTGCAGATTTCTCGGCGAGCAGAGTTTCGGCCTGCTTGACTTGGCTGCGGAGCGTGACGCTGCTCTCACGGAACAGGTTCAGCTCGTTCAGCGTGTCGATGAGTTTATTGTTGGTCAAGCTCGAGTGCTCGCTATCGGCAGTTGCGCGACGCTGCTGTTCGAGTTTGAGACGGGCCTCGTCGAGCTGGGATTGGCTGTAGTCGAGTTGTTGACGGAGACGCTTGCTTTCCTGGGTCGACAGATGATACTGTACATCGACAATCTCCTTCTCGCGGCGCAAGAACTTGATGACTTCCTGGAGACCCTCCAAGTTCGCGTTGGTGGCTCCGCCCTCTTCGTTATCCTCGGGAATGTTAGCGCGGTCACGCTGGAGAGACGAAATCTGGTTGGTGATGTTCTCGAGCTGGCTGTGGAGAAGAGAGTTCTGATGCAGGACCTCCTCGCGGCGCTTGTTCAGTTCCGAGACTTCGCCCTCATAGCGGGCTTTGATCTCATTCCAGCTTTCCTCCTTCTGCAGCAGGTCCTTCTTGTAAGTCTCGGCCTGGGTGCGTAGTTCAACGGCGTCAAGCTTGAGTTGATTGGCTTCCGAGCGCACGATCTGCAGGTTCTTCGCAGCCTCGGCATGTTTGACGAGCTCGCTTTCGTAGTTTTGCTGAGCATGCTGGGCGATCTCGGCCTGTGCCTTCAGGTCCTCCTGGTGGTACTGCGCAGAGGCGATCTGGCGCTCGTTCTCGTCCTTCAGTCGCGTAACTTCCGATTCGAGAGTGGACTTCTGCTCTTCGAGGCGGCGAGCGACTTCGCCCTGCTCATCACGCAGCTTAGTGAGCTCGTCATTCGTCGTCGAAAGCTCGGATGAGATATCCTCGATGCGCTGCTCAAGGTCCTTGATCTTCTTATCCTTCTCCTCAACGAGATTCTCCGTGTCTTCCCGGTATTGGTCATGCGTGTCGGTGATTGATTGCATCCGCTCCTCCGTCTCCTGGCTGATACTCTTGTAATCTTCCACCCGCTCATTGGCATGCTCGAGCTCACCCTTGGCTAGCTCCAGATCCCGCTTCAACTCCGAAACCTGGATTTCCAACTCCTGTTCGCGCGTGAGACCGGACTCTTGGCCGGTGGTCTCGGTGACAGGCTCCTGCGCGGGGGCGGCAGAAACGCTGGGTCTAGACTGGACGACCTGAATCCGCTCCTCGGCACTGCGAAGCTCCACGGTGAGCTCGTCGACCCGGGTTTGCAGGTGGTCGCGGGTGGTCTTGGCGGCCACCAATTCCTCCCTCACAGAGCCCAGGCTCGTCACTAGGTCGTCGATGCGCTTCTGGCTTTGCTCGTGCTCATACTCTCTGCGGAGTGCCGCCTTCTTCGATTCCTCCACCTCGTCGTTCAGTTTCCGCTTCGTAGACTGCAGCTCCGATTCCAGGGACTCGACGCTGGACTGGAGACGCCGACGGCTCTCGGCATCGGTATGCTCGCGCTCGTTCAAAATGGTTTGCAGGTTGGCGTTCAATGAGTCGAGGCGTGCCCGTTCGTTGCGCAAGGTTTCGTTATCCTCAATCAGTCTCCGCTCAATGTTCTTCCACAGGTCCTTCTCGGCCTTAAGGTTTGCGCTCTCGCGCTGCAGGCTTTCAACGAGACCCTTGGTCTCGACGAGGTCTTCGGCGGCCTGCTGGGTCTTCAAGTCTTGTCGGTTCGCATTCTCGAAGAGGGCTGCGTAGCGCTTTTGGAGTTCCGAGTTTTCACTCTTTAGCATGACGAAGTTACTCTGCAGAAGCTCGGCGCGCTGGGTAGCAGCACCAAGCTGGCTGCTTGAGCGGCTGATCTCGCTCATAAGCTCGCTGTTCTTGCGAGACAGGTCGTTCACCTGCTGCTTCAAGGCAGAGTGATCGGTGGCAGTCTCCTCGCGGAAGCTGTCGAAGTGGGCTTGCACCTTGCGCAGCAAGTCGGCATTGTCGGTCGCGTCCGTGACGCCTTCGTCGGTGGGCGGCGTAGCGCCCAGAGGCAAAGACTGGGAGAAAACAGAAGCATCGCCAACGGTCTGACGGCGACGGGTCAGCATGCTCCGGAAAGTGTCTCTCTCCTTGACGTAGCTCTTGGTTTGAGCAACCAGGTTGGTGATTTCGTCCCGGTACGTTTGCACACGGATTCTCAGCTCCTTCAACTCTTCCCGCTCCTGTTGGCGCACGGCATCCTGCTCGCGGGCTTCGGCGCCCTCCATCTTATCGCCAAGCTCTCTCAGCATCCGGCGAAGGGTGACGTTCTGTTCCTGAAGTTCATGCAGATCCTTGAACGTCATCAGGTTCTGACTGATGAAGCGTCCAGTGGGGCTCAGATCGGCGGCCGACTCCTCAATTTCCTTGCGAGCCACCTTCTCGAGCTCTTCCCGGTCGTAGTTCTCCCCCTCCTTCATCATCGCTACCTCCAACACGAGCACCTTCACTTGGGCGCTCAAGTCTCTCAACTGCTGGCGCAGGATGTCACCTTCACGAGACAAGCCGTCCACCTGGCCTTGCCACTTCCGTGCTTCCTTCGTGGCGTCGTCTCTTTCCTTCCCAGCCGTCTCCAGAATGTTCGACATCTCCACGACGGCATTCTCGAGTCTGCTATGGTCTGCGCGCAGTTCGTCGATTTCAGGTTTGCTAGCCTCGAGGTCCTGCACCATCTCATCCAGCGTAGCGCGTAGTTCGTGGCTGGTTCTCTGCTCAGCGGCGAGCATTGTGCGCATCTTATCGTATTCCGTGTACATCTGCGTGAGAGTGAGACCACCCTTGGTGCGGGAGGCCCTCGGCGAGAACGTGCCCACCGGAGTGGAAGCGCGCATGGGGGTGGTCGGTCCACCATTGAGGCCAACGGCTGGACTCATGGATCTCCTACCCCGCGGACCTTCCGATTCGAGTTGGCTAATAGCAAGCTCCAGCTCCGCCACGCGACGCTCTGCAGCCTGCTTGTCCGAATGCTCCGTCTCCATCTCCACGCGTAAACGCGAGATCTCTTCGGCCGCATCATCCCGAGCCTTGTCCAGCGCCAATTGGCATTCCTGCACACGCTGCTTCGCAGTCTCCGCGGCGTTGCCCTGGAGCTCAGCCAGGCGGTTGGCGCTATCCAGCTCGATTCTAAACGACTCTGCTGCCTGAATAGCTTCCTCCCTGAGTTGTTGGATGTTGGACAAGGACTCCTCGTAACGCTGCTCCACCTCGTCCAAGCGGCCTTTGAGGGAATTCTCGCTCCGTCGGAGGGAGTCAACGTTGGCGCCGGACTCCTCGTTCTCACGCTGCAGTTCGGAAATGCGTGCGCTTTTCTCCTTGCGGAACTTCAGGTATTCGGCCGACTTGGTCTTCAGCTCCGTCTCAAACCACTCGTTGTTCTTGCGGGTGAGGTCCAAGTCCTGCTGAAGGCTCTGTTCGCGGAACTTGGCGCTCGCAGACGCCGAGTTGGCCGCCTGCAGATTCTGCTCCGCGGTGGACAGCTCCCGTCTGAGCTCGATAGTCTTCTTGTGTTGTGTAGAGAGCTCCTCCGCCAGTTTATCGTACGCGCCGGACTTGGACTCCAGCAGAGCGAGGGTATCTCGGTTGGACGCTTCCAGCGACGAGATGCGGGACTTAAGCGAGCTGACTTCGGACTCGTTGGACGTCGACGAGGACTTGAGGGAGGCGATTTCAGATTCTAGGGTAGATCGGGCGTTTTCTAGACATTGTAAGCCGGTGCTTCGACGGACACAGCCAGTCATCGGGGCAGAGTCTTACCCGACTCGTGTAGTTTCTTTCTGGTTTCCTCGACCTCCGCATGGCCCTTTTCGACCGAGCTCTTCAACACCTTGATCTTGGAGTCGCTGGTGCGAACCGCATTTTCGAGCTCAACCTCAATGTGGAGCTTGTCCGATTTGAGTTCATCGTACTCGCGGGCTTTCTTAGTGATAGCCTGGAGAAGCTCGTTGACGAGCTCAACGGTGGGAGCTTGGCTGAGGGTCGAGAGAGTCGACTCGGCAATTGAGTAATGCGAGGCTAGGTAAGGGATCTCAACAGTGGCCGCCGCCATGGTGGCTCAGATCGATTCCCGCAGCCTTCGCTGCAGTCGGAATAATGTATACAGTCAATAAAAAGGCGGATCAATTGATTCGAGTAAGCAATATAGCTTGCGTTAGTCGGTGCGTAGCTAGGTCGGTGTGTTGGTCGGATACCGGTCGCTGGGCGCGAGATGCACTGGCCAGGACGAGTGCACAACGCTGAAGCAAAGCCACTAGGTCATGACAAGGGCAAGGAAATAAAGAGCCCCGTGTACCACGACCAAATAGCGAGAAGGCAAAAGAATGGAAGAAAGGAAATGGCCAAATGGGAGGGGAAGGTTGGAGAGAGAACAATCAAGACCGTCGAAGATGAAAGACGCGGCTTGAGCTGGAGCTCGTCCCGATGCGGTTAGCCTGGTTTGGGTGTCACGTGGATGGCCCCAGCCTCAGGCCCGCATGAATAATGAGCCTCAACTCTCTTTCGTCTCACTCTGACATCCCTCCGTCGACCATCCACGCTCACTGACGGTTCGGTCCAGTCGCTGCCCACCGCCACTCCTGGCTTCGACTCTACACGGCGCTTCATATGCTCCATCACACACACGGCTAGAGCTCCGTTCAGCAGCTCTAAGGACCTTCTCCGCCGACTTCGCCTCCGGAAGAACGCCGCATCACTCTTTCCTCCCTCTTATACGGAACCCCCATCCACCGCAATCATGTCGCACCTCCAACAGCAGCTGAAGAGCTTCAACGCCGGCGTAATGGACTACGCCCGGCAGATGCCGGCCCAGCGACGGTTCGTGCACAACGCCGGCACAGGGAGCACGAACTCCGGCACCAGTTCGCAGGTCGGCGCATCGACGCCGTCGACGCCCACACCCGGCGGCAGTGACCCGAGCAAACGGCGCCGCCATGACGGCGACATCGTGTACTCGCAGCCGGCGAACACGGGGACAGGCAAGGACATCATGACGCAGGTGATCTTCGCGATCGAGCACATGAAGAACAAGGGCGTGCCGCTGAAGTTCAACGACATCGTGTCGTACCTGTCTCTGCAGCACCGCGCCCACGACCAGGGGTATGTGCAGGCGCTGCGGAGCATCCTGCAGATGCACGAGAAGGTGCTGTTTGATGCGTCTGGGGCCAACGGCGAGGGCACGTTCAGCTTCCGCCCGCCGCATAATATCCGCAGCGCGGAGCAGCTGCTGGCGAAACTGCAGGCACAGACGTCGGGGGCGGGGATGAGCGTGCGCGAGCTGCGCGAGGGGTGGCCTGCTGTGGAGGAGACGATCAACTCGCTGGAGAAGGCGGGGAAGGTGCTCGTGACGCGCAATAAGAAGGACGACCATGCCAAGATGGTGTGGGCGAACGACCCGTCGCTCATTCAGCACTTTGACGACGAGTTTCGCCAGATCTGGGAAAAGATCCGCGTGCCGGACCAGCAGACTGTCAAGGAGGAGCTGGAGAAGGCCGGGATCACGCCGACTAGCAAGAACAAGGTTGTCAAGATGCGGCCGAATTACGAGCACAAGAAGGTGAAGAAACCGCGGCGGAGTGGCAAGACGACCAACACTCATATGATGGGGGTGTTGCGGGATTACTCTCATTTGAAGCGGTGATCCTATTTTTACTTTGATGTTCCATCTCTTTATTACTCAGGGGAAAAGACTGAAGCATCCACGGCGTTACGGTTAAAAGGTTTGTATACTGGGATTATTACTGGCAGTGAACAACAGACTATCGTTTCGTTCCACCGGAAGTACTTCCCATGTTAGAATACTATATACTCAGATCTACATCTGACAGATACCCAAAATGATTACACTTTACTTGTTTCTTTCTCTTTCCTTTTCTTCAAGAAATCGTACTAGAACATTAAGTACAACCGGATTGATCCATAAATAGATACCCAGATATAGTCATACACCAAAGTAGCGAACCCATCCCTAAATCCTATCATATCTTAAACAAATCAGTCACACCAACGGCTCAACAAAAACCGAAAACCAAAATATCAGACAATTAATGAAAACTATCTACCTAGTATGCTGTAGTATAGTATAAACTCTCCAACCAAATAAACACCACCCAATGCAAGTATAAACCAAACCAAACACGCCAGAAACAACAATCTCCCAAAAATACATACTATACCCCAAACATCACAACAAAACATCAAACCCAAGAAAAAAAGAGAGATAGAAAAGCCGAAGAGATATATTAAAGACCCAACCCCTGCATCCTCCTCACCTCATCCGCCTGCCTTTCCAGCGCGCGCCTCATCGCCCGCGAATAATCCCTCTCGCGACGCGCGTACTCATGCTTCCGCTTGCGGGCTTCTTCGCGCGCGAGGGGGTCCATATTAACGTCCATACTGTTGTCGCTGTCGCTGTCGCTGGCCTCGTCTTCGACAGAAGGATAAGGGGGGGTTTTCGACGGCGCGGAAAAGCGAATACGGCCGAGGCGCTCGCCCGTCCAGATGAGCAGCTCGTCGCCGGTGAGGTTTCCGCCTGTGGAGAGGATTTTCTGCGCGACGTCGCCGGGGGCGGAGTGGGATGTCCAGATGCCGCCGCCGCCGCTGCTGCTGCTGGATCCATCGTTGTCGGAGATGTGGGAGTGAGAGGCTTGGTGGGGAGGCGCAGATGCTAGGTTGAAGCGGCGGATTTCAGAGCGGCCGTTGCGCTCGACCCATTTGATGTTGCCGTCTCCGTCGGAGAAGGCGATGCGCGAGCCGTGGGACTCGACGGAGAGGACCTTTGAGCGGGCGGCGCTTTGGCGGTTTTGGTAGGCTGGGGAGAGGTGCGAGGACCAGTCGGATGGGCTGGGTGAGGAGGGAGATGGGAAGGGCGAAGGTGCGAGGTTGTACAGCTCGAGAGAGCCGCGGCCTTTGTACTCCCCGCAGGCGACGACACTGTGCGACGAGGGGTACGGCCCGCCGGAGGAGACGGGGAACTGGGGTGCCGGGACAGAGGTCAGGCCGCAGAGGCTGCCGCCGGAGTGGACGGTGCTTTGCAGGCGGGGGAAGAAGCGGCGGTCGTACTGCAGGATGCTGGGGAAGCGGCCGGCGAGGAAGATGGAGTTCACGTAGGGGGCGGGGGGTGCAGGAGGGAGAGCGGGCTGGGCTGGAAGAGCGGCGCGTAGTGGTCGCTTTTTTCGGGGGGGCCGGGTCGGCGGATACGCTGGGGTGGGCGCCCGTCGGGCTGGAGTTGGAGGAGGGGGGAGTCCGGTGGGGAGTAGATGGTGGATTCGGGGACGAGCGGGGTGACGGGCTCTTCGCAGCGCAGATGGATGGCCTCTTCTTCTTCGGTGGCGGACATCCTCGCGTCATAGATGTGCACTTCGAGCGTGGTGGCCAGCGTCAGGGGCGCGGAGTAGTCCGTTTCCTGAGACAGGGCCGAGATGGACCAGACGTAGCGCTGCTGGGACACGACCTTGAGGGTTTCAAGGTCGACCTCGTTGAGGACGTTGCCAACGGCCATGTACGCGCGACGACGGATCGAATCGACGCTCATGGTCTCTCCGAGATTGATAAACCGCTGCGAAGGGGATTGTTTCCCCGCGCGTCCGGACAAATCAGCCATCAAGATGCCCGGCGCACTAACACCGAGGACCCTGCCTTTCGTCGCCTGGGAGCCGATCGAATGCGAATGGTTGAGGTCCCAGATGCACACACTGCCATCATCCAGCGGGGCGACGACCTTGTTCTCCCTCGCAGAGCTCCAATCGCGCAGCAGCGCCATGCCTTTAACCTCGCGAAAGTCCTTTCTGCTACTACTCCGCGAGAAAGGCTGCTGCAGCCAGCTGAACGAGAGGGGCCCATTGCGCGCGATGTATTCCGAGTACCAGTCCCTGTCTTCGCCTTCCACGGAGGGATCCCACTCCACGGCGGCTCTGGTGCGTTCGCTGAAGGACGGAGAGGAGGCGACCTCGTCGACGCCGGCCATATGCGGCTGGATGAGGGAGCGCAGGGAGGTCTGGCCGAGGGAGCTCAGCGGTGTGGTGTTCGAGACGAGGCTTTCGGGGGTCCGTCCCGCCGGCCGGGCGGCCTGGGTTGCGGTCCATGAGGCTTCATAGCAGTGGAGTCGCCAGCGATTGTTGTCGCGCGCGAGACCGAAGAGTCGCTTATTAACGGATTGGAGCTGTACCTGCTCTCGGGGGTTGAGATCTAGGAGGTCCATGCGTCAGTTGGGTGGCATTAGTGGGGGGGAGAGAGGGGCTCACAGTCGATGATTTTGGAGAGGATTTCTACCGGGAGTTTGTCCATGGATGCGACAGGGGTGCGGATGGCAAGTTCATCGAACACATTGGAGGAATCTGTTTTCTGAAGACCGCGAGAGAAGGTGTAAAAATCAAAGGGATGCAGAGCAAGCAAGCGATCTTCCCCGCGGATCAGCGAGTCTAGATCTGTCACGTGGGAGCAAACATCATCCACATTACAAAAGAGTGATATAGATGACTCGATTAGTAGATGAGTACACAAGTGCCGTCTGGTTGTCAATTGCGCTTTGATATGTGGCTTGGATAAGATTGCGCTTGAACCTTATGTATGCCTCCGTCAAGCATGGACTAGAGACGACAAGATATATCCAGCCGTACTTGACAAGAAATGCAGAAAAACATCAACAACAAACAGCTAAAGTATAAGATAGAAAAACAATAAAATATAACAAAACACACAAAAGGGAGAGACTGGAAGAAAGATAGTCAAAACATACTGTATCGCATTCAAAACCCATATATACTTCCTTATATAACAGCTACCAACCTTACCTCCCTCCAGCACAGTCCCTGAAAGCCACCCCATCATACTCCTAACTCCACCTCTCACAAACCAGCCTCAAAAACCTACAATAACCACTGAGCAGCTCTCACGTCTCGTCTACATACATGAAATAAACAAGAAACCCGCCAATCACACACGAAGCATACACACCGCGAAGAGAGCATCACCTACGAAATCAGCCACATGACACGAAGACAAGCATATATGAGGTGTATTTGCGCCATATGAAGCCTAAACTGGCATCATGTGTATGACTCCATGAATCGGGTTTATCATACATAGAGTTAAAGATCAGCAGAATAAATAGGTACTTCAGTAATATATAGTCAATAGTAGCAAGAGAGAAGAGAAGAAAAACAACAGACAATCAACCAAACATCAAAGAAACAGAACCTATATAACCAGTATCCCTCCATCCATCCATCCATCCAGACCCAATCCGACCCATCGTAAATCACATTAATCATACATAATAGTTAAGACAAAGCACATAATCTAACCAAGCAAGCAACCAAATATAAACCCAAAGCACAAGCAACAAAGAAAGATAGAAGAGAAAAGGAAGAATTAAAAATCAGGCTTATAAACCGCATCCTTACAAAGCACAGCAACCTTTTTGAAGAAACGGCGCCACTCAAGGGGATCGCCCTTGACCTTTATAAACTCAATCTCGAAGATCCCCTCCGAAACACACTCGATGAGGACTTTCCCCTGGAGTGTGCACATGCGGCCGTCGCGGGTCACGACGCGGATCATAGCGGATGTGTCGCCGGGACCAACGGCCGGGACCGACGGGACGGGAACGCCCAAACGGTGGAGGGCTTCACACACAAGCGGGATGAGGAGTTTGAGTTCCCAGGTGGAGAAAAAGCGGGTCATGGGGCGCGGGGGCACGATGTCGCGGAAGCGCTGGGCCTTCTGGGTGCGGCTGAGGGGGACGCAGGGGGCGGCGGAGAATTGCGACAGCGAGGGCTCGTCTTCGAGGGTGTCGGCGAGGAGGGAGGGGTCGACGGAGAGGAGGGCGGGTTGGCGATGCATAGGCTGGGTGGCGGAGAAGACGTCGCTGAGGTGGGGGGTGTCCCAGTCGACGAGCATGTCTGGACGCGGTATCTCGGGCTGTGTGGATGAGATGCGCTGTTCGGGTGTGTCGGTGTCTGCGTCGCCCATGTCGATGTCGGGACGCTCGGGCAGGCCGAAGCTGCCGCCGCGGGTGCGGCGGAGGAGCGGGTCTTGCGAGAAGTCGATGTGGAGGGCCTCGAACATGGTGGTGGCTAGGTTGATGGGGTCGCGGAGGCGGCAGTCTGCGGACAGGTACTTGTTTTGTCTGGTGTACCAGGGGTGTCGGCGGACGTCCTCGAGGGAGAAGCGGCTCTCGGATTGGACGTTTAGCATGCCGCGGAGCAGCGACAGCGTCGCGGGGGGCAGCTTCTGCCAGAGCTCGTCGCTTGTGCGGGAATTCGTCGCGACGTACTCGTGGAACTCGTAGCTGTTGTCGGTGGGGCTGTCCCAGGGTGTATTGCCAGCTAGGAGGACGAAGAGGACGATGCCGCACGACCAGATGTCCACCAGGTCGGGGCGGTACCCTGTGCCCCTGAACTGACCTTTCCCACTACAGGAAATGACCTCGGGGGCAATGTAGGGCGGGCTACCGCAGAATGTCGTCGAGAGTTTCGTGACGCCCTTGTACTCAAACAGCGTGGCGAGGCCAAAGTCCGCAATCTTCAAATTCCCATCGGCCGTCAAAAGCATATTCTCCGGTTTGATATCCCGATGTCCCACCCCCTTCGAGTGCATATACCCCACAGCGCTAATCAGCTGCGAAAAGTACACATGGGCAATATCCTCGCCCACACCCTCATCCGCCTCGATCTTATCGAAGAGGTCTCCACCCTCGGCCAACTCCATCGCAATCCACCTCCACACATCGTCCTCGCCCGTCTGGAAGAAGGAGATGATATTATTGTGGTCGCCGATGTGCTTGTGCACCGTAGCCTCCATCTGCAATTGTCGCGGGCTGATTTTGCCATGTCGAGCGGCGTACTCTTTGTGGATGAACTTGACGGCGAAGATGGGGTGGTCTGTGTGCGTGGGGGTGGCTTTTTTGATACTACACTCGTTAATCAATGATTATTGGAGATTATCTCATGGATACAATGAACGTACCAGGCGTATGCCCCCTGCCCGATCGTCTTGGAGACGATGCGGAAGGGAAGGTCGTCTGGCAGCGGGGCCAGCTGAGAGTGGTGCATTGCGACCTGAGAAGCGTACGGAGTACAATAAAGAGTGGATGTGAAGAAAAAGACACAATTAAAAAGGACACAACAGAAAAGAGTGACTATCATCAACCAGCCATCGTGGGAGGCTGAAATGCAAGGGTCGATCGCGAGCCGAAAGAGAGGAAGACGGGGGGCGCGTTGAGTCAGGACGCGGGAGGCCGCGGGCGGTTTGCACTTTATCCTCTTTGGGTAATGTGTTGATCCGCTAGATCTGCCTAATGAGCTGGTTACGCTAAATGGTCCCGATATACGGAGTAATAGTCGGTGATGGCGGAAATGTCTTTCTGTGCTGTGTGTTGGCGCCTTGAATATTCCAGATAGCCTATACCCTGTTTCTTTTAGGGCCATTGCTGTAGTTGTAGACATTGGTGTGCTTTTATACACTCGGCGCGTATACTATATAAGTCGACAAGAACATATAAGACCCGGACCTAGCCTTGTAGATCTATGATTCAATGTGCCTTATTTCTAAGAAGTCATATAATATTGGAGATTCTGTATTTCTGTCTCCTTAAGGAAGATTTTACGTGTGCAATATACTTAACATGCCTTAAAACAAGATATTACCTGAGGATACTAATTAGAATATCTTTATTTAGTAGCCTGATAATAAAACACAGGGTAATTTTACAGAGCTAATAAATAATCACATACTTTATATCAAGCAAAAAAAAGGGTTTAAAAAAAAAATTCTCTTTCTTTTTATGCGGGTCTTCGCTGATTATAGATTGTGTATTTTAAGCTGCTATTGTCCACTAGATCGAGCCTTGATTCATGCCACGCATAGCCCCAACCCCAAAACACACCCAAGCCGCCAGATCCACCGTCCCCATCCGAAGAGTGTTCCACCACAGCCAGCGTTCCAGGTCGCGTGTGGAATGACCCTTGGAGCGGTCCTCGGAGATGGCACGCACGATGGGAGCGACAATGGGCGCGTACAAGGCATGGCCGGCCGTGAAAGCGGCGCCGGCGGCGTACCAACGGAGGGACTGGCTTTGGGCGAGCGAGGCTGGGTCCATGACGATGTTGATGCCGGCTGTCGATAGCGAGAGGCCGAGGAGGGTCAGGACCCAGATCACGCCGCTGCGGAAGAAGGTTTGGAAGTAGGTGGGAAGGATGCGATCGCTGGCGGTCCGGTTGGCGGGGTGGATGAAGTTTCCGAAAAAAATGTTTTGGTCCCAGGCGAACCAGAGGCTGCAGGTTGAGCTCACGAGGGGAGCCAGGCGGAGGGCGATGAGGGGATCGAAAATTACACGTGAAGCCATTTGGGGAAGGGCTGGTGGTCTGGCAGCGGCAGACGTTGGAATGGAGATGGTTGGTTGGGATTGTTAGAATACAGCAGCAAGGACGTCCTGGTGTTATATGAATTTTGAGCAGACGCAAAAAGATCGAGAATGGAGTGTGCGCCTTGAAGAGGGTCAGATCATACGATTTATATCGGAGATGATAGTCGGAAGGACTGCATAAAGTCTCCGAAACAAGCGAAGCCTTCCCCATTTTCAATGATGCAGCTTGTCCAAAGTCCAATGCTAAAGCAGTAACTTTCCATACAGGAAGAACCCAGAGAACTCGAAGACGCTAACTCGAATGCTTATAAACTTATGGTCCGTTATAACATGTACACACATTAAAGTCAGCCTCTCCCAGCCTCTATCTCCCGAACGATGGTATCATGCAAAGACTGTGGCTTCGCCATGCTCCACCAACGCCCCGCAACCTGTCCATCCGCCGTAATGAGAAACTTCTCAAAGTTCCATTTGATGCGTGTCAAGCCAAAGATTCCCGGCTGCTTCTCCTTCATCCACGACCACAACGGGTCCGCATTCGGACCGTTCACATCGACCTTTCCAAGCACCGGAAAGCTAACCCCGTAGTTCACCTGACAGAAAGTCTGGATTTCGTCGTTGGTTCCGGGATCCTGATTGCCAAACTGGTTGCAGGGGAATCCGAGGATGACGAATTCATCGGGGTACTTCTCGTTGATTTGCTGGTATAGCTGCTCGAGTTCACGGTATTGCGGGGTGAAACTGCATTTTGAGGCGGTGTTCACCACTAAGACCACTCTGCCTTTGAGATTAGAAAGAGGGTAGGGTTTGCCCTTTCCTTCAAGGACGGGATGCGTCAGTATCAAGAGGAATCATTCGGGCCCTCGGAGATACGCACTGTCGACGGGCTGAAACTCGTGAAATGTTTTGGACGCCATAACGGGAACTTGCGTCTGCTTCCACTTGTGCGATAGAGACAGTTTCGCAATGATAGCGTGTCGATGTCAGTCAACAACTTCATTAAAGAGACATGGGCCAGGTTACGGTAGGCTGAATAAATTCGGGGCGGATTCGCGGACTTTTGGGCCATGCTCGGGGACGGTACCGGGGACATTTTGCATGTAGCAATATCGGTTCAATCCATGCATCAAGTCCCAAATATACGGTGGGCTTGAAAGCTCCCCTATAGATATATCCGGTAATTGTAGAAATTCAGGTACATTATATCTTCAAGGTATGCTCCCCAGCCTCACTTCATTTATGTGATCGACAGAAATTAACGATATCGCAACTCGCCCACATATCGTCCCCCCCAACGAACCTACAACACCAACAATGGGCTACAAGGAATCTATCGAGATTCCTCAACTGCAAGGCGCAATCGTATGTTTGCCTAATGGCCAGCTGGGCCATGTCCGCGACGCGCCCGTGACCCCCTTAGCCCCCGACATGGTGCTGGTGCGCACGGCTGCGGTGGCGCTCAACCCGACTGACCACAAAATGGTCGAAAACTTCCCGACCCCGGGGGCCATCTCCGGGTGTGATTTCGCTGGCACAGTAGTTGCTGTGGGCGCAGCAGCGACCCAGCGGTTCAAGGTTGGGGATCGCGTGTGCGGTGGAGTGCATGGGGCGAACCCACTCGACCCTGCTGTTGGAGCCTTTGCCGAGTACGTCGGAGCCACCGCAGACATTCTGGCGCTCATCCCCCCGGATCTGTCATTTACAGATGCCGCTGCTATCGGCGGCGCGGGTCCGGCGACAATGGCGTTGGCTCTCCGGGACGAGCTGGGCCTGTCACTCGATGCGTCCTCTGAGCGAAAGGACGAGTTCGTGCTGGTCTATGGAGGAAGTACCGCTACGGGGACGATGGCCTTGCAGTTTCTACGTAGGTCAGTGGTTCCAAATTTATTATTTATTTTTTATCTTCATTCATTTTACTCTTTACTGCTGGGCTTAGCCGGGATGGGATATAACTGACCTGAATCTCAGAGCCGGTTATCGCGCCATCGCAACCTGTTCGCCCAAGAGCGCCGACCTAGTCCGCTCCTACGGCGCTGAGTCCGTCTTCGACTACCACTCCGAACGATCCGCCGAAGAGATCCGGAGCTACACCAAGAACAGCCTCCGCTACGTTCTGGATTGCATCACCGAGCCGGCCACCGTTGATTTCTGCCTGAGGAGTATCGGTCGCGCGGGGGGCAAGTACTGCGCGCTCGAGGCGTTTGCCGATGAGTTACGCTCGCGTAAGGCGGTGTCCATGGCATGGGTACTGGCACTGAGCATCTTTGGCAAGCGAATCGCACTCGATAGGGGCTACGGCCGGGAGGCAGATCCCAAGCATCGCGTGTTGGGTCGGGAGATGTTTGAGGAGGTGGAGCGGATGCTGCAACGTAAAGAGCTGAGACCCCATCCAGTCCGTGTGATGAATGAGGTCTGGGAGGATATCCCTCAGGGACTGGCTTTGCTGAAAGCGAAGAAGGTCTCGGGGCAGAAGTTAGTGTATATTGTTGATCAGCGTCAGACGGGTCTATAGATTGGAATAGAGCTACCGTTTTCTAGATCTACTACAGGTGCTCAGACCGTTTCTGTCTGCCTCCAGTTGCCCGTTCACCTTTACTTGCTCTTTCTGCTTCAGTCGCCGTACATGGAATCGACAAACGACTCAGATTGATTGATATCGATGAAGCTCCGCGCTATGAGATAGGGTTTTTATACAACTCCAAACCGTTATAGTTCATAGGACCACTTAGCAGCTTAACACCATTTCTCTGAAACTACCTGTTCTAAGTACAAAAGACTAGTAATACTTAGCTGCCGGCGTCTCTGGCAACGCGAAATTAATCCGCTCCGCAAAAGGCGGGTGCTGGGACTCTCCATTCGCGCCAATATTCACCAGCTTCCCATCCTTCAGGAACACCTCTACCCAGGTCACGGCCACAGTGGTTGCATCAAGGCGTACGAACTTCTCGGCGTCGACGTGCAGGTCCTTGAATTCCTGATCGGCAGACACAGCGAGGAGGGCAGACACATCGCTGAAGTAATACTCGATGGTCACGTCATGGTCGTCGATCTTCCAGGGAAGCTTCAGGCCGTAGGCCAGCTCTCGAGTGTGGCTGTTTCCAATCACCTATGAATGCCATCTTGAGTCCGACTGTTACATGTACGTTAAAGGGTGTGAGTTACGAACCAGTTGGTAGTCGAGGATCCCGTATTTCTCGTGGATCTTGGCGGCCTTGACGGCGTGATCGCTCGAAATGAAGGCATGGAAATCCTCCTCGGAGACCTCAGGGAGTTTGTAGTAGGAGCCTGCCAGACGGAGGACTTTTTTGTATTCGATTCCGGACATGTTGGGCCTCGGTGAGATCTGGGAGACGGAAGGAGATGAACAAGGGCTTTGAAGAGTGGATGAGGAGAAGAACCGGGGAACACGTCTTTATCTCATTATATAGAGCATACCAGTAGACAAAATGCTCCGAGTATCGAATACCCCCGACACCGATCATGAGTGCAAATACGCGACGAAAATACGCGACGAAAGACAGAAGACACCCGTACATTGTCCGAGACTTGCCCAGCCCGGCCTTCCTCGAGGCAAAATGTCTCCGATACAAGAACCGCTACTATATGACCACCATAATCAACGCACACAATATGACCACTTCCCCAAAACAGACCTCCACTCAACATGCATGAATTTTTCCCCCGCTCCACCTTCTTCAACTTCGAGTTCACACGAGTTGTCGGCACAATCGCCTTCGGCGGCGCCGATCTCGCCGAATGTCTCGACGCAGCCACGCAAATCGCCAGTGACGACCCGGAGAGCTGGCACCGGGGATGGCTTATCCAGGCCGAGAAGGCACACGCTCTAGCCCTGGAGGCTGTGGAGCATGGCGATAGCATTGCGGCTCGCGATGCCTTCCTGCGCGCCGCCAATTACTTCCGCGCCAGCCAATACATGTTCAATGATTGTCCGTGGAGCCCGGATCCGCGCGTGTCAGAGATCTCCTCGCGGAGCGTCAATGCGTTCCGTCAGGCAATTCCGATGTTGGGGCACCGGACGCACATCCTGGAGATCCCATACCAAGATGCGCATTTGCCAGGGTATCTGTTTTTACCGCGCCAGGGAGAAGAGACTGGTCGAAAGATTCCCGTCATTGTGTGTATAAACGGAGCGGATTCGACTTCGGAGGAGCTGTATCTGCTCTTTGGGGCGAGCGGATGCGACCGCGGCTATGCGGTTCTGCTGTTCGATGGACCGGGGCAGGGAGCCAGCTTGCGCCAAGGGAGGAGTGCCATGCGCCCGGACTGGGAGGAGGTGACGAGCCGTGTGCTGGATCATGCGCGGCAGCTGGCGGAGGAGCATCCTGAGTGGTCGCTGGATCTGTCGCGGATTGCGCTGGCCGGGCTGTCCATGGGGGCGTACTATACGCTGCGAGGGGCTGTGGACCCTCGCATCTCGGCGTGCGTCGCCGTGGATCCTTTCTACGACATGTTTGACCTGGCTACGTCGCGCATGCCGCCTTGGTTTATTCGGGCCTGGCTCGCGGGCTGGGTTACGGACGGGATGTTCGATGCGACGTGGCGCATGTTGTCGCGGTGGAATTTCCAGCTTAAATGGGAGCTGACTCATGTTATGTGGATCTTTGGGAAGTCGTCCCCGGCAGCGGCTATGCGGGAGATGCAGAGGTATTCACTGAAGGGTGATGGGGAATCGGGCGAGTATCTTCGCCAGGTGAAGTGTGGTGTTATGGTTAGTGGGGCAGCGCAGACTATCTACACTGCGCCGGAGATTAGTACGTTGAGGATCGAGCAGGCGTTAGATCATTTGCCCGAGGAGAAACGGCATCTCTGGATTGCGAGAGATGCAAGCGATGGTGGGTTGCAGGGTAAGGTCGGTGCGTGGTGTCTTCTTCAGCAGAGGTTGTTTCAATTCTTGGATGAACAGTTGGATGTGAAGCGGAGGATTGAAGGCATCCATAGTTAAAGAGGGGAAGTAAGAATGTAATTCAATTTGGTATTATGAAATTGTAATATCAAGACAAATTCTGGTAATTCAGCTCTGTCTTTTTTCTCTATCTTAAAGTGCTGGATTCAGGGATACTGCATACATAGTGACCATGTTCGTGCCTTGCTAACCGCCCATAGGAGGAGTACCATAACCATCCTTACTTGGGGCCCGCAGCATAACACTACCATGAAACCAAGCCATCTCTCACGTTGGCCGTAACACGTCTGTGACCACATACGGTTGTCCTTAACATGCGATTCAGGCAGGCGGCAAAGTGCTATCCGAATCCTTCTTTACTTCCTTTTCTTTCAGTCCGTAATCCGTCTCCAAATGTGACCGCAACTTGATGTTCTTCTCCAAGAAGCAGAGCAGAAATGATAGGCCCGAGAAAGCGATGGAGACCTGCCACACCACCCGCAGACTGCGGGAATACACGTCGATCGTCTCAGCTCGTACCTGGGCTGGGAGCGCATTGATGGTCGCACTCGACGCGTAAGCGTATGCATTACCCCCGGTAAGCATGTCACGCACCGAGCTGTCGCTAATGGATGGGGCAAACTTGTCGAACTGATTATTGAAGATGGCTGCGGGCACGGACAGACCCCAGATGATGCCGAAGCTGCGGACAAAAGCCCATAGGGCGGTGGAGGTGGCCGTGTCTTTCTCCTCGAGCCCAGCCTGGACCGCGGGCAAAAGGACGGGCATAACCGCTCCGGCGCCAAACGCAGCGACCATCTGCGTCAGCGTCCAGGCTGCTGTGGAGGAGTGGGGCCCTAGCACTGTGAAAGTGCCGAGGCCGATGGTGAGGAGGGCAAAGCCAACAATGTGGAGCATTTTGTAGTTGCTTGTCTTGGAGAGAATCGCGCCCGAGACTCCGGCGACGGGGATCATCGAGACCACGGTTGGCAGAAGCTGTACACCGGCGCGCTCGGGGGAGGATTGCAGCACCGCCTGGAAGTAGACCGGAAGCATGTATAGGATCCAGAAGCTGAGGAGGCCGTGCATGAAGGTGTTGAAGAAGGCTATGACGGAGGTACGGTTGCTGAACAGTCGCAACGGGGTGGTCGGCTCTTTGACAAGCGCGCTTCCTTGGAAAAGAACAAATGCTGGAATTCCAAGGAGACCGATGATTAGAGGTGCGAGGACATGGCCCGAGGACCAGGGATAACGAGTGCCGCCCCAACTCAGCGCAATCAGAATAGAGACAATTGCGCCCACCAGCAGCAAGTTCCCGAGGTAATCCACCCGCTTCATCTTTTGCCCTATGGACATCTCGCGGTTATAGTTCACCTGCAGGAAGGCGATCAGTAGAATCAGACCCACTCCTCCGATCGGAAGATTGAGGTAAAAGACCCATCGCCAGGTGGTGTTGTTGACAATAGCACCACCAATGAAGGGGCCCAGCGATGTGCCGACGGCGAAGACGACAAACAGCAGCCCAATGTATGCGCCGCGCTGAGTCAGGGGCACCAGGTCGCAGATAATGAGATCGATGAGCATGTTGATGCCGCCTCCTCCAATTCCTTGAACTGCACGACCAGCGATAAGCATGGCCGCGCTCGTGGCACCTCCACAAATCCCACTACCGAGGATGAAGAGAACGACGGAGAAGATCATGGGATAACGCCGACCCAGGACATTGGAGAGTTGTCCATAGAGCGGTTGAAAGCATGCCCTAAGTATGGTCAACCAGATTAGACACTGCACTTAACAGCAAGCCAGCTTGCGCAATGATGTTATTCCACATACGTAGTCAGAAAGTACGCGTTGGATACCCATGGGTAATCGTCGCCGATGTGAAGTTCCGCGACAATGGTCGGAAGAGCAGTGGACGTGACAGTTCCTTCGAGAGCAGCCAGCAAAGAAGTCACGCACAGCGCAACGAAGACCAGCCAAAAGCGAAGATCGTGTTTGGAGGTCGGCTTTGACGCGTCGCCCGAGACCTCGACTGGTGGTGTATCAACCGACTCGAGGGGAGAGTTTCCGGTCTCCATCGCGTTGCTCGATGAATCGCAGGCCGGAGTGCGTAATGAAAGCTATGAATCCTTTGCAACCCAGGAAAAACGAACGCAGAGCAAAAGGTTTGAGAAAATCCATCTCCGCGATCTTTTTGAGATGTTCGGGGACATTTTGCAGAGTGCAGATTCCGAGTCCGGATGTCGAATGTTGTCGATGGGCGGAAATGTCCCCGAAGTCAATGCCTCAGGCATCTAACTGGCTACTCTCGACCAACTCTCACAACTCAGACACCTTAGACTTCACCATCCGGCCTACCGTATTCAACACGAGTAATCAATCTAGTCATCGACCTAGTGAGTTATCGGAAAGATACTCAATTGCACCGACCTTTAATTACCCGATCACGAAATGTTTCAACGAGTGGGCCCTGATATAAAGAATGATGGCGATTTGCTGTCTAGGATGAGAGAATGTCAACGAGAACAAATCAACCCGCAAAGCTCGCTCAGGGATCGATAACATGTCTACTGAGCCCATCGCAGTCATTGGCAGTGGCTGCCGATTTCCCGGACAGGCGGATTCACCCGCCAAACTCTGGGAATTACTATCAAAGCCCCGAGACGTCTTGCGCGGGATTCCCGCGGATCGCTACAATGCAGATGGATTCTATCATCCAGACGGATTGCATCATGGCACTAGCAACGTTCGACATGCTTATACGTTGACGGAGGATGTACGGAAGTTCGACGCCAGCTTCTTCCAGATCAGCGCCAACGAAGCGGCGGCTATCGATCCCCAACAGAGGCTCCTGCTTGAGGTTGTTTACGAAGCTCTAGAAGCCGGCGGTTTGCCGGTAGAGAGCCTCAAGGGGTCGAATACCGCTATCATTGTGGGACAGATGTGCGCTGACTACAACGACATTCTTACGCGCGATATGGATACACTTCCGACTTACTTTGCAACTGGAACCTCCCGTGCGATATTGGCAAATCGAGTCTCGTATGCGTTTGACTGGCATGGCCCTTCCTGGACGATAGATACCGCATGTTCATCCAGTTTGGTCGCCGTTCACCAAGCAATCCAGGCTCTCCGGGCTGGCGAGTCTTCCGTTGCCGTGGCTGCTGGTTCGAATCTTCTTCTTGGACCTGAGCCGTACATTGCCGAAAGCAACCTGAAAATGCTCTCACCCGACGGTCGATCCCGCATGTGGGATGATAGTGCGAATGGTTACGCCCGTGGTGACGGTGTCGCTGCGATCGTTATGAAGAAGCTATCAACGGCACTGGAGGATGGCGACAATATTGAATGTGTGATAAGAGCCACAGGTGTCAACCAGGATGGGCGGACGAAGGGTATCACCATGCCTAGCAGCGAGTCTCAAGCTGAATTGATTCGCAAAACATACGAAACCGGTGGCTTGGATATCGTCAAAGACCGGCCGCAATTCTTCGAAGCCCACGGCACGGGCACCAAAGCAGGAGATCCGCAAGAGGCGAGGGCTATTTTCAATGCCTTCTTTGGACCGGGAGCAGACGCGGACGAACATGCCAGTCTGAAAGTTGGCTCCATTAAGACGATTATCGGACACACGGAGGGTACTGCCGGTTTGGCCGGTTTCTTGAAAGCTTCCTTGGCACTTCAACATGCTCAGATTCCTCCCAACATGCATTTCCACACCCTGAACCCCGAGATTGAGCCGTATTGGACGCGCCTGCGTATTCCGACTGAGCTGCAACAGTGGCCAGCCCACTCAGGCCTAATTCGTCGAGCCAGCGTCAACAGTTTCGGGTTCGGTGGCACGAACGCGCACGCAGTCTTAGAGAGCTATTCAAATATTCAGCAGCAGCGTCTCAAACACACCGACTCTGTCATAATGCCATTTGTCTTCTCCGCACAGACTGAATCGGCTCTGGCCGACGTGATGGAAAGGTTTGCCAATCATCTTCAACAGCACCCCGATACCAATCTCGCCGACCTTGCGTGGACACTGTACCTGCGTCGGAGCTTGTGGCCAATCCGAGCTGGCTGTTCTGGGATCAATGCCACGGATTTGGCTAATAACCTCCATATCAGCGCGGATAAGATTCGGACTGGCAGTCAGTCCCCTGTCATGAAGCCTCTCAGTATCGGCCAAGCGCAGCCACGTGTGCTAGGCGTCTTTACCGGACAAGGAGCTCAGTGGCCCGCGATGGGGCGCGAACTTATCAGAAACTCCCTTTGGCTAGAGCGTCGCGTGGACGAGTTGGAAGACGCTTTATCCCGTCTACCCGAGGAGGATCGTCCGACGTGGTCGCTGAAAGAGGAAATGCTATCTCCTGCGGCCAAGGTTGGAGAAGCGCGTCTATCCCAGCCGTTGTGCACTGCAGTCCAGATTCTTCTTGTGGACTGCTTGAAAGCAGCCGGGATTGAGTTCTCCGCAGTTGTCGGTCACTCGTCTGGCGAGATCGGAGCAGCATATGCCGCCGGGTGTATCTCGGGCGAGGCGGCCATGTGGATCGCGTACTATCGCGGACTGCACACGGCCCAGGCAGGTGGCCGACAGGGAGAGCCGGGAGGTATGCTTGCCGTCGGAACATCTATGGAAGACGCCCAAGAGCTGTGCGAGTTACCCACCTTTGCCGGCAGACTGACGATCGCTGCTAGCAACTCCGCGGCGAGCGTGACAATGTCGGGCGATGTGGATGCTATCAAACACGCACAACTTGTCTTCCAGGATGAGAAAAAGTTCGCGCGCTCGTTGATTGTCGACAAAGCCTATCACTCTCACCATATGCGCCCTTGTGCGGGTCCTTATGGGAGCTCCTTGGAGGCCTTGGGGATCCAGGTGAAGGAGCCTCGCTGCTCTTGGTATTCGAGTGTGTATGACGGCGATCTGATAACCTGCTCTCAAGGCCTCAATGGACAATATTGGGTCGAGAACATGTGCCGACCGGTGTTGTTCTCACAGGCACTCACCAAGGCAGTCCAACAGTCCGATGATTCTTATCATCTGGTTCTCGAGGTGGGTCCGCATCCAGCGCTGAAGGGACCTGCAACTACGACTATCCAGGACGCCCTCAAACGGGAGCTCCCCTATACAGGGTTGCTGCAGCGCAATTCCCATGATACAAGAGCGTTTGCCGATGCCATGACTTTTATATGGGGTCGGTTTGGACGTGATGTATTGAAGCTTCCCACTCTGCAAGCGGCCTTTTCGGACAACGATGAAGGATACCAGCTCGTACGGTATCTGCCGTCCTACCCCTGGGACCATAGTCGACCTTTCTGGCATGAATCCCGCGTTATACATGATGAGCTTTTTCGCGACTCTTTCCCACATCCCCTGCTGGGCAATCGTCAAACAAGCAACCCGGATCATGTTGAATGGCGGAATATCCTATCCGTCAAAGAGATCCCTTGGCTACAGGGACACTCCTTGCAGGGGCAAACCATTTTTCCGGCCTCGGGGTACATTTCAATGGCAGTTGAAGCAGGTAGGTCCGTTGCTGGGCCCGAGCATAGCATATCCCTGATAGAGGTTCTTGACCTCATCATCGAGCGGCCCATCACATTCGACGAGGGTGATGCTGGCGCAGATGTTGTCGTGACACTCGCAAACATCACACGTGAATCACAAGAAGGCTCTGGACTCTTGACCGCCACGTTCAACTGCCATATCACTGCTGGTCGGGGATCCAAGTCTCTCATCATGGCAGCGCATGGCCGCGTCTGTGTCACACTGGACACTCCTCACGACGAGACCCTCCCTTCTGCACGCCAAGTGTTTGAGGATGTTATCCAGGTGGACAAGGAAAGGTTCTATGACGGGTTGAAAGAGCTCGGCTATGAGTACACTGGGCCCTTCAGAGCACTAGATAACTTGGCACGATACCTCAATCTCAGCACCGGTGTTGTTTATCAGCCTACATCTGACTCCGAAAGTCTTGGTGACGTGCTTGTTCACCCTGCAATGTTGGACGCCTCTTTCCAGTCGGTGTTTCTGGCATACAGCTGGCCGGGAGATGGCCGTCTTTCGTCGCTGCACGTACCGACCAGCATCAAAAAGGTGCAGGTAAATCCGGCATTGTGTGCAACCTCCGTGAAGAAGCTTTACTTCCACACCGAGTCTGAGGAAGGCTCGAAGGCTTCCATAAATGGAGATATCGCGTTGTCGCGCACAGCTAATGAGCCTGCCGCTATTCGAGTCGAGCAGATCACTGTCGTTCCAGTCGTCCCACCTACGCCTGCGGACGACAGAGCACTCTTCGCGAGTGAAATCTGGGAGAATTCTGACCTTAATGACCCGGCCCTTGTCTCTTCGCCACCCTCAGTTGAGGAGGAGAAGAAGGGAAGGGAGATCATTGCAGCCGCAAACAAGTATCTTGTCGACCTCTGTAGCCTCGATGAGCCCACGGATAAATATTCTCTTGGTATCGCCAGGATCAAGAGCCACCTGCATGTACTTGCTAAGTCACAGGAGGAGGGCTCTACCTCAATCGAGGGAGCAGACTCCGGTGCTGAACAATCCAATTGGTCCGACTCTGGGGATATCGATCTAACTATCTTGAGTGACATTGTCAACTCCCTATCCCAGGGTGTCCCAGAAAATACAACTAGCCATGTGCAGAGACTCTGGGGAACCGATATTCTTTCCCAATACTTTCGACAAGGTTTGGGGGTGACTAGCTCCAACAGTCTGTTGGGCCGGTTGCTTCGTCGTTTATCTCATCGCTATCCGGCAATGAATGTTGTTGAACTCAGTGAGTCTATCACTGGCCTGAGGGTGAAGCACGACCCCGGATAGGAAGCTAACTCCCAGTCAGATGCGAGCAACCTAAGCTTGACAGAATCACTCTTGCGAGACATCAACCCAGGCTTTTCATCTTATACCCTCGCCACGCCTAAGTCTCGCATGGAGGTCTTCAACGAGATCGCGCCCTCTAATGCACGGATGAGCATCTCAGCGATAGAGTTCAATAGGGAACTTGAGGAGCAGGGATTCGCAGCCAATCAGTCCGACCTGATTATAGCCACTTTGGTACTTAGCGATGTCCCCGTTGATGATATGCTAAAGACCGCTAGGCGCTTGGTCCGCCCTGGGGGCTATCTTTTCTTGCAGGTCGTGGGAGAAATGGCACGCTTTGATATCCTGGGTGATAACGCGGAGACGATGCCGCTAACAGTTCCGGAATGGCATCGTCAGCTTCGACAACAAGGGTTCGCTGGCATAGACGCACTTTACTCATCCTCTGCTGGTCAGCCATTGAGTGTCATTGTCAGTCAGGCAACAAATGAGAGAGTCGCGCTCTTGCGCCAACCGCTCCTCAGCACTTCATCCGACTTGGGCCACTCAGAAGTCGTTCTAATTGGAGGTACGAAGATGTCCACACTCAGACTGATTGAGGATCTGTCTGTCCATTTATCTTCCAAGTTCTCCCGAATTACGAGACGCGACTCCTTGGATGACTTGGCCGACAACCCAATCAATGCTCTCAGCACAATCGTCTGTCTCAGCGATTTGGATAGTCCCACATTCAAGAATCTGCAAGACGATGCATGGAACACGCTGAAGACGCTTTTCGACCAATCGCAGAATATCCTCTGGCTACTCCGAGGGGCGCGTAGCAGCGAACCATACTGTAACGCTACTGTCGGCTTTGGGCGGACTGCGAGGCTGGAAATGCCGCATGTGAACCTCCAATTGTTGGATATAGGGAATGATATCGAGGCAGCCGACGCGCGAGTTATCGCAGAGCATGCTTTGCGTCTCTGTCTCTTTAGTGAGGTGGGGCAGGATCCGGCCAGTGCTTCGTCTGTGCTCTGGTCGAACGAGCCTGAGCTTCTGATAAAAGATGGCAAGGTATTGATTCCTCGTGTTATTCCACACAAGGCCCAGAACGATCGGTATAACACATCAAGACGGCTGGTGACCCAGTCTGTCAACCCTTCCGAGACTGCAGTCTGCCTGCGAAGAACCTCGGACGAGATTACTATTCATCTGGACCACTTGCCGCAGTTGTCGCCAGCGGACAATATGATACTGGTCAACGTTATTTATTCCGCCGCGCAACCACTCACTCTAGCGTCTGGCGAGACTTGGTACATCGTCTTTGGCCGCTGCAACGTTTCGAACAGGACGCTATTTACGCTGGCTCCTAGACTAGCCAGTCAGATCGCTGTGGAGAAAGGACTTTGCATTGTCCATGGAGATAAGGACCAGCAGGTCATCCCCGCTGACCTCGTCCTTACTGAGTATTTGACAAAGCGTCTGCTCATCCAAAGCAGCCTGCAGAACGCTGTTCCCCAGAGCAGCGTCATCGCTTTCGACACCGATCCCAGTTCTCGAATCATTCTCTCCAGCCTTGCTCAAGCTCATGGATATAACATGGTCTGGGCCACGCACGCCAAGACGAGTAATCCAGACGACGCCGTTCTTCATCGCAGAGCCAATGATCGAGAGTTGAAGGCAGCAATCCCTACCCGACCATCAGTCGTTCTCGATTTCTCGCAATCGCCCCGATATGACTCTGCGGCCCGTCGTCTCTCGGCCATGTATGATTGCCGGCTGATTGAGGTGCACCAATTGCGAAGCGCAGGATCCTTTACTCTTCCCCACAACAACGGCGTGGCAGCACTCCAGCAAGCGTACGAGCAGTTCCACATCGACAAGGCTGGTGATGCTTCTTCATCCTCCGGGCATCTTCTTAATCTCGCGGCGTTGCCGCCGACCATCGATTCTCCTTATGTCCTTATCGACTGGCAGGCACGATCTGTCGTGGCCCAACTGGAACCCGCTGAAGCACAGCCTTTGTTCCACGCTGACCGGACTTATATGCTCGTAGGTCTTACCGGTGGATTGGGACTGTCGCTATGTGAGTGGATGGTCCGACTGGGAGCTCGACACCTAGTCATCACCAGTCGGAAGCCCAAGGTGGATGAGAAGTGGATACAATCCCTGCGTCGCGAGGGAGCAGTGGTCACGGTAATTGCCAGGTAAGTGATCATCCCACTCCCAAAAACCATGCCAGAGCGGCATTAACAACCAGGATCTAGCGACATCACGGACCGCCAATCTATACAGACACTATACGAGCAGCTGAAGGAGACAGGCCCACCTATCGCCGGCGTGGTCAACGGAGCCATGGTTCTTCGGGACTCCTCGATCTACGACATGGATGCCGAGAAGATGCGCGCGGTGCTGCGCCCCAAGATCGACGGCAGCCGATACCTCGATTCCATCTTCACAGCGCGCCACCCTCTCGACTTCTTCATCATGCTATCATCTCTAACGGGTGCCTGCGGCAATAGTGGGCAAGCCAACTACACAACGGCCAACATGTTCATGGCCGGGCTTGCAGCGCAACGCAAAGAGCGGGGCCTGGCTGGCTCAGTAATCGATATCGGGGCCATGATGGGTGTGGGCGTGCTGGTGCGTGACCGTAGCTACGCCCTGCAGGTACAACTGCGCGACTACGGCTATCTGTGGATGTCTGAGTACGACTTCCACCAGAGCTTCGCCGAAGCCATTCTGGCCGGCCGGCCGGACAACGCGCTGGAGAACCCGCAGGTATTGGCGGGCATCCGGCTCTGTCGCCGGGATCAGTTGAATACCGTGCAGTGGGCGCAGAATCCTCGCTTCTCCCACTGTATCCTGCCGACCGAGTCGGTCTCATCTTCTGCCCAGGGACAGGCGCAGTCAATGGTTCCCCTTACGACGCGTGTGGCTGAGGCGGCTGACGAGACTGAGATTCGACAGATTGTGGAGGATGCCTTCTTGAGTAAACTTGTCATGACTCTGTCTTTGCCGGATCTCGAGGATGTGCAGGCCCGCGCCAGATTGCTCAGTCAGGGTGTGGATGAGCTCGGGGTTGACTCCCTTGTCGCGGTAGACATTCGGTCGTGGTGGCTGCGTGAGCTGCGGGTGGATATGCCTGTGCTGAAGATTATGGGAGGCACTTCAATCACCGATTTGATCGCTTACGCGGTCAAGCAGCTCCAGCCTACAGCCATTGAGGCGAGTGCTACTGAACTACCCGAGAAGGCCTTGGAGCTGGTTGACGAAGCTTCGAAGCAGGTCGAGGAAACTCCCAAGCAAATAGAAGAGGAGACTGCATCTATGAACTCCACTGAGCGCTCGGACGCCGAAATGATATCTACTCCTTTGGACGGGTCGATTCTGTCCATGGCCACCAGCGAGCCATACACCACCAAGACTGACCTACCGCCTGTCATGCAACGTGAGCCCATGTCGTACGGGCAACGTCGATTCTGGTTCTTGTCCAAGTACCTCGAAGACAGGACGACGTTCAACATCACCTGCTTGATCCGACTCACCGGAGCTCCTTCTACGGACGCCTTGGCACGAGCCGTCGACGCACTCGGCGACAGACATACCGCCTTGCGGACTTGCTTCTTCGAGGGAGAGGAAGGCGAAACGTGGCAAGGCATTCTGCCCGAATCCACGTTGAAATTGGAGATGGGCTCCGTCCGGAACTATGATGAGGCCGTTGAACAATTCCATCTCATGCACGCGCACGTATACAACCTCACCATGGGTGAAGTTATGCGCATCATGTTCTTGTCGGGTCCCTCTCAGACCCACTATATCCTCATAGGATACCACCACATTAACATGGATGGGATTAGTCTGCAGGTAGTCCTGAAAGATCTCGAAGCGGTCTACAGCGGAAGGGCTTTGGGGTCCGAACCACTTCAATATCACCAATTCTCAACCTGGCAGTACCAACAGGTAGAGAGCAACACCTCTCGATCAGATATCGAGTACTGGCGCAATGAACTGCGCGATATGCCGGATTGCCTCCCCATCTTATCTGTCTCTACACGGTCCACACGCCAACCAATGCTGCGATATGCGCATCATCGCGTGGACTTCAAGGTCCCGCGGTCTCTCGGGGCGAAGATCAAACAAGTCGCACGCAAACATCGGGCGACCTCTTTCCATTTCTATCTGTCCGTATTCAAGGCGTTGCTGTACCGTTTCTCAGAGAGTCACAACCTTGTTATCGGAGTGGCAGACGGCAACAGAAACCATCTCAGTGGCGCACCCGACAGTGTGGGTTTCTACTTGAACCTTCTACCAATCTGTTTGCGCGCAGATGGCCACAGTCGATTCGCGAAGACCCTTGAAGAGGCACGTACCCAAGCGCATTCGGCCCTGGCGCATTCCCAAGTCCCCATCGACGTGCTATACAATGAGCTGCGGATCACCCGATCATCTTCATACACTCCTTTATTCCAGGCTTTTGTGAACTATCGACAAGGTGCGGAGGAAAGTCTGCCCTTTGGGGACTGCCGCCTCGAAGGCGATAAATATGAAATCGGGAAGACGGGGTTCGACATCAGCTTGGATGTGATCGAGAACGCGCAGTCTGATGCTACGATCATGCTTGTAACGCAGAGTTATTTGTACTCGGCGGAGCAGACTGAGGTCCTGGCGGCCAGCTTCAAGCAGCTGCTGAACGCCTTCAGCCAGGATGCCGAAACACCGCTAGATGAAGCGCAGCTGTACGCGGCCGAGGATGTTGATAAAGCCGTGGTGCTGTCACAGGGCCCGAAATATGCGCTGCAGTGGAAAGGCACCCTGGTTGACCGAGTTGACGAAATGGTTGCTCGCTTCCCCGAACGGCCCGCGCTCGAGGACGGTTCGCGATCTTTGACATACGCGAAGATGTCTGCCCATGTGCACGCCATCGCTGCACTCCTGTTGAAGCACGGTGCAGTCCCCGGTTGGAAAGTGGCTGTGTTCCAACAGCCTACCATCGACTGGGTCTGTTGCATGTTGGCAGTCGCCCTGATAGGAGCGGTATATGTCCCGTTTGACCCAAAGCTTTCACTCCCCCGACTCCAGCGAATCGCCCAAAGCTGCAAGCCGGAGGTCGTTCTTTTCCACTCAGCTACCGCCAAGAATGTGCCTGAGCTGCTAGCAGGGCAGCCCGACGTGATCTCCATTGACGTCGGTGGGGCGCAGATGAGGAACCAAACTACGGTCGCGAATCAATCAAAGCCAGATTCGGCCATGTTCATCCTGTACACAAGTGGCTCCACAGGCCAACCCAAGGGAGTCATCCTCTCTCATTCGGCAATTGCCCATAAGATCGAAACATCAAGCCAGATGTTCGCGCTCGGACCAGAGGTGGCAATGCTTCAGCAGAGTGCGCTCACGTTCGACATGTCCGTTGCGCAGGCCTTCATGGCCCTATGCAATGGTGGGCGCCTGTTCCTACTCCAAAGGGAATACCGTAGCGACCCAGCCGCGATCCTCGATCGGATCCTAAAACATGGACTGACTCATACCATGGCAACACCCTCGGAGTACGAGAGCTGGCTGCAACTCGCCAACTCCCAGCCCCAGCAAGCGTCCGCCCTTGCTACGTCCAAATGGCAAGTTCTCTTTTCGGGTGGTGAAAAGATCAGCGACAGCCTCAAGCGCGAGCTCCGGACGCTAAACAAGCACGATTTGCACTTGCAGAACGTGTACGGGCCGACAGAGGTGAGTATTTTCTCGCACTCGTTCGAGGTCGACTACCGTTCACTTTCCAATGACCCCGTGCCTTTGGGCCCTGTCAATATGAATTACTCGGCTTTTGCGGTGGATCGAAATCTAAAGCCGGTGCCGGTAGGGGTGCCGGGCGAAATCCTCATCACCGGTCCCGGAATTGCGCTCGGATACCTGAATAACGAGGACCTGACCCGTGAGAGATTCGTTCGGTTCACGCTTCCGCGATCCAGGTCCGTGGGCGTCAGGGACAGTGATGTGCAAGGGTATCGCACCGGTGATCGCGGCAGGTTGCGACCAGACGGTATGTTGGATTTCGAAGGCCGGATCGGCGGAGATACGGAGATCAAGCTCCGAGGCCTGCGCATGGACCTGAACGATATCGAACACGTATTACTTGAGGCGGGGCAAGGACGACTGACGACGGCCATCGTCACGGTTCGAGGAGACACTGACGCGCAGTACCTCTTAGCGCATGTGGTGTTTCATCGCGAACAGCAACAGCAGTTGAGCTCGGAGGAGCAACGAGCGTTCGTCGATGCTCTCACGCCGCGCTTGCCTTTGCCCCAGTACATGTGGCCGGCAGCGGTTATCATTGCCGACTCGTTGCCCGTCAACTCACATGGCAAGGTAGACCGACGAGCGATCGAGGCCCTACCCTATCATGCCACTATCCCGATCGACACCTCCGACACTGAACCCAGTCTCACTGAAGAAGAGGAGCATCTCCGGATACTGTGGAGACAGGTCCTCCCCACTGAAGTAGCCCAGCTGCATCAAATCGGCCCCAAGTCAGACTTCTTCCACGTGGGGGGTAACTCAATACTCCTCGTTAAACTTCAGCAATCCATCGTTCAAGCCTTTGGTCGAAAGATCGCGTTGGTCGAGTTATTCGAGCGGGCAACTCTAGCCCAGATGGCCGCGTACATCACCAGTCCCAATGCCAGCGACGAAACCCGGGGCAGGATCGACTGGGCCAAAGAAATCGCCCTCGACGCAGACCCCACGGAAGCTCAATTCCCACAGCCTAAACCACGCCGCAATCCCCAAGCCCAAACCATCATCCTCACAGGTGCAACCGGATTCCTCGGCCAAGTCCTCCTCCAACAACTCCTCGCCGACCCGACCATAAAAATGATCCACTGTATCGCTGTCCGAACCCCATCCCGCCTGCTAGCCAGCATCTCCCCAGACTCCGTGTCCCGGGTGATGATCCACCCAGGCGACCTCGGCCTCCCTCTCTGCGGCCTCGACGCCGAAACCAGCGACCACATCTTTGCCTCAGCAGACACGATCATCCACAACGGCGCAGACGTGCACTTCCTGAAAACTTACCCAACCATGCACGCCGTCAACGTCGCCTCCACAAAGTGGCTAGCGCACCAGGCCCGCACTCACCACCTAGCCCTGCACTTCGTCTCGACAGCCAGCGTGATCCAATTCGCCCCGTCGTCAGAAACCAGCCGAGGATTCCCCGCTACCTCCGTGGCAGCCTTCCTACCACCAACCACCGAGGGTAGCGGAGGCTACGCAGCCAGCAAGTGGGTGAGCGAGATGTACCTCGAGCAGGCAAGTCAGCAGTGGGGCGTAGACGTGCACATCCACCGGCCGACGGCCATCACGGGCGCTGGGACACCAGAGCAAGACATTTTCCCCAACGTGGTGCGCTTCTCGCGGGAGATGAGAGCAGTTCCTGTATTGCGTAGCCTTCTAGCGGGCTGGCTTGATTTCGTGGATGTGGAGAACGTCGCTCGGCGGATCCTCGCGTCGGTGTCTAGCGACCACGACCGGGACGAACACGCAACGCAGGCGGATGGAAACCTGGCCAAGTTCCACCATCACGCAGGGGACGTGGTGGTGCCCGTGGAAGGGTTCCACGATCATTTGGCGAAAGAGACTGGGGAGGAGATTCGGACACTGGAGCTCGCAGACTGGGTTCAGCAGGCGGTGCAGGCGGGGATGAGTCCCATGGTTGGAGAGTATCTCAACTTGTTGGCAGCGCAGCAGGAGGCGATTTTCTTGCCCTTGGTGTTGCTTTCTTGATGATTTTGTTACTTTGTTTTCTGTTTGATTGTCGAAGATGTTGGTTTTCCGCTTGGTTTTGTGTTTAGATATGTCTCGGAGTTGAATTCCCTAGATTACTTGGTTGTTGCCTTACCTCCTAATTGTTTTGTATTAGCAGACCGCTTGGTAGTTCCATCGGGAGCCACATCTACATTCTCGGTCACGACCAGATCGTTGTTCCACGTACGTACAAGTGATAGACAGCTTCATTTTTCAAACAAACAAAACCCTACTAGGTGAATGTTACAGGCCAATATCCCCCATTGAAATTGTGTATTCTGCCCCGCTACACCGCCATCGTCGCCTGCTTGTTTGCCATTATGAAGGCTGATTGCCATTATCGAGGCCTCGCTGCGCGTAGTCCGGTCCTCTTTGAATCTTCCTATATATAAGTACTGCTTGAATTTCGGCCTCAACTGTCCTGGAATCAGAAAACTTCATATCATCAATTTGACGTCTAAATCGGCCATTTCCCATAGAAGTCTACCAGAATTTGCCGTCTCTATGACAAGCCCGAACAATAACAACGGCATCGTGACCACGTAATTCTAAGTAATGAGGGGATTACGACATAGATGTTATAGATAAGTAACATAGGAATGTTCGTCTCAGCCTGAATTGAAGATCTTCTCATCCTCCACTACCATCCTCACAAACAGGTATCGTTAATACACTTGCGGATCTTCCTGACGAGCATCCGCAACGGCGCCAAGCGCGCCGCACGGCCCCCGGCGGAATCCGTCCAGTCCGGCGTGGCCGGACCGCGGCCACTGCGCGCCTCCTGCTGCGCGAGGGCCTCCAGAACGGACATGTAGGTCCCCGGAGCGGACAGGACGTGCCCCGCGCCTGTCAGCAGGATCTCGACGCCGCGGTCGATGCGCTCCAGCAGATCGCAGCTCAGCTGTAGCAGCATGGTGATCTGCAGGACGCCGTCGAGTTTCAGCGTCGACCCGTCCAGCTGCACGTTGGAGAAGGGCGCGGAGCCCGAGAAGTTGTCCAGGACGGCGAGCGGGCCCGTCAGATCGCCGGCTGGGGTGTAGCGCGCGACTAGGGCGCGGACGGACGCGTACAGGTCGGTGAGGACGCTGCGGTGCAGACGGATGAGCAGCACGTGGCAGGTTGTGATGGTGAGGCAGATGGGGAATTGGGTCTGGCAAGCGGGGGGGAGGGTCGGTTGTAGTCGTCGGCGTCGCTTGTCGGGGGGTTGGCTGTTGTTGCTGCTGCGGTTCTCGTGGCCGCCTCGGGACCAGGCGCGATGGCGTCCTGTGCTGGAGGAGTTGGGCGGCGCGGCTGTTGAGGAACTGTCGACGGTTGGGAGGGTGAACCAGGATGACGTGTCCTGGGCTGGGGCTGAGTCTGGGCGATAGTTGTTTCCATGATACTCCTCGTCGTCGGAATCTCGGGACCAGTCGGTGGCAGCACGATCTGGAGTTGGCATGCTGCAGACGGACTCGCGGTAGGACGAGACGAAGGATTGGATGATTTCGAGGAAGGTCTGGGAGCAGCGCATCATCTGGTGCGTGAGGTGGTCACTCTGGGTGTCTGTCACGTCCGGCAAGCGCGCGCCCAGCCGTTCCGTGTCGGGCGTGGAGCCATTGGTGCAGGTGTCGCTGCGGTCGGTCACTTGACTTTCGATCCGATATACGTATTCCAGAAGCGTGCTGTGAAGCTTCCACAAGCGCGCGATATTCTGCTCCTGGGGGTTGACCGCTGTAAAGTCGGTCGGGCCGGGGGCGTCGGACTGCGAGCCCATGCCCAGATCGGCGAACGTCGACGGGTCGAAGACATTGATATTTGGAAAGTCAAGATCGTAGCCCATATCTCCCTGGTCGAAGCCCAGGTCTGGGAGTTCATTGGTCGCATCCATTCCGGCGATGACCAGGTCGGGCAATCGGTGCGTGGCGGTACAAGAGGGTGGCGTCGACGAGTCAGCCCCCCGGCCGTTGGATCGCGTTTCATCGGAGGTCTTGCTGGATTTGTGGCGGTACCGGGGCTTGGGATTCAGGGAGCGCGGTCGACCCATGGGCATGGGAGCGCTGGTGACACAGGTCAGATGGCTGCGAGCGCAGCGATCGCACGCGATCGACGTATCCGTCTGGTGGGTCGTGCGATCACAACGGAGCTTCTGACTGCGACAGCGGTCACAGGCGTGACGTCGGAATGGCCTCACATTCCGATTTCCGGTATCCGATTCAGCCTGTGGGGTAAGAGGGTCCATTTCTGATGCCGAACAGCTTGATCAACTTGAGATTTATCGGATGAGCTGACAGACTGGACCTGAAGTGAACGGACGGACTGCGGGTGAAATCAGCAATGGCAAGGAGATGGCACAATTTCGTGACAACAGGCTCTTGCAGCATAGAGTGAGGAGGGGAGGCATGGTAAATCAAGTAACATCACCCCGCCGGACCGGATCACTGTGGCGCAAAACCCAATGGGAATAATACCCTAGGAAGGCAGCCAGCCAGCCAGCCAAGTAATTAATCAGGGATCTAGATCCATGCACACAAAGAAGTACGGGGTTACATGATGTTGTAATATAAGCTCGTGTATAAGAGGGTACCCGCAAAGCTCCGACGGATCTCGATATCTTTGTAGCCAAGTAGTATCCTTTGTAATAGTCATGAGCCTCTACCAGCATGTCAGGCCCTGCTTAGACCCTGATACCTGGTCGAAACAAGATACGAGAGCACGTGATTGGTGGGATTCTCTCTCCAGGCGACGCTGGGCAGGGGGACTCGGTAGTCAGACTAATACGAACCTACCAATCCCATCAGCATGAACCCAGTGCAGATACGAAGTCTAGCAGCTACTAGTGCCTCAAGATTCACGCATTATAGCTTTGATCAACCTGCAATCCTTAAGGGTAGAGTGGCAGGACTTCCCCCCCGAACCCCCGGCCCGGACCGCCCCAATCCGGAGCGGGGGTCAGACTTCAAACCCCGTTTGGGGGCTAGGGCTAGGGTCAGGATCCGCGAAGGTCTGGCAGAACTTATCTAGATTACAGACTCTAAATTATCTTAAATCAGGAATCTGCTCGATTGAAAAATTTTCAATATTAGAGTCTCATTCGGTGCGGTTCAGTGCGGTTCAGGGCGGGTTCAGGGCAGGTAGGATGCAGCTTGTTGCGGATTCAGTCCCTGAATCTCGCCCCCGAACTGACACGGGTTCTTATGGTTTAGTGCGGGTTTTAAGCTATGATCGGAGAATAGGCAGGTTTCTATCTAAATAGACTAGTTGGGTCTAAGATTTAGGCCTCAAACAGACTAATCTACCTGTAAACCAGCGTACTAGGCTGATCTATATGTATTTATATATTTGATGCTATAGGATAGCAGAATACTACGTTAATACCTAATCTGAAAGGACCAAATCAAGCTAATTCTAGTTGAATTTCTAGCAGCGGATTCTACCCTCGCCGTGAGGATTTTGCGGTGCGGTTATGCCACTATGATTATCGACTTCATTCCTACCCCATGGAGTAGCCAAGAGAGTACATGGTAGGAAGATATTTGTAGCAAAGAAGACCACTCGGCTACAAAAGATATCTAGACACTTCTGAGCTCGGTGGATCTTCTTCCATGGCCAATTTTATATTGCGACATCCTGCTAAAGGCGCCAAGATCCCCTGAGACTGTCTTAGCCTGCTGGCCACCGAGTCCAGACTCGTATACAAAAGAGAAGATAGTCTTATATTAAAGTCGTGAAGAAGTAGTCTGATACTAGTCTATATTACATCTTGTTATTATTCTATTCTTATGCTACTAGAGATCCTTTTGGGGTACTGTCAGTCCCTTGGAGTCAGCAAGTCCCCATGTAGTATAGAGAGTATAGATAATAAGGATCTCCTTCAGGAGTAGCGGCCACGCTTGTTTTGACTAATGTAACAGGAGATATGTAGCGACAGGTATTTGCATGGTTGTAGTAGGATGTAATACAAACTAGATCAGCGCTGGATAGCGTAACCAGATCTGTTCACGAAAGCACCGCAACAGTGGATGTCATTATGAGAGGGAGCTGATTTAGTATAGAGAGAGTGTATTACACAGCTGTAATCTGCATGAATAAGATCAAGGTAGATGAGATTAATTCCCAGGAGCAAAGCATAATAATCATAACCTGCTATGGCAAAGGAGATGGTGAAATGCAAGACATAACCGAGTAGTCTAATAGTAGAAACGTCTCAAGACAGTTAAAGACATACGAGCTACCAAGTCTAATAGCAGAAACACCTCATGCTAGCTGTCGCCTTGAAGAACGCGAAAAGAGCGTTGGGCGATCGCCATGATCCGAGAGAGAGAGAGGGATCTTCTTCACAGACCACGCACGCACCAACATGCCAAGCGGCAACAAGCGCTGTCCCCGATTAGGCGCGCTGTACCGGATGCGTAATTCACTGTCACTGCAGAATACGGCGTAGAGTAGTGTACTCTACAGAAAATACATATTGGATGTACATTCAAGATGGAATTAATGTGACTCGTCATGCGCGTCATGACTACGCAGGGATCGCCGCATGTTCGATGCAGGCCTATGCAGGACGAGTCATGGATACGGCTAATAGACGATATAGACTGACTACTGACGATCGCAGGAGATCCAAATCATCATGTCAATTCCAATACAAATATAATGATAATGAATCAAACTGACGTGAACACAAAGTTCAATTACTGGAAGACGTAACGAAGACTACCCAGAAAGCAGGGCACCAACGAGAACCATTCCTAGCAGACAGAAACTAATAGAAAAAACACACCAACTCCCGGAACCCGAAGTGTCCGTAATGCATCGAGCCGCATTCACAGCCCGACAAGAAACAAGTCGCAACGGATCCTGCTCATGCAATGCCCCAAAAACGTCAAAGTGAAAAGTGAAATCGGTCTGTCCAGAACGCCACGGCCGGATGAAACAAAACCAAGCCAACCCAACCCCATGCGATTATTCGATCTCCTCGATGTCCCGGTGTCGGGATAGGACCAGACGCTTGAATTCCTCCTTGTCGGTGTCCCAGAGTTCGGCGGCTTGGGCGTTGAGGGGGCTTGCGCTGCACGGGAAGTTAGTGAGGCGATCAACGGTGGAGACAGTGTGAGAGAAGGCATACTTGTTGGGTTCACCCAGCAGACTCTGCAAGCTCAGGAGAACACTCTGCACATTATACACAGCACTCCACTTCTCGCCCAGGATATCCAGACAGATGCGGCCGGAGAAGTCAAAGTTGGGGTGGTAGATGGGGGTCTTGAAGAGGACGGTGGGCGGAGCGTAGGGGTAGTTGTTGGGAAAGGTAAACGACAGCTTGAAGGTGAGGCCCTCGTAGGGAGTTTCCGTGGGACCGGTGATGGTCGCCGTCCAGGAAAGCAGGTTGCCGTCGGCGTCGGGGAAGGCGGACGTGCCGGGGGAGGGGGACAGCATGAGCTGCATCAACTCGGCTTGGAGACTGCAGTAGTAGTACGTCAGTAGATGCTAGCATATGAACGAAAGAAAGAAAGAAGACGAACCGCTTCGTAACGCTCTGGGTATCATTTTTCTGAGCGCCCGAGCTCAGCTTCGAGGACTCCCGGGCCTCCGGGGCAGCGTTCTGAGTATCCTCCATGGCGTAGTCCATTCCGACGAAGCGAGAGAAGAGGAGAGAAGGTAAAAGGATGGTTCGTTGGAGAAACTAGGACTAGGAAAGAAAAGAGGGGAATGTCGAGGTCGCAGCAGGGTTGTTGGTGCTGGAATGACGGTTGCCGGATGCAGGCAAGATTGGCTGGACCCACAGTCACGAACTCCAGGCGATCGAAATCAGACGAGCGAGAGGACCACAAGAGGGAGGAATGTCCGGTGGAAGAGAGAAGCTGAGGAGAGTATAGTATAGAATTTAGGAGAGTAGATGGGCGATCGTGGATTGTCAAGAGACCAGAGACAAGAGGAGAAAGAGTTGAAAGGGCGAAATGAATCGAGCTGGTCTTTGTTTACCGCCGAGAACCCCGGCAACGAACCAATATCGGTTGGACCCCGCCCACTCCACCTGACTTGCTCATCGGACAGTGTCAAGCATCTGTCGTGATCAATTACTGGAGTCATGATATTTATAATTTATTAAAATAATACAAGGAGAATTGTCGGTCATGTTCCATTATTGAGGGTTCGTGGTAAATACGCCTCGTAACACAGTCCGCCAACTGCCGGGATATATATCAACAGAGATGCCTCGAATATTGCTATATAAAAAGTGGAGAGGAAAAATCAAAGAAAACAACACAGTCGGATAATAATAAACAAGATCAACCCTCTGTAAAATACTGCTTTTCGTTCGTAATCAACATCCCTGCAATCGCCGCACTGGTAAAGGTACTGATCGCGCCCGTCAGCATCGCACTCACGGCCACCCGGGAGACATCGCCCGATCGACCGGGTGCCAGCTGTCCCAGCACACCGATCTGCTGTCCGATCGAGCCGATGTTGGCAAACCCGCAAATCGCATAGGTGGCGATCAAGCGGGAGCGGTCCGACAGGTCCTGGAATTCCTCGCCTGTCTGCAAATTATCGTAGGCGACGAACTCATTCTGGGGGGAGAATTAGTATTGGCTCGGTGGGTTATGGAGAAGGAGAAGGACGTACCATGACCAGCTTGGTGCCGAGGAGCTTGCCGACCTTGAGGAGATCACCGTTTCGGGACACACCGAGGAGGAAGGCGATCGGGTAGCAGAGATAACCCAGGATGAGCTGGAGGGTGAGCTCGGGGTCGCGGATGTTCAGGTAGTGGCCCCACCAGGTCAGCAGGCCGTTGACCAGGCCGACCAGGGAGATGATGCAGAGCAGCGTGGTGCCGATCATGCCGGCGATCTTGATGCCCATCCAGGCGCCGTTGGCGAAGGCATGCAGGGCGTTGACGGCCCGCTCGCTCTCGTCTTCGGGGACGACGACGCGGCCGGCGGTCAGGGTTTCCTCCTCCTCGGGCCACCGCAGCTTGGACATCGCCAGCGAGGCGGGGATACTCATCACGCAGGACGAGACCAGTGCCTGCGGGTTGATCCCCATGCCGATGTACACGACCAGGACGGAGCCCGCGATGGTGGCGAACCCGGAGCACATGACCTGGTGGATCTCGGCCAGCGTCAGGTAGGGCACGAAGGGCTTGACCAGCATGGCGGACTCGCCCTGTCCGATGAAGGGCGAGGCGGCCGCGACGACGGCCTCGGCGCCGGACACGCGCATCGACCAGAAGAAGAAGACGGCGAATTTGCCGACGGCCCACTGCAGCACACCGGAGTAGTAGAGCAGCTGGACGAGGGAGACGAAGAACACGATGGCGGGGATGACGTTGATGAGGAACCAGGCGGCATGCTTTTGCGCGAACCCCGGTTCCAACAAGAAGTCGACGCCCTCGGAGGCGAAATGGAGCAGCTCGCGGGCCAGGAAGGAGATGAAGTTGAAGATGTCGTACCCGGCCTTGGTGCGCAGCACGAACAGGGCGATGATGAACTGCACCAGCATGCCCACGATGACGGTGTGCCAGTTGATGCGCTTGCGGTTCCGCGAGGTGGCCCACAGCACGAAGATGAAGACCGCCAGGCCGAACAGGCTCACCGCGCGGTTTGCCCGGGTGTTGTCGTCCGATTCTTCGGTGACGAAGGAGCCCAAGAGGATGACGCCAATGGTCAACAGGGCGGCGCTCGGGACGCGGAACTTCTCCGGAATGATGCCGACGATCCGCGAGGCTGTCTGATTCCACACCCAGTACACGGGACGGGTGAGCGTCGCGATGGGGAGATAGAAGAAGATCATGCGCAGGGTGATGGCCAGATATATGAGGAAGGGGATCAACCAGCCCAGGTCATAGCGATGGAGGATGAGGCCCGTGATCCACCACCTGGAGAGAGTCAGTCGAAGTCAACGATTTACAGAACCCTTTCGACAACTAGAAAGCGAGGATGATCCTACCCGGTAAACAGCAACCAGATGACGGCGTATACTACATGTCGGGTGTGCTTGAAAAATCGGTGACGGTGCCAGGACCGCGACGACACCTCACCGGCTTCCTCCACCTCCCTGTCGCTCTTATTGCGCCCATTGCTGTCCACGGAGCTCGCTTCCTGGATGGGATGTTTCTCAGACGGGGTTCGTTCCAGGTCTGTCCCATCTGGCGCGTCGCGCGAGGGCGCAATGGCCGGGGTGGAATGATCTGGCTCTTCGGTGGCCATGGTGGAATCAGAACAACCAGACTGTCAACTGTTCGATTAGACCGTCATTGGCGAGGCTCGAATTTGACTGTTAGAGCAGATGAAGTCGCGGGTCAAGATGATCGACAGATGGATGGGAGAGAGAAAGAGGAAGATCAGGACTGCAGGGAGGAAGAAGGGGAGACGAAGGAAAAGGTAAAAAAATAAAATTAAGAATAAACTCCAACAACCCAACAGAAAAGATAACCAGAGGACAGGGAAGAGACGGTGAATGGACTAAATTAAGGGCTTGAAGTCGGACAGAACAGAGTCCAGATAAGGTCGTGGATTATCCGTGCGGGGAGAAAGTCTATACAGCCAGTCGAGATAGTCGAATGTTTAATATCAACACAGCTGCCACGATGCTAGGGTTACAACGAGGGGACTTATTTCTGGCATTTATTCGATATTGGATCGATCTTTTGATTGATTTGATTGGGTCTGGCTTATGATTTTTGATCGATTGTACGGAGTACTTATTACCATTGATCGTATACTCCATCCCATCGAATGATCATTGTCGGCAGCACTGACCACACAACACACCAAATCAAGGAAATGGCCCCATCCAGAATGCTGAAATGCTCAAACTCTGGGGTAAGAATGCCATCCACCATGGACGGAGTTCAGCAATCGATACCACCTTGATCCAACCGAGTGTCCAGATTGCATATTTCCCCCTTGCAACTGGATAACCCCCCCCCGGTCGATCTCAGCCAACGAGACGCGACTGGCCACGGTCCGCTGATCAGCCGCCAATCTGGTGGCAGAAAAGGGACCAGGGGGTGGAGTCTTAGCGATGCAACTCTGTTATCGAGTCTCGACTTATCACCGGAGGGGAAATTTGCCATCGGGCCAGGATTGTGGAAGGAGGGTCCTGTTCCGCCGGATTTCCTGCAGCCACCGTATTATCGGAAGCGAGAGAGAGGATGAGGCACTCGCCATGTGGACGCGAAACCACTCATCGCACATCCTGATCGCAGCTTGTGTCCTGTTGGAGCCCTAGAGGACATGGGTACTAGCTGACTGTCACACCAGCCAGGCTACCCATGCCCGACCGAGACTAACCAGCCATCCCTGGAGGAAGATAACCCATGTCGGTGGCGGTTTGATACCGGCGGTGTTAAGGTCCGGAGGACGCCGTCTGACCCTGATTCTTTGTGTGGATGTGTGTGAATGCAGTGATTCGAGAAGTACGATATTGAGGCGCGATGATAAGCGACGCCCCGATCGCATGGACCAGTGAATCCACGTTATGGTTGACGGAGGGATTCGTTGAATTTATCAGGACGATAGCAGTCGAGTACGCAAGAGGCTGCCAAGAACGGCTGGAGGGGACGATGTTACCTGAATTCCTCGGTTGGTTAGACTTTGGTGAGGGTTTTGGAGCTATTCTCTCCGTATCAGACCCCGCATATCCAACTGCCGTGATTACCCGAATCTACTTCTGGCTTCTGACTACGGAACATTGGGTTCATCCAGAATTAATTCTGCTGTATCATGTCTCATCCACGTGTTTCTGCTGTCTTAGTGATTTTCCCTTGCTTATATAGTATTCCTTGATTAGGATCAATATATCATCTCTCCATATTGTCATGGTAGTTGTCTACGCGTAGCAGTATATAAAGCATTCGAACACCCGGTATGATACTTTCTTGCGTCCTAATACATGAGATATCTACATGTTCTTTTTCCATTGAAAAGTCTACAGAAGATCCCATATATCTTCTAGCATTGATATGCAATTTCTACTATATCATATGTAGAATCCGCAATCCCGATCAACAAAACATATCATACATCAGCAGATTTCTTGAAGCATTTATATAGAGATTTGCTTTTACAATGGAGTGATTTATCCTGGCTTCTATAATCCGTGTTTCATGATATGATAACTCCATACATGGATAATGACCAAGAGGGCTGTTTGCGGAGAAACATTGATGAAAAGCACCAAATACCAAATCAACATTCAGATCAAACTCAGTATACTGATATCCAACAAAGCATAAACACTAGACTACCAAATCAACACCGTAACCAGAAATCAAAACATCATATCTGACAGACAAGCTGTCCTCGCGCCTCTAACACCCTCACAGCAATATCCCTCAGCTCCCCCTTCCTCACCTTCCCACTCCCCGTAACAGGCACATCCTCCTCCACGCCCTCCTCCCCAAAATAAAAGAAATGCACAGGCGCCTTATGCCTCCCCAGTGTCATCCTCGTCCACTCGCGCAGCTCCTCCTCCCCAGGCCTCGCCCTCCCCCGCCCCAGCAACACAAACGCCCCGACAACCTCCCCATACCGCCCATCCGGCACGCCCACAACAGCAGCCCTTACCACAGCCGCATGCTCCCCCAACCGCTCCTCAATCTCCAACGGATAGATATTCTCCCCGCCGCGAATAATAATATCCTTGAAGCGGCCCGTGATCGTGCAATGCCCGTCGGCCGTGAATCGCGCCTCGTCGCCCGTCTTCATCCACCGCGAGCCCTGCGCGTCTGTCACGAACGCCTCCGCCGTCTTGGCCTCGCTCTTCCAGTACCCTTTGCTCAGCTGGTAGCCTGCGATGCAGAGCTCGCCGCGTTGGCCGACGGGGACGATGGAGCCGGCGCGGTCGATGATCTTGGCTCGCGCGTGCGGCATCACCCGGCCTACTGTTTCCAAGCGTGTGGGTATCGTGTCTGTTGTGAGGGCGTTGAAGCACGTGGGGGATGCTTCCGTGAGGCCTGTTATCGTTAGTCGACCCATTCACCTGGATATGTCTCCATCGAGCGAGTATGAAAATGGAATTTAGAAGAAAAGGGGAAGAGAGAGAAATAAATACCATAACTACTCGTAAACTCCGACATATTCAACTCCCCCAGCAATCTCTCCATCAACGGCCTTGGCACCGGCGCGCCCGCAATGATCCCCGTGCGCAGCATCGACACGAACCCCTCCGGCTTGGGGAGGGCGAGAATTGACTCGAACATGGTGGGCACGCCGTGAAGGGCGGTGCACGCCTCGTCGGAGATGGCGCGCAGGACAGCGGACGCGTCGAAGGTCTCTGCGGGAAAGACGATCTTGGCTCCGTGCGTGAGCACAGCGAGCAGGCCGAGCACGAGCCCGAAGCAGTGGAAGAGGGGAGGCGGGCAGCAGAGGATGTCGAGGGATGTGAACGCCATGCGGTCGCCGATGAAGCGGGCGTTGTTGACTAGGTTGCTGGTTCTGTTAGCGATGGGTGGAGAGGAGGAGGTAGGAGGAAAGTATGGTGTGGTTATTTGTTATGGGAAGACAAACTGGTGAGTGAGCATGGCGGCCTTGGGAGACCCGGTTGATCCGCTCGTGTACTGCAGGTTGCAGACGTCGTCGGGGCTGAGTTCGCTCTCGCGGAGGACGAGCGCGTCTGTGGGCAGGTGTTCGCCGCGCTGAAGAACCTGGCTGTACCGAGTGAAGGTCGGGTAGTCTCTGCTGTTGGTATCATTGTCGCGGAGCAGGACGACCTCCTCGAGGGCCTGAGATGCAGTGGTGTCTTTTGGACGGGGGCCGAGGTGAGTTAGGGCTTCGTGGAGAGAATGACGGCCGATGTGGGGCGTGAGGAAGAGAAGTCGGCATTCTGGCACAACCAGCGTCAGCGTACGAGCATAGACCAGCGTGACATAATAAAGGCGAGAAGCAACATACCGGAATGGTCCAACGCATAGTACAACTCCAACGGGGTATACGTATTGTTCAGCACGACGAGGATGGCTCCCACGCGGGCAGCGGCAAAGAAGACAGCGACGTACTCCTCGCAGTTGCCCGCCATGATGCCGATGCGGTCTCCCTTGGATATTCCCATGGCCAGCAGGCCCCTCGCCAGACGATTGGCCTGCTCATCGAGTTGAGCATAGGTCCACCGGACACCCGACCAGGGGAACACCACGCACTCGAGACTGCCGTACTGGGTTCGCTGCCGCTCTAGCAACTGGCCAAGGGTGGTATTCCAGAGAGGCTGGTCGGTTGGACCTTGCACGATAGAAAGCTGAGTAGGAGCGGAAACTGGCTGAAGGTGCGCGAGCGTCTGCTGCAGACGCTCCTGGACACTGATTTGCGTCATGTCTGGCTGCCTCGAGTATGGTGGGAGTTTGCTTTCTCCTCTGTGTATGGTTTCGAGACAACAGGACTAGAGGCGGATTTACTCCAGATATGCTCTGCATCTAAGCGTCTGACCATGATGTGATGTCCTCTGCCGGGGCATCCGAGCCAAGTGTCTTGTATCTCTGACTAGAGCACTTCCAACACCTCCCATGGATCGCGAGTCTATAGAGAGGATATGGATCTTCGTTTCCGCGTGTATCGCTGGTATGTTTTGTGGTAACTTACCATAGGTATTGGTATTTTAAACGAAAGTTTCTTGTAAGAAACACTGTAAGATTGATAAAGCGGTCCAAGCGGATCAGATAATGAGGGTGGATACTTTTTTCTCTTTTTATTTATCAATCTTTTCTTGAAGTCAACTGCTCTTTGAGACAAATCCGCCACCGACCCAGACTATTCCAAGGATAGAAATTTCAACACTGCTGATCGTAGGCGGAACATTCCGCCGGTCGTATCCCTCCCATCTACTCGGCGAATTGGCAGGTGGAGTTGTGCGTGGAGCCTCATTCCCATTTGCAGAGAAGCCGCTGCCTGGTTGTATTAATGCACGCCTGGCAGGTGGAGTGTGGGCCGGAACAACGTGGAATCACGAGGAGGGATATATGGGGCTGGAAGGTGGAAGGTTCCGAGGCAGATGGTCTTGTAGTCTCACGATGCTACCGGAGATACTAGCTGTCTTTGCCTGCCGCTAGTCATGTCCAGCCGAGGAGAGAAGATAGGCCGGGGATCGCAGTATCTGCAATTGAAACCCAATCTCCTGGCAAACTATAGTCTATTAGCAAAGAGTAGTTTGATTGAATCTGCTTACATCCTGGTCCGGTGCCGTAGCTGGAGCGTCCTACAAGGCTTCAACATTAAATTGATAGGCACCATGCATTCCTATCCAAGGTCGTAATATATGAGCGAGTAGTCGGTGAAGGAGTATGACGGGCTGGGTATGCTCCGCCAGCATTCTGATGGTCTGTCTGGTATCGCCCGGATGTTTCCTCGACCGGGGTTGCGTGTGACCGGTATCAGTCACGGCCATGGTCTAACCCCTGAGGTGCTTGTCTTACCCTCACGTAATGTGATCAGAAGGATATGAGGGAAAAGTTCGCTTAATTCAAAAAGGGCAAGCCTTACTCCGCTCTAGTGGATACGTTGACCACCAGGTTCTGGATCCATGCCTGGTAGTTCGAATGGCTTCGTCTGGTAATTTATCAGATCAAAAAAACCATAAATACGATTTATCCCCCAAATACCGGCTGTCTAGATGAAGACTGTTTCAAAGGTCTCGCATGACAGCTAGTCGACCCACCGACTACACTACAGCACTGCTTTGACCCTTGGTAGGATTAAGTGCTTCTAGCTGATATGAGACACACCCCAAGTTCTCCATATTGTCCGTCCTCATTGGCTCGTCGTCTTCCTGTAGAGGGTGAAGCCACCACTTTCCCAGTTTTTTTACGTTTGCGTCGACAAATGACAAGACTGTGTTCCTTGGATCATGGCCGTGCCCTAATCTGAGAGGTAGTCCGACTTTCGGAGAGCCTTGTCAATCACTTGTAGTTAACGGCATGGTTTCCAGTGACTGCGGTGATTCTATGTCCCACCTAGTAAACCCTCACTCTATTCACCCGTCATTATGGTAGAGTTCACCAGGCTCCGGGCGCTCTTCAAGGCTGGGAATACAGAGGATGACTCGGTCATGGTAACTAGAAGAACCGTCGTGGACAGCAAACACGAGGGCGCTGCTGGCGATGTCCCACAAAATCAGGATGAGGCACAAACAGAGGTGCCCAGTGAAGACACCCAGCGTGGTGTGCACAATGTTGAGGCCCTGACCTTGACATGGTCCAAGAGAACCCTCATTGCGGTCTTCATCAAGTACGGTCTTGTTTCCCATCGTTCAGCAGACCAATCACTAACCTGATGGACCCCCAGTATATGGTTTCTTTACCTCGTCAACGCTTTCCAGTCGACCATCCTCTCCAGCCTCCTCCCGTTCGTCACCAGCAAATTTGAGTCCCACTCGTTGCTGAATGTTATCTACGTGGTGTCGAACGCCATGTGCGCCGCCACCTATATCCCGCTGGCTAAGATCATGGATCTCTGGGGCAGAGCGGAGGGATTCCTGATCATGACCGTTTTTGCGACGGTTGGCTTGGTCATCATGGCCTGCTGCCAGAATCTTCCCACATTCTGCGCTGCCTATGTAAGATTTCCCCCCTGCAGAACTTAGAGTGGGGGTCCTTATGAGAGCCCTGATAACGATAGCAAGCTCACTCGCAGCAGGTCTTCTACAGTATTGGCTTCGGGGGCATGACGTACTGTATGGACGTCATCACCGCGGACGCATCGAAGCTCAAGAACCGTGGACTGGCATATGCCTTTACGTCGTCGCCCTACATCATCACAGCATTTGCGGGGCCCAAGGCTGCAGAAGACTTCTACTACAAAGTCAATTGGCGCTGGGGGTTCGGTTGTTTTGCTATTATCTTTCCGGCTGTCGCGGCGCCTCTGTACTTTATGTTGAAGTTCAACCTCCGCAAGGCCGTCAAGCAGGGTTTGACCGCCAAGGGGGACAGTGGACGGACATTTTTGCAGAAGATTTGGCACTATATTATCGAGTTTGATCGTACGTTTACATTTCTCTAATGGCGTGTTCTGGAGTCTGTTCCGCATCCGCTGCGTTGTACCGAAATGCACCGGCTAACAATCGTAGTATTCGGTGTTGTGATCTTCTCCGCCGGTCTCATCGTCTTTCTCTTGCCATTCGAGATTGCCGGCGACGCCCCTCACGGCTGGAGCACCGGATACGTCATTGCAATGATCGTGGTCGGCTTCGTGATGCTCATCATCTTCATCCTGCATGAAGTCTTCTTGGCCCCCGCGCCCATGTTGAATTTCAGCTTCATCTCCGACCGCACGGTCATCGGCGCCTGTCTTCTAGACGCTACCTACCAGATCTCCTACTCCTGTTGGGCCAACTACTACACCTCCTTCCTGCAAGTCGTCAATGACTTGACCCTCGCGGAGTCCGGCTACGTGATGAACACCTTTGACGTCGTCTCGGGGGTTCTCCTCCTGATCGTGGGGTTCCTCATCTCCCGCACCGGCCGCTTCAAATGGCTCCTCTACATCTCCGTTCCGCTATACGTCTTCGCCCAGGGCCTCATGATCTACTTCCGCCGCCCCAACCAATCCGTCGGCTACCTGGTTATGTGCCAGATCTTCATATCCATCGGCGGCAGCGTCTTCATCATCGTCCAGCAGCTAGCCATCCTCGCTGCCGTCGACCACCAGCACGTCGCCGCCGTGCTGGCCCTCCTCAACGTCGTCGGCACCGTCGGCGGCGCCATGGGCTCCAATATCTCCGGCGCCATCTGGACCAATACCTTCAAGAAGGCACTCATCCGGGATCTGCCTTCGTCAGAAATGGGGAACCTCGACAGTATCTATGAGAACCTCGATACCCAGCTGGAGTATCCCGTTGGGAGCGTTACACGTTTGGCTATCCAGGAGGCCTACGCCTATGCGCAGACGCGCATGTTGGCGGCCGGGACGGGGGTTATAGGCCTCGCGTTTGTGTGGATCCTTCTGATACGCAATATTGATCTTGCCAAGGTACAACAGGTTAAGGGTATGGTGTTTTAGGGGGGTTACGGTTCGGTGTAGCTACATAGATGCATTGTTTAAGTAGTGATGCTGTCGAGATACTACCGAGGGATGCGGGAGGGGAGGAAAGGGAAGGGAAGGGAAGGGAAGGGAAGGGAAGGTCACCGCAGTGTAAAAGGTGATGATATGGTGGAAAAATCAAGAGTACTAATGTTTACATGGTTTATTCAATGTTGTTTATGTATTTCCTAAGCAAGCTTGTTCTAGAAAGAGTTGGCCGTAATGCATGTGCTTTTTCATCAAGCAGAATATCTCAGCACACTCTTTTTAACCTCCATGACCGACAAAGGACGATAGGACAGTCAGTATACACCAGCAGACAGCCTAATGGGGGCTAGTTACCATGTGCACAGGCTCAAAGAGTCCAACAAGTAGCCACAGGTGACATGGCCGGCATACGTCCGAGAGCTGTCTCACCTGAAATCCGCCCTGACGGCCCCAACCACGCGAAAAGCTCGGTTTCCTGCTCGTACCACTTCAAAGCACATGGAGTCCGGCCCGGCAATCCACTCAATACTCTGGTTCATGTGTCATAATTTGACAGCGACTACGAGAAATAGACTAGCGTCCTGCTGATTTTTATCTGATAAGATTTGATCCTTCATCAATACCGGGACTGGTGTATATTACGCATTACTTACGCTTGTATGTAATCCAGTATCATGTATTGCAGTAATACGAGCCCACTTAGATTGATTAGATCAAATAGATCAGACCCTGCAGAATCCCACTTCTTACGTAGCGATATTGGCTCCACTTCAGCGTCAGTCCTTGGGACCTGTCGTTCCGTGTGTCTGGGCGGAAGTCTTTCACCCGAGAAATGAGAACCTTAGAGAAAAGGAGAGCAAAAAACAAAGACCTATGCCTCCTAGACCTGGATAAACGACCACGCCTCGAACAACCTACACCCCCCCAATAACTCTAAAGTAGGGCGGCACCATGAAGTTTCTCGCTAAGATGCTAGATTACCCTAGCATGCTGCTGGCCGGCAAGCCATCTAAGGTCGACCGTGGCATGCTGCTCCTGGGTGTCGTTTGCGCCATCGCGTCTGGGGTTCCGTTTCCCCTGATCGGGATCGTCTTCGGCCAGCTGCTGGATGATTTCAACGCAGTGACCTGTCAGGAGAGCAAGACAACGACAGAATCTGATGCACAAGCTCAGAGCGATATGAACGGCAAGATTTTGCTGATCGTGTATCTGGCCATCGCCCAGTTCGTCACCATCTACCTCCACCTGACCTGCTGGAGTCTGACTGGCGCGCGACTGGCGCAGAGACTACGGGAGAGCTACTTGAAGAATTTGCTTCGTCAGGAGCCATCCTATTTTGACAAGTTGCCTCCGGGCGAGATTGCTTCCAGGCTCAATGGCGACATTCAGGCCATCCGTTCGGGGACGTCTGAGAAAGTCGGCATCTGTCTGTCGAGTTTCTCCTTCTTCGTGACCGCGTACATCGTGGCCTTTATCAAAGACTACATCCTAGCCGCGATGCTCCTCTCCCTGATTCCTGCCTACTTTATCATGTCCTTTGTGGGTAGTCATTACATCGAGAAGTACTCCGCGCGCATGTCGGACTATGCGGCCTCGGCGGCCTCCATCGCCTCCGAGGCGTTGTCCAACCTGATCGTGGTGCAATCGTTTGGTGCCAACACGCGCCTGGAGGAAAAGTTTTCCAAGGCACTCAAGTCGTCCGAGCAGGAGGGTTTGAAGAAGGCCACCGCTGTGGGAATCCAGTCCGGTGTCTTGTACTTTGTGGCATATTCCGCCAACGGCCTCGCATTCTGGCAGGGGAGTCAACGGATCGCCGACGCCGTGCAGTCCAAGTCCAATGGGACCACGGTGGGCTCCACGTTCACCGTCATCTTTATTCTCATTGAAGGTGTGTTTTTTTGCTGCGATGGTATGGAGACTAAGCAAAAGAGACTGACGGATTGGCAGCAACCCTTTTACTGAGCCAAGTCGCCCCCTTCCTGCATCTGTTCACCGCCGCAGTCGCATCCTACGGCAAGCTGCGCGGCGATATCGACCGAGAGCCTCTTATCGACGGTACGACAGACGCCGGTATTCGTCTCACACAGGCGGATGGCGCGTTCGAGCTCGAGAACGTATCTTTCGTCTACCCCTCTCGGCCGGAGATCACCGTGCTCGACCAGGTCAGCCTCTCCATCCCGGCCAAGAAACACACGGCGCTGGTCGGTCTCTCAGGCAGCGGCAAGTCCACGATCGCTGGTCTCGTCACCCGGCTGTATGATCCCAACCAGGGTCGAGTGCTATTCGACGGCCAGGACCTGCGCCATGTCAACACCCGCGACCTGCGCGGGTTCCTCAGTCTCGTCCAGCAGGAACCCTCGCTGCTCGACCGATCACTCCTGGAGAACATCGCTCACGGCTTGGTGAACTCGAAGAACCCGGCCCATGTATCCCTGCTCCCGGCGCTGCTAAGCACCGACCTGGCCGAAGTGGCGAGCGAGGTGCGCGACGGCGCGGACCTAACGACCGCGGCCCAGAAGCGTGGCGACCACGTTGTTGAGATCGTCAATCTGGTCAAAACGGCCGCGACGCTGGCGGACGCGGACGCGTTCATCGTCGCCTTGCCCCAGGGATACGGAACGTCGGTGGGCGCGAGCGGCCGGCTCATCAGTGGGGGCCAGCAACAGCGGGTGTCGTTGGCTCGTGCCCTCGTCAAAGATCCGGAGGTTCTCGTCCTGGATGAAGCGACGGCGTCGCTCGATTCCCGCAGTGAGCAGCGCATCCAGAATGCGATTTCCAGTATAGCCAGTGGCCGAACTATGATTACGATTGCGCATCGCCTGTCGACCATCACCAGCGCTGATAACATCATCGTTCTGCACCGCGGACATATCGTTGAACAGGGAGACCACGCCTCTCTCATGGCTAAGGATGGCACGTATGCGGAGATGGTAAGGCTGCAAACACTGACATCTAGTCCGGAACAGGACGCAGAGGCCTCCAGTGTCGACACCGGCCGCCAGTCGGGCCAGAATCCTTCTCTCGTTGCAGAGAACGCGGACGACGCCTCCTGGGGTGCTGTTGACCCCGAAAAGAAAGCGAACATCGTCACGTCCGCGATGAGCATGGCTCCGGACCTGGAGACCGCGGACGCAAACGATGAAGAGCCCCACGCGCCGCCCAAGTCCCTCTGGGATCTGGCCCGTGGGTACGCGCCGACACTGCGACCGCATCTGTTGGTCATTTCCCTGGCCCTGCTGGGCGCCAGCCTTGTCGGTGGGGCCTTCTCGGGCGAAGCGGTCATCTTTGGCAACACCGTCGGCAGTCTGAATCCCTGCAAGGGCCCGTCAGCAATCCGGTCCGACGGCAACTTTTATGGACTATTGTTCTTCGTGCTCGCCATCATTGAGTTCTTCGCCAACGTGGTGAGCTGGTCCGGGTTCGGATGGGTGTCGGAGCGCATCGTCTGCACGGTGCGTATCCTCTCCTTCCGCTCGCTGTTTGAGCAGGACCTGCAGTGGCATCAGTCCAAGGGACGCTCGCCGGCCCTGCTGCTCTCGTATATCACGCGCGATGGCAGCGCGCTGGCAGGGCTGAGCGGCTCCGTCCTTGGCACGCTCTTCTCTATCACCGTCAACCTCATCGCGGCCATTATCCTGACGCACATCATCGCGTGGAAGATCGCTCTCGTCTGTCTGGCGCTGGTGCCGCTGCTCCTGGGCGCCGGTATGATGGAGCTGCGCGTGCTCGGCCGGTTCGAAGACCGCCATGAGAACGCATACACTAAGTCTGTGGACATCGGCGTCGAGGCCATCACATCCATCACGACCATCGCCGCGCTATCTCTCGAAACGGACACTCTGACCACCTACCGGCGCTCCCTTCGGGGCCCCCGCAAGGAGACCCGCGCCGTCACAATGCAGGCCTCCCTCTGGCAAGCCATGACCTACTTCCTCGGCAATCTGGTCAACGCCCTGGCCTACTGGTGGGGCGCGAAGCAAATCATTGCCGGCACATACACCCAAACCCAGTTTCTCATCGTCGTCTTCTCACTGCTCGTCAGCGCCCTTTTATGGAGCCAGATGTTCGCTCTCGCCCCGGAACTCTCCAGCGCCCGCGCCGCCATGGCGCGCATCCTCACCCTGATCGAAGCCGGCTCCGACGGCATGCAAGGACACATCCCGACCCCCGCCGCCCTCAACGGGGAGATAATCACCCCCTCCGACCCCGAAAAAGCCATCTCCAGCCAACCCACGGGCATTTTCGCCGCCCCAGCCGCCGCCGCCAGCGTCCAGCTCCACAACGTGCACTTTGCCTACCCCGCCCGCCCAGACACCGCCGTCCTCCACGGTCTCAGCCTCACCGTGCAACCGGGCCAATTCTGCGCCCTCGTTGGCCCCAGCGGCGCCGGCAAATCCACCATCATCGCGCTCATCGAGCGCCTATACACCCCACAAGCCGGATCCATCCTCATCGACGGCGTCGACGTCACCCGTCCCAACCATGACCCCCACTTCCGCGACACCATTGCCCTCGTGCCGCAGGAGAACGTCCTCTTCGAGGGCACAGTGGCCTTCAACATCGGGCTAGGTGCGCGACCCGGCCACGCCGCGTCCCAGGAGGAGATCATCACCGCTTGCAAGCTGGCGCACATCCACGAGACGATCGAGGCGCTGCCGGACGGGTACGAAACCATGTGTGGACCGAACGGGAGCCAGTTCTCCGGCGGGCAGAAGCAGCGGCTTTCGATTGCGCGGGCGCTCGTTCGGCGTCCGCGGCTGCTGATCCTGGATGAGTCGACGAGTGCGCTGGACGCGGAGAGCGAGCGGTTGCTGCAGCAGGGGCTGGAGATGGCGGCGCAGGGCATCACGCTTGTTGCAATTGCGCATCGGCTGCGGACGATTCAGCGCGCGGATGTGATCTTCTTGATTGAGGGGGGTGTGTGTGTTGATTCGGGCAGTCATTCGGAGCTGTTGGGGAGGTCGGACAGTTATCGGGCGAATGTTTTGCATCAGACTGTTGCGACGTAGGTTGACTTTTCCTCCTGGTCTTGTTGAATTTTCCTTGTATACTTTGCTTTATCGAGTGGATCTCACTCTTCTTGTTTTGTCTTTGGTTCTGTTGAGCGTGTTGCTTAGGGCTGCTTTCCCACGTGATTGGCCTTGTGGGTGACCCTTGACTATGATCGAACCTTTTAGACTGTTAATTCTTTATAATATAGACTAGATAAATAATACAGTTCAATTTCTGGATTTGAAAATCGTGACAGGTCTTGGAGAAGATTGTTTAAGTGAATGACAAATAGGTTAGGTACTGTGAGAAATCCAGGTATTATAGTCGATAATGGTTATATATATTCATTCTAGGAAAATACACTCATATGATATCCCATATCAAGCCCGGTATTTAGGTGCCTTGGCTGAGATATCACCATGTTGATTTATGTATCCAACGTAGATGGAAGAGTATTGGAAACAATATACTACCTACCGTGAATCTATACAGAAGGAGTTGAAGATGTTATGAAGGTGGTTGCCTTCATGCCTGGTTGGATCAGACTGATTCTTCTCTCTTCAACCTCATCTTTTTCCAGCTGCTTCAACCATCCACTGCACCCTTTCAATATCAAGACAAGAACCCGATCCCAACAGCCTATACTCTTAAAACACCTCCCTCCCCTCCAATTTCCTCCACCGCATTCCCCAGCTCACCCAACACCTCATCCACCAACTCTCTGTCCCGTTCACTCCCAACAACCCCAACATGCATACGCCCCTCTCTCACAAACGACACAATCTTCATCGGCGCCGGTGCATCGCCATGCGGATCTTCCTGCTCAACCAGACACCGTGCCCCCGCAAAATCCATCGCATCAAAATCTTCCCAATCCTGATGATGTACGAGCGAGTCGAACCCGATCGCGTCCTTCGACCACCGCGTACATTCGTCCTGGATACGCCTGAAGCCTAGGAAATCGTGCCCGGCCGACTCGGCACCCTGTCGCTGCACACTCCGCAGTAGATCGCGGGCGGTCCAGCCATTCTGGAACACGACCCGAATGGGCGTCAGCTGGTAGCAGGGTCCCGCGACGGTCTCCGTCCCCGCCAGTGAGACCTCAACCTGGCGGCCCATGGTTACGCCGCCGAACGTCACGTCTGCAGTTTGCAGGCGGCGGGCGAGGACAAGCGCCCAGGCGCCCGTGAGGAGGGTTGCGGGTGTGATTTCTTGCGTGGAGGGGTCGTGGGATAGGGATACGGGTTGGGTGTGGAAGATTGCGCGGTCGGTTGGCTGGGTGGTTTGGCCTGGGAGAATGGAGAGGGTGGAGTCGCGGAGAACGCTGCGCCAGTAGGTGGTGGCTTCTGCTTGGAGGGTTGTATCGTGGATGCGCGAGATGTAGTGGGAGAAGGGAACGTGCTGTAGTGCTTGTTGAGGGTTGGTGTAGAGGGTATCTAGGTCCCGGAGGAGCAGGGGTAGTGAGATACCGTCATATTGGGCGTGCGAGAGACCGAGGACAAGGCAGTGGTGGCGACTGGCGTTGTCTTGGACATGGAAGATCCGCAGGAACGGGGATCCCAGTGTGAAGGGCAACTCAATGTTCTTGTTACAGAGCTGTTTGATGAATGTCTGGAAGTTGTCGCCGGTGCTAGCGTGTTGAGTGGTTACCACGGAGTCGTCCAGCCGATCCAGAACAACCTGAAGGAAGCTCTCCTTGTGCTGGACAAAGACGGTCCGCAGGATGTCATGCTTTTGGATCAGCTCGGTTGTGGCCCGAATGAGGCGTGCGGCGTCGATCTGCTCATCGAAATAAAGCGTGGTGTACTGGAAAGATGTGCGCGGGGAATGGACAGTCCCACGAATGTCGAGGCCCTGTGAGTCCGTCACGGGGTAGACGTCTTGAATACCCCAGCTTGGATCAGCGAGTTTGGGCTTGACCGTCCCCTGGCAGAACTGCTCGACACTCGACTCGTCAAGCGTGGAGAACCGCTGGTAGGATTGAACTGGCGCCGGTCGCAAGGTGTAACTGTCCATCTTCAAACGCTTCGCAGCATCGCCCAGTCGCATGTGTTGGAAGATATCGGCCACTGTCAGCCGGTGACCATCGGCTCGAAGGAGAGCGACGAGCTTCATGGCCAGCACGGAGTCACCACCCCGTCGGAAGAAATTGTCGTCAACATCAATCTCGTCCGGGAGAACTCGGAGAATCGTTGCCCACGCAGACCGTAAGATCTTCTGCGCTACTGTCAGGTCGGCGTGTGTGGAGCCCTGTGCCCATGCAGTCTGAAGGGCTTCTGTTAATATATGCTTGGTCGTCCTCGGAACGTCCGAGGCAAGGTGACTGAGTATAGCGCGATCAACCTGCCCTCCGTTGGTGGGCATCTTCTGAATAGGAATATAGCAGGTAGGGGCCATGTATGATGGCAGAGAATCCCGGATAAACTTGTCTAATCGTTTTAGTGCTGCTGCTAGGTGGATCGAAATGCGGGAGCAGATTGCGCTTTCAGAGCCTTCCATAACCAGATAGTGCTCCGTGGATATCAACGTGACGCATTCCGTCTCTGACCCTGGCGACTCAATAAAAACCACGAGGTCCTCCTCTTGCGACAGAATTTCGCTAACCACGGCGACAGCCCGTGCTGTGGCTGGGAGGTACTGGGCGAAGAGATCCTCGAGGTCAGCAAGGTTCACGGCATGGCCGTGTAGCGATACCACGTTCTCCTTGCGGCCAATGAACACAACCGTCCCATCATCTCGTAACTGCACTATATCACCAGTACGCTGGACTTTACCCTGACGGCCCGAGCAGATGGAGCTCCCAGCCACGAGCCACTCTGGCGATTCGACAACATCATCGCCCTGGAGAAAACCGGCCTCGAGGCAAAGCTCGCCGGGGCTACCAATCGGTGAGAGGAGCGATGGGTTGCGCAGATCACAGACCCACGGGACCGCCGCGGGGGGATACTCCGATCCCGACGTTATCGCGGAATTCGCACGCGGCGTTGCAGTACTATCGTCCATGGACAGAGGCGGTGTTTTGTTCCACTGCCAGATCTGGTTCAATTCCACCTCCGGAACACAGGATATCTCGTTTAGGTTGTGCGAAAGGCCGTTGCCCATTAACTCATGGCAAACCGTTTCTAACTGCGCTAGGATGCGTTCCATCTGAGCAACCTCGATAATCGCGCTATCAAAGCTGGCGCAGACTCTGAAACCGCCCGTCTTCTGGATCCCACAGGCCAGCATGAGGGGGTACGGGTTGAAATGAAGAGCCTCCCGGACGACATCTCCGTGCGTGAACCCGAGCTCGCCCCCGACATACTCCGGTTCGGGCTGGATGACCAGCCCAGTGGGAGCTTCACAGGCGTGCTGCGAATCATCGCTCACCTTGCGGATATTCTGCATCCCCATATGCTGGTAGGGCGTTCGGGTGAGAGGCCCCTGTTGGACGGTCTGCAGATACGAGCCGACGGTGTCCGCTCGGGACACACGGATTCGAACAGGAACCGTCGCGATCAACGGTCCGACGATGTCTTCCACCCCCGCTAACGGGATGTCTCGACCCGTGAGTGTTTCACCGAAGACGACGTCGTCGTTCCCAGCATAGCGTGACGCCAACAGCGCCCACGCGCCCCGGATCAGGGTAGCCACCGTGAAGGGCCACCCGGGACTAGCATCTGGAAGCGAGATGTGGCGCTCCCGCATGGCGTCAGGGTTGGGCACATGATCGCGGGATGGGAGACGCGGGAACTGAGGGCCCACGGCCCCGTGCAATTCCCCTCTCCAGTATTGCTGCATGGCGGTTTCGTCGATGTCGCGGACATAGCCTACGAACTGCCGGATCTGTGCCGCTGACGACGTGTCGACCATCCCCTGTAAAGCATCACTCACTTGTTTCAGAATGAGCGGCTCAGACCACCCGTCGTAGAGAACATGGTGGACCGTCCACACCATATATCGCTGCATATCACCGGGTGGCGTTATGATAGCATAGCGGGCGAGACTCTGTCCAAGACCCATTGTCTCCGTGTGATCGATGTCCAGGTAGTGCTCCAGGTCTGCAGCCTCTCTCCATTGGATCTGGCCTGTGTTAAGCACCACCTGCTGGAGACCCGGCTCCCCCTGCAGCTGAGCCAGTCGCGTCCGCAATATGGGACTTTTCGCGACGACCTGCTCCCACGCTTTCTTCCACGCATCCAAATCGGTGTTTTGTGGGATACATGCCACTCGCTGAGCAATATATGGCTCAGCGGACCTGAGAGAGAATGTGAAAAGTGACTCTTGGGTGGGCGTGCAAGGGTAGATATCTTCGACTGCTGCTCGGGTGACCCCACAGACCTGCGACGCTTCGAGGCAGACGGATTCTGTCTCTCCCATGATGAGGGAAAACGCGCGGGTTTGAACTTCGTCTTCTACCGTGCAGGCTTTTATGATGCTCGCCATTGTAAAGAGGGTAGGGTTACTGAACGTCTCCGCAACCGTGAGGTCGAGGCCATGCGCTCGGCATACTGGAACTAGTCGCATGGCTGATAACGAATCGCCTCCAAGCGCGAAGAAGTTATCTTGAAGACGGATACCGGTCGCGTTGAGTTGCAGCACGCTGGCCCACGCATCGCGTAGACGCTGCTCGGTCACCGTCAATTCCCGAGCCATGTTTTGGCTGGTACTTTTCTGATCGAGCTGTCTCAGGTCGACAGTGGCTCCGTACTCCCGAAGACGTTTCCGGTCGGTCTTGCCGGAGATGAGAACGGGGATATGGTTCACGGGGATGTATGTCGTGGGAACCATGTACCGAGGCAGGACCTTAGCGATCTCTGCATCGGCCGACGTGAGCATACCATGCTGCTCTGCCGTGAAGTCGGCCGACTGGAGCTCACAGGGACGCCCCTGGTTTCCCGTCGATTGAGAGATGGCAATAAACGCCACCAAAGTCGGCTGCCCCAGGGTCTTGATAACTTCCACAATGACCACAGTGTTGGTTGGAAGTATCGCTTTCAGTTGGCTCTCGATCTCGCCAAGCTCCACGCGTTGTCCGCGCAATTTAACCTGGGTATCTTTTCGTCCAGCAAAGACAATACCCCCCGATCCATCGGGATCGTATCTCCCCAGATCCCCTGTCTTGTACAGACGGCCTCGGCGGCCCGCATGATTCTTATGCCCTGCCGTCAGCCAGGGAGGGTCCTCGATAAATGCCGCGGCCGTCTTCTCCGGGTCGTTGAGATATCCCTGGCCGACAATAGGACCCTCCACCAACAGCTCGCCCACCGCACCCACCGGAACAAGCGAGTTGTGGTCGTCAGGGCGCACAATCCAAATAGCAGCGCCGTTGCCAGGCCCGATGGAAATGTAGTCTCGCCCCGTTGCTGCGCTGCTGTTCACGGTGCAGCCGATCGTGCACTCACACGGCCCATACCCGATGATAATCCGCGCATCCCGGCCCCAGATCGTCACGTCCCTGGACGAAGCAGCCTCCCCGCCGAGCCCAAGGCCGCTGCTGAGCGACGCAATAACGTCCGGCTCCAGGATGCGAGCCACCGACGGCGTGATCCCCGCGTAGTTGACTTCCATCCTGCGAATAACGCCATTGATATCGTTCAGCCGGTCCTCATCGGACGGGATGCACAGACACCCGCCGTTCCCGAGCGTCAGCAGCATGCTATCAATACTGACGTCGAACGCGTACGACGCAAAATCCAGAACTCGCGACGTCTCGCTGTACCCTACGGCCTGGGCGCGGGGCACCGCACTACTGGTGTACGTCTGGTGCGACACCGTCACTCCTTTGGGGGTCCCCGTGCTGCCGGAGGTGAATATGATGTACATGAGAGTTGACGGTGTCACAGGCTGTAGGTCTGCCCCTGAAGCCGTCGTGGGGCCCACGGCGGCGGAGAAGATATCCGCCTCGACGACGAAGTAGTTTCCGGACGGCAGAATCTCCACGGACAGGTCGTGCTGGTCTCGTGACGTCAAGATGGTTGCTGCACCGACCTGCACGGCCATATTCTGCAGCCGTCCCAGTGGCAGCGATGGGTCCATCATTGCAAAGGTCGCCCCGGCTTTCATGACGGCTAATATGGCGACGACGGTCCAGCGGGACTTTTCAAAACACACGGGGACGATGTCCCCCTGGCGGACGCCAAGTTGCTGCTGCAGCGTGTAAGCAACTTGGGTCGAGTACTGGTCTACCTGGGCGTAGGTGAGGTCGCCGTCCCAGGAGCAGATTGCTACTTTTGTCGGGGAACGGCGAGCCCGCTCGGCGACCATGTCATGCATGCAGAAGTTGTAAGTCGGCGGGAGGGTGTGGTTCCAGCGCCAGATGTTGTCCAGATCGTATGGTATGGTGTGCAAGTAGGACTGGATGGTGGTGTTTGGGTTGGATAGGCCGGCGTGGACGGTGTGCACGAGGGTGTCGATATGTCGGGTGACTGTGAAGGGAAGCATGTTGTTGGACATCCACGCGGGCCGGACTTCCAGACTTTGGTCTCGAAAACTGACCTCAATGTAGAGGGTCGGCTCTTCATTGACGTTGTCAGAGGAGGTCGATAGTGACCCCGTGCTGAGGAGGAGGCTGCCGGACTCCAACATCGACTGTCCGGCTTGCGCCTCCGTTGCGATGTGCTTGGATATGCTCTCGATTGCTGTGCTCACGGTGGTTTGGAGCCCATCAGGAAAGACCACCTCCATTTTGAGGGTCTTGGTATCTGGCTCGCTAGACCCGTCATTGTACGCCCACTGGAAGCGAATCTGGACGTCGTCTTGGGCGCGCAGGAGCACAATCAGCCATGACAGCAGTACAGCCTCGTCTTTCATCCTCACGTCATCCGCCCACTGAACCGCACGGGAGCATTGGCAGCCGTCGTTATCTGCCTTGATCGGGCCCATGGTGTACTATGGCCTTTAGACCGAAATTGTCTTTGACTGAGTGACTCCTAGCAACAGGATATGGATAAATACAATGTCTCGACAGCAACCGACCATGTGTATGGACCGCGCATGGGAAACCAATATCGGTATGTCCAAAATCGCGCATTGCAGCGGATACTACTGTGGGCCTGTACCCCATCCACAGTTGCCCTGATTAGGATAGTCGGATCCTGAGAATGCCAGGTCGGTCTGGTGTATTTCAGGGCTGAAACGTGTATGAGCGGTATGGTATCAGTATTACGGGTTCGTCGTCATGGTTCCGAAATACAGTGTTTTACAGTGTTTTACGTAGGGCGCGTAATCCCCACTACCGGATAGACGAAGTCACTTTGACTGGTATAGGGCTAGGGGTCTCAGATTGATAACGCCAAAAAAGGTGGACACGATGATCAGAATCACAAGCTGCTGCTTCTCCAGCGGGGCTTTTCCTTGTCCACAAACGCTCTCACTCCTTCGTGGAAATTGGGACCGGCAATCAGTTTCCCGTACCACCCATCCACCAGCCTAGTACTGGCATCCTCGACGCTGGCCTGCTCCCAACCGAGATGGAGCCCCTCCATAGTCACGCGGATACTATCCGGACTGTTACCGGCAATAATGGTGGCCAGTTCCACTGCGGAATCCAGCAGCCGACTCGCCTCCACCACGCGATTCACCAGGCCCCAACGTTCCAGCTGCGTGGCCGGAAAGCTCCGGCCGCTGAGCGCGATCTCGGCCGCTCGCTGTTTGCCCAGGATGCGCACCAGCCGAGGCAAAGAGCCCGCTACTGCTGCAATACCGCGTTGTACTTCGGGTAGTCCGAATGTGGCCTGTGGATTGGCGATGACTAGGTCGCAATTCACCGCCATCTCAAATCCCCCGCCTAAGCAGTGGCCGTTGACTGCTGCGATGATGGGCTTAGTGCCCCGTCGTCTAGGGAGACCCGCTAGACCGGGAGCTGTCATCTCGTTAACCGTGCCTTGCGAGTTCAGACGGTTCCATTCTGCTGGTTGTTAGATCGTATGATTTGGGAATTTTTTCTCTAGGCTTGATTGGGTCGTACCTTTTAGATCCGCGCCCGAGCAGAAAGACTCGCCCGTGCCTGTGATAATGGCAACCTGTAGGCTGGGCTCAACGTCGAACCATTCCCAGAGACTTTGTATTTCAGCGCTCGTAGCGAGGGGAATGCAGTTTCGTCGCTCGGGTCGGTTGAGGGTGAGTAGTAGTATTTGCGGAGTCGGGAAGGACACTAGACATCCTTCAACGGATGGATGCGAATAGGTGGCTGTCATGGTGTTTGATACAGTGAGTTGAGTTAGTGGACAAGTACGGGTCGTGCTTATTTGAAAGGACTTATATATATCCCAGATATTGACCCTGCGACTCCATTTGGGTCTCCCCACCGGAACCCGACGAGTTCACAGACCTCGGCTCCGGAGTTAGGGCTGCCCTGGTATCGTTTAAGTAGTCAGTCAAAGGTCAACTCTCCCAGTGCATTCAAATCGGTCTCCAATCCATCAGGAACAATGCACAGCATGGAAAAGATTGTCACGGATCTGTCATCCCATGACAAAACGCCCATCTACCCCTGGGTGAAGCTCCCCCATCCCTACCTGACTACATACGCCATCCATGCCATCTCTGCAGACTCAGCCAGCCCTAAGGTGCTGCAGCTGCGACTCCACGACTCAACAATCGGACAGCCCCTTTTAGAGCCTCTCCACAACAGCTCCCTCTGTTACACCGACCTCTCCTGGGAGGAAGCCGCCCCGACAATCCCACTGCAAGACAACAGTCCATACGCGCGTGCTCGCCGCGCCCCAGGGACCGCCCTCCACTGGACTGACAACGAGGCCCCCAGTCTGGGCCAAATATGGAATGTTATCCACGCGACCTTCCTCACACACCCACAACAGGAGATAATTCGACTCGACCTCGCAGGATCCGACCACTCCATCATCCGCGAGGAATGTCTCCGCACCGGCCTAGCCATTCCTTTCCCCTCGCCGCGCGAGCCCTTTGGCCGCGAAAGCGAGCCCCTCTCTACCGACACCATCCTTCTCCTCCGCTCATCCTTCTGGCAAGGCGCAGGCTCACCCCTCGGTCCCCGCCCGATCTGGGCCATCGAGCAAAACAACTCCCACAGACGCCCAACAAGCGCTTACCCGCCACTCGCGCAGAACTACGAGTTCACCATGAAATTCCCCGAGGAGCGCATCTACGCGCGCCATCCCATCCGACCGCTCAAGCCAGCCCCCGGATCCCTCGTCTACAGCCGCTACATCCCGCACTTAGACCAGCACTTCTCTCTCATGGTCGTCGACTGGCAGAACGAGGAGCATCTGGGGCTGTTCCACAAGTGGCAGAATGACCCGCGGGTGGCGCGGGGTTGGAACGAGAGTGGCTCGATCGATCATCATCGCGAGTATCTGCGGCGGCTGCACGAGGACAAGCATGTGCTCTGTCTGTTTGGGCGGTTTGACGAGTTCAAGTTTGCTTACTTCGAGGTTTATTGGGCAAAGGTCCGTTCCTTCCTCCTCGTCGTCCCTCACACCATGTTTGAGGACTCATTCACGCTAACAAACGTACAGGAAGATCACTACGGCGCGCACTACGACGCAGGCGACTACGATCGCGGGCGCCACTCGCTCGTCGGCGAGGCACGCATCCGCGGCGCATACCGCGTCAACGCGTGGTGGTCCAGCGTCATCCACTACGTTTTCCTAGACGAGCCGCGCACAATGAATGTGGTTGGAGAACCGAAAGCAACTGGCACCACGGTGCTGTCTTACGAAAATGCGCAGGGGCTGAGCGTCGAGAAGTATGTGGATCTTGGCCACAAGCGCTCGGTGCATGTCTGCTGCAGCCGGGAAAAGTGGTTCCAGCTTTGTCCGATGTTCTGGGATGGGCGGGACCGGCCACTGGAGAGTTCTGACCGGATGGCATGGGACGCGAAATTGTAATTAATTTATTTATTTTCACGGTTTTTATTTTTTATTTTCTAATATAATTTTTTTTTTTTTCTTGTTTCTATCCTCGTCTACCGTTTCCTGGTTCCGGTTCTATGGCGACTGCTTAGTCGATATTCTTCCTTATTTCGCTTGCTGCCCCGAACAATAGCTATGAGTAATAACTACTGACATCTCCTCCGGATCCACACGCTTCAGCGTATCCCATTAGCAGGTAAATTCCGAGCCGTTCTAACCGGCCCACAGCCAGGCGAGACATCTAATCTGATAAGGCGGGCCAAGCCGACTTATCTGATCCGCTCGAAAGCCTCGCTTAGCGGCTATATTACCAGGTATTACCGTGTATTACAGTGTACCCATTACGCCGGTATATTCCCCGTTGCGTATTACCGTGATTGACGACACGGCCAGTCTCATTATATTAATCACATCCAATCAATCAATCTCCGAGGTTGGTGAATATCGAAGGATCAAATTTTGAATCAGCCGGTCTCGGAGAGCATAGAATGCTCTCTTTTATTTTTCACCCTGAGTGTACTTCCACTGCGTACTTGTTCACTGACCAGCATCCCATTCATCCTCCCACATTGCCATCACACTCCATCCCAGACCCAATGGCTTCCAAATTCTGGCCCAAAGGCGGCCTCCCCGGCCTCCTACACCACTATGTCAGTTCATCGTAGACAGTTACATCTCTAGGAGAAGCCCTCTCAAGCTAACCCACGCTAAACCAGACCGAAACCCTCGTCACCTTCGAATACACTAGCACGCCCACCCCCAAACCCAACAGCCTCATCTTCATCGGCGGCCTCGGTGACGGCCTTTCCACAACCTCCTACACAGCAGATCTCGTCCGGGCCCTCGCCCCAACAACCTGGTCCCTCTTCACCCTAAACCTAACATCCTCCCACCAAGGCTGGGGCCTCGGCCACCTCGACCGCGACACCAACGAGATCGCCCAGTGCGTGCAGTACATCCAGTCATACAAGCGTGACCTACTCCCGTGCGACAAGGGGGGCAAAGTCGTCCTCATGGGCCATTCCACAGGCAGCCAGTGCGTGCTGCACTATCTGTCTCGGGAGAATCCGCACGCGGGACCCGCGCCGGCGTTCGATCCGGATCTGGTCAATGTGGTGCGACCCGCTGTGGATGGGGCCATCATGCAGGCGGCGGTGTCGGATCGTGAGGCGATGCAGTGCGTTCTAGATGGTGGTATCGGGGATCGGTCAGCGGAGGAGTGTCGGCGGGTTTATGAGAAGATGGTGAGCTTGGCGCGCGAGGCGGAGAAGGCGCGTGGTGTGGGTGGGGAGGATGTTGTCCTGCCGCTGGAGTTGACGAGTGTGATTTACCCTGGGCTGACGGCTGTGAGCGGGCGGCGGTTCTTGAGCCTCGTTAGTCCTGAGAGTCCGGCTACGCCGAGAGAGGATGATCTGTTTAGTTCGGATATTGGGGATGCGGTGCTGAGGGGGACCTTTGGGATGGTGAGGGAGAGGGGTTGCTGAGGGGTGGGATGATGGTGTTGATGTCGGGGGCGGACCAGTCGGTGCCGGAGTGGGTGGATAAGGAGGCGCTGTTGGCGAGGTGGAGGCGGGCGACTGATGGTGAAGGACCGCCCATTTGGGATCATGAGCGCAGTGGTTTGATTCCGAATGCGTCGCATGCGTTGAGTAATGATGATCAGGCCATACCGAGGCGGATCTTGGTTGAGAAGGTGATGGGGTTCTTGGGTGTGTAAATCGTGGAATGCCCTAGTGGACTGGAGTCACTGGATATATAACACCATGTCACACTGTAGAAAGGATATATTTCTAGTTCTTACTGACTAAGTGCAGATCTCGACGTACATGCTTCTTGTAGGATTGGAATACACAATCTCAAATTTCACGGACGAGGATCGTGTTGCATAAAGACCAGCCATGCACTGAGATGGACATTAGCGAACCATACGCGAGCAGGAGGGAGAAATCCCCGATCTCAAACACACAACACGCATTAGATATCAACATTATACTAAAAAGAAAGAACATACTTTGCATTGAAGAATCATACATAATCAATCCCACTTAGTTCCTTGATAAGATCATATCAGACGAGATGATGGGCTACAGTTGAGTGATATACGAAGTCCCCACTTGATGGCACTGCTGACCATTCACCGTACATGACGCTTTTTGGTTCCAGGGATTTCCCGAAAGTCAGAAGGGAAAGAAAAAATAGAACAGGATGCAAGAAGACAAAGCGATGTGGGTCCTGTCTCAGTGTCAATGATTTACCTCGGGATGGTTTAGGTAAACGTGACTCTCTAGCCCTAACCTCTCATCATCTCCAGAATATTCTTCAATAGATAAGTCTTCACTTTCTGTTACGGGACCAGTCGGAAAGTATATAGATAATAGACAATTGCTGTCTAAATCAACTACAGCGGGCATGTTCGTCATAATGACCACATAGTGCTCACCAACTGGCTCAACAAAAAAAGGTTGGGAGAAGATTCTCGCAGGTAATACTCGGACGTAATCAGTGAAGCTTCTAAATGGCACTCCCTGATATCTCAGCCAGTCACTTAGGACTAGAGTTCAAGTTCCTGGCTTCCGTGACCATGAGCCGGTGAATGAGGTGTGGGAAGACCAACGAGACAATGCACAGCCCGCCGCTACCATGGTACGATCTCCTTGTCTCACTCACTGAGCCATGTCAGTCTCTACACTTTTGCCTCCTGTCTCTTATAAATAACAATTCCCACTGCCTTTTCTTCCCCGCTCACCAACATTCCCCTCTTTCAGACAAGATGCCGTCGAAAATGTACTGGGCTGCGGCCCTGGCTCTGGGAGCCCAGCTCGTCACTGCGCAGACCTATACCGAATGCAACCCCATGGAAGGTCAGTCATTCCCTGGTATACCTACTCTGAATTCCACCGCTAATAACTTTGTAGAAAATTGCCCTCCTAATCCAGGTCTCGCGACCTACACTGACTTCACCGACTTCACCAGCGGCCCTGACGCCTTCGAGCGCTGGGACACCGCAGCCGGATCGGTGACTAGCACCCCACTGGGGGCCGCCTTCATCATCAACCAGCAGGGCGATGCACCGACCATCGAATCCGACTTTTACATCTTCTTTGGCTCCGTCGAAGTCAAGATGCGCGCCGCCAACGGCACGGGTATCATCAGCACTACTGTGCTGGAGTCTGATGACCTCGACGAAATCGACTGGGTATTTCACCTATCTATATCCCCTGATTGATACCTAACTAACACCACAAAGGAACAAGTCAGCACCTTCGACGACCAAATACAAACCAATTACTTCGGCAAAGGCAACACCACCTCCTACGACCGCGCCACCACGGTCGCCGTCTCCTCCCCAGAAGAGACCTTCCACACCTACACCGTCAACTGGACCCCCACGCAGATCGAGTGGATCCTAGACGGCACGGTCGTCCGCACCCTCGGCTACTACGACGCCCTAGGCGGGCAAAACTACCCGCAGACGCCCATGCGCATCCGCATCGGCATCTGGGCCGGCGGCGATCCCAGCAACGCCCCGGGAACCATCTCCTGGGCCGGCGGCGAGACGGACTACAATGATGCCCCGTTCACTATGTATCTGGAGTCTGTGAGCGTCGTTAACTATTACCCCGCGGAGTGGTACGCGTGGGGTGATATGACGGGGTCGTATGGAAGTATTGAGCCGTTGAATGGTACGAGCGGGGCTGCTGTTCCTGGGGCGATTTCCACAGAGCCTGTTGCTCAGGAGTCTCCTTCTGATGCTCCCGCTTCGGAGGCTCCCAGTCCTACCCCTGGTGCCGAGGATCCTAGTCCTGACGTTCCCGTGTCTGAGGCTAGCCCTACGCCCACTGAAGCCCCCACAACTGAAGCTCCCGTCCCTGTCCCCGGCTCTGAGACCCCTAGTTCTGAAGCTACACCGGCCCCTAGCTCAGAGGCTCCCAGCTCTGAAGTTCCCACTCCTGAATCTCCCAGCTCAGCCCCGCCCGCTGAAACCCCCGGCCCGGTTGTACCAATCCCCGTCGTGCCCAGCTCAGAAGTCCCCAGCTCAGAAGTACCAAGCTCAGAAGCTCCCAGCTCGACACCCCTCCCCGCCACCCCCAGCTCCTCAGGCGCAAACCAAGGCGGTCCCATTCCCCTCCCCACCCCTACTCATGCCCCTCCGCCGCACACACCCCATACTAGCCCCAGCACCAGCCCCGTGGAAACCCCCCCAGCGAGCTCCACCTCGAGCAAACCTCTCATCCCTGTCCCTGGATCGCAGACTCAAAGCGGGAGTTCCTCGTCGAGTAGTGCGTCTGCTGCTCCGACTATGCCGGGCGGTGCTGCCGGCTCGTTTGATATATCTATGGGGGCTGTTGTGGGAGCTTTGTTGGTGGGGTTGATCCAGATTTAATTGTGGATGGAGGAGATTAAGTGGGTAATGGTTTAGGTTATTGGTGTTTTGGTGTTACATTGGAGGTTGATACTGATATTGATAGTGGTATTGGTGTTGGTATTGGTGTTGATATTGGTGGTGGTGGTTTGGTTGTTTGCTTTCTATCTGGAGATGATGAGTCCACATGATAACTACAAAGTCTAATTTCAACAATCAGTCAGTTGTATTTGGAGAGATTGGCGTTATCTATATGATGTAAGGCGTAAAGGCTGCTCCATAGTACTGTCGCTAGACGCTCCAGGCTTCCTTCATTCGCTTCACGAGCGACGTACATAGTTCCATTCTCACATGGGTCATACTTATGCGACGGAGGTCTTACGCCCAAGGTAAACGGGAGAGACTTAAAGAGGTGGGTTCCTGGGGTTGCTTTATTAGCCTTTGGGATGTCTGCTTGCGAGCGAGAAGGCCTGGACTCTGTAGCTCGGTTGCTCCGCTTTGGGTCGTTGATTCGCCTTCTGGTGGAGATATCAATTGCGACGATGGAGGAGGGTTGTCGACATGGCAGTCGGTAGTCAGGACGGAGTGGATGTTTTGGGCGCAGCACAGGGGTGTCTCATTGCCAGGGATGATGTGTGGAAGGGCCTGCGGCCGATAATAGTGGCATGTACTGCCATTTACCCAGGTTGTGTTTCCAGGCTGTTAGTCTTTACCTGTCTTGTAGTAAAGTCTCCACTTTGGGCCTGGTATATGTTGAATGTCCTGGAAGGCGATATCTCACCGTAGAGGTGGGCTTGCATGTGATATCACGCGAATAATTCCAGAAGGGATGTCCAATGGATGGAAGATCTTCGATGGGGAGTATTGGTGCATCGTGTTGAGTATGGACCGATGAGACGGTTGAATCGTGATGGAATAGATATTGGCAAATCTGAATTAGGGATAGCCGTCTGAACTAGAATTTTGCATATGAGCTGTGGCTTGTTACTGGTCATTTTGTGCTGTTTCAGTCAGACATTGTTGTAAGTTATTTTGCGGTATTCTTCTAGAACAGTGCATTTGCAACCAATACCCGGTCACAATCTTCCAGTCACCATCTTTATACATACTAAAACAATAGTAAAACGTAAGTCATATCTGGTATTGAACTATGTACATATCGTATACAAAAAGAGACAAAAAAGAATCACAGCTGCGAACGAGCCTGCTTCTCCTTCTCGGCCTTATTAAAGCGCTCAAACGACGACGCCGGCGGCGCCGCATTCGGGTTCGGGTGGTGCTTCTTCAGCGCCATGTTAACGTTATACTCGAGGTCGAGCGACGCCTTGGGATCTCCCGACTTGGGCTTGAAGTCAACGACGAGGTCGTCCTTGACAGCGAAGACGGAATCGATGGCCAGGTGGGGATCATCGGAGGGATAGATCTGGTTGATAACGGTCGCGTAGTCGGGGTGGGTGATCATGAGGTGGATATGGGCAGGACGGAACGGCGAGCGATCCATGAGGTTCAGAAGCACACCGGCGGGACCGTCCGTCGGCAGCGAGTACGGCGTCGGGTGGTAGCAGTACCAGTCGAACTCGCCCTGGGCGTTGGAGCGGAACTTGCCCCGCAGGTTGTTCTCCGTCTGGGTCGGGTCCTGGAAGTCGTATTGGCCGTTGGCGGAGGCTTGCCAGATGTCGAGGACGGCGCCTTCGATGGGCGCGCCGGTCTCCATGTCGCGCAGGACGCCGTGCATGTAGGTTACGCGGCCGTGGGGGTTCTCGTCTTGGATGATGCTGTCGCCGAGGGCGCGGAAGGGGGCGTTGGGGGACCAGAAGGGGCCGAGGATGACGTTTGAGGTGGGGGAGACGCCGTCTTCGGTGACAATTTTGTTGGCGATTTCGTCGACCAGCCTATTTGGTGATTAGTTTTTGCTTCCCTTGTTTTGTTTTTTTTTTTTTTCCCTATAATGTTTGGGAAACGTACGACTCTAAACCAATCACGTCACAGATACGGTGTCCCTCGTTGCGGATGGGCGTGCTGATCGCGCCGATGGAGTTGATGAACTCGACACCCATCATCCACTCGGCAGAGGTGAGCTCGACCTCGCGCGCAAAATCATGGATATGTCTGATGAGCGAGCCCAGGATGACACGAGCCCGCTCGGGGGTCTTGGGACCCATAGCGTTGACCACGTAGGGAGTGAAGTTGGGGTCGAACTGGCGGTTGGGCATTTTGGCGGAGGAAGGCTGGGAGTTGGTTTGCGGTTGTGAAGACATGGCTGATGTGAATCTAGGGTGAGATGATGGACTTGAGTTGAGGACGAATGATACAGGGAGGGGGAGGGAGGGATAGATATAGCCCTGACCGGCAGCGTTCCAACGCCCGTCAGGACGGCCACGGCAAATCCATCGGGTAGTCTGGCAGGATGGGCAGTCTGGTGATGCGACGTGCCGGTGGAGATGGAGATGGCGCGCAATGGCGCAATGACGGATGAAGTAAGCGCCCCATGCCGGGGCGGGTGAAGTCTTACCCGCGGGTAAGGTTTCTCCAGTCATTCTTCCACCTGCATGGACCGGGTGCTGGTCCGGACGGAATCCCAGGGCATTCCAGCCCCTGGATGTCTCCTATTTGCGGACCCATGATATGATTAGTTCTCAATCTGGATCGACTTCTAACATGGATCCGGAATGACCTGTCCCCAGGAGCAGATCTGATCGACGGAGTTTACCCCGGACTTTCTTCCCGACTGATATGCCGGTCATGCCGATAAGATCGACCGCTCTCATTGGTCCGGGTGGAGCATTCTGCGCTTGTCACGTGTTTCCTCTTAATTCCTTGTCCGGGAGGACTATTTCAAGTAAATAATAATTCAAATTATTATACTATAGAAACTGCCGCTCCACGATTCTGACTACATCCACTACAGAACGGAGAGTATCATATGATCATACTATCACAAGAGACGGATAGCTCGATAGCTCCGGATATTCGTGCAGGAACGTCATTGATTCAAATATATGTCAACACATCTTATTTATATGATTTATACGATTTATATGATTTCGTGACCAGCACTCTATGTAATGTTCAAAATCAACGCGACACCATCGCCTCCAGCTGGCGCAGGAGACCGCTCGGCTCCGCAACGCCGTGGAGGACAATCTCGTCAGCGCGGGCCTGCGCATCCGCCACGGCATAGATCCGGAGCTCGTCGGCGTTGCCGGACGGGCGAATGTGAGCGACGTCGCCGTTGGCAAAGCACATGCGGACGCCGTCGGTGTAGTTCAGCCGGGCGATGGCTGCAAAGCCGTACTGGGCGGAGAAGACGGTCTGCAGCTGTTCGCGGATCTGGCCGAGCTGTGCGGCGTCGGATGCCGTCACGGTGCGCGCGGATCGGTTCCTGTCGTAGACGGTGATGGTGCCGTCGCTCTCGTAGGCGACCTCCTGGGTGTCGGCCGTTGGGGGCGAGAAGCGCTGCACGATCTTCATGCTGGTGGGACGGGGGAAGTTACGGATCAGGGAGGCGCGGCTGTAGCGAGCCGGGAGCGTCTCGAACAGGGCGGGAAGGGTGAGTTGGCGCTGACGGGCGGCGAACAGCACACAGAGGAGAGGCAGCATGGCGTCGCGCGTGGGCAGCGCGGTCAGCGTCTTGCCATCGACTTGGATGTCGGAGCCGGTGAGAAAGCCGCCGTTGGCTTCCCATCCGCAGACGCGACGACCGCCCTTGGAGAGGGCGTGCTCCATGCCACTGATCACGTAGGGGCTGCCGATCTTCGTCTTGGGTTCGGTGACAGACGCCAGGGAGCCCCGGTCGATGGCGTCGTTGGAGCTGATGGGCACGACGACGGCATCGGCGCTGAGGTACCCCGCGACGACCATGCCGAGGAGGTCCCCGCCGAAGAAGCGCAGGTTGTCCCCGTCGGGGGCGACCAGCAGCGGACGATCGCTATCGCCGTCGGTGGAGACCACTGCGTCGAACTTCTGGCCGGTCGCGTCGCAGAGACCCTGGAGGGTATCGAGCTGGGCCTGGTCGATCGCTTCGGTGTCGATCGGGACGAACGTCTCGCTGCGGCCGGCGGGGGTGACCTGGGCGCCGAGCTTCTCGAAGATTTCGACGAGAACATCCCGCCCGACGGCCGAGTGCTGGTAGGCGAGGATTCTCGTCCCCTCGAGGGTTTGCCCCTCGAAGAACTCCAGGTAGCGCCGGATGTAGGCGATGCGGCCCTCGTCGGTCGCCGGGAGAATGTCGAGTGGTCGGTTGCGCAGCATGCCCTGCTCATCGAAGAGCGACTCCGCGAATGGCTGCGCCAGGAGTCTTTCCCGGGTCTTCTCCACGGCGACGTTGATCGGCTGCTCGTCCTTTTTGGACAGCTCGCCCTTGGAGGTATTGAGCTTGTACCCGTTCCGGTCAAACGGGATGTGACTTCCCGTGACCATGATGCTGCCCTTGCCCCGCTGGAGGGCGAACGCAGTCAAGGCGGGCGTGGGGATGGCGCCCAGGTTGATGGCGCGCATGCCGCCGTCCTTCAAGGCCTGCTCCACCGCCTGGCAGAGGCCCCCCCGGCTGTTCTCGACATACTGGGTCGAGCTCGGCCGCAGATCGTGCGCAAAGTAGAAGTCATCCCCGAGCAGGATTCCTCCCTCTCTCGGCGGTAGAGACTGCAGGTACTGGATCTCCGCAGAGACATTGATGTAGATTTCCAGTTGGGTTAGATCGACCACTAGGCCGCGACGGCCGCTGGTGCCAAATTTGAGGGGTTGCGGCTGGTAGGCCAGGTGGCGCTGGAGGCGATCACTGGAAGGCATTTTGGGCCCTGTCTAGTATAGTTCTGGTCTTGAAATATATCCTGGGTGGAACCTGGTCTCGACCGGGGTATGGACTATTGAAATGATGGTTGAGCCAGAGTTGATGCAGGATCATTTGGGTGTCCGGAGTACATGTGTCCAATTCACCGCCGCCTTGGAAACTAAACGGGGCCAGGCAGCTATTTCGTGACGGTACGTGGATGTGGGATACCTACCACTAAGAGCTGGTAATATACGGTAATATACAATTTGGTGGGGCTGGTAAGATCACGTGTACCCCGCCATATCACTGTTGATGCCTGACGAGTCCTTCCATGTACCGGAAGCCAAACAGAGACAGTGAATCGATCACTTCTAGGGGGATGGGTCTGATCAATATCATTGCTGACTCAGGCTGTATGTCTGCTGAGTTGTCCGTATAGAGAATAGGATTCTATTGTCGCGACAAAGAACTGGAGAGTCAGTAAATCATCTTGCGGTTCCCGAAATTACTTGCCCTCCATGAGATAACCATCACTTCCCCATATTCTTTCCCCTCTGTTGATTGGAAATGTTGTCAGTCCCTATTCAAGGCCCGGCTAAATCCGCTAGAACTGTCGCCTGTCAAGGTCGACTTTCTGACAAAGAGGGGCTCCGATGTTCCACCCTCGCGGTGCAGTCAGCGAATGGAATCGACAGGTCGTGTTGCCCAAGCGCTGAGCCTTAGAAAACCTGCAAGGGCCAGCCGTGCGAACTGGCACCTCCATGTGTAAGCATCTACTACAATCGGAGGGTTTAAAAGGTTCAGCCTTCCGCAACGGGCCGAGACACTTATTGGTCTTGGACTCCGATGTTCCGACAACCGGCCAGTTTCTCAACTCTAATTATGGCGGACCGATTCGATAGCATGAGAGACGCAAGTGCTCTTGCGCCATTGTACTCATGACGCGGCATCTCTGCTGGGGCCGCGTATATTTAGGGCTACTTTCTATCCGATGGCTACGATGGCCTAGATGGACTTGTCCGTTAATGCATCGGGTGCTGACATTCTGCCACTCATGATGCACATCAAGTATCGACTTTACCACGCAGGGCGCATTGGCTCACAATAGGCCTACTCCACGGGCTAGCGAGGATTCGTGTGTTTTGCCGAGAAGCAGGCTTGGAGACATTGCATTAGCACGTTTCTCACACCACTCGACGGGCCTTATCCTTGGTCGTCAAAACCCCGCACCATACCAGGGTTTAAAGGGCCTTGCGGCTCGCAATTGATATTTTGAGTTGTTTCGTCAAACTTCTCAACTGCTGACGCATTATATAACCCCACTGTGTTGGCCACCAGTCGTGCGACATCATGGACACGCACATACTGTGGCTCGGGTGTGCTGCCACCGTTGGCTACGTTTTACTCCAAAGCATCTATCGTCTCTACTTTCATCCCCTTCGCAAATTCCCAGGGCCGAGACTCGCGGCACTTACAAGTCTCTATGAGTTCTATTACAATGTAATCCGGAGCGGGAAGTTTTTGTTCGAGATTGAGCGAATGCATGAGCAATATGGTGAGACCAAGTTTGGCCCATGACGTACCCTGTTCTAACCTAAAGAGTAGGCCCCATCGTGCGAATCAATCCCCGGGAGATTCACATCAAAGATTCGGACTATTACGACCAAATCTACATCTCGAGAATACAGGACAAGGATCCCTATCATGTCCGATCCCTCTCCGTTCCACTGTCAAGTGCCGCGACGGTTCACCATGAGCTACACAGACGCCGCCGGGAGCTTATCAACCCTTTCTTCTCGAAGCGCTCTGTCATGGGTCTGGAGCACCTCGTGCAGGACAAAGTGGACCAAGTGGGCCAGCACCTTACAAAAGCCCAAGTGAACCGCACCGTGGTGTCCCTGGACGAGCTGTTTGCAGGGCTCACGGCCGATGTCATCTCGAAGTATACCTTCGGCGAGAGCATCGGTATCCTCGACACCGAGGACTTACGGAATGACTTCCGGGACGCCTTGACCGCCGCGACTAGCTTCGCTCACGTCGCTCGCTTTTCGTCCCTCGTTGGATTTATGTCTACCACCGTTCCGCGCTTTGTAGAGTGGATCAATCCGAGGACCAAGGGATTCTTCGATATCAAACGCTCGGTAGAGGGGACAATCCTCGATACTTGGAAAGGCGAGAAGAGCAAGGGCACAGGGAAGCAGAAGACCATCTTCGATACGCTCTGCGACCCGTCACTGCCTGCCGAAGAACGAACTCTCGACAGGATACGAGACGAAGCACTAGTGATTCTCGCCGCGGGGACAGAGACCACGGCACGAGTATTGACTATTGGCTTCTTCCACATCTACCGCGATCCATCGATCCTGCAGAAACTCCGGGATGAAATCAAGCAAGTCATGCCCCAGCCGACAGACAGGGTTTCTTTAGCTCAGCTAGAGAAATTGCCTTACCTGGTACGTTCCCCCCCAAGACAGTGAACACATACACCGCACTAACAAACCACAGACGGCAGTAATCAATGAATCATTTCGCGTCTCACACAGTGTAACAGTCCGACTGCCGAGAGTGTTACCAACCGCCCTCCAATACAAGAACTACACTATCCCCCCAGGAGTACGTACCGTGCCCTACGACCCACCTACACACAAGGCACTAACAGTCCCAGACCTCCGTCAGCCAAGCCATCTACTTCGTCCACATGGACCCAACGGTCTTCCCCAGTCCCGAAACCTTCCGACCCGAGCGCTGGATCGAAGCCACCGACAAAGGCGAGCGCCTCAACAGATATCTCGTCCCTTTCACGAAGGGCCCTCGGATCTGTGTCGGCCTGAAGTAAGCAGCATCGCATCTCCTGTGGAGTGGTTGACCAACGCTGACTGACGTGCGTAGCTTGGCCTATGCCGAACTATACCAGGTGTTTGCGACCTTGATCCGTCGCTTTGATTTGGAGATTTATAATACCACGCCGGAGAGTATTCACGTCACGCGGGATGTTATGATTGGGTTGCCGGATACGGATGAGATGAAGGTGTATAGTTTGGTGACTGGGACTGTGGGTTAGTTGGAATTCATTTGTGCTGTGGCTTTTCTTGAGTTTTCCTAAGTATGTGTGTCTTTTCAGCAGAATGTAACCTGCCACTTGCTATTTAGACACATCCGGATTTGAAACGTTTTGGGATATTAGTCAGGTTAAGCCCTATACCAAGCGATGGTCAACGTTTTGGTGTGACGGTCTTGTGAAAAAGGAATTTAAAGATAAATGAGCTTGTATTTCCTGAGCCTCGGATGGATCTAAATATATATCTGTGTTATACAGCAAGCTTACTCTGTAGATCCTACGAGAGCTATCCACAGTGTCTAGGTCTCTACTGTATAGACACCAGAGCGACTAAGTACGGAAGACATGATGACAGGGCAATAACCATTGCAAACCCCCTAGATTAAAGATTACTTGATAGATCCACATGTGTTAAGCAAATCTCATGATCTTCAGAGGAAAGACAGCGTCACCCCCGAATCAAAGAGCTTGATAGTACAGTAATTAATTCAATGGTCCGATGTCAGATGTCAGCGTGGACGTGATGTGTGGCTGTTGGGACTACGCCCGTCCAATCGGCTGGCTATTGATATCCATGCAGGGGGCATTCCCAACAAAACAGGTCAACAATGCCAGACTCAACCAAATACGCACCTCGCAAATGCAGGTTTTTTTTCTTTTGTCCATGACATTTGCATGTGCTCAAGTGATATTCTGTTCCTCAGGCCATGTTCGATGTCAACATTAGTGGAGCGAATAATTGATATAAACATTCTACCTTGACCACATCTACGTCCAGCACATCCTCAACAAGGGACGCTCCCTCAGATATACGCACACACACACACACACACACACACACACACAATGGCGTCCACACATCCTGAGTCTGGGACACGGAGCAGACGAAGATCCAAGTCGTCTTACAACACGAAAACGCCGCACATCACAGAGACGCCCATAACATGGACGAACTGGTACCGGTTTATTGACTGGCTGAGCGTCTTCTTCATACTCATTGTCCCGCTTATGGGCTTCGTCGCGGCTTCTTTTCATCCTTTGCAACGTGCCACCGCCATCTTCGCCATTGTGTACTACTTTAATACCGGGTTGGGTATTACAGCCGGTGGGTCCACCCCGTTCATCGACGATCGACGATCGGCGAGAGAAACGCTGACTCCTAATACCTTATAGGATACCATCGTCTCTGGGCCCATTGTTCCTACCGAGCGTCCACTCCCCTCAAGATCTATTTGGCGGCGGTCGGCGTCGGGGCTGTCCAAGGCTCCATCCGATGGTGGTCCAGGGGCCATCGCGCCCACCACCGTTACACCGACACCGAAAAGGACCCCTATTCCGTGCGCAAAGGCTTCTGGTACTCCCATCTCGGCTGGATGGTGATGAAGCAGAACCCCAAGAACATCGGCCGGGCCGATATCACCGACCTCAACGAGGACCCGATTGTCATCTTCCAGCATCGACACTACATCAAGGCGGTTCTGTTCATGGGTCTTGTCTTCCCCACGCTGGTGTGCGGGATCGGCTGGGGCGACTGGATGGGCGGGTTCATCTTCGCGGGCATCGTCCGAGCCACGTTCGTGCAGCAGGCGACCTTCTGCGTGAACTCCCTGGCCCACTGGCTGGGCGAGCAGCCCTTTGACGATCGGAATTCGCCCCGCGACCATATCATCACCGCCCTGGTGACACTCGGCGAGGGCTACCACAACTTCCACCACGAGTTCCCGTCCGACTACCGCAACGCGATCGAGTGGTGGCAGTACGACCCGACCAAGTGGGCGATCTGGACGTGGAAGAAGCTAGGGCTGGCCTCCGAGCTGAAGGAGTTCCGACAGAACGAGATCGAAAAGGGCAGGCTGCAGCAGGAGCAGAAAAAGCTCGATATCCAACGCTCCAAGCTGGACTGGGGCACGCCGTTGTCCCAATTGCCCGTGATAACCTGGGATGACTTCAAAACCCAGTCGGCCACGGCCGACGGACGAGCCCTGGTGGCCATCGCCGGGGTTGTATACGACGTGGCCTCCTTTATCAACGAGCATCCGGGGGGCAAGGCGTTCATCTCCTCGGCGATTGGCAAGGACGCGACCGCCACCTTCAACGGCGGGGTCTACCAGCATTCCAACGCCGCCCATAACTTGCTCTCTACCATGCGCGTGGGCGTCCTCTACGGGGGCGGGGAGGTAGAGGTCTGGAAACGCGCCTACTCGGAGCAGCAGAGCCGCTTCAGTGCGCAGGATGATAAGAGCTAATATATTGTACGAATCAGCGAGGCAATCAATACTTCTTTTTTACGGACAGGCGCCACCGGGGTTTAGATGAAAGCGTAAGGAGGTGACATCGGGATAAAATAGATCTACATATTCATAATTCAGCCTAATTTGTTGGTAGCTGCAGATATAGACTCAATGCCAGATACGCTTCACTCACTATACAACACTACATAACTGAAAGAGTCTTTCTGGCCCTCAATCAAGAATACCATGGAATACCTGATTGGCAGCGCCCGCACCATCTGTCGACAAATTGGACAAGCCTTCATGGACTCGGAGCCTCGGAGTGTCGGAGGGTTTGTGTCTAAACTCCCGAAGATAACTCTCCGTGCCTGCAGTGCTCTACTTGCAGTAGCATGGGATGTTGATGCGAGCCTCTTGTCTTCCGCGGTCACTCGTTTGGGACACTGGAATACTGCTATCTCTTAACAAAGCCGCAGCTTCACATCTACGAAAAGATACAGGTGCTGTGTATGATTACAGATTATACCTTTTCACAGACAAACACACATCGATAGGGGAGAAAAAAAAGGGAAAAAAAAGGAATCCAACACTCCCAGAATGTCTACAGCCACGGCTACGGCCATTGTCCTCCTTCTGTTGGCTCTACTCTACCTAGGCTATTGGGCAGCCTTACCGAGTCCACTCCCCGACATCCCATACAATGCGGCCTCCAGACACAGACTACTGGGAGATATCCCAGACATGATGAAAGAGGTATCCAAGACAGGCGATATCGTGTCCTGGCTGCGCGACCAGAACCTCAAGTCGAAGTCAGTCATCAGCCAGATCTTCATCCGGCCGATGGGCAAACCCATCCTACTAGTCAGCGACTACGAGGAAGCCCGAGACGTAATGGTCAACCGCATCAAGGACTTCGACCGCACCAGCCTAACGGCAGAGACATTCGGCGGGCTGCTCAACCGGCAGCAGTTCACGCTCAAGACCGGCCCGGAGTGGAAATTCCACCGCCGCCTCGTCCAGGACACCATGACGCCAGCCTTCCTCAGCAAAGTGGCCGCCCCCAGCATCTACGCCAGCAGCCGACGCTTCGTGGAGCTCTGGAGCATCAAGGAGAAGCTAGCGGGCGGGCAGCCATTCTCTGCCACCGAGGATATCTTCTACTCGGCCTTGGACGCCGTCCTGGCCTTTTCCTTTGGGCCCTCATTCCCGCAAAACGCCACGGATCCGCAGACAAACCGGCTCAAGGACTTGCTGGCGAGTGAACTCCGTTCGGATGGAGACGCGGCAGACGCAGACGAGGCGGTCCACTTCCCGCACGCGAAAATCGACGAGGCCATCGAGTCGATGCTCGAGCTAGGCGACGCCATGGAGCAGGTCAAGAGCGCACCATCGCCCCGCATGAAGTGGTGGTACGTCAAGGCGACGCCGACATTCAAGCGCTGGGCCCGCATCAAGGACGCCTGTATCCGGCGGGAGATTGAAAAGGCCGTCGAGGCGCGTGGGCGGCACCAGCGTTCCAGCGAGGGTGTCGCGTGGGAGCGATCTGCGGTTGACCGCATCGTGGACAAGGAGGAAAGCCAGGCGCGGAGGGAAGGGCGGAAGCCCGATTTCTTCTCGGCGGCTGTCATGGACGAGGTGTTTGGGTTTATTGTCGCGGGTCATGACACGATGAGCACGACGCTGTGCTGGGGCGTCAAGCTGCTGGCTGATCACGCCGACTCTCAGTCGCAACTGCGACGGGATCTCTTCGCGGCGTTTGGCGCGGCGGCGGCGGAGAAGCGCGCTCCGACGGTTGAGGAGATCATGCAGACGTCGGTGCCTCTGCTCGACGCCACCATGGAAGAGATCCTCCGCTGCGGCGGTACCGTGCCGATTGGGGACCGCGAGGCGATCAGAGACACGACGCTGCTGGGCCACCGGATCCCCAAAGGCACGCTCGTCTTCTTCCTACACAACAGCCACAGTATGCTTCTGCCGGCGCGGGACGTAGACGATAGCCGGCGGAGCCCGCGCACGCTGGAGGCAAAGGAACGCGGGCAGACACGGTGCTGGGGGGACGAGGATATCGCGCAGTTCCGGCCGGCGCGCTGGCTGGTGTCAAAAAGCCAGGACGATAGCGACGACACCAGTTTGGTGTTTGACTCCAATGCCGGGCCCAACATCCCGTTTGGTCTGGGCGTTAGGGCATGCTTTGGACGGAGGCTCGCGTACGTCGAATTTCGAATCATGTTGATCATGATGATCTGGCATTTTGAGCTGCTCAAGTGCCCCGAAGCGATGTCTGGCTATGCAGGGTGCCTCGCGGTGGTGAACAAGCCGCGGCGGTGTTTCGTGCGTCTTCGCAAGGTTGATATATAGCGGGTGGGAACGCTGGGCTGCTCGTCAATTGCCAGTGACACTACATAGTATACATAATGTTGGATATCAAGACCCTACTACTCGCCAATTGGTGTTTTTGGTCGAATGGTCAAGATAAGACATGCTAACACATAATCCCGGCGCATCCTCCTCTCAGATCAATAGAGAGGTACAGTATCTACACTCTTCCCAGGATCGATCTACATCACCCGTTCAACCCGCAGATAAACACGTCAAGGGCTATTCTCCACAAATCAGGACCCAGCGGTTGTTTGGTTGAATAGTCTAAAAATAATCCGTTGAGGGATCCAGCTGGAGCTTTCGGAAATAATACCCCGAGTTCGGGGGTAAGATTTCTTCACGCTAGGGAGATCTAGTGGAACGGAGGGTCACAGCCGAAAGTTTATCAAACAAGATTTCCTACAACCAGAATGAAAATTATTAGGCCCTCAAATGCACGCCTATGTGCCCCCACACTAGCCTTCAAGAACGATTGAACGAGGGTAGAATAGGCAGGCTGCCTGGGGTGGGTGGTGAGACTGTAGGCAACTGCCTTGGTTCACGCGTTTCTCTCCCTATCGGTGATACCGAAGGCATACACCCTGCATGAAGAAATCCACTTCCGTAAAGTGTGTATGCGTGGCTTACTTATAATGCTACGTCGCTTGTGGGAAGCTGAGGTGGAGGGGGGGTGGTCGTTCACCACTCACCTGGCTAGCTATCACCACGATGTAGAAATCGCGACTGGGATTCGCGGATTTTCTTCTTCAGTACATTTGCATTATCTATTATTACATGCGGATATGTACTATTGCATTGAAGTAGCCAGGGTACCTGCTTTGAACAATTGGGATCGGACCCATCGACGGCGTGGGTTGCCAAGGGTCTTGTCAGCAAGAGGGCGTCTGCGAGTGAGACAGATCTTGGGTTCAGCGAAAACGCCAAGTTTAATAATGGCGAGTGGAGAGATGAGACTTGGTCAGCTATACGGTGACAGAGCTTCTGGAATGACTGGGGGACATGATTTTTCGAGAGGGCCTAACATGGCTAGCCATGCATCCCCCCCGGCTATTCATGCGAACCGCGTTAGATTAGATTTCTGTTGAATTTACTCGCAAGCATAAATCGTTTAGAGAGGATGCCGTGCTTGGATGTGGCGGGGTCAGATTATAGGACGTACATATGTTCGTTTGTGCGGTGTTTATTTCGGCGCTGGGGTATATGGAAATAGGATAGATAGGAAGTGGCCTTTTTGGGGCACATCCTAGCATAGCAGTTGTGGAAGCGCTTGCTGAGACAACACGAATACTACGGAGTACTATCATGCCTCCCACTATCAAACTACCGTCAGAGCTACTCGTTAGGAACGAGACCGTTCCGTGGGCTTTTTCACGACCGCTACGCCACAACGTTGACGAACTGTTGGCATAGGGCTAACCTGACTGATGTCCCAACATTTTGATCCATGTCGGGCCACGCTCCCAACACCGATTTATAAACATCGATTTCCACCAATGGACGCGATACGGCGCTGTAACAGGCTCCCTTGGGCTTAGTATGATTAACAGTAGGAGCGACAACCCAGCCGTTAGGCAAACTGCTATCCCTGTTCTGTTACTCGATTGGTACATGCATCTATCACCCGTAAGCACGAACCACCCGACGTTGAAGAACAGGGAAGGATGATTAGGATTGATCAAGATAATTACATAAAAATAAGTCACATAATCGGACGCGGGTGTTGACATACTGATTTCGTAGGATTCTAGTGCGCTACTAGCACTACAACATACGTCAAGAAGTACCGAACACATAGGTAGGAGCTGGTTTGCCCTAATAGAAATTCCATCAAAGCTTGTGAATCCTACCTTGTCGTCGATGGACGGTCGTGCTACTGTAGTGCGCGCCTATGGATCTGTATACAGTGATCCCAGACCATGTTTTACCTACTAGATGTATTTATATATAGTTCAACGTGGATCTTGGTAAATACAATGCGATAGACTACCTAAGCGAGCCGCCTGCTTCGCTGGCGCTGCACCGCCGTCTTAATACAGTCTAAGGTTTTCTTTAGCGATCGCAACGTATCGAGCGCCTGTCGCATCACCGCCTTGGCCAGGACGGACGCGTCGCCGCCACGCATGACCTTAGATGGCATATCCTGGCGCCCCACGATGCAATATTCCGCGGGAAGACCAATGACCTTCTCCAGATTATGTAACTGATGCTCGACGACACGGATTGTGATCAGGATGTCCTGGCTGCGCGGCCGGGCGACCCCAGACGCCGACGCGGACGAGCTGGCCTCCGTGCCGCTCATTCCAGACGAGCGTTGCGAGAGAGTCGACGGCGTCGGTAACATTGCGGTCTTCCCCGTGGGCTCGCTGGGGCCTAGGGTCGCATTGGCTAAGCTGTCCAGGAATTGAACAGTCGGAGACAGGATGATGTCGAATAGCTCCCCTAGCTGCAGGTAGGTCGACAGGGTGATCAAAGTGACCTGCGATGAGGAGTTGGCCGCGGCTGCCGGAGTAGGCGATGAGCGGCTAGACACGGGGCGAGAGGTAGCATCCTCTGCCGAGCCAGAAGAGTGGTCGTCGCCCACGAAGCTGGCCCAGTCCACCGGCGACGGCGCCATCATCTGTAGCACTAGGGTGAATCGCATGGTGGCGACCACTGCCTTCCCCAGAAGCCTGATCCGCAGAGACGAGGCGTCAGAGGCGTCGTCGCCAAGCTCGGTGTCGAGAAATTCCAAGTTCGGCGTGATGCCTTGGAACGTGCAGGCCCCGACGGGCTGCGAGGAGAGGTCGCATGCTTGAGCCCTTAGTTCGGCTAGCTGGTGTGAGATTCTCCCGAGTGCATTCATCAGGGGCGGCGTCCAGTCGCTGTTGGGCCGCCCGACGGCTGACCTCGTGTCGTTGCTGTGTCTGTGGTTGCTATTCGTGATGGCGATGTCTGGCGGTGCGGAATCGCTGCCGGACGGCTCTCTGCATAATCTCGGCACCATGTCAGGAGGTCCGAGGTCATAATCGCAGAACTCATCCAAAACCGGGATGCTTCGTCCGTTGGAGATGTCACTGGTGTCGGTGTAAACCCTGTCCGGGGAATCGCGGCCGGCGGCCCACCACCGGGGCGAGTCGACAACATGTAGCGAATCCCCAGAGCCCGTCACCGGGAAGCCGCTTCCCAGGCCACTGGGATATGTTAGACCCGCGCTCGGTTCTGGGAGATCATAGGGCCCGTGGATTCCGTCCAGCTCCATGGTCAGCATTCCGTCGAACGGAGATGGACCCAGATCAGTGGGAACATAGGACGCGTCGATCGCTTTATCCGGGCCGCGATTGGGTGGTATCCCAGAAGCATTAGAAACGACCATGGTCTTGGGCACCCCGGCCGCCCTTTTTCGTTTGTATTGCGTGTGATGATTAGCGCGACACATGTCGACGTGCGACTCGCTGTGATTTGACGGCCTACCCAGCGGTCGACCGCTGCTTGTGATGCAGCGAGCGTCCACGCGCAGGCAGCGGTCGCAAGGTGCATCTTCGCAGTTCCGCGGGCACCGAAGCTTCAGGTCCCTACACCGGTCGCACGCGTATCTTTTAGCATTGTTGGTCATGACAACAGTGTCGGTGGCATGTGGAGGGGCCATTATCGGTATACAAGAATGGGGCCAGATTCAATCCGCTATCAAGTTCCCTTATGTTCGAGCCTCTTAGGGCTAACGGCGTCGGGCCCCCCCTCCCCCCATATATCTTTGAATGCTACATCAACCGCCGCCAAGGATGAAAGAGGCTCATCGATCGGGGATCAGGCGTGCAGTCTTCAGGACGCTCCGTCCGCCATGGAGTCCAGACTGCAGAGATGATTCAAGGGCGGCTAGTGAATACACCCCGGGCATCTGCAGGTCAGACTAGCTGAAAAGCAAAGGAGGTTCACTAACCCAATTCCAACACAGCGCCCAGCATAACCCTACCACATTTATTCACCCAATATCCAATTCGAATGCTAATAAATAAGATGGTGGGGTCATTGGACCTATCCACCAGTAGGCTGGAAAGGCGTAATGCCGCACCATGCGACGTGATGGATAGCATAATAGGTGCATGTAGCTAAAGTAGCTCGGTCTGACATCCCCCCGGCTCGCACCATTGCGTGCTGGGCTTTATTCGGAGTAAAGGGTCACAGTGGGGATGCCGTCAGGTTTTAGTGTCTCGGTATCAGAAATCACCTTTACCGGTTTTCGTCACCGGGACTCTGAAACCCAGTCGACATCGAGTGAATATGGAAAAGTAAGCCGTCTGATATTGCCATCACCCCCACACCAACGCCTGGTGGCTATTCTCAGATTGTATAGGCACCCGGCCCGGCGCGCCTCTAGGAACAGCCGGATTAAGATGTGCTTTTTTAACTTTTTTTTCTTCGGTTTGAAGAATCAGATACGCGGCACGCCAATCATCGCACAATCCGTTCTATATTATCCTGGTTTTACAACTACTAATGTATGAGAAATGCTATTTTTCTCAGCTTCTCGGGACCCAATCAAGAGAAAAGGCTTATGTAGCATTGAAGATCTTCGGGAGGCAAATGGGGGCGAGAGGCAAATGGGGATACCAACAGTCGCCACTAGTCTACAATATCCATACTACACCTCTACTTATGTTGAAGAGGTTTCTTCATATCGTTGAGGAGAACCAACGGCATGGATGATAGCTAAAAGAGCAGCGGTGCAAAATCATTCTTGCTGTTCAACAACCAATACCCACAGAGGTCACGCGACATGCCAATGGCCAATATGCCAAAGATGCACGAGGAGGTCTCTATAAATTTGTTGAAGAAATTACTTTGGATCACAGTAACAAAGAGATCTTCCCACTCGAGTGACTATCCAGAGATCAGGCAGTATTCTATACCACGCCGCTGCATGCTTGACACGCAGCCTTGACCAAGGTCTCGCAGCGTTGGTAACCACGGGATCAAAGATACCAGTCTAGCCGACGTATACCAGCGTCTTCAGCATTTCAATGAACTTTTGCTCTTCCTCCATGAAGTGGTTGCCTTCCAGGGGAGGGTCCGGGTAGAGCGCCTCGAGGGGAGTCTCACGCACACGCACAGTGACGCGTTCTGCGGCCGATTCTTCCGGGGCAGCCACAACCTCGACAATATTTCCATCGCCGAACTGTGGCTCGGTCATGACCTTGAATGTTTGCTCGGCGGCTTGCTCGGCGGTAAGGCCGATGCTGTGATGAGTATAGTATTAGTTTGGAATGTTTGGGCAACGACGGAGTCAAACGCACTCTGTAGGCAGAAGCTGGCCCTTGCAGTGATCAGCATCAAAGATTGGCGTCTATATAAGATAGGCCCGTCAGCACGACAGTAACCAAGATATATAAACGGTGAAAACTCGGAAACTTGCCTTGACCGGTCCCGGGCAAACGGCAGCGTTGCGGATGCCGAACATCCTCCGCAGCGGGGCCAGACACTTAACCATGCTGTTCATGGCCGCCTTGCTACTGAAGTACAGGGGCGACTGCATCAGATGGACGTATCCGCAGACGCTCGACAGCCAGATCAAGTTCCCGTCAAAGTTCATCTCCTCGTCGGGGTGGTAAAACCAGTAGTTGAGGGCAATCTGCGCCAACCGAATGGGCCCCATGACGTTGGTGGCATAGGTCTGGTACACGCCCGGGGAGCAGTCCACCTTGTCCTGCGCGGCAGGAGACACACCGGGGGGGTGCCAGAACGTGCTGGAGGGCGGCTCGTAGATGGCGGCGCCGTTGACCACGATGTTGACCGTGCCATATGTCTCGAGCGCCTTGTCAAACAACGTCTGAAGCTGCGCCCAGTCCGATACGTCGGTCTTCTGGAATATGGCTGATTTCTGTCCATTAACTCCAGACACGGTGGCGGCCTCTTTTAGTGTTCGCTCTGCCTCCGGTCGCAGAGTGAGGTCGGCCATGACGACCGAGCAACCCTGCTGCAGTAGGATTTTGGTCAGGGCATGGCTGATGCCGGACCCAGCGCCCGTCACGATGGCGACCTTGCCCTGGACACTGTACGCCGTGTGCGGGTGGTCTTGCGTTGGTACCTTTGTCATCTTGGGTGAGCTATGCTATCAACGGGTATCGCTAGGGAGATAAACGTGAACCAAATCGAGTAGGCGTACTGTGCAGTTTCTTTCGCCTTGTAACTTGCAAAAACAAACGGGCCAGCTCGACTAGATAGCGACATTCTGCTCTGTTTCCTTGTCTATGAGATCTAGGCCCCAACCGCCGACAAAAACCCTCCGACGGAATCCTCCGATAGCCGACGGTCATCGGCATGCCGAGCCCTTTAGCCCTAGCCGATTTCCGATCGACTGAACGATGCAGTGAATGGCAATCTCTCCGATACAGAGCAGTAAGCGTCCGAATAAGCTGCGAATGGTCTGGATTGCCCCAGTCCACTGAAAAGAAAAAAAAAAATAAACCACTTGTGATTGTCGCTCCCCGTCTCCATCACCGCACAAGTAGCCAGCCATTGAGCGCTACTACCCAATACTATCACAGCTGAATCCGCAACCATGGTCCCATCTCTCGAGAGTCTCCCGAGTGCCGACCGTTCCATCTTGGACGAAGCTGAACGAGTCCGTCAAAAGTACGCCGAGGAGAGGTCGAAACGTCTACGGTCCGAGGGGGTTGATCAATATGTCAGCCTGAACGCCACCGGTGACCTCCGTTTGAAAGGGTTTCTGGATGATCCGTGGGATCAGCACGATGAATCGCCGATTCGCCTCCAATCCGGCGATCGATATCGGGTAGCCATTATGGGCGCTGGGTATGGAGGGCTACTGTATGCTGCCCGACTGCTTGACTCGGACGCGGGCTTGAACCCCGAAGATCTAGTGATCATCGACACTGCGGCCGGGTTTGGAGGAACTTGGTACTGGAATCGCTACCCTGGCATCATGTGCGATACTGAGAGCTACGTCTACATGCCGCTCCTGGAAGAGACCGGTTACATGCCAAAGCACAAGTACGCATACGGAGAAGAGCTGCGCGAGCATGCAGACCGGATCGCCAAGCAGTGGAAAATTGAAGACCGAGCGATGTTTAGGACAGAGCTACAACGATGCACATGGAATGACGACCGTTCCGAATGGAACCTTGACCTGACACAGCGGTTGCCGTGCGCACACGGTGCATCTACAACCGGTACCATCGTTGCCGATTTCGTCATACTATCCCCGGGACTGCTCAACAGACCAAAGTTGCCTCTACTACCTGGCCTAGGAGACTTCAACGGGCCGAACTTCCTCGCAGCTAGGTGGGACTACGCGGCAACAGGAGGCAGCCCATCGTGTCAGCACCTCGACCGCCTACGGGGCAAGAAAGTCGGCATTGTGGGGACTGGAGCCACTGCCGTGCAGATAGTGCCGGCGCTGGCAGAATGGTGTGACCAGCTTTACGTGTTCCAAAGAACGCCGGCGTCGGTTGACGTGCGCGGTCAGCGACAGACGGATAGTGCCGAGTGGACGAACAGCATACGCACAGGCCCGGGCTGGCAACAAACCCGTTGTCGCAACTTTCTGTCATTCGGGGCCAACGCCCAGCCAAGCGAGCCGATCGACATGGTATCGGATGCGTGGACCAGCTTCCCATCCTATAGCGTCCTCACTGGAAGTCCCGCAACAGCGAAGGTGACCATGGACACGGCAGCCGAGTACGTCTCGGAGATGCATAAGATCGATCTGGCTCGGTCTAACAAAGTCCGCGAGCGCGTCGACAACGTCGTCAAGGACAGAAGCACTGCCGCAAAGCTCAAGGCCTGGTACCCGGGGTGGTGCAAACGCCCCACATTCCACGACGAGTATCTGGAGGCGTTCAATAGAGCCAACGTGCATCTGATCGATACAGATGGCCGAGGTGTAGACCGGATTGCTGAGACAGGAATCGTGGCGAATAGAACGACTCACCAGTTAGACGTCATTGTCTTCTCCACTGGCTTCGAGGCCGGCACGTTCGGCAGCCCGGCACGTCGCTGCGGAGCGCAGGTCTTCGGTCGCGGTGGCAGATCCATGGACGAGAAATGGAAAGATCCAAAGACCGAGGACGGTCAGATATCCCTAACTCTCCATGGGATGTGCAGCAGGGATTTCCCCAACATGTTTTTTACCAGTAGCGACCAGGCGGGGATCGCATCCATCTTCACACCCACTTTAGACGCCGTGTCTAAGCATGTGGCCTTTATAGTCTCCCGGAGTTTAAAGAGGCTCGAGAAGGCGAACAGCGGACTACCAGCGATTGAGCACGTCGTCGTTGTGGAGCCTACCTCTGAGGCCGAGGCGTCGTGGGCCCTCCGCGTCCTCTCGGGCGCTGCCTCCCTCGCGCCCATGGCTGGTTGCACACCTTCTTACTTCAACGCCGAGGCAAAGATGGACAGCATGCCGATGGACGAGCAGATCAAAGCGGCGGCGACAACGCGATGGCCGAGAGGACTCAATGACTTCATGGACGTATTGGACAATCTGTCGAGTGCCAACGATGACACCGACTTTGACATTCGGATTGTCCCAAACAAGAGAACTCTCAATTAAGTAGTAGCTTGGTAATCTTCAGGCAATAGCAAAGAAAATGTCTAGATGGGTATCAACCTAGGTTTTTCATGGCCTGTGATGCAGTTATCTATATGTGATTCATCTCCAGTTATCCAAGCCCCAGTAAGGATATCTATGTCGAAGTAGCAATCTGATAGTTCGTAAAGAAGGGAAAGTCTCAATGTTTCTGACTGCAGTTGGGCCATGCCCAAGGAACTAGCAAGTTGAATAAAGACTGCCGTCAAGTGCGGACCCACAGGCGAACAAATTCTTACAACATGACCTCTTTAACAGTATACTATCAAGCGATACTTGATAACACGGCTGCCCCTATGTAGTTTTCACTAGATATCCTCAAGGATACAGAACTGGTATGGTTTCAAACCTCAAGGAGAGGCTCCCCCCTCCAGCGCTACCACGAGCTTCTGGCCTCTGACTTCTCCCGCCTTCATCATCTCCAGGCCGTCGATAATCCCCCTCCACTTCCCTTTAACCTCCCGAGCAGGATGCGGCCGAAGACGTCCCGCATCTACCAGGCCCTGCACCTCGTCCCGCCACCGACCTCCGAGCTCCAACATAGCCGGATCCGCATCCCGATGATACGGACCCTTGAACTTGATTTCGTGGCCGTGGAGGGCATACGTCAGGGGCATGTGGACCTTGATGGCCTTGCGCGTTCTCCAATCGTCTGGAACGTAATCGAGACCGGAATAGCGCGCTCCAATGCGGCCCAGGGCCGTGAAGCAGCATTTCACAGACTCGGGCGAGCTGATGCAGTCCAGCGCATGTCGCAAGGCCTTACCAGTGTGGTCGTCCCGAATAGTTTCACCACAGGTGGGCGACGAGTACGGTACCACTGCGACAGCCCCATAGTCCTGGACCAGAGTTGAGCTGCTGCTGGACGCTGTGACAACGGGCCGGTAGCCGGACCTGGGAGTAAAATTAGCATGAGAGTCTGTCTTCCGACGGTAAGAATGAAAATGATCTCCGTACATTGATAGGATTTGGCAAGCCATTGTTCCGGTGGCCGTAGCGCCCCCGTAAACCAGTACGGGCGTCCTGGAGCCGTCATCTCGTAGAGCCGCGGGCTTAGACGGCCTCCCAGGGAGCTGCAGCGAGATCTCCATCGCAAGAGCGACAGTACCCCAGCCAACGCCTCCGAGGGCGGCTCCATCTTCATTGGTCCAGCTATCGGGGACTCGGATCAGCAGGCGAGAATCCGTCACCAGGTACTCGGCAAAGGATCCCGTCTCTGGGTTTCCGGGGTTAGAGCCGTGGACGAATCCGCAAACTCGCGTGGTAGGGGGGAGGTCCTTGTCCGCCGCCGTGCCCGCCGAGATGACAGACCCCATAAAATCGCAACCCATGATGGCCCCCGGAGTGGGGTTGGACTCCGGGGACTTGAAGTCCGTCGGGTTCAGGGCCACGGCAGAGACATGGACTACGACGTCGTGGGGCGCCTTCACTTCGGGCCGCGAACGGACTGCCGTCTCTGCTTGTCCGGAATCGGACTGGACGAGGCAGTCCATGGTCTGCTGGAGAAAAGGGCTCATTGTGATGAAGGTTAGATTGGCTTGCTACCCCGTGGACTGCGTCGCGTGTAAGTTTTATGGAGCGGCATCACCCCTCCCGACGACCAAACTCATCTCCGTCAACTTTGTGCTTACTTGGGCAGCCTGTGGATGGGAGTATCATGAATACCTATTCCTCCGAATATAGTGATCAACGTTGCCCCGTCTTCGTGCCGATCTAAACCCTCCGACCATCCTACCGGCTTCCTTCCGAGTCCCCGCTATCCGCTACGGCCTCCGGGGTCGTGGCTCCCAGTCGGTTTTAGTTGCTGATTCAATCTTGATTAGATGGATTATCTCTTTTGTAGGCATCAGCAAACAGGGTATCACTCTGCCTTCTTTGTTCTAGTGTTCTTTGTCCAAGAACTGTCGGAGAGTGGAACGTCCACGTGACCTGTTTGGTTCTTTAAGCGCAAAAATGAACAATCAATTTCACTGCTATTATTACTACATAGCTATAAACATAATCAATTTCATAAGTGCTCATCAGGACGCCCAAGATCTGTCCTTGGCCTGTGTAAGGCTATTAGCATGGAAAGAACCTGGTGTTTCTGAAAGCCCTAATCACGGGATCATATGTATCCGGGAAATTTACTTTGGGTCTATGTATATGAACGAAACTTGGTGAACTTTACGAAGAAAACTACAACTAGAAGATGCGTAGAGCTCTGAAGAGCAGAAATCTGGTAGTTATTTTCAGCTCGCGGTGTACAATTCTAGAGGGTGCAGTCATGGCCAGGTAGCCAGACGCACGGCTGCGGCGATATCCATCCAAGTACAGGTACATATATACAATAAAGAAAGAAAGACTGAAAGAAAGACTGAAATAAAGACTGAAATAAAGACAGACAAAAAGACTGAAATAAAGACAGACAAAAAGACTGAAATAAAGACAGACAAAAAGACAGAAATCAAAACGTAAAGGAAGAATGCTGTCAATACAACGTCCTCTGTATCAAAATCAAACACTCCTCAGCAATCTCGGGAAGTTTAACATGTCTTCCGCTCCAAGCCCCCGGAACACGGCCGCCATGGCGCTCGACAGCCCCATTTCCTCGGCTCTCTTGACCCATTCATCCAACTCTAGTTGCTGGATAGGCATACCCACCTCCAGATAGCTCGTAATGTGAGATATCTCCAGCTCAATATCGCCCGACTCGTGAACATAAACGACATCCTCCCCACGGGATGGAGCCATGACCGCTCCTAAGAGCCTATCCGTGACAGTCTCAGGGCGGACAAGGTCCACAAATCCTTTTAGAAGGGGCCCAATCGGCACGGCACAAAGCCGTCGCGAGAAGGTGAGCATATTCTGCAAAACATCTGCGGCTGGTGTCTCCTCTCCCAGGTCGGGCCGGAGCACGCTAGATGGCCGGTGGATGTAGACTGGGAGCTTGGTCCGCAAGTTTACGTTCTCGAGATACACCTCACTGGCCCACTTGGAAGAGATGTATCCGTATGTGCCGTCGCATGGGGGCGGTGAATCACGAACGGATATCTCTGGGAATGTGCTTGACGTCGTGTACATGGTCACTCCCGTCGTAGAGACGTAGTGCAGAGGCAGATGTCTTTGAAGACATAACAGAGCCAGCGCCTTGGTCGAGTTCACGTTGGGGTCTCTCAGAGAAGCGTATGTCTTGAGATGGGATACGTCTGCCCCGTTGTGGATAACAGCGTCAGCTTCGGTGCCGAAGATGCGATCCGCGTCATCCGGGCTCAAACCAAGGTTAGGAGCACACAGGTCGCCGTCCAAGCACTCTACTCGTGGGGAACAAAGAAGTTCTCTCTTTCTTTCCTCGGTCATATTCCTGTTTGCGATGCATATGACCTTTTCGACCTGGTCCTGCTCAAGAAGCCCGCGAAGCAGATGCTGACCAAGAAACCCGGTTGCACCAGTCAGAACAATTACTCGAGGGGGCGTTGTAGGAGATGAAAGTTTTGTATCTTCCATCGGCACGCCTACTTGAAACGCCGTCTCCGACGCCCAATCAATTGACTTGGACTGAGCTCCATATGTAGCGTCCGGGACATTGGCCTCCAGTCCCAAGGCGCGCTGGAGAACAAGGGCCATGTCACTCAAAGTACTCGCTTTGAACAGATCCAACAGTGTAACGGAGGCCTGGTATGTTTCGGTAATTTTATGTTGCAGCTGTACCAACAGCATGGACGAGCCACCGACGCTGAAGAAGTCAGATGAGGCGCGGATGTCGACGAGCCGAACCGCTTCCTCTGGGAGAACGCTCTGCCACAGCCTGAGAAGCCTGGCCTCGGCATCTGAGAGTGTCGATGTCGAGGTAGTCGTGGTCGCGCCCCCAACGCTACCCAGTTGTGCTTGGGCAATCTCCAATTTTTCAAGGGCACGCCTGTCCAGTTTTCCGGCTGTCGTTCTCGGAAGATCATCAACGGGGATGAGAACGGATGGCCGCATTGCGCGCGACAGAGGAAGGTTGTTCAGGATGGTTTGTAGGATTGATCCTGGGTTGGAGCTTTCGCCCACCATCCGTTCAGTAGACAGGACACAATAAGCGACCATGTACTTCAATGCGACTTGATCTCCATCCTCGGACATCGACATATTGGTGCGCACACATGCTGCCACATCGGCAAACTGACCTTGGCCCGCTTTCAGTATCGTCTGCTCCACGTCTCTCAGATCGGTTCGGACTCCATTCAGCTTGACCTCCGTGTCACTGCTCAAGCGGCCTGTTAGGATCAACGTTCCGTCGTCTTTCAAGTAGCCGGCATCACCGGTACGGTACATGGTAGTCCAGCCTCGCTGGGTGTACTCAGGGGTTGCAAAACGATCGTGAACAAAAGACACCTTCGTCTGGTCTGCGTTGTTCAGATAGCCCTTGGCAACTCCGACGCCGCCAATCACAACTTCACCACTTAATCCGAGAGGCTGTGGATTCTGCTTGGTGTCGAGAATATAGAAGCACTCGTTTGCAGATGCGCGGCCCACAGGCACGGCGTCGGCATATTTTTCCGGATGAGCATAATCAAGCTGCAGCTTGGTCGACCCACAGGTTGTCTCGGTCGGACCGTACACATTGAAGAGACGAAGGCTGTCTGCTCTGTCCAGATTTCCAAACCGCTTTAGTAACGGAACGGTGACAGCCTCTCCGGCCACCAACGCTAGTTTCCAAGGTGATTGTCGAAGGACATCCACATGGGCATCACGAAGCCAGGTCTTGTACTCTGTCGGGGTGGCATACGTGGCCGTCACACCCTCATCGCGGATGAGCGCCGCCATAGCACGCCCATCAGCTCGCAAAGTATGGGATGCGACGTGAAGCCGCGCGCCCACTGTGAGTGCCAGGAACAACTGGGTGATAGAGAGGTCGAAGCTCCAGGCGCTCTGCTGTAGCACTACGTCCTCCTCGCTTAGCCCATACACGGCTTGGCAGTGCTCAAATTCGTGTCGTAGGCTCTCGTGACTGAGGACTACACCCTTTGGGGTTCCGGTGGAGCCACTGGTATAGAGAATCATGGCGGGTGAATCGACCAGCGTAGTTGTGGGAAGAGATTCGGTTGCGGTATCAAGGGCGCTGGATACGCCAATCAGGGACGCCTCAGGTGCCAGATCCTCTACCATCTCTCGAGTAGACTCATCCACCAAGACAGCGGCAGGCTTGCAGTCCTGAACCATGAGAGCCAAGCGGGGAGGCGGAGTAGCCGCGTCAAGGGGAACGTAGACTGCGCCAACCTTGAGGACCGCCACAACAGAGGCAACCCAGAAAACGGTGGGATGCTGGCAAATAGCGACCCTAGAGCCCGCAGTAACTCCCTCTCGCAGCAGTGTCGAGGCGATGCTGTTAATCTGGTTTGAAAGCTCCTGGTATGTCACTGGCGTATTGACGGCGTCCGTTACGGCGACCCGGTGACCGATGGAGGGGAGTATCTCGTCCAGTCGGTGTACGATCGTCTTCATCCAGGTGGTCTGGAAGTCGGGACCTTTTATCCAGTCAGTTTGATCAAAAACTCTGTATCTGGGTGCTGGCGACCTACCATGGCCAACTGCAATCGCTTTCGACAGAGAGGAGGGCGCGAATTCCCATTCATCATTCACCTGGTTCTCTGGCCGTCCCGCAAATTCCCGCACAATTTCCTGATAGCCAGTCGCAAGAATTCGGGCCACTGTGGCATTGTAAAGAGAGGTTTGAGCGTTGAGGATGATCTTTGTGTCTGCGTCACCATCGGGGGCTGTGTTGGTAATGATTGTAAAAGCTATATCGTAGGGCAGCTCAGCCTGGTCCTCTTTCATCATCTGGCAGCCGCAGCCCAAAAACTCCCGGCCACTCTCGACGCTGGTCTCAGCGTAATTGATAAATGCCTGAGCCAGTGGGGAGTGGGTGGGTTGCCTAGACACCTTAAGCTCGTTGAGGATGACCTCAAGAGGGAGCGCGTTGGAGAGGGCCGCGTGGCTCTTCTCCCGTGCCTCAGCGATGGCATCCGCAAAGGACTGCGCCCTCCGTGCCTTCATGCGTAGGGGCAGCATGTTCAAGAATGGGCCAATTCCAGTCCACATTCTTTCATCCCGACGACAGCCGTCGGCAAAGCCGATGCAAACGTCCTCCGTCCCCAGCCAGCGCAAGAGCAACACTTTGAAAGCTGCCAGGTGGAAGTGGAAGGGGGTGGACCTATACTTGCGCGCGATTTGGCGGATCTGGGTGGTGAGCTGGCTGTCAAGACGGAACTCACACTCTGGCAGCCCCGTGCGAGAGCTATATTTCTCGAGCGGGCGGCGCTCTGCGAGGCTACTTCGATGGAGGGGAAGAGGCTCTGGAATTGTGGCAAATTCGCGGCGCCAGAAGTTCATCGCATCTATGCACTTGCCCGGTGAGTGCATTTCATGTAGCTCATTGGAGTAGTCTAGATACTGAAGGGGAGTGGGTAAAGATTCATTTTTGTTTTTGTAGATTCGAGCAAGGTCCGACATGAAGATGTCGGTGCTGGCTCGATCGAAGGTGATATGATGCGTGGCCAGGGCGAAGTAGTGGTCGGTAGGGGAGTAGGATAAGAGCAACACTCTGGCCGTGTGGCCTCCGCGCAAATCGAAGACCGTGTTCTTCAGAGCATCGTACTCACTCAACACGTCGGACTTGGTAAAGACGCGGCGATGTTCGAGCTCCAAGGTCGGCTCTGCGAGCACACCTTGAATGGCAACGCCATCCTCTGTGAAGAAGCACGTCCTCAAGCTCTCATGGTGCTTTCCGAGGATGTGCACCGCTGCCTGGAGGTCCGGTATCCGGATTTCACCACTAAGATGAACCATGCCTGTGTTGTTTAGAGTTGTTTTGTCTTCCAACAGTTCGTGGACAAACCTAAACACGGATTGTGTATGGGATAGGGGGCCGAACCTCTCTATCTCCAACTCTTTCTCCGGAGGTGGAGTCATCATGATCTCACTCTCGCCAGTCTCCGACGTGGCGCTACTCTGCCCATCAGGGGAGTTCGCCGACGATGAAGTATCGGATAATGACTTTTCATCTTCCGGCCCTGACGGCATCTCGGAACCGTCGGTGGACGAACCTGCACCGACCAAGCCGGGTGTCAGGCCAGCGGGAATTTCATTGAGGGTCAGGTCAATTAGATGTTGAAGAGAAACGCCTTTGATAATCTTCAGCGCCGGGACATTCACTTGGAAGTGACTGAGGAACCACGAGCGTATGCGCACGGCAACGAGCGAGTCTAGACCGAGCTCGTCTGTACAAATGGCTGGTGTCATTACGTAGTCGTCGTCCATATGAAGCATGGTGCACATTTCTTTGAGAACATTGTCTATCGAGCAGCCAGGTTAGAAGGTGGAAACAGGATCATGATGTGAGTTCTTACCAGTGATGACATTCTGCACATCCTCCTTCGTCTTAGCCCCGGCCAACTGATCTTTGATCGACACAACAGCCCCCGCGGCGGAATTTGATGGATTGTTCGGATCACCCGCACTAGAGTCCCTAATCGTGAGGCTGGCAAAATGGGGGAAGTTGTACCAGAGAGGTCGGTTCGGCGCATCCGCCGGTAGTGGGATCAGCCCCGTGGTGATGTGCCATCCCACCTCAGAGCTAGGCGTCACAGGGCTGGCGTTGATCGCCTCCGCAAACAAGCAGTGAACGTCAGATTCAGACATTCCGAGCAGACCTCTCTCCGCCAACGGACGCGTCAAGGCGTCGCCAATCTCTCTGGTGATGTACCCTGTGCCGAGGACGGGGCCCAGGTCTATCACGGAGGCGGCGAGACCGCGGCGGCGTCGCTTTTGCGCCAGCCCACCCATGAAGAAGTTCGCGGCCGAGTAGTTTGCTTGGCCAGCATTTCCCGTGACACTAGCGGCGGAGGAGAAGAAGATAAAGAAGTCTAGTGCCGAGTCATGGAAGAGGCGATCGAGGTTGATGCTACCAGCCACCTTGGGGCGCAGGACTTTGTTGAGATCTTCCAAGCTCATGTCCCGAGTCAGAGTATCATTGAGAACCATAGCGCCTTGGGCGACACCCGCAACGGGAGGTAGGCTCTTGAGGATGTTGGCATGAGCCTCGACGACGGAGTCGTAATCCGTAATATCACTGGTTTGGTGTTTAGCTCTGCCAGTATAACATTCATGAAGGGAAGGGGGGGAGGTAAAAAAGAATCACCACTCACCAGCTAATGACCAAGACAGTGGCGCCTTTGCGAGCTGCATTACGAAGCCAGGCCTGACTGATGTTAGGGTTTCGACTCGAGATAGCAATATGTTTGCCGCCATTGCGAATTATCCAGTCTGCGAGAGAGAGTCCCATGTCTCGGGAGAGTCCCGCCAGCCAGTATGTCCGATCTTCTCGGAGGGAGACGCTGACAGGCTGCACGGTGACAGGTGATGTCTCAGCATCGGCCCAATTGACCACTGTTGTGGTAGAATGAGCGGAGAGGTTGGCTTCATCACTGATCAATGCGCCGATATCAACTTCGTCTACAATCATCCTGTCTCCGCCATCGTTGTTGGCTTCCTTCAACGCGAGCGCCACAGCCGTCTGCAACACATCCTTCAAATCCGCAGAAGAAATTAGAGGCCTGGATGACTCGGCAGTGAACAGGCTAGACTTGGCGAGAATGTCAACATCGATAGGGAAGCAGTGTTTTAGCACGGACGCCTCCGGAGTCTCGGCCGCGAAATCGATCAGCATGGAGACGTTGAGAGGAAACAGCAACTCCAAGTCCGATTGCTTAGCGTACTTCTCAATATAGATCCAGTCGTTAGTCGCTGCATGATCACGCGTCGAAGTCGTAAACGTGATGTTCTTTCCGTTTGACGAGCGGGCCAAAGACGCTGCCAGAATAGGTGGAGCATCGTGAACCACGACCGCCCGATGTTCACCAATCTTGGCCTCCATTGCCTGGAGAACGAGGTGGCAGACAACCGATGTCAGCATTAGAGGCCCTGAAGCCCCTTGAGCGACCGCGTCAGAGATCTCCACCAGGTTGGACGTCGCCACCGTGGCCCGCGATGTTACGGACGATGTCAGTCCCAAGTAGTGGACCCCTGTCGCCTCGCAAGCCCCAGACACCGCGAACACATCTCCCCATCCAGTCCGGACGGCAAAAAGACTCGACTGCTCAATCTTCAAGCACGATGTCGAGACGTCAAGCCTCAGAGGCTCCTGTTTCCGAAGCATATAACGACCTCGCGTGTTTTGTAGCCGAACCGGAGTCTGCTGAGATCCACCGTGAGACTCGATCTGCCGCAGCGAGGAGTTATAGCGCGCGTTTGCATCGTCCAGAGGGCTCAGTCGGGGGATATACTGGGCCCCGTCTGCACCTATGATAATCTCCGATTCCACCGACCACAGCGCGTTGGCGGTCGTGTTGGGCGGCCCTTGGATGTGCGCCTGGAAGCGCAGAACTGCCTCCGTAAGGGCGCGGGCATCAATCTTCGACCCAGGAACGTCCTGGAAGTCGACAAACTGATAGCGAAGCTCAGGTGCCTCCCAGATCGATGGGCGCACGAATCCCGGGGCCATGTTGGCGTGAGGGTTGTCGACGAGCCGGTTATGCGTGATCCAAACGATCGTCTTTTCGGATCCGAAGAGGGCTTTCAGGCTCTCAAGTCTCGCCGTTGTCATGTCATCAAATACCGGGCTATCAAGATCCTGCAAAACCAAAACGGTGGACGACTTGTCGATCTGGTCGTGGTCCAGGTCTTCCAGCTGGTCAACTCGCGTCACCGTCTCGCCGCAGAACGGCCGGATAATCTTCTGTACGGCGTCAATGAGTCGAGAGACGTGGAGGGTTTGGCCTCCGACGATGAAAAATTTCTCCAACAACGCACTCGATGACTTCGTGGAAAACAGCGACCCGCCGACTGATGCCATGAGCGGCTGTCGGACCAAGTCGACCCAGTCATCCACGGCCTGGGAGACCAGGACCGAGTTACAAAACGGCATCGAATCGTTGGTTGGCGTCATGGTGTCAACTCCAGAAAAGCCCGTCTTGCGAAGGATCGCATCCCACTTGGACTCGCTGACGGCGGGGCACCAGGTCCGGCCCTCATCCACCCCCTGCCACCATCCGGGGAGACAGCCAAACAGGGCTGTGTGACGGATCAAGTCGACGTTGGTGATCTCGTAAAAGACGATGTAGCCGCCCGGCCGGAGCAGTGATCGCACTCTCTGTAGCGTCTTTTCCAGGTTCTTCGTCGCGTGCAGGACCAGGGATCCAACCACGACGTCATACGAATGCTGTTCGAAGCCCTGCGGCGCGGTGTCTTGCTCCAGGTCCAACACCCGGAAGGACATCTGATCCTGGTAAGGGGCGAACTCAGCCTGGGCATCATCGAAGAATCCCGCCGATACGTCCGTGAAGGTGAATGAGCCGAAGTTCTTCCCAGTCAGCTTCAGCACTTCCCGCGTCGCTCCTCCAGTGCCAGCGCCAACCTCCAGAATATTCGCTCGGGGGTACCTGCGGGTAAGCTGCAGAACGGTATCAGCGAGGACTGTCACTTGCCGCATGCCAAGGGCATTGGTATAGTAGTCATTCAGGAGCCCAGTGACCATAAGATGCTGTAGCATGGTGGTCTCCCCGCGAATCGCTCGCGGCATCTGTTCGCCCACGACGTGCATCGCCTTGACCTCGGGCAGTGCATTATACGGCTCTGTTAGCGCCTTGATGTCTGCCAATGTATCATGAACCCAGGCCGGCTTGCCATAGCGGTGCTTGCCCTCTGTGACGAGACGGTGGGTATGCGTGGCCCAGCGCAGGTAAGCGGCGTAGAACTGGTCCAACCGTCCGGGATGGTCAGCAGGAACTTGTTCCTCGAGCTGTCGCAGATAGAAGTAGTGGCCTCGCTCGAGAATCTCAGCCAGCCTGCGCTGCTCGGGGGTCGCCATAAATGGACCGGGGATATCAGCGTCTGGCTCTGCATTGACCCAGCGTGTCACATAGAACATCGTCCGATCATCGCGCGAGGTGGCGGCGGAAAAGGGCACAACCTGCAGACCCTCTACTTGGATCGCAGAGTACGCCCCAACTCCACTATGAATCTCGACGTCCCCATGGAACCCGGACGACCGGTCTGCAGTATGGACTTGGTCATCGGCGATAGTCGACACGAACGGGACAGACTCCGCTGTCCAATGCCCCTCGCAAAGTGCCGGGTTCACTCGAAGTCGCTTGATACGCGTCGGCAGATGCAATGACCAGAGCTTTCCGTCCCTCGGGTAGCTGTACGCCAGGATCACGGAGTGGATGGCGGCATCCAACATGCCAGGGTGAACAACCAGCCAGTTGCTGGCATCATCGTACTCGGCCGACGTTGTGTCGATTACGCCCACGGCCTTTCCGAGCTTTCTGCTCAGCCCCGACAAGGCTTTGAAGGGACCTGTGTATCCATAGCCCATCTCTGAGAGGGAGGAATAGAAAACGTCTGTCGGGACATTGACCATGCCAGAGTCCCGCCCCGTATCGGTGGCGGGCAGGGTGTGCTGGCGAGGCTCGCCGAGCATGACACGCAGTTGGCCACTTGCGGCGAGCTCCGGGGATCCGTTGGACGAGTGATACTCGTAGGTAAAATGGCCCGTTATCATCGCATCGTCACGCCGACGGCTGACACCACCAACCGAGAAGCGTACTTCAATGCTGGAATCGTCGTTGTCGAATACCATGGCCTGGTGAATGACAAGGTCTTCCACCTCGATCAGACGAATCGTCTGCCCATCGGCTAAGAAAGGAGCCGCCTCGAGCGCAGTCACCGCATAGCCAGCGGCGGGGAACACGCTCTGGCCCTGGATCTGGTGGTCATGGACCCACGGGATGTCCTGGGGGCGCAAGACAGCTTTCCATGAAAGGTTCTGGGGCGAGCTGGAGCTGCAGATATCGCCCAAAAGCGGATGGACGGCAGAGTTCCTGAATCGGAGGCGACGAGACGTATTGGACTCATGCCAGTGACGGCTATGGTTCCATTGGTAAAGGGGTAGACCCGCCACGAACCTCCTCTTGAATGACCTTGGTCCACTCAATGCGCTCTCATATTGGTCGAAGTTGATGGACATTCCATCCACATGGGTCCAGAGATATCCAAGAGCCGTGGACAAGCTCGTGGCTGCCTCGGTGCCTCGCTCCAGGAGCCCAGTATACGGCATTGGGCCAGTCTTCAACTCCTCAAGGATTTGGCGGACTGGGCCCTTGAGCGCGGGATGCGGTCCAACTTCGACAATACCGTCGAAAGGTCCCAGCTCCATCACCGCCCGCTCAACAGCCTGTTTAAACAGGACCGGTGACAGGAGGTTGTCCACCCAGTATGACGCCTCCAACTCGGTTGCCGCTGTGTCTGACTCGACGACTACACTAGAGACCCACACGCAATCAGACCGAACCCCGGCCTGACATGAAGTTTGCTGAAAGCTCTGCATTGACTCCAGGTATGGCTGAGAGCAAGGTATCATGTGGTGCGAGTGATACGCCTTGTCGACTCGGAGCCGACGAGCGGTCTTTCCTTCGTCTTCGAAGAGCCCAGCGATCTCCTCGATGGCGTCACTGTCCCCCGACAGTGTGACGCTGTTGGGGGAATTGCAGGCCGCAACTTTGACTCGTCCCTGGAAGAACTCGTCGCTGCAGACCTCGCTGGCGTCTTCCATGCTGGTGCTAACGGCCAGCATGGCACCCTGTGTGCCGTCGGGCCCTCCTGCGAGGCGAGTGGAGTGAAGGCCGCGATAGTAGGCGATCCGGATGGCGTCGGCCGCAGACAGACGACCGGTCAAGTAGGCAGCGCCTATTTCGCCCGACGAGTGGCCCACAACGGCGGCAAATTCCACCCCGGCTTCACGGAGGATGTCGACTAGAATCACCTGGACAGCGGTGCACAAAGGCTGAGAGATGGCAGCGTCGCCGACCCTCGATTGGGACGAATCTGCCAGAAGCTCCTGGCGAAGGGTCCAGTCGGGGCGGTCTTCTTGGTTGGGGAGATTAGCCAGTTCGGCGTCCAGCTTACTCAAGATGTCAGACGCATATTTGGAGTTCTCTACCAGCTGGGCTCCCATTCGAGCCCACTGCGCCCCCTGTCCGGTGAAGATAGCCAAGAGCTTGGTCTTGCGCTCATTTCCGCCAGCCGACGACCCTGTGGTTGTAAGCTTCAGCCTCTGGTCCAGCTGTAGCTTGTTGAGCTCGCTGCTGGCGATCTCCTCTAGACTGGTGCGCAGCATCTCAACTGAAGACGCCGACAAGGCCACCCGAAGTGGGAAACGCGACCGTCGCGAGCGCAATGTCCAGGCAAGGTCGTCCAGTCGCGTGTCCGGATGCTCCGATAAATGGGCGGCGTGGGCGGCCAGATTGGCGATCAGAGACTGCTTCGACTGCGCGGAAAAGACAAAAGACCGCATCAGCTCATCTCCGCTATCCTCCCCTGCCTGCTCGACCAGCGTCTCCTGCCCCAGGCTTTCTAGAATGACGTGGGCGTTTGTCCCGCCAAACCCAAAGCTGTTGATACTTGCACGCCTGCATTGTCCCGGGGCCAACTCTGGCCAGCGGGTGAGCTCATTTGCTATGCGCAGGTTACTGCACCACGGTTCGACGCGCGGATTCATTGTGAAATCCAAGACCTTTCCGTCTAATATACGGTTGCCGTTGGGTGGAATATGACCGTGCTTCAAGGCCTGTGCCACCTTGATGATGGCTGCGATTCCCGCAGTGCTCTCCGTGTGACCGATGACCGTTTTGATAGATCCCACGACGATCTCGTCAGCATCCTGAGTCTTGATAGCTCCACCGTTCTCGTCCTGGAAGAAGGCGGTATGAATAGCTTCCGCCTCAATGGGCTGCGGATGCGGTCAGCGTATGAGACACCAGCTATCTGGACAAGAACTTACATCTCCCGCCGGCGTTCCTGTGCCGTGAGCTTCAACGTATTGGCATCGATCTGCCGGTGAGGCCAAGTCAAGACCCGCCCGAGTATACACGTCGCGGATCAATGCGACCTGCGCTTTGGCCGTGGGCATGGTGATACCAGGGCTGCGGCCGTCTTGGTTGACGCCAGACTCGCGAACAACGCACTCGATGTGGTCTCCGTCTGCCAACGCCTGGCTCAACGTCTTGAGCACCACAGCTGCGACACCGTCTCCGCGAGCGTATCCGTTCGCATCGTCTCCCCACATACGGGAGCGTCCATCGGGGGACAGCATTTTCAGGTTGCTCTCGTAGATGTAGGGCTCGGGTCCCAGCAGAAGATTGGTTCCCGCCGCCACTGCCACAGTAACCTCGCCGGACCGGAGGGACTGTATTGCCTGGTGCAGTGCCACGAGGGACGAGGAGCACGCGGTATCGACGGTCAGTGAGGGGCCGTGCCAGTCGAAGAAGTAGGAGATTCGGTTGGACACCATGCTGCGAGCAACGCCTATATCCGACGCAGTCAGCATACGAGATTCCAATCAGCGACTGGCAATGTCAACAATCTTACCCGTGCCATGGTACAAGGGGACACTTTGCAAGTCCCTATACTGCTGGGACTCATAATCTCCGTACATCATACCGACATAAACACCGGTGTCTGAGCCCTTGAGGCCCTCCAGTGTCTGCCCCGCTGCTTCAAGGCCTTCGTACACCGTCTCTAGGAGGATGCGCTGCTGGGGATCCATGGCGCCTGCTTCGGCGACCTGTAAGTTGAAAAAGCGGGCGTCGAAGTTGGCGACATCTTCCTGGAGCAGGTATGACCGGCGGACGTTACTATGGCCGGGGAAGTCATGTTTTGGGTGGTAAAACCCTCGCGGATCGAATCGACCTGCGGTAAGGAGGTCTGTGGAAACATCTCGGGGACTGTGGAGGAGGTCCCAAAGTTTGGAGGGAGAGCTGGCACCACCTGGAAATCGACAGCCGGTGCCAATGATGGCGATGGGCTCGTTGGGTGACATGCTTGGCTGTGTGCTATACGTCTCGTTACACCTATTTGGACGTTGATCTGTGAATGAAAGAGAATGGGGTTTCCTAGTCTCCCTAAGCTCAAGCGATAATGTGGTGTTACAACAACAGTGGCAGTAGATGGTGGCTCACTTCGTATACTGGAATACACCTTTCATATCAATATGCAATAAGCGTGGTAAGAAGATCAAGACAACAAACACTACATAGTATAGGTGTATCTCGCTAGCCGGGGACCTCTGCCGATGGACTCGGGTCTGCCGATGGTTTCGGAGGGCTCCAGGCATGGCAATCAGCAACCCTCCGATTAAGTGTCCGTGGGTCCTCCGACTGGGGGGGCCTTGGCCGAAGCACTGGGAATGGGAGACCGAGTGCGAAAAGATCGGCTTTCGCGTGCCTGGTGTCAAAGATGTCGAACTTGATTAGCAATAATACCCTTGACAAAATACTAGATATCCTAGTCCGCCGGAGATGATCTGTATAGGATGTACGGATAACAACCACGGAACAGGCATTGCTCCCACGATAACTACAATGGTAGGAACAAGACAAGCCCTCGAGTCTTCTTGTCAAGTTAATAATCATGATTGCATTACCAGTATGCCAATGACCATTGGTGGTGGTATCCATTCGCATAACTTTGTATATAGAGATGACTGCTTTTAGATGGTGGGTCTTAAACCCTCTCTCCTACAGCAGGGCCAAAATCAATATGAAATTATCAAGAAAATATAGTAAGGTCGACACCAATTCACAGGCCTACTCTAATATGAGGCATATGCTACAAAGTTACTGTGTTATCATAACTACTGTAGTGAATCCATCGGCTCCACATATCTATTAGATCACCAGTCACCCCCATTTCTATCACATTTTGTCCAGGCGCGACAGGCTCGCACAACGAGTATTAGATGTCTTCGTCATTTAGTAAATCACCTTCGTATAGTGCTACAGCATTCTTAGCCTCGTCGACCCTCTGGATCCTAGACAAACCGAGAATAGAATTGACGCGTTTCTTCAAACACCACATGGTAGCAACTTGCGCCATGCTCCAACCCTTTTCCTTGGCAATTTCTTCTACGCAATTGATCTTGAAATATCTATATTCGTGCTTGAGCCATCAATCATTGCGAAAAGACATCAGTTGCCTCGCGCAAGCATTGCTCTGTTCTGCCGGTGTTGAAAGGTCGCGTGAGAAGACTACGCGCTACTGGCGACCACGGAATAATACTGATACCAGCATCATGAGTCTGGATCTGTAGCTCCTTGGCTTTATTAGATGATCTATGGTTCTAGAAGATTGATACTAGGTTTGTTATGCTGATCGGAGTGTAAGGATACTCGGCTCTGAGCATAGTCTTGTTAATCTTCATGACTTGCAATTGTAGCTGCTCGGCTTCATTCTATCATCTCTGGCTCAAAAAAGTTGATGCCAGATTCACCATGCTGGTCAGAGTGGAGAGAATCTCTGGACCATCGTTCTGGGCATTGAAATTGTCCGTGCATTGGGCGATCACGATGTGGAGGTGAATGGGTGGGATGCAACGAGTCCCCCTGAGCCTGCAGCTGGCAGTGGGACGCATACTGTGACAGATTGTACGGTCACTCTGTCCAGTGGGTAGCTTTTGATGGGGACCATGAGCTACTTCCTTCCGACGTGGGCTCTTTGGACTCTTTTACCCCTGTTCTTATTCATGAGAGTTTCTCGCGGTTCGAAGATGGACTCCATGGAAGCCTGGTTTGGTATAACATGGTGCCTTGAGGGAGTATGGAGGGCCCTATCGATAGGCGATGTCTATAACAGCTCTCAAACATACAACGAGATCTGCCCGAGTCCTTGACAGCAGCCCATCTTGACTTGAGCCGTGCAAGCGCACCAGTCGAGGTTCAGCTGTAGCTCGATGGACGCGCCGATGCAAGTATCACTGCCGTGCAGCGCTTGGTCAAGAGTTTTCTTGGCAGTTTCATGTTGAATCATGTTTTGAATCACAAATAAGGAGAACAGGAGTTGATTCTTCATACATAGTACCGGCTAAAATGCGAAACATATCAGACGCTAGTGCGTCTCATCCTCCGATTATTTCCATACTACCTGCCCTGACACCCGAGCGCAGGGTATGTCGGTATATGCACCCCACAGGAGCCATATCGGACATTTTCCTCTTTTGTCGTAATGCCTGTTGGATATCTGCAAGGAGATTTGCATCCAGCCTGCGCCATGGGTGGGGTTTATCTGGGGTAAGGAACGTTGCGACGCCCATGTGTTTACGCCCACCAATTATGGACAGCATATTCATTCTTCTACAGCTCTTTACCGATTTGTTGCACGGATGATCCCTTCGAGATAGATTGCTGTCAAGTGTCAGAAGACTGGTACGGAGGACCCGTATTGGTCTTTGGAAGGCTCAAGCGAGAGCGGAAATTTTTCTCGTTGCTATTCATCCACCTATCCCTCGAACTGCGCGAGTATATAACCAGATGTACTTCCAAGTCTCAGTGCATGCTGACAGCCCAGCGCTAGAAAGGCATATTTTATCTCTCTTCACAGATCCAGAGGATCTTCACAAGCCACCATGAAAGGCAATCTTCTCCTCTGGGGCTCATTGATGAGCATGGCCACCCCGATAGTATCCCAGCTCACCAACCCGGTCTTCTGGGCGGATTTCGCAGACCTCGACATCATTCGCGCCGATGATACGTTCTACTACTCGGCGTCGAACATGCACTACTCACCCGGTGCTCCAATTCTCCGGTCCTACGATCTCCTCAACTGGGAGTTCGCAGGCCACTCGATCCCCGAGCTGGCATTCGGCCCAAACTACTACCTTGAAGGTGGCGACCGGGCCTACGTCAAGGGTACATGGGCTTCGACAATGAACTACCGACCCAGCACCTCGACCTTCTACTGGATGGGCTGCATCGACGGCACCACATACGTCTACACGTCCCCCAAGGCCGAAGGGCCCTGGGAGCAGGCCTCCAAAATCGACACATGCTACTACGACTGCGGCCTGCTCGTCACAGACGACGACAAGATGTACGTCGCGTACGGCAACAGCGGGATCTCCGTCGCCGAGCTCTCCGAGGACGGGCTGAGCGAAGTGAGCACGCAGATGGTCTTCCCTAAAGACGATGCCGACTATCTGGAGGGATCGCGCTTCTACCAGCGCGACGGGAACTTCTACATCTTCGTTGTCCATCCCGCCAACGAGGAGCACGTTCTGATGTCCACCTCCGGCGTATTCGGCCCCTACGAGCGCCGTCTGCTGATTTCAGATGCTGGCAGCCCCGTCGCGGACACAGGGTTCCCGCACCAGGGAGGTATCGTGGACACCCCCAACGGAGACTGGTACTACATGGCCTTTATCGATGCCTATCCCGGCGGACGCATCCCCGTTCTCGCCCCCTTGACCTGGGGCAGCGACGGCTGGCCCACGGTCGACCTAGTCGACGGCGGCTGGAGCGCCACCTACGACGCGCCGGATATCACTCCCCCATCTACACCCATTTCCTCCTTCGAGCCCTACACGGACAACTTCACCGGCGACACCCTCTCCCCGCAGTGGGAATGGAACCACAACCCCAACAACGACAAATGGACCCTCAACAAGGGAGTAACCCTCACAACAGCCACCGTAACCGACGACCTCTACTCCGCCCAAAACACCCTCACGCACCGCATCCTCGGCCCCAAATCCACAGCCACAATCCACCTCGACACGAGCTCCATGTCCAGCGGCGACCGCGCAGGTCTCTCCCTCCTCCGGCAATCCTCCGCCTACATCGGCGTGATCAACGACGGCGGCGCCTCCCACATCGGGGTCACCACAGGGCTGGAGATGGACGCAGACTGGAACACCGTGTCCACAGGGACGGAGAGCGCGACGGCCGAGTTCGCCGGTAGTGAGGTGTGGCTGCGCGTGGAGGCGGACATTGCGCCGCATGCGGGCACCGGTCGGTTCTCGTATAGTCTTGATGGAGAGACGTTCACGGAGTTGGGGGATGTGTATGAGCTGAGCAGTGATTGGGAGTTCTTTATGGGGTATCGGTTTGGGATCTTTAATTTTGCGACTGCTGAGACGGGGGGGAGTGTGGTGTTGGGGTCGTTTGTTTTGTCGTGATCTGTGTATATCGGTCACTGCTATTCTGTATAGTCAAGCCTATCAAGCAAGTAATAGTGTTGTATTATTTTTATTCTCTGTATATTGTTACTGATTGAGTCCGGCACCCCACCGGAGTCATGTATCTAATTTCTCCGTCCTACTATCGGCAGAAGCCATCCAAAACTGCCGACTCATCTATACCAACCAGACACCATTTAGGCTATTTATCCCGTTTCGAAACTAACAGGGTTAGCTTCCTGCATGTGGTGCCATGTCTCATACGAGAAACAAGATCGACCGCTCAGAGTGATCCTAAACATCAATATCAAACAATGTATATCGTATACTACCCATAGACGAAGTCGTGATGCAACATGTAACACACCCTGGAGTACACATGTCGTCCAAGATCTCCAAGTCTAGTTAGTCTCCTTGGAAGGCTCATCACTGGCACTCCTTCTGTCTGTATAGCCCTCCCTCTCCACGGGAGAATGATCGGATCGTGAAAAGAGACTGAAAACCCATGTACAGTCATGTACAGTATATAACTACTCACTTTGCAAGATTGGGAATAGGAAAAGAACGTTACAGGTGTTACTTAGCTGCTCGCTGTTTCACCAGCCCAAGAATCTGTAGGTAGTAAGTACTCGGTCTTGGTGGGATTGCAAAACCAATGTCATCTTTGTGGCGTCAACCTGATTTCACTAATGACGATATAGTACAGAGTACACACATGGAAAATAACCCCATCCTTTATCGAAATCATCTCTTCCTTTCTCTTTCCTTTCCAATATAAGTGCGAATAGATAAATAAATAGATAGATAGTAAGTAAGACCATAAAATAATTCAATTCCCAGGATATTGATAGGTAAGACGAACAGAAAACAAACAACTCCTTCTGTAGAACACACAACCGAACAATAATATAAGATAGAATAAAACAATGAACGAAATAGAATAATGAAACCAATGAGCAGGACTAGCCAGCCTGCTCTTCTGCAATCGAGATAATAATGAAAAAGAAGGGAGGGGAAATCACACCGCTAACCTGTAGGAGTGCTAGTCGTCGTGATATGGTTTGATGTGATATGTATGAGAGGTAGGCAGGTAGGTAGGTAGGTGGGATAGGATGGTATCCAGTGGATGAGGAGGAAGAGGGAATAAAGGTTCCAAGCGTGAATTAACACAGAAAGGCCATGTTAACGCTGAGAAGGCGGTGGTCGAGAGAGACCTTGTCGTGCCTATCATAATCATTAGTATCAACTGCCAGACCCAAGAAAAAAGTAAAAATAATGTAAAGGGAAAATAATTACCTTCATTTGTTCAATCCGCGCCTTCAGCTGACTCGTCACCTCAGCCGCCCGCTTCCAATTCTCAGCAGGCTCTCCACTCCGCGGCTGCGGCTCCTCGCCAGAAGCACTCCCAGAGCCAAACGCCGAGCGAGTCGGACTGCCCAGCCCCGAGTATCCGGCGCCGGTGCCCGCCCCGTACGACGGGCTGAACTTCCGCCGGCCAATGCCGCTGTCTCTGCTGCCGAGGCCGGGGGATTCTAGCCCCGTGTTCTCCTTCTCTTCGCTGGGACTCGCCGACGCGAAACTCCGCGGCCGGGTGCTGTCGAAGCGGGATCCCATGTGCGCGCTCGTCCGCGACATCGGCCCGTGGCTGTTGTTGTCCTGCGACATGGCGCCCATGTCTGGCGTGGACATGTTCGTGCCGTCGGAGAGGACGGTGGGTGGGCTCATGGCGCTGGCGCGGAGGGCCCGGGCGAGCTCGCGCTTGAGTCGCTCGATCTCGCGCTGTTGTTTCTGGACGGATTGTTCTGATGTCTCGGCGTCGCTGCGTGCTCGGACTAGCTGCGTTTCCTTGGCTTTGATGCCGAGGACGTCCCGCGTGTGGTCTTCGATGAGCTGCGCGTTTTGGTTTTGCAGTTCCGTGATTTGCGAGTGTAACTTGGTCCGCTCGTACTTGAGATCTTCCACTGTTCGCGTGAAGCGCTCCTTCTCCTCGCGCAGCTCGTCCAGCTCCGCTCGCTCCGCGGCGGTCATCCCGCTCACTTGTGGTGCCGCTGGCGCCGGGGCCGGTTCGCTCGCGGCGGCCGGCTTCGCAATCGGACGGCCGGCAAGCCCGCGCCCCAGGCCGAATTTGGGCCCCGCAGGCGGGGGCGGTTGGTCTTCGGTGGGGGGCGAGGCCACCCGACGCTGCGGAGACGCGATGCCTCCGGGGCCTCCCAGCTTCTTCTTGAGGTTGGACCCGGGGGTCGGGAGACCACCGGCCTTGGGCGGACCGGCGAGCTTGGACGGGATCGATCGCGTCGCGGGCTTGGGAGACGAAAGCACAGGGGGGTCTTCGGGAGGCGGAGCCGACGCCGCGGCGGGTTTCTTCATTCCGCCCAGCGGCTTCTTGCCACCGACGACCCTCTTGCCGGCAGCGCTGGGGGCGGCCTTGGGTGGGGGGGCGACGGGCTTCGGTCGTTCCTTCGCCTTCACCTGTGCCGTCTCGAAAAACTCCTTGATCTTCGTCTTGCGGATTTCATCGAGGCCGTCGAGGTAAGGGTTCATCGCGCGCTCGCCCAGGATCTTCATCAATGTGCCCAGTACTTCGGCGCCTCCGGCACGGTTGACCTCGTTCGAATCGGTCAGGAGCTTCGTGGCGGCGTCGGCGATGGATTTGACTTCGGCTTTGGCGGGCACGTCTTTCGTCGTGCGCAGACAGCGGATCAGGAATTTCAGGGTCTCCTGCTTCACCTGGGGGTTCTTGTGCTTGAGGTACTCCAGGATCTCCTCCAGACAGTCCGTCAAACTCGTCGATATGAAGACCGCATCCAGCGCCTGACCCAACGCATCCGCCACGCTCTGTTTCTTCTCCTTCAGCCGTTCCATTATCGGCGACATGATCGTGGATCGATACTTGATGAATCCGTTCTTGAGCCCCTTGGCGAGGAGGTCGACGCAGTTGGCCGCAAGGGTCACGACGGCGATGTTCGCATCCTTCATGCACTTGGCCAGCGGGCGAACGATATCGTCGAACGGGCCGTCTTTGATTCTGGGGACGTTCAACGCGGCGTACAGGGCCTCTAAAGCCTCTTTCCGGTCTTTCCACTTGGACGACGCGAGTCGCTCTTGAAAATCACTCGGGATCTTGGAAAAGACGTCCACTGGCTCCGCGAGATCGTACGCGTCGATGTCCCCTTCCTCCTCCTCGGGGTATTCTTCCCCGCCGTCTTCGACCTCGCCCCCGTCCGGAGCAGCGCTGGCAGTCGCCATCGCATCCTGCTGCGCCTTGGTCAGTCGCTCCTGCTTGGGAGACGGTTCTTGTTTCACACTTTCGAACAGTTTCTCCAGATCTGCTTGCTGGACCGGTTTCAGATCGCCCCAGAAGAGCGGCTTGATGGCCTCACGCAGCCACCGGTACAGCTCAACGGTGAGGCCCTGTGCTTCCGCGCGGACATTCTTGTCGGCATGGCCAAAGACCTTAGGCAGAGCCTTCAAGACCGGCTTGGGGTCGACAATCTTGCAGCCAAAGTTGTGGTAAATGGCCCGTAGTCCCGCTAGCGTCGCAGCAATGATCTTGGGTACCTTGTGTGACAGCGCCGGTAGGATTTCTTCGATAACGGGGTCGGACTTTTCCAGTTCAACCAGAAGGAGAAGTGCTTCGATGGCACTCGCCTTGGCCGCGGGTCTCGTCTGGGGGAGGCCTTTTTCGACGATAGCAGGGACTGTGTACTGGCGGGTTCTTCAGAACATGTTAGCGACGAAAACCAGACTATCCATCCTCCCCTCCCTAACTCATAGAAGCAGAAACATACCTAGTACAAGCCTGCACCCCAGCAAATTTCAAAAACGAACAATAAGCCCCAAGACCCTCCTGCTGAGCCGCGACATTCGAATCGGCCACAGCGCCCTTCATCAAGCCAGGATCCTGTATGAACGGCGCGAAAACAGGATCGGACTCATCCGGCGACTTTTCAAACTGTTGTTTGGCATCTTCGTAGCCCTCCTTGCGGACTTTCCAGTTCTATCGGTGGCAGACGTCAGTATCGTCCGGGGGATTGAAGCAATCGGCGGTGTATTGCGGGGGTGGACTAGCGAACCTTGTGCGAAAATCGATCGGGTAATGGCAAGGCGGAAAAATCCTCCCCTGGGTCAGCCATTATGGCGGTTGAGCGGTCTAAATGAGATCCATCATCGTTAGCATGGTTAATGTTTGCATGGATAGACCGCGGCAGTCCGATCCGCGGGATCGCTGGGTTGAGCGAGTCCGACCGGGGTATATCCTGTCGATAATGACAAGATCGGGAAGACGTCAAAAACACCTAACACCCTAGGATAGTCTACACACCTCACTTGCAGACCGCGGTGCCGATCTCGTCGAGGGGTGATTCGCGACGAGGGGTGACCGGTTCTTGTTGATTCAGCGCAACGTCGGGATGCACTGGATTGGGTCGGCTCGTAAATGCAAAACCCACCGATGTGATCAATCGCCGGCAGATTATAACAAGAATAAGCAAAATCTAGATCGGTCAAAAGGAGTGGTGGAGAGAGTGGTTGTAAGTAAGTAAGTGGTGGAGTGGAGGGGAAGATAAAAAGTAAACAACGGACAAGTCGCTGGGGTGACTTTGGCGACCCAAAAGTGAGTGTGGCTTGGCGGTGACGCATCGGGCTCTGGTTGACCATTCAACACTACATATCAAACTACGAGTATATGGAGTACGGAGTACAATGGAGGGAATGGACGGTAGTATAGAATGGTATTGTCTTGATTTGTGTTTAATTAGAGTGTATTGGTAGTTGTGAAATTTAGTTGGTGCTATATACAAATATATATATATCCTTGTCGGTCAACTGAACCACCAATATAGATAAGACAGTATAATATAAGCCTGAGATGATGAAAACTAAATATATAGACAGGCTTCTCGATTCCAAATCTATTCCAAACTACCTACTTCTCTTAAATATTGGTTTGATACAAGAGAAGATAAAAAGAAGAAAGAAAGAATAAGACATCATCAAGTCTAGATTGACTGCCAGCAACAAATGCCCGACAATAATAGAGTATAATACAGACCCAAATCAACATACATCCAAATACAGAACAAGAAACGTCCTTCAGACAATCAACAACAAAAGAAAAAGGAGAACACACATATCAACCACACATCACCATCTCCAAAACCTAAGCCCAAGCCCCAACCCTCTCCTGCACAAGCCTCCTCACCTTCCCAATCCTCTCCTTCCTCGCCTCCTCAACCGGCACACCACTATCCACCAACCTCTGCTCCCTCCTCTCCCACTTCGCGACCCTCTTCGCCGCCCTCTCCGCCTCCCTCTCCGCACGGCTCATAACAGCCGGCCTCGCCTCAACGGCCGACCCAAACGGCGCCACAATGCGCTCCACAACATGTCGCACGTTCCTGCCACGGGGGGCACCGGACGTGAACTCGATAACGTCGCCCTCGCGCAGCGAGTCCCGCGGGTCCGCCACCATGTAGTTCGTGATCTTGGGGTACGGCTTGCGCAGGTGCGCGTCCCACTCGGTGTGGCGGTGGCTGACGCGCACGGTGTGTTGCATTTTGCCGACGGAGACGACTGTGCCGAGCTTGGTGCTGTAGGGGTAGCTGCGGAGGGAGGGGGGCGCGGTGGTTGATGGTGCGGCGGCTGCTTCGGCCACTGCTGTGCGGAGTTGGTCGGGGGTTTCTGTGGTGGTGGTGGTGGAATTCAGACGCCGGAGGGGGCTGAGGATTGAGCTGGTGGAGGGGAGGAGAGGGTGGATGGTTGTCGTTGTTGGCGTCGCTCGCGAGAGGACGGAGGCGCGCAAGGGCTGCATAGCCCGGAGGATATAGCGGGGAGACATGGTGATGTAGAAATAACGACTCTGCGTGTTCGGGCACCCTTCTTTCTTTATCTTCCTTTTGTTGGTCTGGGAAGCCGGAGGTCGGCTGAAGTCGAGATTTATCGGAGATGCGGCTTGACCGGGATGTCAGGCAATTGGCGTCTTGGATATACAGGTATCAATTGTGGTATTGTATCGGCGAATCTCTTTGCGAGTATGCAGCTGCACCTTGAAGCAAGAATCCACTAGACACAACGTTGATCCGTGGAGTTGTGGTTTGTGCTCGCGGAGAAGACCTCGAAGCGATTCGGAACAACCCAAGAATTTGTTCGTGCCGGAGTTTGCACTGTTTGCACCACCACCACTCATCCGGATTATCTATATCCACAAGATATCTAGATATCTAACTCTACACGACAGTTTATAATACCTCACAAATTACAGACTACACAAAATCCAATAATATGGAGAGATGCTTCAAGTGACATAGATATCTAACCCGAATTTCATATACATGGAAGCCACCAACACCATCAATCTCCTATGCCCGACCGAAGCTTAACAGGTACGCCTCGTGTTTCATGCAAGCGACCGAAAAGAACCAGAGAAAATAACAGGAATAACCGGGAAAGAGTGGGGGGAGAAAAAGAGTTACGCCAGTGTTCGGGGCATGAACAGCGTAACTAAAGACATGGAGCGATTCATTCACGCATGATAGAATATGTTTTTTTTTCTTTCTTCGTCTTTTTCTTTGGGAGTGGAAAAAGAATGTAATCAACTCTGGCTGGAAACCTCCAATCCACGGACGTACTCGGAGCCATTCGTATTATTATTAGACAAGGCCGCCTTTTTCGATTGGAACTTCTCCGCCGCTTGCGTGGAGATCCGAGTCAACTCGGTGACGAAGGATTGGCCCCAGAAGGCACTGGAAGGGTTAGTCTGCGATCAGATCAAGAGTCGAGAGACAAGAAAATCTTACCTTGTGTACTTATTAACATATTTGTCGAGCTTGGAGAAATTAAGAGCCCGCTGCTCATCGCTCATGGTCACTGCCTCCTGGTACGCAGCAGCCAGCTCCTCCGTGTTCCACGGGTTGATGATGATACTGCCGTTGAGACTTTGAGCGGCTCCCGCGAATTCGGAGAGGACTAGAACGCCATGGCGGTTTCGCTGCGCGGCGATATATTCATAGGCGACGAGGTTCATCCCGTCTCGGGTGGAGGACACGATGCACGCATCGGAGACGGCGTAGAGCGCGAGCAACTCGTCAAAGTTGACGGACTTGTGCAGGAAATGAATGGGCATAAACTCCACAGTGCCTGTTGATGTGAGCGCTACGTCACCAGAGAGCTTGGAAGGTCACTCACCGAATTTGCCATTGATTCGGCCCACGAGTTCGTTCACCACGGCCCTCAAATTCTGGTATTCCTCCACGTCCTGCCGACTCGGAACCGCGACCTGGACCAGGACAACTTTACCCACCCACTCCGGATGGTCGCTGAGGAACACCTCGAGGGCATGCAGCTTCTGCGGGACACCCTTGATATAGTCCAGACGGTCAACGCCGACCATGAGCTTCACGCCCTGGAATTTCTGCTCCAGCATGGCGATGCGTTTTTGGACCTTTTCTTTCTTGAGGCCCTCTTGAAACTTCTCCGGGTCGATGCCGATCGGGAATGCGCCGCAGGCAATGTTCTTCCCTTGGAACTCGATTCCGTTAGGGGTAGTTGGCAAACCACTGGTATTATGTTAGCCGGTCGTGAACGAACACCGTTGAGCCATGGGAAGAGGATATCGTACAGCAATCGCGAACAGGCGCTGAGGAAATGCCGTGTGTAGTCATAGGTGTGGAACCCGATGAGGTCGCAGTGAAGGACGCCCAGCAACAGTTCGTTTCGGACGGGAAGGATCCGGTAGATCTCACTGCTGGGGAAGGGTGTATGGAGGAAGAAGCCAATCTTGATGTTGACCTTGCTGTCTCCGATCTCTTGCCGGAGCATCTCGGGAAGCAGCATCAGATGGTAATCGTGGACCCAGATGAGGTCGCCGTCCTGGACCTCCTTCGCGACGGCTTTGGCGAAAAGCCGGTTGGCTTCTTTGTAGGCTTCCCAGGCGGATTCATCGAAGGTGATTTCGCCGGGGTGGTAGTGGAAGAGGGGCCACAGGATGGAATCTAATCAACCGCCCACCGTCAGTACATGTTGCGCTGGGGACCCTTGGTTCTGAAACCCTCCAAGGGTGGGATGGCAACTCACTGGAAAATCCATTATAGTGGCGATCGGCGAGTTCATCGTCGATAAACACCGGCACGGCACCATATTCATCCTTCAAACGCTTCTTCACGATGGGGATCTCCTCCTCGGGGACCTCCAGGCCGGGCCAGCCATACCACTGGAAAGTGGTGGATTTGGACAAGCCACTCAAGCCACTGACCAGTCCACCGGAGGACATAGAAAAATCATAACGGCCATCCTCGGAGCGCTTGATGGTGATGGGCAAACGGTTGGAGACTAGAAGCAATCGGGCTTCATTGGAGGGGCCTTTTTCCAAGGAGGGCATGGTGGCGGTTCGGGAATTCGGTGGGGTCTAGACGCGGCGAGGGGACAGGCGGACGTGACGAGAGCCACAGCGGACAAAGACGCCTGCCTGTAAATGGCGATTGCAGGGAGGAAGGGATTCAATTGGGAGGAATATGTGTGCTGTACAAGGACAAAGCACGAGGGCGAAGGAAGAAAAAGAAGAAGCGGGTAAATAGAGCAAGAGTTGCAGGAGGGGGAGAAGAGTGGGACTGACGTCAAACACCACTTGAACCAGGATGTGAGATGGCGGGAGTCAACCTTGATCAGAGATCAATCAAAAGATAAATAAAAGGTAAAGGAATAGAAGATGAAATGATAAAATAACAAGAAATATCCCCAATTAGGAGTATTTTAAAATAGAATAAAAAACAACAAGAGTGTAGGATATGACAAGATGAAGCCCAAAGCTCCGGGAGAGATCACTTCACAGAGAGAAACCCGGCGGGAGAAAAGCGGACCACACCAGACTGGAACAAAGCAGGGAAATCAAACCAAATGAAAAAAAAAAAAAGATAAAAGATCAAACAGAATGAGACCGAGTGAGGTCAGAGTCTCAACCAGCCAGCGACGCGCGGGCCAAGCGACCCAAGTTCGGGCAAGAAGATTGTTGCGGAAGATCCACCCAGGCTCCTCACTAGCAAGTTCATCGACTGGAGATCGTTCTTCTTGTGTCTTGTCTTCTCTTCTCGTTCTCTTTCTCTGTAGGTTATTGTTTGTAATTGAATTGGTTGTTGTTGTATTGAACAGAATGATTCAGCGGGAAAGTAAGAGAGAGAGATGAAGAGAAACGATGAAGCGGGGAAAAGAAGGAAGAAGAGAAAAGTTCGAGGGGAAGCAGCCTGAGGCGGTGATGAGGTCAGATCGTCAACGATCTGGAAACAATCAGTCCACTTTTTTTCCCTTGTCGATGATGCTCACTCTTCACTTTCTCTTGATTGTCGTTTCCCCACGTCTTCCCCGGAGTCTACTGAGTAAATACGACTGCCTATTGTAGTTGATTCTCTCCAAACAGTCTGCTTAAAACAGTCTGATCTGGAGTCGAAGAGAACGTCAGGTTGACGACGAAATGCAGATTGCCTTGTTTTTAAGGTCTTCTTTCCATTTCTATTGGTGGGATCACACCCACCAGGATTTATCTTCTTTAATTCTTTTTGAAGATACAAGAAGCTGACGGTGGCTGGCCATGAATAGACCGGTGAATTCCTGTTTTCATCTACGGCTGTTTCGGCAGGTTCTATTCCCTGTACAACGGTATGAAAATAGTATAATATCATCTGATAATAGATCGGATACGATATCCGCCCGTCCCATCCCTTCATATTGTAGATCATGGCACAACATAACACAACATGCCATGCCATACAATCAAGAATCAATAAAAAACCCAGCCATTATAAAGAAGGCCTCCCACTAACCCTCCACCCCCCAGACACCCCATCATGCACAACCTTCCCCTCCCCCTCCAGCTTATTCAGCACCTGAATCACCCCATGCGAAGCAGGCAGATGCAAACTCTCCGGCACATTCTTGTAAATCACCTGCACCAGCTCCAGCGGCGTCCACGATCTCTTCCGATCCGGCGACGGCTCGTCCTCCCGGACGTCGAGCTTGCCGTACCGCAGGACCCGCAGGATCTCGTCCTCCCGCTGCTGGCGGTGCTGGATGTATTCGGTGATTTTGGACGTCGCGTGCGGGATCACGGGGCCGTGGCCGGGGTAGCCACGGCCTGCGACACGGTTTTGCATCCGGTGTAGGCTGGAGAGGTAGTCGCGGAGGTCTTCGAAGACGGCGGTGCCGTGGCCGAGGATGTCTAATCTTAACGTTAGTTTTCTTCTTCTTTCTCCCTTCGCCCTTTTTTTTTCCATGAGAAAAAGAAAAAGAAGGGGGGGGGATGGAACATACTATCACCCGTAAAAAGCGCATCCTCCTCCACAAAAAGAAACATAACATGATCCGTCGTATGTCCCGGCGTATGACAAGCCCTCAACGTCGCGCCCTCGACCCCAAACATCTGCCCGTCCTCAATCCCTGTTTGCCCATCCTCAGGATCATGTTTGAAGACAGCAGCCTGGGGACACAGTCTCAGCAGATCCGGCACCCCATGGACGTGGTCCCCGTGCCAGTGCGTCAGCAGCGCCTGGTGCACGGTGGCGTTTTCTTGGGCGAGGACTGTTTGCAGATTAGATGCCCAGGTGGGTTTGCCTTCGCCTGTGTCGATTAGGATGCGCTGGCGGCCTCGGCCGACTAGGTATGTGTTTGTGCCTGTCGTACTTGGTTAGTAGGGTTATTTGAGGGGGAGGGGGGGGGAGGCTGGTTGCGCACCTTGTAGTGTGAACTTTTATGTGATAGTAATAGTGATTAGCTTGTATATAGTGTTATGGACGGTGTTGTAGGACCATCCTTGGTACAACACCATCCTTAAGAAGGGAACGAAGCAATATTTACCTTTCCAGGATTCCCCGCCAAAATCCTAATAACCGACGCACTGAGTCTCTCCACCTCCGGCAGGGGAACGAGCGGCGAGCCCATGATACTTTCAAAACTGTATCATAATGTCAGACAGAGCAAACAATCGAAGACAATTAATCCAGATAGGCAGGCTACCTTAGCAAACAATGCGCGATGCGTGTAAATCAAGCAATCGGTAGTAGTAGGTACGGGGTACAACTGATGGCTGCAGATGCCTATGCACGTAGACGCCGGTTATGTATAGTTGTCAACGTGCACGCGTAGATCTATTGGTATTGATATTCATAAGCAAGTGAGGGGTCTATGCAACCTAAGTCACTCCGGGGTATGCGATACTGCCTCGGTAGTTGATTCTGCAGGGTATCTGCTTAATCAGCGACTTTATCCTGTCACGCTCGAAAGTGGTTGTCCTCTTTAGTTGACTTGTTGGAGGGAAACTTGGGAAATATTGTCTCAATCATTACAATGTATATATTGAAGGACTGTAGTTATGAACTAGATTTGCCACTTTTGAAGATTCATGCTCGTCGAGTCGGGGCGGGGTACACTTCATGTACACATGGCTAGTCAGACTCTTGATGTCTGTTATGCAAGTATGGAGTACACCGGTCATACTATTTACTTTCTAGAATTTACAATCTACAGTTTACCAAAAGTAATACTAGTAATGAACAATGAAAAAATGCATGCAGTCCCTAACATACAAGAGATGATATAGTTTAAACAAAACACAAGGACTATATCCATGGTAGCCCCACCCAAACTCTCGACGGATTAAACAAGGAAATAAAAAAAGGTAGTGCCATCAAAAGAATATCGTTAAGAAATTTTTCACAACTGACTCCACAGCTCCCTTCATTGGAAGATCTCACCCGCGACAAGAAGCCGCAGTCGCTGTGGAGACCGCCGTGGAGACGACGGACCCCGGGATCTGTCCCGGTCTGGAGGGACCGAAGCAGAGTGAGCATATGGTACAAAGAATCCCATCAGCAACGGCTGCGTCTGCGTTCAGCAATCACAACTTTAGTTGCCAGCGGCCTTGCGGGCCATGGTGTTCAGGGCGGAGCCGTCCCGGAACCACTCGAGCTGGGACTCGTTGAAAGTGTGGCTCAGCGAGATGTCATAGGTCTTGCCATCCTTGGGGTGGACGCGGAGGGTCACGGGCTTGCCGACCTCGAGCTCGGTGGCCAGCAGGTCAACCTTGTCCTCGGGCTGGATCTTGTCGTAGTCGGCGGGGTCGGAGAAGGTCAGGGGCAGCATACCCTGCTTCTTCAGGTTGGTCTCGTGGATACGGGCGAAGGAGCGGGTGATGATGGCCAGACCACCCAGGTGGCGGGGCTCCAGAGCGGCGTGCTCACGGGAGCTACCCTCACCGTAGTTCCAGTCACCGATGACAACCCACTGGATGCCACGGGCCTTGTAGTCACGGGCAGTGGCGGGCACGGCGTCGTACTTGCCGGTGAAGCAGTTCTTGACCTTGTTGGCCTCGCCGTTCTCGGCGTTGACGGCACCGATCAGCATGTTGTTGGAGATGTTGTCCAAGTGGCCACGGTACTTCAACCATGGGCCAGCCATGGAGATGTGATCAGTGGTGGTCTTGCCCTCGCACTTGATCAGGATGGGGAGGTCCTTGGCATCCTGGCCATTCCAGGCCTGGAAGCCGGCCAGGATCTGCAGGCGGTCACTCTCGGGGGAGACAGCGACGCTGATGGACTCGCGGTCCTTGGGGGGAGCCTGGTAGGTGTCACGGCCGGGGTCGTAGCCCTGGCTGGGGAGACCGTCGCCGGTGGGGGGCGCGAGCAGGAACTCGTTGCCATCCTTGTCCTTCACCTTGTCGGTGAGGGGGTTGAACTTGAGGGTGCCAGCAACGCACATGGCGACGACCAGGTCGGGGGAAGCGACGAAGGCGTGGGTGGCGGGGTTGGCGTCGTTACGGCCCGTGAAGTTACGGTTGTAGGACGAGATGATGGAGTTGGGCTCACCCTTCTTCACGTCCTTACGGTCCCACTGACCGATGCAGGGACCGCAGGCGTTGGCCAGGATGACACCGCCGAACTCCTCCAGGGTCTGCAGCTGACCATCACGCTCGATGGTGGCGCGGATCTGCTCGGAACCGGGGGTAACGGTGAACAGGGCCTTGGACTTGACACCGTGGTCCAGAGCGTTACGGGCAATCGAGGCGGCACGGGACATATCCTCGTAGGAGGAGTTGGTGCAAGAGCCGATCAGACCGACCTTGAGCTCCTCGGGCCAGCCGTTGGCATCGACGGCCTCGGCGAACTTGGAGATGGGGGTAGCCAGATCGGGGGTGAAGGGACCGTTGACGTGGGGCTCCAGCTCGGACAGGTTGATCTCGATGAGCTGGTCATACTCGGCACCCTCGTCCTCACGGAGCTCCTTGGCGTAGTCGCGGGCGAAGTTACCAATGTCGGTACGCTTGGTGGCCTTCAGGTAGTCGTACATGCGGTCGTTGAAGGGGAACATGGAGGTGGTGGCACCAATCTCAGCACCCATGTTGCAAATGGTACCCATACCAGTGCAAGACAGGTTGTTGACACCGGGACCGTGGTACTCGATGATGGCACCAGTACCACCCTTGACGGTCAGGAGACCAGCGACCTTCAGGATGATATCTAAGAAACAGTCAGTGTACAGTCCCTCGGCGCGGTAGCTGAGGGGGGTAACTTACCCTTAGGCGAGGTCCAGCCGGACATCTCACCGGTGAGCTTGACACCGATGACCTTGGGGGCCTTCAGCTCCCAGGGGAGACCAGCCATGACATCGACGGCATCAGCACCACCGACACCGATGGCGGCCATGGCGAGACCACCAGCGTTGGGGGTGTGAGAGTCGGTACCGATCATCAGACCACCGGGGAAAGCGTAGTTCTCCAGGATGATCTGGTGGATGATACCGGAACCGGGCTTCCAGAAACCGATGTTGTACTTGCCAGTGGAAGAGGCAAGGAAGTCGTAGACCTCCTTGTTGATGTCGTTGGCACGAGCCAGATCCTTGTCACCGCCAAGCTGAGCCTCAATCAAGTGGTCGCAGTGGACGGTGGAGGGGGTGGCAACGGAGGGCATGTTGGCCGACATGAACTGCAGGATAGCCATCTGGGCGGTGGCATCCTGGCAAGCAACACGGTCGGGACGGAGCTTCAGGTAGGAGACACCACGCTGGAGGTCCTGTCCGTGCGGGTCGTCCAAGTGAGAGTAGAGAACCTTCTCGGCGTAGGTGAGAGGGCGGCTCAGACGACGGCGAACGACGTCAAGGTTCTCGGACATCTTCCTAAACGAGTGAAACGCATATTAGCCACAGTCCGACCAGCCAATGCGCGATGGCAATTCCATATTTTGCTTCGGATATTCCAATCGCGGTATGGACCCAAGGTAAAACCGTACTTGTAGTTGATGTAGTTGCCCTACAGACACCTGATTAGCAAACGTTGTCCATTCCGCTTTAGGAAATCCCGCCGCTACCCGAGGTCACGACGGGGCATCACGACCACTCACCTTCTCGAAGTTGGTCATCTCGACCTTGCGGTCGAGGGGGTTGGAACCGGCGGTGGCCAGACCCCGAGCCCCGAGGAACTACAGAGCTCGTTAATAATTCGTTCATCCGACTATACTGACGGCCCTCGATTCTCCTTCTCCCAGAGAAATAAAGAACGAGCAGCCGGGCGTCACGGGCTTACCAGACGGGACTTGGGGCCTATAGAGACAAGCGAGTTAGCTATCGATCGCCTTCCTTTCTTTTTCCAAATTGAAGAAGGCTGGCATCTCCGAGTCCGACCAGGTCGAAACTCGAACCAACCTCACCTTCAACAACGGAATCGGGTCCAAACAACGGCACTTACCAGCGCACCCATGCGCGCAAAGCGGGTGGAGATCATGATGGTAGCTCTCTATGCGAGGGGTATAAGGCCTCAACACATCAAATAATGAGAGCAGCAGCAAACAGCTGACCACAACTCAAGAAGGATAGAAGGGGGTGGAGTGGAGAATGGAAGAGTGAAGAGAGAGAGAGAGAGAGAGAGAGAGAGAGAGAGGAAGAGAATGGAAGAAGGAGAAGGGAAAAATGGAGTAGATAAAAAAGCACCAGCAGCTTTGGAGAGAGAGGAGCGTTTACTAAGTGGGAAAATGGATTCTTGTTTTACCACCGGTCAAGGAGCGTAACCGACTCTGACAATACGAGACGCATGCGGGCTTACTGCCTGAGTACGGCAAAAGCATACCGACCGGAGACAAGGAAGTGACTATGGGGGCCCCCTTCTTTACCGTCACAATACATGTTTTACACTGCTTGCGAGTCCACCCTTTGGTCCTGAAAGACCCAAAGACCCATCATGAACCCTTTTCCCCGGCTACATTATTTGAAAAGGCTTCGCTGTTAATGGTTCAGTTGTTCGGAGGTGAACGAAAATCATCAGGTGGCTATATCCCACGGGGCCAAGCCTATTTTTTTTTTTTAACTCTTTTATTTTTATGCTACCACTGTTACAGAAAAGGTGGTAATTTTGACGGACGTGCCCACAATGAGGTATTACATGTGAACCTGGTTCTGGTAGAGCCAATCAGACGGTGTGCATTACATGCTACGGTCCGGTAAGGATGACTTCTACTACATCATGGACTGTCTTAGTCCTAGCACTGGATTAGTAGCTCCATCACCCCGGAGAAAGGAGCAGTTGTATATACCTACTAGTATCGCATCTTGATTGAGCGAGACAGCATAATCATGGAATTGTATGGTGATAATCATCTCTATCCGATAGAACAGCCATTCCATTGTCAAGGCCTTTTATCGGAGCTGAGGAGATTATATTATACCCAATGTAACTGGACGAAGCTCATCCGGAGCCTGTGCCGAAAAAAAAAAAAAAATTTAACCCAAAACGAAATAAATGGAAACGTCATAATCAAAAATACGTATCAAAACCAATACCGATGTTAATCAGCCTAGTATTCATAATCCTACCTAGCTATTACCACCTACGGAGCCGAGCCTGAGCCGAGGCCTACCGACAGATGGCACTGTGCAAAGTCCACGGGCCGGACGCCAAGAACCCCCAGCTCCCTCGGGCCAATCACCACGCCCTGGTTAGCATCGATTTCTCTACTGCGCACAAAGGGCGGGATTTTCGAGGTCGACCTGACCCGCTTTCCCGACCACCGCTTGTCGCCCGTTGTTCCGGATATCGGGAGTAATCGTTGTTTCTGCAAGGCTTACCTGAACGAGAGTTACCCGATAGCATCGAGCCCTGTGATATACGATCTAGGTAGATAGTCATATTGAAGATGGCCCCCGTGCGCAGGCTCAAGACGAAGCGGTTGACTAGGTATGTTTATCCCTTATGTTTTCATTTTGCTTGTTTGCTTTCAATCTTGCGATACAAGAGACGTTTTCTAACACGCGACATATATAGAGGCTACGATCAAGTCAAGTCGGATATCGACTCGCCCAAGCACCTGGCGCAATACAAAGATACCAAGGACCCCGAAGACCTCCCAGGTCTCGGTCGACACTATTGTGTCGAGTGTTCGAAATGGTTTGAAAGCGAGCACAACCTGCTTGCCCATGCCAAGGGGAAGAACCACAAGCGGAGGTTAGTTCCATCAATCTATCAGTCGGCGCAACTTGTCGCGTGCTGTCGCGCTGGGATATTTGCCTTTTCCTCGGTGTGAATCTATCGACGCTGACCTTTGATCTACATTATAGAGTGAAAATCCTACGCGAAGAATCGCACACCCAGAAAACAGCGGATGCCGCCGTGGGCATGCGCACCGACAACGGCGTGCGCTCGCAGGAAATGGTCGTCGACATGGAAGCTTAAGCCGGGTTAAACTGGATAGTCCAGGTTCAGGTCCAGGTCCCTGTCGCCTAGCAATTCCCTGCCATGCAGCAGCGAATACCAATTCCCAATTCGAATTCCATCGACAACAGCCCGACCAACAGCCAACGGCCTCAACGCGCGCGACAACATCATAGAAAAATTTTCATATCGCATGTCGTCGTGTTTCCAGCGATATGATTGGTTGATATCTCAAACAGAGCTTTTCATCCAATCAGCGATCGGCTTATTGCCAGGCCCCGCACGTGAAACCACATGCGCCGAAAACCGCCAGTTGTCTGCGCTTTTGCCGACGCCCGCTGGTTTCGTCCCGCGGTGACCCGTCCGAATTCGCCGCTTTTCGGAGTTGTAAATAGTTGCGGTCCCACATTGAACTTGTCGGGTGAAATTTATTTACAAGCTTTAATACCAGAGGTTAATTACAGTAGGCTATGTACTTTACAATGCTTCTGCATGTGTTGCGTCGGGGATCTTCAGTGGTTCTTGGAGATACTTCATGAGCCACTCGTAGGTTGCCCACTAGTTGTATAGTTAGTGTCTTTCCGTATAGCCACTGTAGATGGTCGAGACGTACCTGGACAGCGTTTACAATAAACGCTCGTATACTGCAGACTCCAAGGCCCCGGTAAAACACTCGGAGTCCGTTTTCCCGGTAAGCCTGTCGCGCAAGCTGGTAGGCATTTAAAGGCTGTCGGGCGCCTTGGGCGGGCTGCGATCGCAATAACGATCGGTCCTCAGGCGACACTCCAATGGTCTGCGCCTGCAACCGTGTCTTGATCATATCGAGCGGGAAGACGGACGCCCACGTGGCGACACCGGCAATGCCACCACAGAGAAGGACCTTGAGTCCAACCTTCTGCGGATCATCATCTTCAGAGGCCAAGAGCCGCTTGCAATACTCGTAGGACCAGAAACTGCACAAAATTAGACACAGGTCGGACAAGTAGCAGCCCAAAAACCCGGGGAAGCGTCACATACTAAAACCCATAACCAATGGAGTCTCTGGCGCACGTCACTCCTCCTCCGTAGTAGAGACCGGTCCACCCACGGTTGCGGAGGATATCTTTAACGACCGTCCACGACGAGACGCCGGGTCGCGTGTCCAGCTGCGCTCTGCACTTGATGAACTCTGTCGGAGATGAGATCGCCCAACTGGCTACTCCGCCCGCGGCGCCTGCAAGCCAAATCTTGTATAGCGAGGTGGTCTGTGGGTTTGTAGGGTCAGAGACGGACGGATCCAGCGTCGTCAGGGACCGGTTGTAGGCGACGAAGAGCAGCGCGTTGAGGGCGCCATATCCGAGGATGGGGGCGGCGGCACCTATGAGTGTTGATTAATGTCAGCAGATTTGTAGCTTTAATAGTCGATGCATCGTTACACAGGGTCAAACAAACCTCGCGCCAAAGAGGTGGTCCTCTCAAATCGGCCGGTAGGACGAGACGACGATGATGCAACCCCATCTGCAGCCTGGCCTGCCTGCAGTTGAACCTTAATAACGTCCAGCGGGTTCCCAATGACAATGCCAATGGCACCGCTGATGTACCCAGCCCAAAAGTCCGACGCCATCAAACCCGACGTCAATCTGCAATTGATTGAGGTGGGACTATCATTGTCTCGATTTATGTACTATTATCTTTTTGGGTTTGAACGCCCCTTCATGGCGGGGCAATGGAGGGCCGCTATCATCACGTGAGGGCGTGCTACTTTGGTGTTCTGATGACGGCGGTCAACGCGCCAAGCCGATGGAGCGCGTGTCTGCCTGCCAGCGTCAACAGGTCAGTGCCTTGACAGAGCCAGACATACACATATACACACAACGAAGCGGGAGTTGGAATAAAGGCGCCCAGATGTAAGGATTACTTATCTTGATACAGCTACCACAACCACCACTGACTTATGAAGGTATCGGCCCCGGCCAGCAGCAAGGGCTGAAGGCCAAACCACCCCGTCCGCGAAGCCCACCGACCGACTAGCAAAGCCATTCAAATGCCCCGGTTCCGCAACTTTCACACGAGCATCGACCAAACCAGCCCGAAAGCGACGGAAGGTGGACTACACTGGCGCGGATGGAGGGGGAGACGACGATAATGCGAAGCCGTACACGAACGAGGACCGCCTCGCGCTCGCGACCAGAGACGCCAATAGATTCCCCGTGTTCAAGCCTAAAGACAAAGATGTGGCCTTTAGACAGAGGTTCATGATACCGTTGATTGATAAATCGGCTGATAGGTTTGATGGGGCCCGGCCTGCGCCGACGCTGGGGATGAGGCAGGGTGCTACGTTTGTCGTGAAGCCTTTGCATGATCCGAGTGGCGAGTTTGCGATTGTGTTGTATGATCCGACTGTGGATGATGTCGATGAACCTGCTCCGAAGAAGGATGAGGAACAGGCTGAGAGCGAGAAACCCAAGTTGGATGAACCGCTCGTACATAAAAGCTTGGCGGATATATTGGGTATAAAGAAAGAGGTCGAGGAGCGTCCTAGGGTTCCCGTGGTTATTGATCCGCGACTGGCAAAGGTTCTGCGGCCTCATCAAGTGGAGGGCGTCAAGGTAAGAGGATTCTCCACGTTTATGGTAAAGCAACTAACGACGTGATCTAGTTTCTTTATCGATGTACAACTGGCATGGTTGACAAGAATGCAAGTGGTTGCATCATGGCAGACGGGATGGGGTTAGGGAAAACGGTACGTCTAGTTACATCTATGCTATACGTATATAAACTAACAACGACAGCTTCAATGCATTTCATTGATGTGGACGCTTCTAAGGCAGTCGCCAGAAGCAGGCAAGACAACCATCCAGAAATGCATCATTGCGTGTCCGTCAAGTTTGGTAGGCAATTGGGCAAACGAACTCGGTAAGTACCGCACGGAACATCGCACACTGGATAGTATCTCATAAGAAATAGGCAAATGGCTGGGGCAGGGCACTATCACGCCGTTTGCAGTGGATGGCAAGGCCTCAAAGACCGAGTTGACTTCCCAAATCAAGCAATGGGCGATCTCCTCCGGACGTTCGGTCGTCAGGCCTGTGCTCATCGTGTCATACGAGACTCTCCGCATGTATGTCGAGACATTGAAGGACAGCCCTATTGGTTTACTTCTGTGCGACGAGGGCCACCGACTCAAAAACAAAGACAGCTTGACCTGGACGGCCCTCGACAGTCTCAATGTACAACGCCGGGTCATCTTGTCCGGAACGCCTATCCAAAACGACCTCTCGGAGTACTTTGCTTTGCTGAACTTTGCGAATCCCAATTTGCTAGGGTCCCAGGCCGAGTTTCGGAAGCGGTTCGAGCTGCCGATTCTCAGAGGGAGGGATGCAGCCGGAACCGAAGAAGAACGCGCCAAGGGTGATGAACGTCTGGCGGAGCTTTCCACCATCGTCAACAAATTCATCATTCGCCGGACGAATGACATTTTGACAAAATACTTGCCCGTCAAGTACGAGCATGTCGTTTTTTGTGGTCTTTCTGAGTTCCAAGTCGGCTTGTATAATCACTTCATCCAAAGCCCGGAAATTAGGAGCCTCCTCCGAGGCAAAGGCAGTCAGCCGCTGAAGGCCATTGGGATTCTAAAGAAGCTTTGCAACCACCCAGACCTTCTCAATCTTTCCAGCGATTTACCAGGATGTGAGTATACGTACCCAGAAGATTACGTCCCCCCGGAAGCACGAGGGCGCGATCGCGACATCAAATCATGGTATTCCGGGAAGATGATGGTATTGGACCGAATGCTTGCTCGCATTCGCCAAGACACGAACGACAAAATCGTTCTTATCAGCAATTACACCCAAACGCTCGATCTCTTCGAGAAGCTCTGTCGAACGAGGGGCTACGGGTCCCTACGACTAGACGGGACCATGAACGTGAACAAACGGTCGAAGCTAGTGGACAAATTCAACAACCCCGACGGCGAGGAATTCGTCTTCCTCCTCAGCAGCAAAGCCGGCGGGTGCGGATTGAACCTGATCGGCGCAAATCGCCTCGTGCTTTTCGACCCCGACTGGAACCCCGCTGCGGACCAGCAAGCGCTGGCTCGAGTATGGCGTGACGGGCAGAAAAAGGACTGCTTCGTATACCGCTTCATCGCCACGGGGTCGATCGAGGAGAAGATCTTCCAGCGTCAGTCGCACAAGCAGTCTCTCTCGTCTTGCGTGGTAGACTCAGCGGAAGACGTCGAGCGGCACTTTTCCGCAGAGTCGCTCCGAGAACTGTTCCAGTTCAAGCCTGAAACCCGAAGTGACACACACGACACCTTCAAATGCAAGCGATGCCGGCCCGACGGAGGGCAGTTTGTCAAGGCCCCGGCTATGCTGTATGGTGACACCAGCTCCTGGAATCACTTTGTGAATGACGGGGAGACCGGCGCGCTCAGCAAGATCCAGGACTTGTTGATCCGCCAGGAGACTGGCGAGAGGGACGTATCTGCTGTGTTCCAATATATCAGCCACTGAGCAATATGCTTCACTGTTACGATCTGTTGTTATATCTATATCTTTGGACCATTGTTTATGCTCGGCGTGGATTTGGACTTTTTGCGATTGATTATGGACGGGAGTTATCTGCATTAGGATAGATACCAATTACTTTGATATATTCTCACGTGGTAATAAGCGATCCTTAACCACTTCTATTTCAGGTGAAGGTGGTTTTCGTCAATCACCTATGTTTTTATCTCTTTAGGCTCTTTAATTCCCTTACCAGCTGGTCTTATCCCCCCCGCCCCCCCCCAATCTCCTATCGCTCCTACAAACCCACTGTTTGATGTGAGGATATCGATATATCAAGCCTAACGAAATACCAATTCAGTATTTTGTTGCAGTGGCCGTCATCAAACATGGAAACATCCATGATAACCAAACAGCATGGTATCTCCAGCTTGAAGGATAAAGCAGAAATTATGTCAAATCTTCATGAGTGCCCTGTTGCTCGCTCATTTACTTAATGTTCTACACCAACACTCGAAGCTGCGATGTCCATACCGATGCTATAGAGCAAGGACGCATCTCATAGTATGATGGTCCAGGATGCGGACATGTTTTGTGAATGGGTCTATTTTCGCGTCATCGAAGGTCGCGGCCGTACCCTATATGCCTGTTCATTGTTTGGAAAGAATTACTACCAAAGTAACGATTTGGAAGACCAAGATCTGCAAAAATCCGGCTGCTCGAGACCATTTCAACTTGGTGGACCTATGAGATGATCATCTTGAGAAACCTCTCGGTTCCCTGGTGAAGATTGCTGTTTCTTCCATCTAGAATACATTAAAAATTAGATGCTCTTATTTATTATCTCCTAATGCTAATCTTGTTATACTAATTCTACTCATAGTACTGGAAACATATGCAAATAGGTCACTTTGGCGCTATCCTAGTGTCTGATACACACAATATCAGTATCAGAAAGCAGGTGTGTGGAAAAAGGTAAGTCCTAAGTATACTTTCCACTTATTGAGTATATACTAATGATACTTCAACGCGCTGAATCATTTAGTTTACTCTCTTGTTCTCTCCTGTGGAGACTCCGAAATGGAAGACCCAATCGCGTCCAGATTATCCGGGTGAATAGAGAGTTAGACCAGATAAATGTCACAGACCACCCTCTGGATTGGAGTATATCATGTGAGTATCTTTGTGAGAGTATAGACTGATATCATGTCAAATTTAACTTGGGTATGATGCAGCTGATGTCATGCTTCGTGAGCGTTGGGCTTCACGATTCCATCGTAATCCCTCCCCCGCGAACGCTCCTAGTCCTGATCAAAGAATCAACTGTCGTCAATCGTGCGATTACTGTGCCTACCGATGGTCAGTATATTCTCTGCATCTTTTCCCATGTTTCTGATAATCACCACCCTGAGCCAAATGTCATCCATGCAATCGGCCAACATGTTAATTAACTTGAACTACATAGTTTTGGTTTTGACTCTTCATGCGTTCTTGTAATCTTGCAACTATTCGTGGCCTGTTCGGAGTCTTTAGAATCATCAATTGATCAATACTTGACTGTTTTCATTGGCCTTTTGACATAATATAGCTCAAGGCCATGACTTTTATATATCAAAACCAAGTCCAGAAACGGAATTGTTTCCACGAGCCAAGCCGGTCTGATTGTTCTTCACAAAGAGCTTTGTAATGCCAGCTCTGGCTATGTCCGACAATCTCGCGAAATCCATAGTTTGATCTTCTGGACCAGACGAGAAAGCCATTTCCATAGACCATGATCATTGATGTTGAAGATCCCTCCCCCATTAGGAACTGGATATGATGCCAGGGCGGTCAGTAGTCTCGACCCAACCGCTGACACTACGTCACTTCGAGTCCACCGAGACGCCCGTCAACGCTGCCAACACATCTGCCTGGAACGCTCCCCGCAACCCTACTATTCGAGCTTGCAACTATTGAACCAGGGTGGAGCTACTAACTGTTATTGTTTTGTTTACTCCTCTGCGCCCCATTCTTCCGTGTGGCAACTGTATATTATTCCGAATTCCAACCGGGCCCGATGCCGCGGGAATAACTGATCAACCCGCTGACAGCCCCCACCTTAATCAGACCGACAGACGAGACAAGGCTTCCACCATGAACTTTTCCTAACAACACGGAGTCCGATACCGATTACTGTCTGTGCTTGACTGAGATGGATCATACAATTCAGCGTCTGCTGAACGACAAGCTCTACGATCGGAGAAAGCAGGGCGCGTTGGAGTACGTCTGATCATCCCTCATGACCCGTGTCTAGCTACCTCATGCTAACGCGGACTCGCATTCTACAGACTCGAGAGAGTCGTTCGCGATGCCGCATTCAAAGGCGACCACGAAGAAATCCGGAAAGTCGTCGACCAACTATGCCATGACTATGCCTACGCCGTCCACCAACCGCACGCGCGAAACGGAGGCCTCATCGGGCTGGCCGCGGCCTCGATAGCTTTGGGATCTGTGAGTTTACTGGGAACATTCGCCTCTCGAGTGGTGCTGAGACGCGCATACTAGGAGGGTGTCGCGCCCTACCTCAAGGAAATTGTGCCGCCCGTACTGGCTTGTTTCTCAGACCAGGATGCGCGGGTCCGATATTATGCCTGCGAGAGCATGTACAACATCGCCAAAGTCGCAAAGGGGGAGATACTACTGTTTTTCAATGAGATTTTTGACGATCTCAGCAAGGTGAGTTTCTTGATCGCGTACAACCATATTTTCCATTTTACCGTGCTTTGCACTTGTCTACATTTTTTTGTCCCGTTGAGTGCGTCCACACTAACTCTAACCTAGTTAGCTTCTGATTCGGAAATGTCGGTGAAGAACGGCGCCGAGCTTCTTGATAGGCTTGTTAAAGATATCGTTTCAGAATCGGCGGCTTCGTATATCTCGGTCCTCCAGCTCTCCGACAAGCAAGCATCAGACACGGAAACGTTGGAGGATGCGGACCTTCCGACGGCGTTTTCCCTCCCGAAATTTATACCGCTACTCAAGGAGCGAATACACGTTATAAGCCCTTTTACACGGAACTTCTTGGTGTCATGGCTGGCTTTGTTGGACACCATTCCGGACCTGGAACTCGTTGCGTATCTGCCGGAATTCCTTGGTGGACTGATCAAATTCCTGGGAGATACGAACACGGACGTGAATGTCGCCACTCAAGATCTGCTCGACAAATTCTTGACAGAAATCAAAAGAATCGAACGATTGAAGAAGGGGATCGAAGAAAGCCAGAAAAGCCAGAGCAATGAGAACCGTCGCTCAACAGCCAGCGGGAGTGTCAGCACCACCACCGAGCACACGATAGGCGCCGAGGTCGAGGCTAGTGAGAACGCCATAGATGATTCGGAATCGGGGTCAATTATCGAAGAGGTGATACATACCGACGGGGACTGGATCCCTGGACAGGATGTCCAGATCGATTATCCCAGGATATTGGACATTCTCGTGGGCTTTGTCGACACGTCTTTTGGTAAGCATCAACATCAAGGGCAACATGTAATATGCTTACCGATGTAGTCGAGGAAATGCAGTTGACGGCCCTGCGATGGATCGACAGCTTCTTCGACATTAACCCCGAAGACATCCTCCCCTTTGTTCCACGTCTCCTCACTCAGGTCCTACCAGCGATGTCCAGCGGCTCGGACCAAGTACGACAGGCCGCAAACCGAGTCAACACGTCTCTACTGGGGTACATCGTATCATTGTCGGAGGACATGTCGGACGAACCGCGCCAGTTTGCATCGTCGAAAGCGGCAACGACCAGTAAAGAGTTCGAAAGGCGATCGTCTACACCCGGAAGTCGACCCGATGCATCACCGAACGAGCCCAAAAAAGCGACACATCAGCAAGAAGGCTCGAACATTCAAACACCCCGAAGCAGTATAATATCTACACCAGTGCCGCCGACAGACCTTGACTACGCCGCAGCCGTCAATTCACTGACCCTACAATTTCTGAACGAGAACGAAGCCACACGGGTAGCCGCGCTCTCGTGGCTCATCATGCTTCACCGCAAGGCGCCTAAGAAGGTGGTCGCTTTCAACGATGGGACGTTCCCTGCTCTGCTCAAGACGCTGTCAGATCCAGCCGAAGCGGTCGTTACCAAAGACCTGCAGCTCCTCTCGCAGATATCGAGAAACAGCGATGACAGCTATTTCAAATCCTTCATGGTGAACTTGCTCCAGCTGTTTTCCACGGATCGGGGCCTACTTGAAGTTCGCGGGAACCTCATCATCCGACAGCTTTGCACGAATCTCAGCCCTGAGCGCATATACAGGACTCTGGCCGACTGCCTAGAGAAGGAGGAGGTTCGTCGTTACCTAGTAATGTAATAGGTTGTGGTCATACTGACTCGGACATCTAGGACATTGAATTCGCCAGCATTATGGTTCAAAACCTGAATAATAACCTAATCACGGCGCCGGAGCTTTCCGACCTGCGCAAACGACTGCGCAATTTGGACTCTAGAGTACGTATCCATCTGATCATCTTTACTTAAATCCTAACCATCGAGCAGGAAGGCCAAATGTTCTTCGTGGCGCTCTTCCGATCATGGTGCCACAACGCCGTGTCTACCTTCTCCCTGTGTCTGCTCGCTCAGGCCTACGAGCAGGCCTACAACCTCCTCCAAGTTTTGTAAGACCACATACGAGCCACTCGAGCCACTAAACACTAACGCGCGCAGCGCCGAACTCGAAATGACAGTCAACATGTTAATCCAGATCGACAAGCTGGTCCAGCTGCTGGAGTCACCGGTGTTCACTTGTAAGTAGACATGGCTTGTCCCAACGAGCGATCACCTACATACAGTTGGCCCATACAGTTGGTACTAATATACGCTATCAGACCTCCGTCTCCAACTCCTCGAACCAGAACGCTACCCCTACCTCTACAAATGCCTCTACGGCGTGCTCATGCTCCTCCCGCAGAGCTCGGCCTTTGCAGCGCTCAAAAACCGCCTCAACAGCGTTAGCAATATTGGTCTTTTACATACGGGGTTACGGTATGTTAAATCCCATCCCCAATCCCATCCCCATCCCTATCGCCCAAATCCTCCTCTACCCCCTCTCTCTCCTATCCAAATAAAACTAACTGACCCTATAATTAGACCAACCCTCACAACCTCAACCTCCTCCCTCTCCACATCCTCCACCTCCTCCTCAACAACCCCAACCCCGCCAACAAGCAGCCGGCTCAAACGCGAAGAGCCCTCCATCAAGTGGATCGACCTCCTCGACAAGTTCAAGACCGTGCAAGAGCGCTCCCGCCGCGCCCTCCACCCCCAACAACACTACCAGCATAACCAGCACGACTCGGCTGACTCGGGCCCCTTCGGCCATTCCACCTCGCTTTCTGCGGCGCTGTCTGCGGCGGAGCAGACGCGTCATCGGGATCGATTATTGCCTGATGCGCCGAGGGGTGGGCCTGGACTTTCGACTAATGAAGGCGGTGCTGGTGGGGGAGGCAGTGGGCGTGATGGGGGGGTACTGCAGAGGGGTGCGTCTGGTGGTGGTGGTGGTACTGGTGGAAGTGGAGGACCGCAGAAGCATAAGTCTAGTTTGTCGAATTTGGGGAGGTTGGGGATTGGGAGTCGGAGGTCGAAGAAGTGATTGTATAGGTAGTTATATATAGGGATACTATTCTTTCTTTCTTTATCTTTAGGATTTAGCGTGGTTGATGAGGTTGTTGGTTGTGTTTATCATCTTCCGAGGTCTGAGGTGGGTAGATCTGTTAGTGGTTTGTAGAGTAATTCTCGATATAGGTAAGGTATAATCATTGAAGCATGTACTAGGTCTATATACAGAAATGTAAACGTAGATATCCACAAGAAATAACTCCACAAGTCATGAGGACTCGCTAATGTGCAGTCAAAGATAAGATAAACAACAAACAAGAAAGGAGCTGGTGAGTTGACTCGGCCTCGAGGAGGATAGAGCTAGGTACCAGGAGAAACCACCCAACATCAGATAAATCGTAGGGAATAGATAAGGAGAATGCCTCCTAACCACCGTCTCGAGATCAAGGAGAGACTGAGGTGGTGACCGGGCTCGGAAGGAGACGTCAAGCCCGGGGAACTCGCAGCCACATTGGGCTCGGGTAGATCGCATCCAATTGCGGCTGTCGATAGAAAGAAGAGTAAAGTGAACTTTTCGTTGAGTCTTAACCCATGGATGAACAAGCCAATCAATAATCAAGTCGTGACATCCTCTGCACGAGTCGTAACGCCGAGGATCTAGAGCGCTAGAAAATAGGAAATCGCGGGTCGATCAAATCACATCGGGTCAACGCCATCGGGAGTCAGCGGAACTCGATGTCGACGCCTTCCAGTGGTTTCCCGTGGAGTTCTTGGAGACGGTACCCGTCGGGGAGTTCGAGCCATTGGAGTAGACATATTCGCCATCAACGTAGTGGACATCGGAGAAGGTGCTGCGATGCTTGCGACGAGCGTAGCGCTGCTCCAGGCGGTAGAGTTCGATCTCTAGAGCAATGATTAGCGACCATGGCGGTTGGAGGGTGAGATCCACGGTGGGTAAGACGCACTGGCTTGCAACTTATCGATGAAACCCATTGTGCGATGGCGGAGGGATTCCTCTGGCGGATTGATTCCGAATTGACTTTTGATGACGTGGAGAGTACGGTCACAACAATTGAATGTCTGTCGACGAAATGGGGGAGATCACAGAGAGGAATCGAGGTCGCAGCAGGTGAGAGACAAAGAGATCCGATCCGGTGTAACCCAGCACGGAGGAACCGAAACAGTGGGAAACGGGGGGCGCACGGGGACACTGATAGGCACCAGGCAGGTCTAGGAGCGGGGGGACAATAGTGGGCGAATAAATTGGATCGGGGGGGGAGGACTAAAAGGAGCGAAGGCTGGTCGAATGGCAATGGCCCACCGTAATTAATAGGATATCCAGATAAGCCGAGTGAGTCGAGTGAGTCGAGTGAGTCGGGATCAGTGGGGAAATGCGGATGTGGGGAGAAACGAGAGTAAAGAAGAGAGAAAACGAATGGATCTAATCGGTAACGAATGTGGAAGAAAGACAGACAAGAATGACAGAAGTGAGAGAAAGGAAGAAGAAGAAGAAGAAGAAGAGAAAGACGAAGAAGTGTAAAGGAAAGCGGGGATTCTTCTGATAAGTTGCCGCTTTCGGTCTGGTTGCGTGTGCATCCTGACTAAGTCTGCACTAACCAGACACTAATCCTGCACATAGTCTGTCACGCTAGATCATATCGGGTCTAGTCAGGGGACCTGCGGGAATTTCTGATAACCGATGAACTCTTCTTTCTTCTAGTATCATGAGTATTCTCTTTCTTCTTGAGTATTATTACTATTCTCGAGGTTATCCTTCCTACTAATGGCTAGGTCGTACATGGATAGTATGAATTGGTTACCCTGGCATCCATTCCTTGAGACTCCCAGATCACCGCCACATGGTTTCCCAACTGGGCGATGACATTGCCATGGTTCTGTCAGACCCACCTGCTATCCTGCTTGCATGGCAAACTCGCTTTTGCATATGTGCGTCCAAGCGTAGGATCTAGACCCGCTAGAGGGTCATGTTTGGGAGTCGAGGAATCCCCGTGGCACATTCAGCAGGTGAAGCCACTCCACTTGATTATGCAAGTGACGAGGGTAATTTCTGACGAACCCCGCCCATTCGTTATATATCGTCAACTCATCAAACGAGGAAGCATCATACTGCTACCTTGATTGATGGGAGTTCATGCCAAGTTCATCCACGAAAAGGGGTCAATCTACTAGTAGGTACTAGGGATCCGTGACTCCCGGATGAGATGGAAGTCACCATTGCCGTCATTAGCCTGATCGGATTAGTCCTGACTAGAACCAGCTAGTGATGATAGTAAGAAGGTTATCGACTCTGTTCCTAGCTACTTTCTCATACAGAGGGACATGCTGCTGATTTTGGACAGCATGACTGTTATTGACTCCATGGATCACCTGACTTGCAGACAGTCTGCCCCAATAAGTTCCAAATTATACCTTTGATTAGTTCTATTGTCTGCTTTGACCACAGCAGGCTCCCGGCCCGGAAGGCCGCTGGTATCTCAAAGCTAGTCCAATCTAACGCCATCCGGTCAAGTGGTCAAGTTTTATGCAGACCATCGTGTCTACTTGGAATTAGGAAACACGGATATCTACCACGAGAGATCTACTGGAGCACCTCTGCAAAGCTCACCTCAAACAGCTCTTGACGCTCCATTCTGGTTCTCGGCTACTGGACAGGCCGTTCACCATCTACAAGATCATCGATAAACCATTGGTACAGGTTCACTCAGGATCAAAGGTTTGGTAAAGAATACTAAGTTTACCAGATTTCATGATGATCATACTTAGTTGACAATTTTTGATACTAAAGAAGTGCGATCCTGACTTTGGGTGTTATAGTACGGAGTAGTGTTGGTTTATCTAACCTTATACCGAGTATGATGGTTATAAAAATAATTAACATATGCTCGTGGTTGACTGCCATTAGCCATACTTCACAAGTCCTCTCCCTCTATTTCTTTCCTTTAATGATCATCTACTCCAATATATATATAATGACACCAATAAACCAATACTACACTTCCCATGAGTGATCTCCCCGGTGATGGCAGAATGATGTATGTCCACGTAGTACATCAAACAGGCCCTGGTAGTCCTGAACACTCCCTTCTCACTTAAAAAACATACAATATGCTCCAACAATCTCATCAATTGTTGAAAAACATTGTTTACTTCCGTGCCCTACCGTCAAACAACACTATCCCCAATCAGGTGACGAGTGAGCTCATCGAACAATCTGCCCCTCCCGACCGCCTACGATCTTGAATCTCTCATTCTCGTGAACTTCGTCCCCTTCCCGCCAATCCATTCTCCCTCTCTGCTTCCATTGCCAGAATGAGTCAGAGTCAATCTTTGCGGAGTGGCGTGCGGGCTCTTCCCCGCGTGCGACAAGGGACATGGGCGCGCCGCGGGTGGCAGTCCCGGTCCATCCAGATTCGCGCGACGCCCTCGGAACGGCCTGCGACGAGCGGCAACGGGTTGCCTATTACGAGCACCCCTGCTTCGGCTGAGTCGGCGGGTATGTTATACTTTGGTCTGCCTTAGCGGTGGTAATGGAATGGGGGGACGGAGCGCGGGAAACGAAGAGACCTTGCTAACAGGAGAATGCAGATGCTCGGTTTGATGTCGTCGGTGCGCCATACTCGCTACTATCGGTTTCTTTATCCGCCTCACAAAAACTATACACACGACGGGGGACGCTGGTTGGGTTAAGCGGAAAGGCGGATAACGTATGCAGCTCTTTCATGAAATGGTTTACGATTGGTCGTTAATGGGCAATTGCTGCAGGTGGTTTCGTCTTTGAGCGCGCTGGAGCCCTTTCGGAGAGCCGCCGTGGGCATCCCGTTCCTGTACCAGAAGGTCTCTTCGGCCAGCCCGGTGACGGCTTTGGTCTCGGTTCGCTCTCCCAACACGTCCTTTGCTGTCGTTCACCTCAATGGCTCCGTGGACTGGATCGTGGCCCAGCGACGCGCGCTGCTGGCCTGGACCGGACGGTCTCTCACCATTCGACCGACTCTGAACACAAATCTGGTTTGTTTGACACCTTTAGAACACCCCATTTGAGTCTCAACTAACTCCGCGAAGAGTCTGGCCCACTGGGGCAACTCCGAGGTCACAGGGCGAGGACTCATGGCACTGGTTGGCAACGGTCAACTATACAACGTCGAACTGAAGGCGGGGGAGCAATACATCGCTCATCCTAGGTATGACCACGCCGTAGAATCCATAGTATAAACTAACACATACCAGCAACGTCGTCGCATACACCATGAGCTCGAACCCCCCTCGTCCCTACCGCTTCAAGTCCACCACACTGAACTTCCAAATCCCGGGACTCAAGAACTGGCCCGGTTTCATCCAGAAGTCCAAGTTCGTCCAGGCGATGTCGGACTCTGACAGCTGGAAGACAGCCATGAAAGTCCTGCACACCCTCCGCACCTGGTCGCGGATGACCATCTGGGGCGACAGAGTAGGTTTTGTCCCATACTAGTATCCTACCAAAGATAAAACACTCACCGTGAACAAGCTCTTCCTCCAATTCGACGGCCCCACCAACATCCTCATCCAGACGCGCGGGCCCCGCCTCAACGACATCCTGACCCCCCAGCAGGTGAACGAGATCGCCGACACCCCGCGCGGACTGACCACCGGCCCGAAGTCTGAACAGGAAACGGAAGGCAAGAAGATCGTCGGAGACATCAGCGTGGCACCCGTCCCGCCACGGACGATCGAGGAAGTGGAAATGGAAATCAAGGGATCGGCGCAACGGATCGCTGATATCACCAAGGACGGGAATGTGATTTTTGAAAAGCCGGGCAAGGCGCAGTAGATATGGGCTGTGGATTCATCGTGCGTTTGATGCATGGTTTTATTTTTTGGGAAATCTCCCATTGCAGGCTCAATCATGTATTATAGATGGGTTGTGTTAATCGCATGCGACTGTCCGTCTTTTTCTTTTTTTTTTTCCCTTCTGTATTACATCCTGTCAATCTTGATAAACATGGTATACTTTGATTTGGTTTGACCCGGTGATGAGTATGAGTATGATGGCCTACTATCCAAGAGTTGTGTCGGGTAAACATATCAACTGAGAAATTGGATGCATAAATGGTATGTATTGTACTGCACATGCGAGTATAAGCATGTTCCTTGTTGGGAACACACCCAACCAAAGCTAGAAAAAGGAAGAAGATAGATAGAAAAGAACACCCCAACACCCTCGCTATCAACAATGCATATATATCCCGCGTCAAATGCATGATGCACGAAGTAACCAATCCGGCAATCAACGCAACAATGAATAAACCAACCAATCAACCGACCAACCAAGCATTCAAGCAATCAACCGACCAAACAAGAAGAGTCAAGCTACGCCAACAACCCACTCCTCATAGTCTCCACGCTCTTCACACCCACACCCCTCAACTTACTCAACTCGACAAGATTGCGGATCTCAATCTGCGACTGAGCCTGCGACTCATCCTCATTGTGGTCCATTTCGCAGAGACAGTCGACGATCGCTTCGGCCTTTTTCGCCCCCACGCCCTTGAGTAACTTGATCTGGCTGACGTCGCGGGAGTTGATGACGGAGAGGAGGTGAATGGTGCGCGGCGAAGGAGCCGGTTCGTCGTCTGCGAGCGCGGATTCCTCGTCTGCGACGGATGGGCTAGTCTTGTTTCGTTTGGGGCGGTGCGAGCGGGTAACTTCTTGGACGTCGTCGTCGCTTAGATGGGAGAAGGTTTCGGCCTCTTCGTAGTCTGCGTCGGAGACCGAGGCGGAGCGTTTGAGGCTGCTGCTTCTGGTGGGCTGCTTGTTGAGGGAGAGCATGCTGCCCAGCGCTTTCTTGGTGCTCGGTGGGGCTAATGAGGTTGTGGAGTCGGTCTCTGAGACGCACCGGCCGTGGGTGCGCGCCTTCAGCTTCGCGATCTTAAGAGCTAGCTTCTCGTTGTTGGGGAAGAAGGGCAGTGCCAGCTGGTACATCCGTAGTGCGGATGCGTCTTCCCCGCGTCCCTGGTGCTGTTTTGCCATGAGAAGGTAGGACAGGCCTTCGGCTCGGGCGTCTTCAGAGCCCTCGATGCGCTGCTCCAGCTGCTCCAGTCGCTTGCGCATCTGCTCGTTCAACTCCCGGACCTGGGTTTGTCGCGATTGCTCGCTGACTGCCCGCACCGCTAGGATCTCCTCGACCTTCTTCTCCACCATCTCCTCGATCTTGGCGGACGAGATCTCGTCGTAGCTCCTCTGCTGGAGGACCGGCTGACCAAGTCGAGTGGCCCTCGGTAGACGAGGCGCAGGCGCATCCGCACTGAGCGAGGGCCGTTTCGGGATTTCGGGCTTCTTGAACTGGGCAGAGATCCTTTTCTGTCTGTCTGAAAAAACACTGAATGCCTTAACGGGTTTTTCGCCAGGCTTTTCCGAGTCTTTGCCGGCTGTAGCGCCAAGATTGGCGTTAAGAGACGCTGTCAGCGGCCGCAGGGGTTGACGCAGGGCTGCCAGAGAAGGCCGCATCGACGGCCTCGGAGGGCCCTTGAACATGGGTTCGTTCTCGACTTCGCGCACTTCGATCTTTTTGGTGCGGTTGGCAAAGTTGAGAGAGCTTAGCGTATCTAAGTGGTAGGACTTCAAAGGGGCCAGGTTGAGGATCATCACGGTGAGGCCGTGGTTTTGGCCCAGGGACAAGATCCGGGTCATCTTGGACTCGCGATAGGGGATGCGGTGGGCCTTTTTGCTGATGGCCTCGACACATTGGGCCAAGACGAAAAGGCTCTTGTTGATACTGGCCGACTCGACCATGCGCTCCTTATCATTGTCTGTGCGACGGTTGTCCTCTGAGCCTGCCAGGTCAATCGCCGACACTGTGCTCACGCGGGTTTCTTCTTCGGAGCTAATTGCGACTTTCACGCCGAGAATCGCGTGCGATCGCGACGAGTGGGCGTTCAACTAACCAAGATAGTCAGCACAGGTTCATGAACAGCGAGAAGGACACCCACCTTGGTTGCCGACGTGGAGCGGTTCGTGTTCGCCTGGTCATACAGGAGTTCGAAATCCTTCAGGTTCGAGCACGGCCGCTCCGTCAACCCCACCACCACCGTTCTCCCCCCATTATCGCGAAGCGGTAGTCCTGCCAGGGTTCTCTTCTCAGGCGGCTCAAACAGGTCAAAAACCTTGTCATTATATATCTCGTAATAGGTCAGAGAGACCTGGACGGACTTCTCCCCATGACTGTCTTTTTCGATCTTCCGGCTGCGTCGGTAGATGGTGCTCAGGAGACGCGGGATCACGCCCCTATCCGCCATGCTTTTACCGCCTCGCATTGTGTGCGTCTTCCCTGTCCCTGTGACGCCGTATGCGAACAAGGTGACATCGCGTCCGTTGAATAGGTGTTTGACCGTAGGAGCCACTATAGAGATGGTTAGTACACCACGGGGGTTGACAGCATTCTCGACACGCACCCTCTGCGTCAAAGAGCTCCTGTTGCGGCGCGTCGGCGTCGTAGACGGCATTGAATTGGAAGGAGTACTCCTCGCCCTCGTTCTTGGGGTTCGGTATCCGCACGACCGTGTTTCTATCTCTCAGTTTCTTCAATGCCGCATTGTCCTCGGAGGTCGTGTGGTCGCTCTTGGGACCGGTCTGGTTGGACGAATCGGTGCGCAAGATGATGTCCAACTCTCGTTCCGACTTGAGAAGCGGCCTAACCCGCGCGACGACGCGAACGCTCATTTTATATAGGATATATATTCTTTCTTCCGGGGAACCGAGACCGTGTTTGATGCCTGGATGACCTCCCACGCTGACCTTCTGTCTGGTTGGGATTAAGACTGTCGCATGGAAAACGGCAGTCCGGCGAAGGTGATCGAAAAATCTTCCAGTGATATAAATTCAAGCTTTGTCGACAGCTCGGTGCCAAGTATTATTGACCACGGACAGACCTGAACTGCTTGGCTCGTAGGAGAAAGACGATAAAAAGCCGAAAAACTTGAACAACCAATGTACCGAAAGAAAGGAGAAAAAAGGAAAAGAGCAAAAAAAAATCAAGAAGAATGAAAACCGAACTGATCAACGCTGGACCCGGAGACAAGAGATGAGGTTGTCAAAGACGTCAAAACTGGCGTCGTGAAGCTGACAGGGATGGTTTGCTTGTGTGGTCCGTGGCGGTCAATGCGGTTGGCCCGGTAACCACTTTACCCTCAATATATCTTGATAGAATATTTCGATATCGAGTCTCAATCTTCATCGACTCACAGAAAGGAAATATAAGAGTATATATTGCAGGATGAGAAAACAATGACTGCCTCGAATTCAAGAAACCTCGAAGAACATACATGATTCCTTAAACATAATCCAATTCATCTACTCGTCCTCATCATACTCGTCCTCCTCATCATAATCACTCCTCCAGAATTTCCTGTCGCTGTCCCTCCCATCCAACGTGTAGCAATAATCGAACTCATTATACAAATCGCAAGCATCGAACCCTCGGTCGTTGGCCACACTTAACCAATAGGTCTCCTGCTTGTTAAACATTCCCTTATAAATCTCTTTGTCAGGCTCCATGTCAAGACACCCCGGATACACTGGTGTGTGACAATAGCCAGGGTCATAACAACCTTTCGATCTTTCGCCTAGCTTACTGGGTCTATTGCAGGTGCGGCTGAGCCTATCGAGCTCGCACTTATCGTCACCGCATGACCTATCTCCGATTGAGCAATAACGGAGGCAGCGCTTCAAGGGCTTGACGATTCCATTCTGGCATACCTCGACCTCTCGGCACGAGTGGTGGCCGCCCGCTGCGCAGTCCCTGTTATTGTTGCAGGGACGTAGATTGTAGTGTTCAAACTTGTCCGTCCAAGAGAAGATGTCGTTGGAGGGATCATTGCTCTGTGGAGGATTATCGGCAGGCTTAGATGTGCCTGGCTTGGTGGTATCGACAGTGTAGGGTTGCCGGTGGGGCGATGGGTGGGTATGGTTGTCCGTGGAGGTCGCGACGCAGAGTCCCGGATCCGACCAGATTGCATCCGCGGCATATGTCCACAGATTAGTGTAGTTGTACCACGTTTTCGGAGTGTAGAAGATCCTACAGTCGGCTGCCTCGTACTGGAACTGCAGCGGCGTGGGAGATTCCTCGTCATCGCCGGAGCGGATCTGGTCTCGTAGGTTGATTGTGAATCCGGTGGTAAAAAAGTCATACCGGCGGTCTGGAAACTGCCCGCGCGTGGATCGGTCGATGTTCTGGGCCGTGGAGATGTCGCGGTCGAGACGTCTGGCGCTGTAGCTTGCTGCACCGCGTGTGCCGCCGGCGGCTTGCATGGGTCCGGGGTTGGGCCGGCCGCCTACTACGACGGTCTGGACGCCGGCTTCATGGTGCATCATTTCCGTGAAGAGTGCGCATGTCGACGAGCAGAGACCGTCGGTGAGGATTATGATGTCTTCTGCCTGGTACGGCTGGGTGGAATGCGAGGAATTGAGATTGTCGGTGGTGATGTCGGCTGCCTCCGAGGCAAATAAGCGGTCTGATGGATCGTATCGCTCCAAGTTCGTAAAGTGATCACCACCGTAGGAGGCTGGCGAGTGGAAATAATCGTCCCACGCTGTGAAATTCTGGCCGGTGTCTGCATCCAACCGACTAGCGACGACCCACTCGTTGGTCAACAGGGTAGAGTAGGCGCTGTGGTTCGTTGTCAGGTTCTGCCAGTACGGAGTCAAAGTAGATCCCAGAGCGTCCGCCATCGGATGGGCGCGTCGACGACTTGCTGCCAATGGATCGATGGAAGGGAAGAACTGTTCGCAGCTTATGAGCACAGGGTACATATCAGGGAAGGCTCAACTCACCAGCCGAAAGATTTCCAATGCTAGAAGAGCATGTCCGCCGGAATTCTGTTGCAGGTCGATCACCACTTTCCGCAGACCTGCCCGACGACTGCGCTGAAGAAATTGCCATACCGTGTCGATGAACGAATTAGATTTCCCGACGTACGAGTCAAATTGGGGAATAGTGAGCACTGCTAGAGACGACTCGTTTAAGAAGTACCCTCTGAGTAGCCCTTGGTTGTCGATAGAGTGGCCGGGCTGCATGACATCTGGCTCTCGAGGATACGCTGTGTCCGGCAACTCCGTGGGACTTGGAGCCGGTGCGGCAGATGAGGAGGTGGTGTCTTCTGCAATGGGGGTACTCGAGCTGGGTGGCTCGGGCATCTCTGTGTAGGAGGCCGGTAAGCGGTTCAGGACGAAAAAGTTGTAGAAATCGCCCCCGGTCTCCAGCGGCCCGGTGTTGCCAGGACTGAAGTAGAGTGCGTCCCAATCTTCAGGTTCCAAGACTGTTCCATTTTCGAGGCCGTATGTAATCGACTCGCCCGGATAGAAAGCCGCGCCGCCGTAGAAGACTTCGTAGTAACCTTGAATGTCCAGTGCACCGCTCTGCATCAGCATGTTCCACTCCGCGTGCGGTTCGAGCTTGCCGGCGGCATTGACGGCGGCAAACTCTGTCAGGTACTCGACAACGTCTTGGCTGTTGATGGTTGCAATAGCGGAGGGCTCGCTTGAGCCATCACTTGCTTCATAAGCAAAGAGGTCCTCTAGGGCATGATCCCGTTAGCGCTGGGAGATAGACCAGTGGACCCAGGTACAGCCACCTACCAGTGAAGTAGACCTTGGGCAGCTCCTTTCCATCCAGGGACACGGATGCAATTGCCCGCGGAGAGCCAAAGGCAAAGGGAGAAAGTATCCCGCCGGCCAGGCTCAGGTGGCCATCATGGCCGGCGCGGAGCAGCCGGTGAAGCGCTGCCTCGAAGTCGTATTCGTTCGCGAAAGCCCCCTCGTCAATATTACGCTGAAGCTGAGAAATCCCTGCCACCAAGTCAACACCGGGCTGCTGATAGCCCGGTGGGGGGTTTGCGAGGTAAGCAAGCGTGCTATGGAACTGAATCGTGTCGTTGACGTATTTGAGCAGCCGACTGCCAACCGCCGGATTGAAGGGGACGCTTGTTAGGCAATCGTACACCGTTCTTGCGGGAAACACACCACCAGCTGGTGGGACTGTCGTCAGCTCGGCATCCTGAAGGGTTGTGGATAGGACGACTTACATGTTCTCTTGGCAATATCACCGCAGACGGTTGGGTTGGGAGTAGCAGCAGACGTGCTGGAAGGTGCCGATGCCACCAGCACCGGTGTAAGGCTCAGCAAAAAAAGAAGACTGCGCATGATGGGCTCCTATCTCGTCGATATCTTGGGAGTGTTGTTACATCGCTAGCAAGCATCGCGCACTGTCTTTTATAACTCCAACCTCAGCCTGCCTCATCTCCCGGACGTAACCCTTGTTGCTTTTCTTTCAGGGTTCTCGAGCCCCCGGGCACCAGCCTCGAGTGGGAAATGTTTCACTAGGACGAGGTTACCTTGCATTTGACCTCGTAGTGGGAAAATGACATGCGCGATTCACAGCCTCGCCGGTGCCCCTGCGGCATGATTTGCTTGTCCAGGGACACCCTCTCTTCGGTACACCTCGTTGACGGCCCGTTGGCTCCCGAGTTGCGGTTTTGCCGAGAACGCTACAGAGAAAGAATTGTAGATCGTGGGAGATCTGCCTCTACCTCTCGGTGCCACGCTCACTCCACTTTACCTAGAATAGTAGTATCGGGCCGGGGATGTCAATAACCCCTACATGGAAACGGTTTAGACGCAGTGACATACCCCCAACTACATTCTTGTATCTGACTGTGACGCTTCGTATTTGATTGGATTGCTTGAGATGCAACCCTTGCACCCTCAGCCTCGTCGTTTGCTTCGTCTCCCGCCCATCCCTTGACTCTGCGAAGAGTCTCAGCCTGGTCTTTGGCTTTTCCTCTCTGACCCCTTTTAATTTCCCTCATACACCAGAAGCAATAAAACGGTGCAGGAGGGACAAGAAGGCTCTCAAACATGGCCACGTTCAGCCCCGACGCCTACACCGTCGGGTGGTTCTGCGTTCTCCGGGTCGAGGTCCAGGCGGCCAGAGCCATGCTCGACGAAGAGCACAACCCACCAAACACCCCCTATGACGAAAACTCGTACTTTCTGGGCCGCATGGGAGAGCACAACATTGTCATCGTCGGGGTGGTTGTCAAGGGCCGTGCCTCTCTAGCCGAAGCCGCCGTCAACATGATCCGCACGTTCAAGCAGATCCGCTTCGGGTTGAAGGTAGGAATCGCCGGCGGCGCTGTCAATGCCACCGATCCGCGCGGCTTTCCCAGTGATATTCTCCTGGGCGATGTGGTGATCAGTAGACCAGATGGTGGCCATGGTAAGTGCCATGCTCTCATGGTCTGTTCATCACAGGCAGATATTAATGAGCATGGGGATGGCTCGCAGGCGGGATCTTGCAGTATGACCAGGGCACGAAATACCCCGGCAGATACGAGATCAAGTCGCATCTGAACCGGCCCCAGACATTGCTGATATCTGCCACTGGAAAGCTCGAGTTGGACCACGACGACGGGAGAGGGAAGATGCAAAAGTATATCGCCCAGGCAATAGCAAAAATCCGCAAAGGAGAGGAATACTTCTCTTTCCCGGGTCGCGAGCGCGATCTGCTCTTTGAAACACCCTATCACCACGCCGCCGGCAGCTCTATCAATTGCTGTGACAAATGCGATCGCACACACTTGGTGACGAACCGCGAATCAAGAACAGCGCCCTCCGTGCACTACGGACTTGTCGCATCGGCGGACACTCTCCTGCGTGACGGCGAGCTGCGCGATGAGATGCACGAGAGACACGAGGTTCTCTGCTTCGAGATGGAGGCGGCAGGCCTCGCGAACAGGTTCCCCTGCCTTGCGATCTGCGGGATCGCGGACTATGCGGACACTCATAAGAACAAGCAGTGGCAGCCATATGCTGCTGTGACGGCGGCCGCGTACGCCAGGGATCTTCTTGGTGTGATCTCGCCCCAGGCGGTGGAAGAATCGGAATCGGAGCAGTGTACGTTGCATTTCCATGTGCAGGGCGCCGATGAGAAGCCACGAGCGTTGTCTGGGTCGGGAAGTTCCACTGATCATGTATTGTTGAGCCTATAGTTAAAGATACCATGCATAGAATCGAAACGGTTCTTGATGCTGCTCAACGGAGCAAGATCTTAGAATGGCTTTCGCCTTTAGAGACCCCGACGGAGAACCGCAATCTCGTAGCTACGGGGCAGTGGCTAATGGAGTCGGAAGAGTTTAAACGGTGGACTGATGGAGGTCGCTGGCAGCTCAGACTTTGTGGTGAGGCTGGAACTGGCAAGGCATGTCTTCACGGTCATTGAATCTGCGGAACAGAAAGAAAGAAAAGAAAAGAAACATAAACAAACCCATTATACTAAGATTTGTTGAACAGACCGATCTATGTGCGAATATTGCCAAACACCTCCGAACATCCTTCCCATCGCGTCCTGTCATCGCCATATATCTGAGTGATCAGCCGAGGATACGCAAGATGCAAACACCAGACGCCATCTTAGGCTACATAGTCCGACAGCTGATCCAATTTAACCCCAAAGTCGACCTCCCATCAACGCTCACGGACGCACACGGGAGCCACGCATCACGGACGGAGGCATTCCTCAGACAGATCCTCGAGGAGCTCCTAGCTAAGTTTGAACGGACCTACCTGATCGTGGACGGCCTCAATCAGTGCTCCGCCGAGGTTGTTGACGTTGCGAAAATCTATCCGATGAAGCTTATCCAGGATGGAGTTGGGCTAAGCCTTCTCACAACATCGCTCGGCTACAGAGAGACCACTGCGGTGGTAAATTGCGATATCTGCAACCGGCAAAATATCGCTGTCTACTTCCACTGTGACTGCAACGATGGCGACTTTGATATCTGTCTGGCGTGTAAGGACAAGGGGAAAGCCTGCCCTCAGGATCACAAGGGCACCGAGTACGATACTGTTCGGGTAGAAGTACGCGCTCGGGACGAGGAACTCGGTCTATACTGCCAGAGCAGACTGAAACACATCCCCAGGTCGTGCGGTGACCTTCGTGACGCGCGCCTGCATCACTTTCCGCCCCACGAGCCCGCAGCAGTCGGCTATCTGCACAATAAGCCCGATCTGCTCCACGAAGTGGCACAGAATATTGCATCCAAAGCACAAGGAAAGTTCCTCCTCGCGAAACTCTGGACAGAGAAGCTGCTCAGTCTGCCCGTGAAGCCAAAGACCGAGCAGCAGCTGCTCGACGAGCTAGACTACATGCCATTTGGTCATCTAAAAGGGTACTGCAAAGGAAGGATCGAGACCTTGAAGCTGTACAAAGATGAACCCGAGCTCGAGGTTGCATTCCAGACGCTCACCTACGTTGCCGTCGCCTTGAGGGCTTTGCCGCTCCTCGCGATCCAGCATGCGTTAGCACTGACGAGCGATTCCGGCGACATCGGGAACCTGAACTTACATCCGAGGACGTATATCCTGCGCGCGACGAACGGGTTGATCACCGTAGACAAGGGAGACGTGGAACATTCGTTCGTGCGGCTGCTTCACGATACGCTGAGGCCGGTCTTCCGCGAATTTGAACATGAGCCGCGCTTGAAGAATGCAAACTCTGCAATGGCCTCGCTTTGCATGGACTATTTCCGCCACGAGCAGTTTGATGCCCACTGTGAGAGCCTCGACTCGTATCCGTTCTTGGTCTATGCCTTGCAGCACTGGGGGGACCATGTTCGCTTGGCTGCCTTGGAGGGCGATTCCACACTCGAGGGCAAGGCATGGCGTTTATTGCAGGATACTCAGCTCGTCGCAAAGCTTACTCGGGCCGGTCATGGGCTGAAGGGTTTAGGCACCTTTATCCACGAAGGTGTCAGCGCAGCTCATCTCTGTGCCTGGTTCGGCCTGGCAGGTCTGGTGTGCAGATTGAAAGGCGACAATCTGGACGCCCAGGAGCCTCGACATGGGTGCTCTCCCTTGCGCTATGCCTGCCTCAAGGGACATAGCGACACGGTAGAGCAGTTTTTGAAACTAGGCGTAGCGATAGAAGATGTGACGCTCGTTGATAGTATCCAAGGGATACCCCGGACAAAGGCACCGCGCCTGGACGAGGAACAAAAGCGACGGATCGAGATTGTGGACATACTTCTCAAGACAAAAAAGGTCAACGTCAATGCCAGGGTGGGCAGGAAGAGCAGAACGGCGCTCATGGTAGCCGTCCGAAACGGCCATCATGACCTCGTACGGTGCCTGCTAAGGAACGACGCGATTGATCTTGACGCCCGCGACGCTGATGACCGCACTGCCGTATCGTACGCTGTTTATAAACAGCGAAGCTGGTATCGCTCTCAAAGGCCTCTGAAGCAAGCGAGAGGGGACTTTATGCTGAACCTGTTGCTGGAGCAGGGTGCCGACCCTAATACAAGAGACAGCACCGGAAGAACAGTCCTAGCTCTAGCAGTTGCGACCGGCAACTCATTAGCAGTCAAGGCCTTACTGGATACTGGTTCATTGGATCTTACATCTGAGAAGTATATTCTTCACCTCGCAAGTGCGGCGGCCTACCCAGAGATCATCCGCCACCTCCACGTTGCCCTCGGCCAGAAAACGGGCTGCACACCGGACATCAACGCCCCAGACGAGGACGGACTAAGACCGCTGCACTACGCAAGCCTCTCACGAAGTACCCGTGCGGCCGACGCTGCAAAGACCTTGCTCGATATCGGCGCAGACCCTGACAGAGTCGACGTGAGGGGATGCACCCCGTACGAAACAGCCTTCCTCGCGGACCAGACCAATGTCATCACAGCTTTCTCCCCGAGAGCGATACACAGCAGCCGAACAAAACCAATCACCGATCTCCCTGCGCTAACTCTCGCAAGGAATTGCCACTGGACCCTCTTGAAAGACCTGGTCATAGCCGCAAGACCTGATGTTGCACACAGGGACATCTTGACAGGGGACACAGTCCTACACGTCGCCGCCGCCGCGAACCAACGAGACGTTGTCTCAGCGCTGCTCGCGCAGAGCAACCTGCACATGGTCTCAAAGGTTGACCACCACAGCCAGACGGCACTGCATCTCGCGCAGAGCGCTGATATTGCACGTACTCTCGTCCAGCACGGCTGCGACCCCGAGCATGTAGATTACGATGGCGATACCGCCTTGTCTCTCGCTCGCCAGAAACGTCCGAGACGTGGGCTTGCTGCCTATCTTGCCGGCATCAAGCAATCCCGAGCTGCGAGCGGTGATAGCGACAGTAAACGGCCTGTGGCCCGGGGCACACACGATGTACCGTCGAGGAATGCTGCCCCAGGTGCGAAGCTTTTCTCGCTGAGAGCGGTCTTGTATTTCCATCTCATGGTTTGCGTGGTGATGATGTATGTAGTAGCCAGTGTCTAGACCATCGGAATATACTAGGTACCCAGTACATCGGAGACCAGAAAAGTACCTCAATCATACCTCGTACGTTATATACTTTGAGGTACTGTTGGAGGTACTTTGCAGGTACCTACCAATACTTAAGTACCGGTACATCGGCTAACCCGCCCTCTGATTGGTCCAGGGCAGCCGCCGCAAAGGCCACCGTAGACCAAACCGCGGCTGACTGATCCACCAGCATCATCATCATTATCACAACTGTCTGTCAGTTCAACCTCCGTCCCCTTGTCATCTATCCCCACAACCAGTCTGCTTGGTTGACTGTGGCTTCTTGGTCCGCTTTTTCTTTGACGTGTGGTACATGTCAGGTTTATTGTCGGATTGTTCATCTGGTAGTTCCAATTTATCCCTCTCCCTCACCCCCCTGCCCCTCCCACATCAGGAAGTCTGTGTCCAGTGTTGACCGCCGATGCCTCTAGTGAACCGGTAACGATTGACACGACCTGGTCTACCATACTACCTACCTCTCGAACCCTGAAAAGCAGTCTCGCAATCGCCCATCAAAGATCATTCATCGACCCCCCACATCACCCCTGATGGCATCACCACAAGGGGGCTATCCGCCCCAGGAAGGAGGGTACGCTCAGCCCGGCTATGGAGGATCTCCCGTCCAGCAGCAGCAGCCCGACATGCCCCCGGCTCCGCTGCTCAGGGCCATGCGGCAGGACGCAAGAAGCGGGCCTATGCAGGAGAAGCGTTTGAGTTCGGTTCCGGCGCCAATGCGGCTTTGGGAGGTCAGTTGCCGGCTGGAGGAAGCTATGGGGCATATCCACCGCAACCGCAACCGCAAGTAGCTGCGGGATACCAACAGCCCATGTATGGCGCCGACCCGGCCGCCATGCAAGCCCCCGGCTATGCGGCCCCTGTCGCCCCCGTCGCCCAGATGACCCAGCAATTCGGCGCAATGGGCATGACCGACCCGCATCTCGTGCCCCCGCCGCAGCCCGTGGCTCAACCCCAGATCCCGCGGGCCGCTCCTCTCAACCAGCTCGTCCCAACGGACCTCCTCACCCAGCCCTTCAACGTGGCGGAACTGGACCTCCCCCCGCCTCCGATCATCCTTCCCCCCGGGGTATGTGCTTTGCTTGCACCAGCCGTCCGACCTTGGTTACACGCAAAACCGGACTCTTGCTGACTTCTCCTAGACCAGTGTGTACCCCTCTCCCCACGCCAATTGCCCCGCCAAGTACGTCCGCTCGACCCTGAACGCCGTGCCCACCACCCACTCGCTCCTGAAGAAGTCCAAACTGCCGTTCGCCCTCGTCATTCAGCCGTATGCCGCCCTCCACGACTCCGAGGACACCGTCCCCGTCATCCCCGACCAGGTCATCTCGCGCTGTCGTCGCTGCCGATCCTACATCAACCCCTTCGTCACCTTCCTCGACCATGGCCATCGCTGGCGCTGCAACATGTGCAACCTCACCAACGACGTGCCCCAGGCGTTTGACTGGGACACCGCACTGCAGAAACCCGCCGACCGGGCGCTGCGAGCCGATCTGAACGAGTCCGTGGTGGAGTTCGTGGCGCCGCAGGAATACATGGTCCGCCCCCCGCAGCCGCTTGTCTATCTCTTCCTGATCGACGTGAGCTACGCCTCGGTCACCAACGGCCTGTTGGCCACGAGCGCGCGCTGCATCAAGGAAAGCCTCGACCGCATCCCCAACGCGGACCGACGGACCCGGCTGGGCTTCGTGGCCGTGGACTCGAGCCTCCACTACTTCTCGATCCCGCGCGACGGCTCGGAGCACTCGGATCCCCGCATGCTGGTCGTCAGCGACCTGGACGAACCGTTCCTGCCCATCCCCACCGACCTTCTGGTCACCTTGAGCGAGTGCCGCGAGAATATCGAGATCTTCCTGGATAAGTTGCAGGAGATGTTCCAGAACACGCAGAGCAACTCTTGCGCCATGGGATCGGCGCTGCGCGCGGGTTACAAGCTGATCGCCCCCGTCGGCGGCAAGATGACGGTGCTCAGCGCCTCGCTGCCCAACATTGGACACGGTGCGTTGACCATGCGGGAGGACAAGAAGGTCCTGGGTACCAGCAAGGAGAACAGTTTGCTGCAGACGGCGAACAGCTTCTACAAGAGCTTCGCCGTCGAGTGCTCCAAAGCCCAGGTCTCTGTGGATATGTTCCTCTTCTCGTCGCAATACCAGGACGTCGCGTCGCTCAGCAACCTGCCGCGGTATACCGGCGGGCAAACGTACTTCTACCCGGGGTGGAACGCGGCCCGCGGGGAGGATGCCATCAAGTTCGCGCGGGAGTTCTCCGACTACCTGTCCTCGGAGATCGGGCTGGAGGCGGTGCTGCGTGTGCGCGCCACGACGGGCCTGCGCATGAACACGTTCTACGGAAACTTCTTCAACCGCAGCTCCGACCTCTGCGCGTTCCCCGCGTTCCCCCGCGACCAGGCCTACGTCGTCGAGGTCGCCATCGACGAGACCGTCACGAAGCCGGTCGTGTGCATGCAGACGGCCGTGCTGCACACCACGTGCAACGGCGAGCGACGGATCCGTGTGTTGACCCTGGCCTTGCCGACCACCCAGAACCTGGCCGATCTGTACGCGTCGGCGGACCAGCAGGCGATCGCCACCTACTTCAGCCACAAGGCCGTGGAGCGGGCTCTGGGCAGCGGTCTGGAACCGGCTCGTGAAGCCCTCCAGGCCAAGCTGGTCGAGCTCCTGGCGACGTACCGCAAGGAACTGGCCGGTGGGAGTGTGAGCGGCGGGGGACTTCAGTTCCCGGCCAACCTCCGCGCCCTTCCTGTGTTGTTCCTCGCCATGATTAAGAATGTATGTTTCCTCCCTCCTCCCCCTTACAGTTCAAACCAGGCTAACCTTTCTAGCTGGCCCTTCGGAAATCCGCCCAAATCCCGACGGACATGCGATCGGCGGCCCTGTGTCAGCTGTCGACCCTGCCGCTCCCCTTGCTGATGCAGTACATCTACCCGCGGATGTACTCGCTGCACGACATGCCCGACGACGCGGGATTGCCGCGACCGGACGAGGTCACCGGCGAGATGAAGATCGTGCTCCCGCCGCCGGTGAATTTGACGTCGGAGCGGATCGTGCCGTTCGGACTGTACCTCATCGACGACGGACAGACGCAGTTCCTGTGGGTGGGACGGGACGCGGTGCCGCAGCTGATCATGGACGTGTTCGGGCTGCCGGACAAGTCGCAGCTCCGGGTGGGCAAGCAGTACCTGCCGGACCTGGACAACGACTTCAACCAGCGGGTGCGGGCGGTGGTGGAGAAGAGCGCGGACCACCGGTCCAAGGGGGCGGGCAGCATTGTGGTGCCGCACCTGTACGTGGTCAAGGAGGACGGCGAGCCGGGCCTGCGGTTGTGGGCGCTGACGATGCTGGTGGAGGATCGGGCGGACCAGAGTGTCAGCCTGGCGCAGTGGATGGGGATGTTGCGAGAAAAGGTTTGACCCTTCTTCTTTTTCTCTTCTTTGGTATTTTTGCGTCGTTACGTCTCGATTATGACATCGACTGACGATATTGCCATTACAGGTTGTTCAGTAATAGCTTGGTCGATTTTGGTACTATATGAGAGATACAACAATCAACTTTATTTATTTTATTTATTTATTCTCCGACCAGGGTCATACCCCATCTTAACATCCATCTATCACCAAGCCAAGCGATAGCCTCATGGTATACACCAAGCTTAGTACTTTGTTTCCCATATTTTCATTTATTTCTTTCCCCTGTAATATCTCCCCACCTATTTCCGTCCCCCTCCCCATCCAGCTCGTGTTAACTGGACCACAACCTGCATTGGTCCGGGCGTCTGTATGGCCGATCATGCAGTGTAGACTTTAGATCACGGCTTAGCATGCCCAGCTAGACGACGCCGCCAAGAGAGGCCAGAGCAAATCAGCGGCGCGGACGAGCTGTGACGGGCTGTGTGATCAATTTGGGTCGACAGGCTGTTAGCGCTACACTGCCCCTCTTCATGGTCTGATAGCATATGTCACTCTAGAGTCCACGGAGAAAACCAGGGGAGAGACATTCACGAGAAAAACAGATAGGAATACACCGTGTCAGAGGGGAGGAGAAGGAGAGGGGATGGAGAAGAAAAGTGGGACTTAAGCGCCAGGATGATTGGCGGTTTTGGTGGGTTTGGGGGAGATTGAAACACTGGTTGAGACGTAGTTTGGGCGATGCGCCCCAGTTGGTCAGGTACCTACAATATTTAGTTAGTATTTATCGTGTTGATTTGAGGGATTGAAGCCTTGATATGGAGCGTCAAGAGTTGGGGACTGTCTTATATTCAACCAGATCCCGTGATCTGTCTCTCTTCTTTCTTTCTCTCTTCTCTCTCTTCTCTCTTCTTTGACTTCATCTTTCTTTCCTTCACTCCATCATCTTCACTCCACGTTCTCTCCATCTATCTGTAAATCATCCTGACTCGATTCGTTCCACGTTGACTGGACCCAACTGATCAAAGTACATCCCCTCCTGCCCCACCCCACCCGGCTTATTACTATTGACAATCTACCCAACTGGCTTTCTCCAGCCCCTCCGCATCATCATCTTGATTTCTCTTGATTTCTCTTCCTGATCTGTCTCTCTTTGTCATTCTCTCGTTCTCTTGTTCTCGTTCCTCGTTCTCATTCTCGTTCCCCCACCCTCGTTGTCCACCAGTACTGTCTCCAACACTGACAACAGACCACTAGAACAGCCATCGAGATATTAAAATAGAACAAAGCGTGTGAAACACCCATCGGGCTTCTTAAGACAGTCGGGCGTGAGGTATGTTCCCCCTTTTCTTGATTTATTTTCTTCTATCCTATTCTTTACTCTATTTTTGGCTTTCCTTCGCTTGTTGCACACTTTCTCCTGAAGACTCTCCCTCCCTATCTTATTCTCTAACACCGTGGACTTATTGAAGCGTACGGCAAAGGCAACCTACAGTACACGTCGAATCCAATCCACCAACCCATAATCCTAGCCGATCGAATTACTGTGATCGAATACTGTCGACGCCTTTCCTCGCATCGTCTTATCTTCCCACTCGCCTGACGATCAACCGCACTCGTCACATCGCCGGTAATACCCCGCATCCGCCATCCTCAACCCATTCGCTCATCTGGGCATGCGCATTGCTTGATCCCTCAACACCCGTGAACACTACTGCGGGATCCATGTAAGTGTTTTCTTATCTTCTTTCTGGAGTACCCGTTTCGCCTACATACTCGTCACTGCGCAATGTCCCCGCCACGGTCTCCTGAGTGACTACCCCGCCGTGGTGCGCCTTAAACATCCGTTAACACTGACAACCATAGTCAAAATGGTGCAGCAACTGCCTCCTCAAGGGGGCTCGCGCAAGATCTCCTTCAACGTTTCCGACCAATATGAAATCTCCGATGTCATCGGCGAGGGCGCCTATGGCGTTGTCTGGTAGGTTGCTCTCCGGTTGAATATGACCCCATGCTGATTATTAGCTCCGCCGTCCACAAACCCTCCGGCCAACGAGTGGCCATCAAGAAAATCACCCCCTTTGATCACTCCATGTTCTGCCTGCGAACCCTGCGTGAGATGAAGCTGCTGCGATATTTCAACCACGAGAACATCATTTCCATTCTGGACATCCAGCGACCTCGCAATTACGAGAGCTTCAACGAGGTCTATCTCATTCAGGTATTCCTTCCTGGTTCAATGTTGATTGAACGGAAACTCACTACTTAGGAACTGATGGAAACCGATATGCACCGCGTCATCCGCACCCAAGATCTCTCCGACGATCACTGCCAGTACTTCATCTACCAGACCCTGCGGGCGCTCAAAGCCATGCACTCCGCCAACGTGCTGCATCGCGATCTCAAGCCGTCCAACCTGCTCCTCAACGCCAACTGCGATCTCAAGGTCTGCGACTTTGGCCTGGCCCGCTCCGCGGCCTCCACCGACGACAACTCGGGCTTCATGACGGAATATGTGGCCACCCGGTGGTACCGCGCCCCGGAGATCATGTTGACATTTAAAGAATACACCAAAGCGATTGACGTGTGGAGCGTGGGGTGTATACTGGCGGAGATGCTCAGCGGCAAGCCTCTTTTTCCAGGGAAAGACTGTACGTATCAACCATGCATCCGTGGCCAGCAACAAGCTAATGTGTGTAGACCACCACCAATTGACCCTCATCCTGGACGTCCTGGGGACACCAACGATGGAAGACTACTACGGAATCAAGTCCCGACGGGCTCGGGAGTACATCCGGTCTCTGCCGTTTAAGAAGAAGATCCCGTTCAAGGCGCTGTTCCCGAAGAGCAACGACCTGGCGTTGGATTTGCTGGAGAAGCTGCTGGCGTTCAACCCAGCCAAGCGTATCTCCGTCGAAGAAGCGCTCCGCCATCCGTATCTGGAACCGTACCACGATCCCGAAGACGAGCCCACCGCGCCGCCTATCCCAGACGGGTTCTTCGATTTCGATAAGAACAAGGATGCGCTCAGCAAGGAGCAGTTGAAGAGTATGTACCCCCTGAGCGATAGTATCATTGACGGAGACTAATCATGAATAGTCCTGATCTACGAGGAGATCATGCGGTAGATGACGCGGTACCGAGTGGAAGTAGCCTGGGATAAGGGGTAATCTGCGTGTGCAAGAGATCGTACAGCCGATCTTTCGCTCGAGTCCGTATTCAAGCATGGGACAGTCGAGCATATCTGGACATAATCTGAGCAATTAAGCCAATTGATGATTCACATAACAATAACATAAAGGGTATATACATATATACAGACAACCGTATCCCACAATAGCATCTCACAAGATGACAAGCCACAGGATGAAACGATCAAGAAGATTCTCGATCCCTCATAAACTCCTCAATCCCCTCATAAACCCCCTCCTCACTAGGCCTCTCGGCACACACATCCGCCCTAACACCATACTTATTCAACAGGTGATCTCGCGTGGTCGGGCCGATCGTCGCAATATAGAACCCTTCCTTTCTTTTGCTTTCCCCGGATTCGTCCAAGCCGAGGACTCGCACCATGGCATCACACCCCGTAGGCGAGAATACCACAACCCATACTCCTCCATTCCTTTTATCTGTACCATCTACCCCATCTACCCCATCCACCCCCTCCTTCTTCGAAGACGGCGACGAAGAAATCCACTCCCTCCCAGAATCAACAGCTTCTTTAAAATCCCCCTCAAACCCCCCCATAACACCCGTCTCATAGACAACGACCTCCTCAACCCCAACCCTGCGCCCAGCAGGCGTCGCCTCACCCATAAGTGTCTTGGGAATGATATCGCGGCGTTGTTCGCCTACGAGGAAGAGAAGGGGGGGTTTCGTTTCATTCTTTTCGCTCTTTTCACTCTTTTGGAGGTCATGTTGGTGGTGTTGGGAATGAAGGTTATTGTAATGCTCCAATATATACCCCGCCAACACATCCCCCGTACCAGAGTGTTCGCCGAGGACGCTTGTGTTCGGGAGGTAGGTATTCGTAAGGGCTGAGATGGCGCGCGAGGTCGCTGGGCCGACTGTGTAGATTGGGAGGGATTGAGCGGGGTTAGAGGTGGGTGGGTTGAATGAGGATGTTAATGTTGTTTCTGTTTCACGATCAATTGTTAGACACTGGTGATTTATCTCTCTATAAAGAGAGAGAGAGAGAGAGAGAGAGAGAAAGAGAGAAGGAAGAAACATACGATCCATTCCCCCCAATACAGCCCCGAACGCTTCCACCGCGCGCTGGCTGGTGAAGATGAGGCCGCCATATTTCTTATTACCACCCCCCTCTACCTTAGTATTCCCATTGCCAATACTACTCCCGTTGTCATTTCCATTCCCAGTAGTGAAACCACCCCCCTCAATAACGTCTCTGATAAAATCAAGAGACTCCCCCCGAAACCGATGTTCGAGAACCGGAACGAAAGCGGGGTTGTATCCGCGCGCGGAGAAGTACTCTTCGTAGGTGTCTTTCGGGGAGGAGCGGGTTTTGAGGAGGAGGATGGGTGGTTTCGTTGGTTGGGTTGCGAAGGGGTATTTTGGGGACATTTTCTTTTGTCTTTTTCTTTTTTTCTTCTTAGTATTGGGTAAGGTAGGGGAGGGAGTTGGAGGGTCTAATGATATGGGTTGGGTGGTGGTATCTGGTGGTGTACTTGGCGGGGTGATGTTGTGGATCTTCTTATTAATATTATCAATTATCTACAATTTCTTCATGACTACAAAATTACTAGATACCTGAGAAAGATCAAATTCTAACGGTTATGTACATATTAAAACAACTACTGAGTGTCCAGAACGTGCAGGTACTTCTTTTCCTCCGCACGCTCCTGCTCCGTCGCCGGAGGGAGATCGTAGTAGCTGGCGCTACGGTAGCCCTTCTATAGGATTGTTAGTACTGTCCAGGAACCTGTCTACTAGAGGAAGAAAACATACCAAGTAGTGGAAAGTCAGGTTCTCCAGCTCGGCAGGCTCAATACCCAAGTCCTTGAAGGTCTTGGCGGTGGGATCGATCTTCTGGTCGATGAACTCGCGCTCAATCTCGTCCGCGGACCCAACGTTCCACCAGAGCAGCTTGTTCATGTAGTACGCAAACGGCTTCAGGAGAGTCTTGGGCACGTTGATGTGGCGGCGGCGCTTGATGATCTCGCGGTCCACCAGCTCGGCGATCTCGGCGGTCGAGTAGTTCTTGGGGCCGTACAGCTCGAAGGTCTGACCCGCGGTCGAGTCGTCGTGCAGCATGTGCTCCAGAGCGGTTCCGACATCAATGGCCTACATCGATTAGCATTGGTTGTGACGTTGTGACACTAGGAGGTCCATACGTGAACCGGCCAGAAGCGCTCTTGCATGTGGTTGGCGGTGAACAAGCTGGTCATCCGGGCCAGCTTGTGCAGGAGGTTGTCCTCGAAACCGAACACGGGGGCCGGACGGACAATGGTGGTCTCGGGGTAGATCGAACGAGCCACTTCCTCGCCCCATCCCTATCGTATATTTAGTTGTGAGACGGTGGATATGGACTTATGAAACCAACCTTGGTGGCGAAGTACTCGGAGGGCGAGTTCTTGTCCGCGTTGTAGGAGGAGACGTGGATATACCGGTCGATATCGTACTTGGCGGTGGCCTCCACGATGCGCTCGATACCGTCGACGTGGACATCAGTGTAGGAGAAGTTCCTATGTCGTTAGTATATTTCACGGTACATCCATTCGATCACTAACTTGGTCGGGTATTGGCGGCCCACAAGGTTGTAGACCACATCACTGTGTCGCACGCTTTCCTCGATAGACTGGGTGTTGCGCAGGTCATATTCCTAGGCAAATTAGCGTCATTCGATGAGCATCGCACGCGCACCATACAATAAAGTTAACCCGACCAAGATCACCGGTCGGCTTCAGGTGACGCTTGGCCATCTCCTCGCGGTAGGGCACAACGACCGTGCATCCCTGCGAAGCTGGACGGGGTTAGTCTTGCTCCTCCGACAGTATGACAGTATAAGACGAACCGAGTCTGTGAACGATGTATCGACCGAGGAAACCGGTGGCACCGAAGACGGTAGCGGTATGTCCTACGCACAATCAGTCAGTCGTCTGTTGGTCGTCATGTTCCGAAAAGGGTTGCGGTACCTCCTAGAGACGACCTACACGGATCATTAGCGTCCACACCACGAACCACATACTTTCTTTGGAGACTTACCGTCCACCCGGAACCTTCAAAATCGGCTTTCCGGTCCTTGTGATGGCGACATCCTGGAGACTCCGGCGCTGGAGCTGGAATTGGACCCGGGGAGCGGGGACAAACGCCCTGGACCCCAGGATGGAATTGGCGGCCCGGCACTTCTGCATGGTCTCTGTCGCGAATATGAGTCGGATGAGACCACCGAATAGAATCCGGAACGAGGGGCTCTGTATAACAATGGGTTGGATTGGAGAGGGGAGAGGGAGCAGCAGCTGCTAAGCTGTATTGAGGATGATCGAGGTTTGAGATGGAAACTCCGGGCACGGGACTGTGCGCTAGCCCGATTCGGACGAGGTCTAGCATGCACTTCACTCTACGTTCTACACTCCTCGTCTACAATTCTACACTTGTTCATTTTCTTGAGAGATTGTTTAGATTAATCTTTTGAAATAAAGGAGTTCGTCTGCAAAATTCCGCTCGGTGTCGCCTGCAGTCGAGCTCTACAGTCTTCCACCGCCCAACTCACGAATTACGTCTGACTATTCCCGAACGCTGATTGGACAATGTCTCATACTCGATTAATGGATTCCATCCAAATTAACACGCATTGAAAAACATCCCGACTCCTACTGTCTAGGCTCGTTGGGCCCGTGCGAAGAAGATGGTCTTCTCCAGGGGCTTCCCGTCCTTCTTCATGACCAAAGGCTCTGCGATGACCTGGTAGTCGAACCCTACAGTCAACCCGGCATCTTCATACAACTTCTTCATCTGTTCGGCCGAAAAACCATGGGTCTTGATCGTAGACGAGGCCCCATACTCAGGCTCTGTGCCGTGATGGTTTCCATGACCGTGACCTCCATGTCCATGTTCATGTCCATGTCCGTGCTCATGCCCATGACCATGACCATGGTCATGATGCTCCTCCGGTATAATGTCAATGATCAGACAGACACCCCCCTGCCTGAGACGCTGGGCAAGTCGGTTCATGGCCAACCCAGGATCCTCAAAATGATGCAGAGCCATGCTGACGGCCACGAGATCAAAGTCAGAGTACTCCGGTCCAGAGATCTCCGTTGGAACTGGCTCGGCAAACAGATCGCCGTTTTGGGCGACCACCTTGTCGCCATATCCGGCCCCTTGGATATTGGATTTGTATTCATTGATCATGTTTTCAGAGATATCCAGACCATAGATTTTGCTGACGAAGGGCGCCAATGCCTAGACGCTGTCAGCATCAATCCTGCTCATCACCAGCTAGAGACATCCTACCAAAGAGACCACGCCTGGTCCACAGGCGTAATCAAGTGCCTTGATTTCCTTTCCGGTACCAGCTGCAGTGTCCGTCCACGCCGCACTGGCCCATGCCCTCCGGCTTTGGATCAACCGGTAGAGAGTTACCAAGGCGTCGGCAAAGTCGGCCTTGTAGCTGCTGGCCATTTTACTACGAGTGTGAGCTAGATTCACGAGCATGAAATAGACTCAAACAATGGACAGCTTACTCGAACACCTGACGGTTCTTCTCCGCAAAGTCGGACATGATGGCGATGTCTGGGACTGATGTTGGTTGTAGTGGGGTCAAACAGAGATTATATGGAAGTTGAACATTAAAGACTTGTTGGCTCGAATCTGTTGAGCTGTGGATCTTGAGAAAGATCGAGCCTTTTATAGACCATCCCCCATAGTAACTTCAGATATGGCTCGGAGAGATCTCGGACACTTTCTAGGATCAGACGATCTCCACTGGCTGGGCTTAGATTGGGTTGCTCTTCAGCCCCTTTGACTGCTACGACATGAGTCATACTGAGCATATTTGAGCAATAAAAAAAGCCATCAGAGATTGGAGATGAAGAAGAAGCATTCGATTGAAGCCGTACAATACAGTATACTCCAAGCACTGTATGTCAGTGTTAGTCAGCCACTCACCGCCTTCCGCAAAGGGAACCGGCAACGATAGGTATGACCGCCAGCTTCAGCTTTAGCTTCATCTCACTCCAGACATCTATCATTGCCCAACCCCTCCCTCTCCTTCTCCTCATCTTCTCTTATTTGCTTCCTTGTTACCTCTGATATAGACCCGCTTTTAATTACCATCTCCATCATGGAGAACCAGAAGATTTCCGATTTCCTGGCCGACCAGCTGCAGCAAGCTCCCGAACCGTGCCAACCCTACTTCCTCACCTTTGAAGACTACTGGGAGCGTAAATTATGGCATCAGCTCACCGACGCCCTCGTCGAGTTCTTCAAGCTATCAGAGAGCGCCTCGCAGCGGTTACCGATATTCAAGACCTTTGTCCTCAGCTTCTCCGATCGGATCAATCAACTCAAATTCGTCTCGCTCGGGTTGATGGCATCGACCCAGTGTTCCGGTTCGTATCTGCGCCAGAGACTAGCTGTGTATAAATCTGACACACGATAAAATATAGATGACAAAGAACAACTTTCCTTCCTCACATCCCTCGCCGACAAGGTCAACAAGCCCGAGACGCAAGAAGCCTATATCTACGCCCTGGCCCACGTGGCCAACGCCAAACAGCGATTGCAGGACTTGGACGGTGCCCAGAAGGATTTGGAGGTGTGTCAGAAGGTGCTGGACACATTCGACTCGGTCGAGACAGTGGTGCACGCATCCTTCTACAAGGTCAACGCTGAATACTACCACGTACGTCATCGCCTAGCCTATTAGTCAAAATCAACAAACTAACACAGAGCGATAGGCCAAACAAGAATTCGCCTCCTACTACAAGAACGCCCTCCTCTACCTGGCCTGCATCAACATCGAGGACCTCAGCCCGCGCGAGCGCGCCGAGCGCGCCTACAACCTCAGCGTGGCCGCCCTCATCTCCGACTCGATCTACAACTTCGGCGAGCTCCTCCTGCACCCGATCCTCGACTCCGTGTCCGACACGCCGCACGCCTGGCTCCGCGACCTCCTTTTCGCCTTCAACCGCGGCGACCTGACCGCCTACGACGTCCTCGCAGGCAACATCGCCAAGAACCAGCTGCTCCAAGAGCACCGCTTCTTCCTGTACCAGAAGATCTCGCTGTCCGCGCTGACAGAGATGGTCTTCCGCCGCCCGCCGCACGACCGCAACCTGACCTTCGCGTCCATCGCAGCCGAGACCAAGGTCCAGCCCGCCGAGATCGAGCACCTCGTCATGAAGGCCCTGTCGCTCGGCCTCCTCAAGGGCGCCATCGACCAGGTCGCCCAGGTCGCCCAGATCCACTGGGTGCAGCCCAAGGTGCTGGACCTGACGCAGATCGAGGGCATGCGGAATCGCCTGAAGGACTGGGACGCGGGAGTCAACCAGCTGGGTCACTGGATTGAGGGAGTAGGCAAGGATGTGTGGGCTGCATAGGCGTAGCCGTTAGTTATCTATTACTTTTTTCTTTTGCTGATTTGGCTCGGGCCACGAGAAATAAGATACAAGCACGCATGTATGTATGACCGCAGGTACCGGATGGTAGAATCTAGTAATTGATGGATGTCGATCGACCTAGCTCTACAAGATACTACTACCTACAGGAGGATAAACAAATGAGCGTAGCGATCTAAGCCCGTGTCAACATAGATAAATATATGCAACAGCTAAGACTGTCTGTCTGTCAAATTATACAGTAGTCCAAGGGTGTACCCAGATATAGATACCTCCCTTGTATATAGATAGGTACACAGCATGCAACAAGCACAATCAACCCACTCACTACCTTCTAACCAACCATATAGACATCAACCCGCAATCCCACCTACTTCTAACCTGGCACAGCACCCTAGGTACTTGATTCAACACCTCCCTACCACCCTTCTCAACAGCCAAACAGTCAACACCCCCACCACACAAACAAAAAGGAAAGAAAGCAAAAGCGAAAGCAAGATTTAGAAGAAAGAACACCCCAGCAAAGCCCCCCCACTCAACCAAGCCGGCCACCAAACACACCAAACAACAACCTGCGTCCACATGCCCCACACATCCCACCCGAACGCAGCCTGCGTGAGGACCGTCTCGACTGACGTTCCGGAGTACGTGCAGGCAGCTAGGAGGACGACAGGCGGGGAGAGAAGATTGAGGAGGACGAGGCCTGTTAGGGCTAGGGCGTAGCGGAGGGGAGCTGGGATTGAGGCGGTTTTGGGGATGCGGTGGATGAAGGTGAGGGGGGTGCAGAGGAGGCCGATTATGAATGAGAGGGAGAAGTTGAGGGTGGCGAGGGTGGAGAGGAAGAGGCCGAGGGGGAGGAGGGAGAAGGATTTGATGAGGTGGTGTTGGTGGGGGTTTGTGGTGGTATTGGTTGAGGAGGAGGTGAGGAGGGCGGAGAGGAAGATTGGGAGGAGAATGTCTGCTAGGATGTAGGCGTATGTTGCTGGTGTGTAGTACTGTTTTTGGTTAGTATTTGGTTTTAGATTGGGTTGTGGGGAGTGGGTTATGTTGGCTGCTGACCTTGTAGGATAGGTTGTTGAAGGTGTAGAGCGGGATGAGGCCTAGCAGGTGGAGGCCCACGACGAGGGAGAGTGGGAGTGCGAGCTGTCGCTCTGTGGTGCCAGTTGCGTCTTTTGTCTCGGTCTGTGAGGACTTCTGCTCTACTTCGGACTTTTCATCGCTGGGCTTTTCACCACTGGGCTTTCCATCGCTAGACTGCTCATCACTAGACTTGACGGCCGCTCGCGACTTGTACCCCGTACGCATCCACAAAGCAATAGCCATGATAGTAAAGTTCCCAGCAACGAGCATCGCACTAGGCAAATAAGTCCCAATACTCACAAAGCGATTAGTATGCATAAGCAGATAGAAGAAGAAGCTCTGGTGGAGATGCTCCAACAGGTTATTCAAACTGCGACAGAGAGACTCCACCGTACGGCCTAGAGCCATCTCATCCTGCCAGCCCTCGCCCTTGGGCTGCAACGTGATCGCATCGATATGATACGGCATGAAGCTGCTGTGAGCGCCGGTGGCGTACCCGAGGCCCTGCTTGAGCATTCCGCGGAGGATGGTCTCGAGACGGGCGCGGTAGTCGTTCTTGTGGTCCCACATTTCCTGTAGGCTTGCGCCGATGCCCATTTGGCCGCCAGCGATGGCGACGGCTGTGTTGAATAGGTCGAGGTTCGGTAGCTGGCCGTTGACGCCGTCGTAGACGATGTGTATCGACTCGAATCGGTGGTCGAAGGGGTATTCGATTACCAGGCCGCCTTGCAGTGCACCGCTCTTCAGCGGTAGCGGCTGGATGGACGCCGGCTGCATGTCATGGTAGGCGTCGATCCATGCCTGCGTGCCTGATTTACTGTCGGGGGGGAAGACGAAGATGATATCCTTTGACCATAGAGACCAGCCTGGATGAGCATGATTTAGTATGCGATCGTCAAGAAAACAAACAGAACATCCTCAGAACAAATAAAAGGATATAGAATAACCCACGTTTGAAATACCTCGCCAGCGTCAACGCAAGCGTAACCCCATTAAGATTCAGCTCCCCATCAGCCGTCTTCCAAGCCGCAACAAGCACAATCGCCTCGGTAGCATCTCCGCGCGGCGCGTTAATAATAGCGTAGGTATTCTGCCCCTGATGCGTGATCCCCGACGAGGAGTATTCGTAGTTCTGCGTAGCGACCTTCAAGCCCGCTGCTCGTAGAATCGACTGGATCTTATCGGATACACTATGCGCGTGGATTAGCCTCGCCCCTGTCTACACCAGTAGAAGGTGTCCAAGTGTCCAAATGGACAGGTAGATAGAAGAAGAAGAAGGCGGCGAACATACACCGGTGTAAACTCCGCATCCCTCACACCCGACTCCTGCACCTCATGATAAGAAGCAGGAAGCAAACTCTCAATCTCCTTCTTATACCCGCGAAACACGTTCTGTTCGCTGCCGGAGAAGTAGGCGTGGACCTGGCCCGGGAGCAGGGCGTTCTCGGAGATGTACGTTCGGCGGGAGTAGTCGTCGAGGGGGAGGAGGGCGAGCCAGACGACGCCGGCGACGATGCACAGGAACGAGAGGAGGTAGGGGAGGCGCACGTAGAGGAATTGGGGGTTGCTCCGCAGTTTGCGGATTGCGGCTGGTTGGGACGGGTCAGCTTGTTTGGATCTGGGGTTATAGGTTGGTAGGTAGGTAGCAAGCGGAGGGGTGGGACAGGAGATTATCCTGCCATGAGAAGAATCAAGTAGTACTCACATTTAAGAGCCATGAGGTCAGTGACTTCCCTGCATTGGTGCTGGTGCCGGTCGGGGAAATACACCCAGTTGATGTTGTTGATGATCTGCAAGTGGACAACAGACCGCGGAGGTACGACGGCGCTCTGGTGCTATTTACGTCAGCCGGAAAAGACCACCCGCACAACTGTCTATTATTAACTAAACTAGTCCAGACCATCCTATCTATACGCCCTGGCTAGCTAAATACTAATGATAATGTTACTAATATACTAAATATCCACAAGAAAATAACCCCATCCAGTACCTCCACTTTTCACGGCCCCAGGCGTTGCGCAGTCGGCAGATAGCTCATGGGCACCGGTCGGTCGCCCACGGGCGCCGAGGTAGGGAGCACCCCGTAGCGACCGAATGTCTTCTGATCCACCGAGACGTAGTGTGGCAGACGGCCGAGGAGGTTGAGCTTGCCTTCGATCCATCGGAGGATCTTCTCCGGGGGGACGAAGACCTTGAGGTAGCCCAGACCGACTACGTGGCATTAGCGCAGCACAATGATAGAAGGGTCGATCCAACTCACGCAGATACCCAACGGCAATGGCACACATGTGGCCAAGGAAGCTCGTGTTCGGCACGAGGGCGGAAACGACGGCACAGACGAACAGGGGAGACGTCCAAGTCGGGATCTTGGTTGACCCAAGGCTGGAAAAGTTAGCAAAGCGCAGACATGGAATAGTCAATCCCCTACCTAAAGTACGGGTGGGACTTGAAGGTCCTGATCGCCTCGGAGGCGAGGAGAAGGAATACCCAGACACTAGAACTGTCAGAATAGGCTAGCCGATTTTCACACGGAAGGACTCACCTGGCTCCCACAACGGAGGCATTCCGGTTAAAGATACCCTTTTCAATCAGAAGGTACAGACCAGCCGGAAGGGTCGAAAGCGCTGCACACAACACTGTATTAGCATAAACCACACACAAAAGGCAGAGATCACCCACGTCCAATAAACAGCGCGACCGCCGTCAAAGTACCATGCTCCGCCTCGAAGCGCTCCAGCAGCGGCGTGAGGGCCACCACGTTCAAAATAAAATGGAAAAAGCCCACGTGGATCAGCGGGTACGTATTGAGTCGGTACACTATTCCACCGTCAGCACCAGCGCACGACAAATCCACCGGGACAGGCAAGCAGCTCGAAACGTACTCGTTCCCAAATTGATCTCATTGGGCGTCAACGCCCCCCATTGTACCACGCTCCATACCGTCTGCAGCTCCAGGAGCCAGAACACCAGGGCCGCCAGCAGGACCAGACGGGTAAAGAGCGGCAGGCGGAGGAGGTACGAGCGGGCCCTGGACGGGTTGAAGGGGAGGGGCGGCAGGGCGGTTGGTGTGGCCATGCTGGCTGTCAGGATGTGGCACGGGTTTCTGCGTTGCAATGGCGGTGTCGACCCGTGTGGAGGGAGGATATGATGGAGAAATGCCCGAGGTATCACAGGTAATGGAGAGATCGACGGAATAAGGCGAGATGTTCGTTTTGGGAACGTTCCCTAGAAAAAGACGATAGCCTCTTAAAGCACAAGGCCAAGAGTAAAGGACAGTAAACAGTTCGGAAGTCCTGCCAATCCTCAACAACACGATAACAAAGAGCGGCAATCCAACATCAGCCGACGGCGGCGCAGGGATGGACTTCAAGGCACCGGCACAGGCACAGGCACAAAGGCACGCGGCACAGAATGTCGGACAGGAGAGACAACTTTTGTCAGTGGGTAATCAAATCAAAACCGGTGTAAAGAGTCGAACGAGAGAATGCCTGGACAGACAGAGCCAGGATATCCCACCGGTTTTGGTTGTGGTTTTTCGACGAGGTTGACAGGAGCAGAACGTGGAATGAGGCTTACCTGTTTCTCCTGTAGCGGCCTCGTTGCGGATCATCGGTCACGTGACTGATAAGCAGGACCACAGTACAACTAGGCACTACAAACACTACAATATTATCACAGTTGGACTACAGGATATAAAGTGAAATAAGGAGAAACAAATATGAAATATGGAAGGAAAAATCAAGGGTATCCCCACATCAACTCATTATCTACTGATTATATACAGTCCATCCAACCGATCTATTTATAGATACTGGTTGAACCACACCACAGCCTGGCAGAAAGCCTGCTCCTTGCACCACTTGATGTGCTTGTTGCTGAGATCAGCGCGGACAGCGAAACCGTGCGAGACGCCGCCGAACAGGTTGATCTGCCAGGGCTGGCCGGTCTTGATGAGGATGCCCTCGGACTCGTGACGGAGCTGGGTGGTGAAGATCTGGTCGATTTCTGCAGCCATATTAGGATCGATATCAACACGAGTGGGAATAATGACTTACCGGACGCGGCGATGGACAGAGGGCCCGTGATGCCGCCGAGCTCCTCGGGGGTGACGAACGAGGGGTGCGCGGTGTATCCGACGTCGAGCTTGCCTTCTTTCAGGAAGCGGCAGACGTACTGTTGGAGTTAGCCTTCTTCTTCTTTCTTCCTTTTCAACCGCCCCCTTGCATAGAAAGGGTTATTCACCTTCCCACCAAAGCAGTACCCAACACCAGCAACACGCTTAGCGCCCAACCCCCGAACATACTTAATCGACGCCTCAACAACAGGATCGATCTTATCAACAGAGTGGTTAGGCAGCCAAGCAGGCAAGTCCGCCTTGCCAGACTCCATATCGCTCAGCTTGATGGCATCGCCGCGGAAGAGGTCGGGGATGACGCAGAGGTAGCCATTCGCGGCGAACTCGTCGGCGAGCAGCTGGGCGTTGATGTAGATGCCGAAGATGTCGGGCAGGATGACGACGGCTTTGTCGGTGCTGTTTTTGGGGTGGACGATGTAGGTTTCGACTATTACCAGTTGTTAGTGACATTACTCGAAAAGAAGACAGTGTGCAAAGACAATACTCACTGCCGTCAATGTTCTTCATCTCGCCCCGGGCGTTACCCTCATGCTTGAAGCCAGAGGCGCAGCAGGCAGCGGGGGGGTTGGAAGCCATATTGTATAGTATTTCCAAACAAAAAGTTGGTATACGAGTAATGGATTGATAAAGGTAGATAAGGATAAAGTTTAAAGCAAACGGTGGCAAGATTGACAACAAGAAGAGAAGCAGGGAAGCCTTAAATAATTAGACACGGGCATTATTTATTTCTCCTCATGCTTAATTGCCGCTCCAACTCCCCCACTTTTCTCCCCTTGCCCCTCTCCTCCTCTCTCGGATTATTAAGGATGGATTATGTAAGAGGGACCAGAACCATCCATCTACGAATCATTATTAGTATCGGTGTCAGGAAAAGGTATCCATGCGATAAGGTATTCTCAGATACCTACGAAGTAGATACTGACCAAGAATACTGTGTAGGCCCGCTGCGCTGCGTATGCGTTGGTACCTGCAGGCGGGGATGAATGACACCTTGCCGATTACCGGTGAGTTGCCGTCCCGAGGATTTAGTCCACTTTAGACAGGTACTCCAGCCAGGCTAACACAATATAAGACTCTATAAGACTCTTGATTGTATGTATGGGTGATATGATTACCTGGAATATGTCTATTAGAATGGATTACCCATCAGCGTCACGCACTGATGAATCCAGGATAGAGGCACCCATGAAATCTGCTGCCAGTCGAATTTAAGATTTACATGATACTTTTCACCGCGCTTGAGTATAGGTCAGATTGAGCAGCAGCTCGTCCGTCGATTCACTGGCTTTGCACCGATATATGCAATTGAATTGTTGGTGTATCGAAGTACAATTTACGCGTAACATCACCATTCCTTAGCAAAAAAAAATAAGGTACTCTAGTCGCTCAATATGCGATCTGTATACCACTTCCACTTGACGACTGTATCATCGAAGTTTTATTGGACAATTATCCCACAGAGGTTTCAAGACATACTCACAGACAGACTTTCTGAAAACGAGGTCATTCCAATCTGGTGTTGAGGAGCTCGTCGCGAACGTACACTCAACACACCTGGTCACGATCTCGAGATAGAACGGCAAGACGTAGTATGCACTGATATCAAGCCACCTGCGTGCTGCATTATACCGGCCTCCGAAGGAGTTATCAACTGGCATCTGAACTTCAGCGGCGTAGGAGGATAATGTTCGTCCGTGCCATAGCTCGAGGAGGATGATACCGAGCTCAAGAAGGGATCGTTTAGAGTTACAGCCACAACCCGAGTTGACCATTTGGCAGGAGAAGCGATGAGTAATGAATGGTTGGGGCATGTCGGCGAATGGTTGGGTCGCAGAAGTTCTTGCCAGTTGATCATTTTGTGAGAAACAGATTGATGAACTTGTCAAGGGAAGGTATAACCATGGTGTTGAGAGCAACTGCATTACAGATGATGCGATCCTGAATGACAATGCCATTCGCTGGTTTAGTGTCCAAGGTGGAAAGTCTGGTTTTGGTTTCGATTGGGCATCGAGAATCTGATCCAGCGAAAAGAACTCCTTGGACATGGCCGCGACTTTAGTTTCTGAGGGCATATGACGGTGATAAAGACATCCAGGCCGGGCTAGATAGAGACCGAGAGACTCTCCGTTGTTTTGTGCCTGGGATATTGACTGACAAAGGTCGTGAACTCTGCTAGGTGGAGGATGCGCGGGCTCTGGTTGATTAGGCAAACTGATGGTGACTTGAGGAGTGGATATATCTGTTGGAGGAGCTCTGCAAGGATTGAATGGTTATTATCTCTTCAATGGACAGAACCAACGGGCTGTTCCAGCTGTTCCATGCTTACCCGAGGCAAGAATAGGCCACTTCTTCTTCCATGACCTTGATGTCGGTTTTATAACACAGAACAGGGTTATCCGATGGCTCCAAGGCCACATTGAAGTCAACTGGTGATCTCTTCAAGCTACGCTGCGTTTTCTTTTCCATCAACCTTGCTCGGCTTTCAAGGAATAGCCGTGCCTTATGCTCTTGGTGGCAACCCACCCCATATCCCAGGGATATTGCTGAATATAAACAATGAGCGTATTCGCGAACCGCATTCATTGTAGATGTGAATTTGGCAACTGTCCGAGACGTTGATTGAACAGTTACCTCCGTTCTTAAAACACTGGAATCCCTGACTCGGCATAATGTCTGCGTAGCATCCTTGAGATCATTGATTCGATTCTCAAGGTCCTGCTTCTCAAGACTGAATTTTATTTTCTTAGTAATCTCGTGTGACCTTTTTCTCAGAGAGTGTGTTTGTACAAGAGTGGCAAGATTGATCTGGTTACATAGAGATCAGTCTGTCTCGAAGACTTTCAATTCACCCAACAAAGTAAGAAGTGAAATATGAGAGCATACCTGCGAATCCGATGCCAAGCCACGTATATGTCCGGCAATTTCTGTAAGAACCTCCTGGCACCTAGTCACGGCTATTGTATATGGCTCGTATCCGTCTCCAAGATATTCCTGAACGGCGTGTGCAACTTCGGGGTCCTCAAAGAGCGAGGAGTTCGACTGCTTGAGCAAAACAGCGATCTCCTCATCTTCCAGGTGAGTTTCTTTCAAGATCACTTGAAGGTCTGTCTCGAGAAAAAACCTCTGTTCCTGAAGTGACTGGATCAATTGTGCGATGAAAGGTTCCTTGAATCGGAAGAACCTGAACCGCTGACTCGTGGCTTTATACTTGTCGATAGCGCCGATGATCATGGGGAGAGCACCGAGAACAACACCTACTACTTCAAAACCACTCATTACGGGAAAATGGTACTCGGAACAGATCTATGTGTGTCAAAGGAAGAAGTGGAGAAAAAAAAAAATTTTATATAAGCGATGCTATCGAAGAAATCCGTGATAGATGAAATGAGGGGTAATTAGGACAACACATCGTCGCCCCTCACCAGTTAGTCAACATGATAGATTTGCGATTAATCAAGGTGTCAGGTCTACTCAAACTTCAACATCATCAAGGGACTTGATCGTGGATTCAAGGCAACATCCCTCATCCCGTACCGATCTACCTGCTCCACGTCATTATGAAATATGAAAAAATGACCAGTAAATCAGACCATTATGAGACTCTGGTCGGCGTTGGTCGGAGAGTCAGCAGCAGATTCAGTGTCGTTGAGGGGTTGATCGGGGGTAATGGTGAAGTTTCCGTGACCAAAGCGATGTTTGTGAATGAACTTCAGCGCTTCGAGCTATGGAGCATCAATCTCGGTCTTTATCAAAGTGGGCATAGCTCTTTGGACTACCGATTTCGTGACTCGCCTACTCTATTTTATTATGCTCTTGGGTTGCTGCAGGACTTGGAGAGTGCTCTGAACCAACGTGAGTGCACTGCTCGACCGCCCACTAGGCGGTAATTGTGAGAAATAACCAGGCTCTAACTGCTTGAAATCACAGTTGCGCTTATCTTGTACAATCATAACCAACCACAGGAAGATGCTCGAAAGACTGGACTACCAGAGCATACAGAGGATTGGTCCCATGGGGAGGATTGCGAAGACTCATCAGGTGACGAGGATTCCGAGGACTTCTCTTCTTACCAAACCGAGCCAATGGATAGAGTCGTTTTCGCGAATACTGTCACCACCATTGACAGACTTTATCAGCTGTCGTTCAGGATTCGAAATCCCAGGATGAGAATGGGACTCTCCAAAGCTCTCCAATATACTGAGTATGATTCTGACACCGGGATTAACCTCATGGATGAGTATGCAAAATTGGATATTAATCATATCGAGGAGCTTTTTCGCTCTTATGGCCGTATACACACCGCTGGTACACATAACTACCTAATCCAGCGCTTAGCGAGGGCCAACACTCGTCGGAGACAGCAATTCCGGTATTGGAAGAAGAGGAAGACGAAGTATGAACGATTTTCGAAACCAGAGATTGTTGAAAAAACCTCCCAACATCTTTCTGGAGATCCGTCTGGCTTAGGACAGGCGTTGCACATACCCAACGCGGCTCCCTCACAACCTTCGACAGTGACATATCTGAATATGTCCAAGATCAAAGACGACGACAGCGAGAACGACGACGACGCTTCCATAAGATCGACGAATTTATTTGTTCTGAAGGCAGACGAAAAAAATAGCGACCAGGCAGCAATCCCGCCGCCACCGAAAAATGTCGATGTCAAGGAGTTCGAATGTCCTTATTGCTGTACGATGTGCCCACGAAAACTACTCGCCAACAAGGCATGGGAGTAAGTATGCTTCAATCCTTCTTCCTTCAGTCCAATATTCTAACACCGCTATTGAACACATATCTTCCGGGATCTCAGGCCTTATGTCTGCACCTACAAATACTGCAGTGATCCAGACCAGCAGTACGATAGCTTCAGTGATTGGGTCACGCATGAAACCCTGAGGCACAAGTTGACTTCCCAGAGCACCAGCCACGAATGTGAAATTGGTGAATCTCAATCTATAAACCGTGAAGTCAGCACAGTGGATACACTGACTACCCGTGAATGTCCATTCTGTCTCATCCGAGACGCAACTCAGATCCACATTGCCTGCCATCTTCGCCGAATAGCATGCTTTGCGATACGAGGAGCAGGAGGTGGCGAAGAAAATGATGACATTGAAGCCAATAGTGGCATGTCTGACCGAGCTGAGATTCATGATCGCAGTTCCGAGCGCCTTTCAGTGAGCAGTTTGTCATGGACTGACAACACCCAGCCTCATGGTTATGATAAATTCACTGAAAAGGGCCGTTGTCCGCACCCAGATTGTGGGAGGGTTTTCACGGACTTGAACGCCCATATGCTCACTCATCAGTCAGAGAGGCCCAATAAGTGTCCTATTGTTGGGTGTGAATATCATATCAGGGGTTTCGAGCGCAACCATGACCAGCAAAGACATACGATGACTCATTACAAGGGAACAATGGTGTGTGGTTTCTGCACCGGTCCAGAGGAGAAGATCTTCAACAGAGCAGACCTATTTAAACGCCATTTGACAATAGTCCATGGTGTTGAACATATTTCTCTGAGCACCCGGAAACACGGTCTAGTCGCATCTAACAAAGTTCAGAGTGACAGTAGTGATACACCGGCTAGGTGTTCTGTCTGCTCAGTAAGCTTTAGTAATGCGCAGGAATTCTACGAACATCTGGATGATTGTGTTATTCGGATGGTGCAGCAGGTGGATCCGAGCGAGAGCGTCAATCAGAAACGGCTGAAAGAGGTCGAGTCGGACGAAGAGGTGAAAAAGTCACTGAAGAAGCATGGACTCCTGGGAGAGGAGTAAAACCAGGTGTTAGGCGCTTCCGCGCTGACCCGTCGCTTGGCCGCGGCTCCCAGCCAGAGCTGGTCCGCGGTGCTCGCCTCTGCTGTAAGCTGGTACAATCTATAATAGAAATAACTTCATGTTTAGCGAATTTGGTAAATGTTAGTGTCTCTAGCTAGAGCCATTCGTAACTTGGAAGGATCCTGGAAACAGTGATATAATCAAGAATAATACAATTATCTCTCTCTCTCTCTCTCTATCGCATCATCGATATGTTCAATACATTTTGAGGGATGGAATGTGTACTATGTGTATATGTCGGACAAGTATAATGATACTGCAAATACAGCATAAATCATATTTCTCATATCATGATATCCTATCCTACTTTGATCCTATTAACAAGCTCATCAACATATAGATCGTTCCAACCTCCATCCACCACCATAATTACTCCAACGGGTCAGGTCAGCAGATACCAAGGTATGTACCTAGGTACCTATCATGCATAATCACAAGCAGACAATCTGCCAAAACGTATGTATGGATTATGCTCATCGCAATATCGTAAATTCCAACGATGTAAAGGGGTATATAACGTATAATCATAAGGTGGTAATCTTTTTTTCTTCGGTTCTTTTTCTCAGTTTTCTTCTTTTTTTCTCTTTTTTCCACCTTTTCTCTGGTTTAGAGGGGAGAGTAATTCAGTATGTACCAATAGTCACGGCTGGTCATGTCGATAAGACCAACCGAGAGATCCATATGAACAACCAATCCTATGCATTTAAGGATCGGACGGAAACTGGAAAGAAGCCAGACGGGGTCGACTCTCCCGATTCACGGCCCAGGCTTTCAAGGCGATGAACACGATCACCATGGCCATAATGAATGCCGTGAGGCCCATTGCTACCGTGAGGGTGAACATGGCGTCGAGTTTGTAGAATTCCATAGCCTCTATCACAGTGCGGGTCTGGTTCTGTTAGCATCATATATAGAGGGAGAGAAGGGCGGAGGGGAAAAAACGTACACTCAACATGAAGATCAGTCCACCCCCAATCAAGCAGAATGCGGCGACGATCTCGGTAGGCGGCCGCGAGGGGAGGTATGAGGTGGGAGGCTTAAGATAGAGCAGGATGTAGGTGGCGCCGCGGGCCAGAGCGAACCCGATCAGGAGGTTCCCCCACTGCTTGTGCACCATGGTAGACGTCATGCTCGTCTGGTGGTGGGAACTCATCATCAAGCCCAGCAGGAGGATGATAATAGCCGGCATGGGGTTGAGCGAGACGCCCTGGGTGTCGGGGGCGTGCCACGCGGGGTCATCAGAGCGCAACGGCTGGCGCAGGACAGTGCGGTTCAGACAGCGCTTGAGACGCCGCGACTCGAACAACATCCCACACAGACCGCCGCCGAAGAACATGACTGAGATGGACACGTGCTCGAGGTCGGTTGCGGACCAGGCGCCGCCTGCGTTGGATAGATGCTCTAGGAAGACGTTGATGCATCCGTACAGGAAGATCACGAAGCACTCCGTGAACTCCCCTGACGGGACGCGCGCTTTCCATTTCCCTACGATGGAGCGCGACGGCTTCAGGTTCCAGCCCCAGCCGAGGTCGGCCCAGCAGCCCATCATTCGGCCTAGTGTTAACACCCCGTACCAGAAGAAGATGCCGCCTTTGATGAAGTGGGCGAGGCCGTTGAAGATTTCTTTGCCTCTCTGTGGACTAGATTAGATCGACGTGATGATACGAGGGAAGAAAGGTCCAAGCTTACCATAAGTCCACCGTACGTGACGCCGCCAGTGGCGATAGCAGCGAAGCCAAAAGGCATAATAATGCGATCGATGACCTTGTAGATAAAGCTCATGACGCGCAGGATGCGACTAGACACCATCTGGGGCAGACGACTGGCCAGGAACCGGCCCAGACCCGTGTTGTGCAACCACGCGCGACGCTCGGGCTTCTCGTGGATGTGGTCCTCCGGCTTATCGAACAGGTCGTACTCGTCCGTCGGGGAGGCGCACGCAGACGAGGGACGACTGTGCAAGGAAGACGTGTTCCTCTCGGTGCCCTGTCCGCTGTCTCGCGACCAGCGGTACTCGTGGCTGCTGCCGGGGGGGTAGGCGGTTGGGCTCTCTGTCTCGTCGGTCGACACCGGCATGAACGTGGCTCGCTTGTAGGCGGCTTCCCCGGATTCTCCTCGGCCGGTGTAGGCGAAAATCAGAGACATGATGACCTGGGCGCTTACCACCCAGGTCGCGATCCAGCCGATCTTGTGGTGGGCGTTGTTCTCGTATAGATCTGGGGTCTGGTTGTTGTAGATGATGCCGACCAGCAGTCCCACCGCGTTGGACAACAGGAATAGAAATTGCGTTGGCAGTGCCAGCTTGGAATGCGCAATGCTCAACATGACGGCTGTGCGTTAGGCTTGTTAAAATACCGGCGACAAAGAATTAGAGTATCAGGAGTAGAATGAGCTTACCGGACGGCAGAACAAAGCACCAGGCCAGCACCATCAACCCGATATGGGCCAAGATCGTGCCCGAGTGCTTCCCATACGCAAAGTAACTCATGGGTTGATGATGACTCGGTTCCGGATGGGGGCTGTGTGTTGGCGTACTGTCCATTGGGGAATCCATATTCATATCCATATCCATCCCCATGGCGTGGTCATCGTGTGGGAAGGCGCTGGCGACAGCGAACAAGAGGAACGCCGCCAACGCGGCCCGTGAAGCTTTCGGCCACATGGGCGAAAGACTAAGATTTAGAGATCAAATGATTTTGTTCTTTTTACCCTCGCGAAAGATAAAAACACTGCGCGCGGGCGCTGCACCGAAACTGGGGTGATGAGGTAGTTCCAGGGCAATGAAGACAAGAGACTGGACTACTCGTCTCTCTGATGCGACCGTGAGTGTCGTGCAATTACGAGAGCTGGAGACTGGGGAGATGGTGGAGGTGGCGAGCTCAGCTACCCAGGATATGGCGTGGTAGGGCTAAAGTATAAAGTATTGGGTGGTGAGTTGTATAGAAACCTAGGTATTCTGTAGGTACCACGGAGGGGGGTAGGTAGATATATGGTGGCACCGGTTGATTCATCTTGCATCGTTTTAGTATAATAGTCTTATGTTATTATTCACCTTTTCATTATTATTTTACTTTATGATATTTCTCGGAGCAAGCGGGGATAGGTTGCAATGAATCCGACAGGCCGTGGAAACAAAGGACTGAAAGGGCTGAAAGGCTGAAAGACTAAGAGAAAACTGGAGCTTTGCAGCGCCGGGAGCCGAACGAGCAGCTCCACTTCTCGGACACGGCCCACCCTTCTTGCTGGTCATGGATTTGATCCTGATCTATTGGGAGGTGCATGACGATGAGAATCCCGCGACTGACACTACTGACACTACTGACACTACTGCGTTGGGTACGATTATTCTATTCTTATCGTGGGTGTCCGGATGGGGGAAATGCACTCATGGCACAGCAAAAGACAATTTGATAGAGGATGGTGTGAGATGAGGTCATCACAGGGGAACAAGCAGTGGAGACTTGCTGGTGTAATCGAGTCCGATACGATGGAAGGTCTGGACCGATGATTGTTATTATTATAGTATGATTTTATTATTTTATACTTTATATTTCCTCGGATTTAAGGTATTTTCTCAATTTGTCAGCCCGTCATCAGTCAACCGTATACTGCTATACTACATGCTGATATAGGGTTTTTATTACGATGTATATCCCAGGAAAGTACCAGACATGAATAATATTAATAATTGACAGTCAGAACAAAGAGAGAAGAGAGAAAAGAAGGAGGAATGCAAACCCATGATCTCATGACACCACCACTCTCGTTACCCACCTGTCTGTCCTGAGCTACCAGTTTGGATCATCCTTGCATCAGTACCTCGATATGTCGACTGACCTGAACAGGTACAGAAGATCAGTTGCTGATAGGGTCTGATTCTTCCTGATCGACATGACACTAAACGTTTATGAAAAAAAAAAAAAAAAACTGCAAAATAAAATACATAAATAGGAAGAAAAAGAATGTATCAAATCAGGAAGTGGAGGATAATTCTTATAAAGCAGTCCCACCCAGGTTGATCGAGAATAATTTCCCCAAACAGGTTCCAGTCAGTCTCCACGTCGATTCGACCAAGGTGATAGAGCCGAACTACTCCAGCTACTGACTCTGGAATGCTGTCCCGCCAAAGATATTAACTTATTCAGATTGTCAGACCGCCGAGAGTCAGATGGACATCCTGCCGGGTTTCACTGCCCAGCCTAGGCATCAATTAATCGTGACTGGCGTATGCGCCGTATAGCCATTTCGACCGATGCAGGGATTATGATTCGCCAGACATCCACGACAAGATCACAGAAGATCCTGCCACTGTACTTCGACCACCACGACGACCCGAGGCCGAGATGCTTGGCTCGGGGTCGGGGTCGCTCAGGCTCTCACTAGCCTGGTTTTCTTTAATGACATCAATGTCATCGCCCATTTTCCTTGCTGGGTCGGTGGGCCCCATTAAGCCTGTTGAATACATAGCCTGGCCCAAATCCTTTCTGTCGGCCGCTACAGATACGGAAAGTCAACTCGAGCGTTGGACATTTGCTGTCTTGGATATACACCGAATCTTCGGTCAAAATCTTCATGCGCCCCCCTCTTCCTGAAGATCAGCCAGGGTTTCACTAATCCATACCCCTCACGTTACTCCGACTGACTACTTACCTACTGAGGAAGTTACCAGCCATTGCGATCGGAGCCTGATTGGTGGTGTCGGACGGCATCGTACATGGGATGTTCCACCCAAGCGAGGCCGTGGGCTGATCGCCCCATCTGCGGAGACCAGCGTATTACAAGGCGCTGGTCATTTCTCCAGGTTAACACCACTGCATCCCAGATAGTTACTTTTGTCTCCTGTACAGCTATCACACCAAGAGCCATACACCAATCACAAGGTAATACCGACCGCTAGTGATCCCGTGGAAAGCCAACACCATTGAGCGGATAGCAGGGATGAGACTGGTTATCTCCCACTCCCAGCCTGGTCCTTGGTGCACTTCCGATGGAAAGAGTATAGACTATAGACACCCAGCGACGTATTATCCCCATCGGACAATCCGAGCGACGATCTATGGGCGGGTATAACGGAGGACAGTCAATCACCTGCATCCGCGCCCTTCCGTGTGAACAGGAACTCCTCTCAGCATACGGCTATCTCGGCCGTTTGGTATACACACGCACTGGTCATATACACACGCACCGCATTCCTATACTAGAAAGTAACAAAAAAAGTTATTTTTTTTTCTTCTCTCCGATAATCGTATGACTCATGAGCTAGTCCTCCAATCTAAGTTCCCTCTTCCAGCGGATACATCAGAAATGGACTCACTTGCTCTGGCATAACTGGGTACACTGGAAAGCCAGCCAACTCTATTCACTCGGGACCAAATTATGCCAAAGACTAAGTGGAAATGTACAGCACAACCAGTCAGTGCACCGGTAGCGTAGCACGATCTACACCTCACGGTAAATCCCCAACCCTAATATGGAAAATGATGCTACACGCTCGGCCGACTTGCTCTCCTGACACTTACACAGTCCGTGAGGAGATCAACAACTCCCTCCCACTGCACCCCGCAATGAGTGCTATCATAGTAGGAAATAGGAAGGTAGGACAGTAGGATTACCAGCACTGATCGGCTGACTACCTAGGTACATACCTACCTACAGAGATGGAGGATGAAGGTTTCTACTTGCATGTGGTTGCTTTTGTCTGATTGGATTGATTGATACCTGCGTGGCTGGATGAGCGTGTCTGTTTTTCAGGCGTCCACTTCATGGAGCTTTGCCTTTAAATAGACTGTTTCTCGTGTCTGATCTTGATGACTCCTGTGCGCGCTGTATGCCTATGTAGGGACTAGTGAGTACTGAGACCATCAACTGGGTTGATATAGGCTTCGAAGTACTGCCACCTAGCCACATAGTAGCTTCATTAATGGTACCTGATGTATTAAATATGAATAATATAGCCCAGTGAGAAGAACCCGAGGCCACCACCAAACTATCATACATTATGCACACTATACCCAGCATAAAAATGTACAAAAAACATCAACCCGATCCGAAACCAACTTCTTCAGGAGCCACCTACCTAGGTACTTACCTGGTAGTTAGTAGCGGCAGGTAGACGAGTTACCTCCTAGGTCATAGCGTCGGATCTTCTTCTTCCTGTTCGTCTAGTGCTCGGAAATCCGGCATTGGAAGATCCCGGCTCGCTAGCTGTAGAGGCCCCGCTTGGATTTGATTGTTGTGGCGGTCTGGTCTTCCTTGTTAGGTTGGGCTTATTGTCTTTTAATTTAGTCTTTTGGGGGTCGATAATAATATACTATTATTATTATTATTGTGATTGTTGATATTATATCGGATCGGAATCACGGCTAGGCGGGACACGGGACGATTGTTTTAGTGGCCTCGAGTCAACTGTGTATACCTCAGTACCTAGGCAACGACATATGTATTCCACATGTCAGTTGACTTGGTCCATCGGTTAGGATGGAATAAATTGAGCTTATACCTCGTACTAGGTATCTTCATTTCAAGCCGTGGACCTGTCAATTTTGAGTCAGAGTTGTCTGGACGATGACTTTGTTTACACTCTGATCACGAACTGGGCGAGTGGTTCCTTTTATTCTCGATGGAGGGTGGCACCGCTAGATTCAAGAATTCTGGAAGTCTTGTCAATCTTGGCTATTGTGGGTGCGTTCATGTGGAATATAGTTGTATTCGTCAAAGCAAATCTATATAATATTGTAGCTCTGAACAGATATACATACAAAGTAACCTTCTAGCAATCTATAGAGTACACAAAAATACTCATCGGTGAATACAGAGGAATTATTGAACCCACAGATTAAATAAACCCCGGTATCCACCCCCCCGGGTTATACAGCCCCATGCGCATCCGCCGCCGAGCGGGCAGCCACGAGAGGATCCTCCTGCGTTCCCCAGTCCTTACCGGCCGCGATCTCCTTGCCGTAGAACCGCACCAGAAGCCCAACGCCAACCGGGCCGATGATCGTATTCAAAAGAATAGCCCACACCCCCGTTATAAAGCCTTCTTCGCTCACGTACGGGGTCTCGTTGATTCCGATCTCGATGATGAGCAGGCCGATTTCACCGCGTGCGACCATCGCGGAGCCGAGGAGTAATGCGGTTTTGGATGTTAGGCTCCAGTCTGAACCCTGCTGGACGTGGTCGGGAGGTTTCTCAGCTTCGACGCCTTCGGATCGTTCGGTTTTGCTGGGGGATTCTTCGTCTTTGTGGGCCTTGGACCCGTAGTAGAGTTTCCATAGAATGATCCAGACACCGACGATAAACTAGGACTCGTTAATGGATGGTCAATTAAGACGGAAGTATGAGATCGACATACCTTGGCAAATGCCATCAAAAGAGTGAATACTATCCCCCGCCAAATCCGCTTGCCTGTCCACAGCTGAACAAACGGAATCGCGAACCCAATGCTGGCAAAGAACAGAGGCTCCATCAAGTATTGCTGCACTCCAAGGAGGTATACCTCAAAGGTGTGCACAAAGGTGGGGCTCTTATCTATTTCTCGTTCACCTTCCTCGCGCGACATGACGACGAACGGCCCCTCGGGGTGCTTGCTCGGCAGGTAGGATATGAACGTGCCGGCAAGGAACGACCCGAACAAGACAGATGTCCCCGCATATCCGGAAATACTGACAAAGGCCGACAAGACCAACACCATGAGGATGATGTTGGAGATGTGGTCGAAGCGTGCGAAGTGGTATTCGATGTATCGGCGGAAGAAAGGCGCAAAGCAGTATTTGGTGAGGATGGGCGTCGCTACTGCCATGGCCACTGAGGCCACTATCGGACGCCCAATAAGCCAGCCCAGGTTGACATCTTCTGATTTTGAAAGCTCGCCTAGGCGGCCAATTACACTGTTTAATGTGTAAGCTCTAGCTCTGTACAGAAGGATCTGGGACATTTAGATACCTTGACATAACAAGACCGACCACATCGTCAATGACGGCCGCGCTGACAAGTACGGAACCCACTCGAGTCTGGGAGAGATTGACCGTGGTAGATGCGGAAGCAAGGACAGCAAACGTCGTGCCTGTTCGACTCAGTATGACCGACCAAGATCGTTAATTTCGGGGACTACACTCACCTAAGGAAGTCGCCGATAGGGCAGCCCCGATGATGAATGTTTCCACAGCGCCTAGAACATGTTAGCCGAACAAACGCCGTAATGGACCAGTTCAACACACCATAGCCGAAACCCAGATAGAGGAGCAGATATGACAGGCCAATGGGAAAGCACACGCCGGTTGCAGCCCCAATCATACTCAACCAGAAATTCTGCTTGAGCAAATCCAATCGGGCGGACAATCCACCTGTATCGATGACGTCAGTATCCACCAGCCAAGAAGCCAAGAATCAATGCCAAGTCTACCTTCGAAAATAATCAAAATCAACCCGACGTATCCCAGCACGAGAAAGGTCTCCTGCCAGGTATGCTCAAGGATGTTTGCCAGGGGCACACCATAGATAATGCCCACGGCGATTTGGCCGATGATTCCGGCCTGTATGATTTTGGCGGACACCCATTTTGCGAGGGAAAGGAAGAAAAAGAACGATATGATAATCAAGATCTCAACGACTAGAACAATCAGTATATTTCCCAATGGATTGACGCCAGTTGATTGTTCAAACGTACCTCCGGGCTCGTGATAAGGGAGAAAGCCACCTGCCATGCTCAGACTGTGGTCGGATGTAATAGAGTCTGAGAGATGCAGGGCCAGCGAACCTCTAAATACTCCGCGCTCATTCCATTGTGGGGAGTCCAAGACTCTGTCCCCAGTAATTATTATCTAGGCGTTGGTTCCATCTAGATGGAAAGCCAATTAAGTGAATGATATGATAATGTCAATTGCATTATCCAGTCAAAAGAAGCGGCCGCATCCAGTCAGTGGACCCATGGCTGGCCAGAACGTGGGTCCACCATGAAAGTAGATCAGGAAGAGTCTTGGCGACAATGTCGTTTATCCTGAATGGAAGAATCAATTGTCAATGTTGACAAGAAGAAACTCGAATCCAAAGTAGAAGGAGGATAAGAAAGAGAGACGAAAAGGTAGACGAGCAAAATGTTGTATGAAGTTGTATGAAATCAGGCGGTTCCGGAACCGGTTTGACACCTGACCAGCTCGTGACTTTCTCCTCTTCCTCTTCCTCTCTCTTTGCTCTTCCTCTTCAACTCCAAGGCTTCAAAGACCACTACGGTATGATCTCTGCTAAATCACCACATGATAACCAGTTATACAGAGCTGGGATTGAACTCTCACGCACGATCTATCGCACTGCTCAATTATCCAAGTGTAACAGGTTCAAGCTTGGTCTTGTACAGTGTTCCCTAAGTATCATTATCCTTCATTCTACTCTGGATGTTTAGATTCTCGCTGAGGCTGCTTGATGACAATATAATTGTCATCTTCCTATAGTAGACGGCAGTCAGTGGAAGAAAAAACCTCAATGCAAAGATCTCAGCAAAGTGCCTTACCTTATCCCATTCCCAACAATCACGATGGATCTGTCAAAAATCCAATTAGATTTGGGAATCAGTGAAAACCAAGAGATACGAAACTTGCCTTGATACATTGCAACTCATCAGGTGCTCTGGGATGTTTGCGATGGGCGAGTATGGACTTGATCTGTCCTGCAGTTTCCCTGAACCGAGCCCTGAGTCGGCGGTCAGTCTTGGTGTGACTCGCATTGCTTTCGCTATCGTCGTAATTATTATCGTTGACACTGTCCGTTCTCTCGTTGTTATCTTCGATCTGTTCCCCTGGGTAATTTTTGCTGGTTGTTTGGATATCGTCGTACTGCTCACATGTCGCCACTGGACCCGCCATTGGAGTCTGCTCTTCCTACACTTGTTTCCGCTGTTCCTTCAACCGAATCTTCTCCTGTACTGCACAGAGGTGTTTCTGCAATACCGCTTCCTCTTCCTCCAATTTTCTCTTGACTTCTCTCTCCTCGTGTGTTTCCTCTTCGTTCACCGGGTCATCTCCCGTTTCTTGATCACTGACACCTTGGGTTCCCTGCTGCGAATGCCTCTCCTGTAGTTCTTGGACAACAGCCACTGACGGTTCTGGCGGTCGATCGTCTATATTGGTGGCAGATATGTTTTTTGAAATCAACCGTTGCTGTTGCTCGTGTTCTTGGGATTTGCCTGGGTACCTTTCTTCATGCAGTTTGACCTCATGGGGTCGTTCCAGCGAAGCGCGAATCTTTTGACGTCGCGGTGAGATTACTGATGCGACACCTCTTGACTTGCGAGAGTAGGAGGGGATAGTGTGGAGTTTGGCACTACTCGATGTTATACTTCTATCGGAGGTTTCATCGGTATCGTACTGCCTTTCTCCACGCCTGTGTAACGATTTGAAAATTACATTGCTCCGGCGAGGAAGCGGTGGGACCTCGCGTCTCCGCCTCTGTTGGAGTCGGGCTCGCATGGGGGGTAGTACTAGTGAGTAGTCGTCCTCGCTGAAGTATACAGAATCCCCTGAGGATGTCGACATGACAGGAGAAGCTGAGCGGGAACCATAGTGGCCCCTTGGCGAAAAAAGAGGGTTACTGGGTGTCGGTCGTCCCTGAACGAGATCGTGTATAATCCAGTCGATCTCAAGTTGCAATAGACCCAGTCGACCTCCGATCTCGGTAGTGCCCGTCCAGGCATCGCGGTCGACTCGCTCGATGATTTGCGCATTGTTGACATCCTCCATCTGCCTCTTGACAGCGCGCACTAAACCTTGCGATCGCTGTACCTCCGCTCCGAGGTCGCGAACCCGCTGGCGTAGGTCATCGAGTTTGCCGTGCACGCTTTTCCAAATGGCTTCCAGACCACTTGTGGAGCGGTATCGTAGATTTTGTGGAGTTGTCGTTGGCTGGCTTCGCTTTTGATTGGGAGCTCGCTGATCTGTTCTCAGCTGCTTTTTGGCTGGTGCTGGTTGATTTGGTTCCTGGGCTGGCATTGACTGGTTCGGTTCTTGCGGGGATGCGGATGAACCCGACTCTTGATCTGACGATGGTGGGTTAGGCTCTCTGCCCGGCGTTTGCTGGTGCGACTCGGGATCGCTGACGTCGCCATAGGCTTCTCTATCTTTCAGTTCGTCTTCCCAGGGATTGGCAGTATAACAGGAGTGATGATCCATCTCTGTTACATAGTGTTGGAACCACGATCAAACATGACGGGTTGAGAACGGTGAAGAGACCGCTGGATACCCCCTCAGCGTGTGGAATATAGCCCCTGCTTGCTGAAGAACTGTACGGACTGCGCCACGTCGGCTATTCATACATACGAGAAGTGCATCCAATCTGGTTGGGGGAAGGCGAGGACGGAAATACGGTGCGATGGGCCCATGCAACTCTTCCTACCTGATTTGCATTCGGGCGTGATAGGCTCTGCATGGCTCCATTTTATCGCATTGAGGGGGCGTGGGGCGCTTACTTGTTTCTACTAGTCCCGCGGTCCGCCAAACGGTCAGGATTAACAAAAGCGATAAGAGCCTTAAGGCAGACGAGGCTGCGCTGCTTGCAAGGTGAGTCGCGTTTGCGACCAACTCGCCTATCAGATGTCAGTCAAGGTATTCAAAAACTCTATGACGAAATAGACCAAGTTGGGTTGACCACTTTTCGATTATTTGGTCCGCAGTATGGCGTGAAGCCATGTTATTTCAGAAAAGGATTTCATGTCTCGGAACTGTGCGTGAGGGAGCTCATCAGCACTGATGAGTTCAACTATCTCTGTTTGATACCTTCCACCCGGTGCAGCTACCACGATGGAACCATTCAGATCCGTCTGTGAGCCGTCGAGCCTGACAATGATCTTCGCATCATTGGGAGACATCCACGCGACTCGACACCAGAAGACTGGTCGCCACTCTGACCTGAAAGAAGCCATATCCGCGACTCGTCTTGCGCTCCGTAGTAGCGCTTCCGATGATCCTCTCTCTCAGACACTCTCAAACAATTTGGGAAGTCTACTGTTACGCTGCCACCTTGATTTAGGAGAACAGGACGACCTAGACCTAGCCCTGTATTATACCCGACAAGCCCTCGATTCTATCTCAGTTGACGACAAAAGATTCCCGCTAGTGCTGACGACTATTGGGACTGTCCATGCAACTCGGTACGATCGACAGGGCGATTTTGCAGATCTGGAAGTGGCTATCTGCAAGATACAAGAATCGCTAGAGCTCAGACCCATGGATGAGACGCTTCACATTAGCCTATTCAACAATCTAGGTGCCCTCCTCTGGCGACGCTACCGACTGACAGGCCGACCGCTGGAACTAGATGATTCTATACTCTACCTCTCCAAAGCACTAGAAGGTATATCCGAAAATACTACGGAGAGAGTGGCGTGCTTGATCAATTGTGGCTTTGCTTTCGTCCGACGGTATCGTCTGGTGGAGCAGCTGGGCGACTTGGACAGCGCTTTGCGACATGCACGGGAGGTGATGCAACTGGATCCGGACAATCACCGGCTAGGCATTCTACTCAGTGGATTGGATACTTTCCTTGAACATCGGCGCGACCATACTCTCCCGCAAAGAGCGGCCAAGGGCTCCTGGTTTAGGATGCCTGCTGTTCCAGGGTCCGCAATTCTCCTGACATATCTTCTCTTGATGGCACTATGCTATTGGATGGGGATCAGCCCGAGCATACTCTTGACCCTAACTACCTTCCTGGGTGGAGCCGTGGTCAAATGGGTCGTAGATCAATATGTGTTTCGAGGTGGAGGCAATCCGAACTTCCCCCGGCCCCCCTTTGCATCAGTTCTGAGAACTGGCAAGGCTACAACTACGGGCAGCAGCAAAGCAGACGACTATTTCCCAAAGATCCTACCTGCACCACTAATTGCAGTGACGTTTTCATCATCTCTTCGCGGATCGAGGAAGCTGGATGATCGTCGAGAACAGCCACGTGAACAGTCACTCGAACAGCGTCCAGCGCAAAAGCATCAGAACCGTTTGACGAAGCACTGGCGAAGCCTGAATGTGACCAGAATTGACCAAGGTTGTCGAGATAGCCGGGGGACCTATAGTAATGAAAATTCATCACTCCAAAGGTCACGTTGATTGTGTTTGCTGATGCAGGGTATAGGCGACCGAAGATATCTCTATCCTGAATCCCATTCTACATCCACGCATCGGATATTGCGCCGCAATTCGAGGACGGATATTACCTTCGCTGGTGAGCATGTAGAAACCGGCCAGGGAGTCCTCGAAACCGCGCGCCGCGAGCCTTGTCTGTCTACGATAGAAGCGGGTCTGCTCCCTCAGCGTCTTGTTCCCTCGCAGGAACCCAGCGACTTCAGTACCAGTCCACAGGAGGCAAATACCGTACGTCTCTGGGCCCTAAATTTTCCTTATCTAGTAATCTAATCCCACCGTTGGAAAGGCCTACGAGTCAGATCATGAGGAAGACCAGCCACAGCTATTATCTCAGGTTCAAGTCCCTGAGCCACCGCAAAGGGACACCAAGGATCCGGCGCCGGTGGATATCCTTGGAAAGCGAGATGAGTCCTCTTCAAGCCCCAAGGAGAAAACGCAGCCTCTTCAAGAGAGCGATTATCCGGAACACAGGATATGGCACGACGTTCCGTCTTCCGGGACAGAGAGGGCGAGCTTTCGACGGACCAACATCCTCTACCAGGGGGACACTACACACAAGATGGCTACCAACAAAGGTCTGGCTATGGGAAATGTGTCTGGCAAACGAACGGAGGTTGTGGGTGTGTTCATCATGATATCTTGTGAAGGGCGAAGAACCTTAGGCTAACAAAGTACGTTTTATAGGCCATTCCAGCTACGGCGGTGAGCTATATTTACGGTACATTACCCTCTATTGATCAGAATCTAATAAGGTTTACTAGACACCCGATGTGTGCACAAGGGTCTATATGGTGTGGACAGAACCGAACCTACAGAGCCCAACCACGACACCAGCAGTACCCTTTCGAAGTCTTCTGGGGGATGTTCATACACTAGTATCAACTCCTCTCCATTCCAAGAGTCGATGTCGGAGGATGACATCAACTCCCCACCACGGGTATGTATATCCGACATGGAGGGTATAGACAGCGATGTCGATGAGAAGGAAGATCAACCAGAGAGAATACTTCGGCCTGTACACCTCGATGTATCTCCTAAGACCTTGGTAGAAGAGAACGAGGAAAGTGAATACGGGAACGACTACATTCATGAAGAAAGGAGAGATAACGAGCAGTGGGATAAATACAGTGAACATGATCGTTTTGGAAATAAAGCTCCGGTCAGAGAGCTGGATCGCTATTCCCTGAGTGCTGAAGAGGGCGACGCAGAAGATGAAGCCAAAAAGGCCCTGGTGGACGATTCGGTGCGGGCATACATGGAGTCCCTGGGATTGGAAATGTAGGTATTTCGTATGGACATGGACACCATCTGGACAGTATAATAGAAGGAGATTGCGGGCTCAGTAAATCCAGGTTGATACTACTCAGACTTCTATACATTCCAGGCCAATGGTCCAAGAAGTCTTTCCTCGCAGAAGAAAAGCTACATCTACCGAAATGACTCCAAGTTCAGCGGTCCCATCCGAAACGACTCGGGTGTCATCATGGGGATCATCAACTCCAGTGGAGGAACGGAGGGCGTTTGCATCCAGGGCTCTTCTTGTTCTTATTCTTCTAATTCAACCTCCCGTGCTTGAAATCTGATGGGAGAATATGGGGCTGATGGTGTATTTATTTCTTTATTATAGTATTTAGTGAGATCTTGGGTATCAAGCTTGTTGATGTTCGACTCGTATCCACATTGATTAGTACATCGTGGGGCTGGGGTTATATTGTAGTGTCCGCGATATAAGATTACTTATGAAGCGCACAAACGACATGGTATCTTTTGTAGCCTAGGGGTAATTATTTTCCACATGTAGTATGTTTATTGTAGAGCGTTGGATTGCTACGTTGGATTGCTACGTTCGTCCCTGTGTTCTTTTTCTTATTATACAATGATATTCTTTGCCTCAGGTCTCGGATGGAATTGTATATCCGCGCGAACATATGGTTCTATCTTTGGGCCGACTAATGTCGGGATGAAAACGGTCGAAAGAATGATGATATCGATAGTTATAAAAAGGTGCGAAACAGTTGCGAAAGATTGCAAGAACAGGAAGAGCTAGAACAACAAATTATGTGGGAAAACAACGAAAGTCAGTTAACGTTTGGCTGATTGCATGCCTCACAATTCTACAACAACCACAACAAGCAAAAAATAGGTGAAAAGAAAAGATGAAAAGATGAATCAGCCCCTCACCCTCATGGCATTGTTACTGTAAGATCTCGAAAATATCTACCTTATCGTCGCCCGAGAACCGGCCTATTCTCGTTTGTCGCTGCCTTGCTCAGTTCGATATATTCAAGGGCAACGCGAACAGGGGACTCGGCATAGTCATATTGACTGCTGCTGTCCGTGAATAGTCCCAATGGACCAGCATGATCGGAGGGTCTCCTTGATATGCTTCTCAATCTGTGCGGCCGAACAACCGGGTTTTCAATGACAAGAGGTCTAGTCAGTTTCTCGTTCCCATCACGAGGTGGAGGCGGAGGAACACGCTTGTGTCGGGCAATAGACGAGTCTGACTCCTCTGTGCACCCAGCTTGAGGCACAATAGAAGCTTGAAATGTCGGGGATTCCGTATCTTTTCTCCTGGCATTGTATTTCATGCGAGAATATATAAAATCGGCAGACTCGTCGACAGGATCCCTTTTCATAGGATCCCACTTTTTGGGATTTCGTGGCCGTGATCTATCACGAACATGTGAAGACCACTCCCTTTCTTGATCAAACGGAGGTCTCTCCTTTGAACTCCTCTCTGCATTAGGAGAGACGGCAGCGTCCTTTTTTCGAGGAGGTCCGGCGCGGGACAATTTGTCCAAGAGCTCTTCATCCCTCTCGGGGAATGGGACCAGTGCTTTGGAGAGAGGGTCAGAGGGCGCCAACGAAGTATAGTCGATGATAGACGGTTTAGAAGGGACTTTAGATGAAGACTCGGAGGGTGGCAATTGTGACGAAAGTGCTGTCGGTATCTTTGCTCCTGTGGCGTTTGTTGAGTCTCCGGAGACCGTGTAGTGGTTCACCTCTATGACATACAGATCAGTTTTTTCCCTCGTGGGGCTCAAAGGTAAGGCGAGGTATTACCGTATTTGTCACCGTAGTGTCGGCTGATATGGCCTGTCGGATGTGTCAGATTATACGTACTTGAGAGGCGTAGCACCCTTGTGCTACTCACCAACAACATTGGCCCTCCGACTGAACAGATTACCCATTGCATTGCCCTCATTCTTGTGGATATCATGAGTTGTATATCCTTGGTTCGCAGCTATAAGTTCCTGGTCTTCCCCTCGTGCGTCTTGCTGTGACTCAAGGTTCGGAAGATCAAAGTTTCGAAGCTTTTTGTCAACCTCTTTCTTCTCGGCATCTCGCAACGCAGCTGGTGCATGGGGCATTTTCTTCGTGCTGGTTATGTTCCGTGCACCTCCACCAGCGGTTTGCTTACTTGGAGAACCGGAAGGAAGACGGATACTGCTCAGTTGCTCTGGGGCTATATAGCTCGATGGATCAGTCGACAATTTGCCAGTTACATTCACATTATGTACGCGCTCTGGAGTTTGGTTGAATTTTGACTCTGTTATAACTTTGGCGGTGTCTGCTTTCGAGGTCTGCTCAATATTGATATGGGCTGGGACTGTATTCAATATCTGCGCTTGATTTTTCTGAGCTGGCTTCGAGACTGCAATTCTGGGATTTTGCTTTTTGATTAGGAGGCTTTGAACCGCCTCTCTGTCGTGGAACGAGGGACCATTGCTCTTATTCAGAGCGTGCCGAGTGTTCCCTGCGTGATGAGTGTTTCCTGTGTGGTGATTTTTTTCATTGTTCCCATAAACATCTTCGCGCTCAGTGATAGTGCAGTCATCTGTCTGGGCAACATTGACGGGGTGCTTAATTATGGGAACATCTTTCTCAAAACGCGAGTCGCCTTGAATAGTCTCAAACAAACGGTCGTCAAACAGTGGTAGGTCGAGAATCTTCGGTATGGCTTCAGAAAGTGTGTTTGACGGTTCAGGTGTGTAACCCAGATACCGTGATAGCCTAGTTTCTTCCTTACTTTCCCGATACAGCTGGCTGGTGACTCCACTGCAGCAAACCCCAATGAGAAACACGACTGGATAGAGTGGTGTCCTGGAATGGCTATAAGTTACCACAGAAAGGATCACAACGGTGGATAGGATCAGTGTCCCACTGTAAAAGGACAGTAACGAAGGCGTGGTCTTCTCTGATGCAGAGTCTCTCCTGGCATGCTCACACCGTGCCAGTTTACCAAGGAGACTAAGCAGTGAATCAAGCTCTGGGCTCTCGGGGGCCGCATGGGCAACCTCGCGTGCTTCAAAGACGGCGTTTCTCAGGTGGTCTAACATCCCCGTGATTTCGTACTGCCTTGCCAACAGCCCCGCAAGATTTGTCCAGATACTGCCTAGCAGTCCCGCATTATCTGGGGAGACAGCGGCGGCCGCCTTGGTTATGGCAGTAAATGCCTCATGCAGATTCTCGCTACTCCCAGTGCGCTGATACCGCCGCCAGAGGATGCAACCCAAGTTGCTGAGGATCGTTGCCAGCAGGTCGGTGTCATTGAAGTGCCGCTGAATGTCAATCGCAGTCCGTATCTGCGAGATGGCCTCTTCGAGGTCCAACATGGCGCCTGTGCGGTCGTATCGATTTGCGCGCGTCTGAGCTATCCCAGCCAAGGAAATTACCCGCTGGGAATGAGACACGGAGAAGCACTCTAAAGCCCACGAAAAGCGATGAAGCGCGTCGTCCAGGACTGCCTCATTCGCATTGCGTGCGTACCGTCTCAGGGACAGGACTCCCAGCATATTCAGCATCGATCCGAGATGTTCCCTCTGGGGGCCAGATTTCGCGAGATCGACCGCGGATTGTAAATTTGCTATCGCCTGATCAAGCTCATCAATTTGACCATGTTGGAGATGATGTTGTAAATAGATGTGTGCTCGGCGGGCCAAGAGGCCAGCCAGACGAGGCTCGCCTCCAGCAATCGACGACATTGCCATCGCTGGTGGGGTAGTTGGTGGAGAAAACCATGCTTAGTTGGATGGTGCAATAGAACTGTCCATCCTCTGTGTTTTCTCTCATGCGAGGGTGGAGTGGTGAAACAGAGTTGGGTGAGAGGAAGAGTAGGAGAAAGGTGAGAGACAGAGAAGAGGAGGAAGGAGTAGATGGAGTAAATAAGGCAGCCCTGCTAAGGCAGCCCTGGTCAGCTGCCTTAGCCTCCTCTAGCACGATGGCTTCGATTCCCCATAACGTCTTATATATCATTCTTTTAAAATTACATACACAATTATTAGCGACTTTTAACTATTATATTCATGAAAAATAGTTAATATTAACTTCCAAATAGATAATTTGACTAAACCATGTGTATGTGGGAACGATGATAGGGTCAATATATTGACAAGATAAAGGACTGTGCAAAGCTTCTGAATAGTTGCAAGGGCTTAGATCTTTCTTCAAGTAATATAAGACCTGTGTAAACGTATGACAAGACAACGACTAGTGAAGCGTAGTTAATAATCAACTGGTAAAACAGTCTGGTACTACGTTTAAAGAGTCATCTCTTACAGACTTACACTATATATAACTCAATAAGGTTGACACGTTCTTATGCTTCACTAGAGGTAACAAGGCCGCGGTGTATGCCACCAGGATATTGATAAATACCATTACTCCTATTTACCATGCTGTAGTAAGCGACAGTCAGTCCCGATATCGAAATATCAACAACCCCAGCGCTTCGGCTGCTTCAATAGTTTGGTTCCTGCCATTCCATGCGACAATCTAGACAACTCGTGTGCATACAGGCGGTGCAATGACCCTGGCTCAATTCCTGGTGGCTGCAGATGCAGCACGTAGTCTCGAAGAATCCATAAATCTTCCGTATTATGTTGTGGTATCGCTCGGTATTCACTTCCATGATCCACTCCCTGGCTAGGTGTATAGACGAGAGCGCGTCCCTTATTGGAAAACCATACGCCCTGTGAGCCTCCCATGCCTTGGCGATGCGGGAAAAGTAGACTGGTGGCGCAGTCCCAATCTCGACAGCCCAGTGAGCAGCCAGGACGATACGGCGACCGGTTATTGTCAGCGTCAAGGCGCGGATGCAATCGCTATCCACGACTAGATCGGGCATCTCTGGAGCGTTGATCTTGACGGCTTTTTTGACTTCTAGCATGTTGGCGATCATGTAGGCCCCATAACACATGGATTCACGCAGGAGATTTTGGTATGTCCCGTCAGCAGGCTCGCTGGTAATGGTGGCCGCCAGGAACGGGAGCACGAGCCGAGGACACCCTGGTATAGGATCGACGACCCCGAACACGCTCTCCCCCCAGGCTAAGCCCCCCCGTTCCCGGGCGAGCCTCCGTCTCTGGCTTGCTCCTTCAATCTCCAGCCGCAGGTGATGGTCGGGCATTCAAGCGACCCTAGAGTTGCACTCGAGAGTCTGATCGGCAGGCCGAGAGCCACCTCTATAGAACGCGACTCCAACAGGGTATCAACCTGTAGGAGCAAACCAGTGGTGGTTTTGAGAGCTTCTGGTGTATGTGGATTGACGCCTGCAGTGTAGGTTTCTTCGATCGCTCTCACTAATCTCTCATACTGAGGGATTCTCTCTCGCGCGGATATTTTTGATGTATAATTGGTGAGGCGGGCTCTAAGTTCTGCCCAACCCGATGGCTCCGGGTCGTTTGAGTATATTCTCTGAACCCGACGGATATCGAGGTGAGTTGGTCTCATGGGAAGGCAAAAGGCGTTGAACGGATAACTTAAGTATTATATCTTGTGAAGCGTGTGTGATGAGAAAGCTGATAGTAATGATTTCTCTGATAGATAAGTGCACATTATTAAAGCATGATGGAAGTGCCATTCCAGATCGTGATCTATATGCACTACCCAGAGAGTCAATTCCGCTGTTCATGATCTAGAGGCAGGAGCAAAGGAAAGCAGATAGGATATTCATTGTATTAGGAAGGATTGTCAGACCTCAGGCTTCACCTGCCTGTCTTGACATGAAGAGTCAGAATTGTGGGTTCAAAGACAAGGCAGTGGAAAATAGTGATGATATTGATAACTTCAAATTATATATTTGATTGCAAAAGATTATAAAGATATGAAAAGTCTAAGGACTGGTTTCATATAGCAAAAACACTGCATGTCAGTTAATGCCTAGCTAATTATATATCTTATAAGTCCATATACTCTGTCAATCAGGCAAACATGAAGCTATCCAAGATCATAAAGTATCTAGTGTTCTATCCTCGGATGGCTTTCAGTCCGCAAACACCGAACTCTCTCCTTCTTGCAGGTAATATTTAGCTTCTGGTTGTTAGGCAATATCTTCTTCATGCAGACAGCCTCTTCCCAAAAGCAACTTCTTCTCATTAACAAGAACACTCATCTCATGCATACAAAACTATCTCTATCTTAGATAGTCAAGAGGGCCTCAACCAAAGGCATGAATCTGTCAGTCGTGTACAAAATTTGTAAACATTTGACGACATCATTGTAGTTTGAGATGACGCGCTTGATCTGGTTTCTAAATTCATGTCTGCCGAAATGCTCGCCGAGACCTATTCAGCCATATGGGCCGGGGAGCATTAAGATGCCCTGCACCTCGAGGATATCCAAGTTGACTGAACCCTGTGGAATGACTGATGAAATCAGTCAAGAGGATGATAAATTTGATGACCTTAAAGTGACTCAGTGACTAAAGAGGCTTTAGGATTTAAAGGAAAGATAAAAACACAGAAAAGGGTTTGTAAGTTAGCTGACTGACTGTGAAGAAATACGACAAGTCAATTAATAATTATTATCAAAAAAGAGAAACCAACACAGAATTTAATTTTTTAGCAAATAAGGTCATACGATATAGGTATAAATAAAAAAATAGGTAAATAAAGACAAACCCCCCTAAGGTGTCATCACAGTGTTATCATAACAGGCCATAAGGCGGCGGGGTATCGTTGGCAGGAAAAAAATGGACAAACGGGGATATCGAAAACAAGGTAACAACAATAACAATGACAATGACAAAAACAAGAACAATAGCAATAACAATAGCAATATAGCTGTGGGTTTGGATCGGGGAGGAAGGGAAAAGGTCAAAAAAGAAAAGGAGAAAGAAAACACTGAGTCGAAGGGTAATATAAGGATGAATGAGAGGGATTCGTCTATGCAAGACGTGGAGGACCAAAACATAAGAAAGACGAGAACGAAGAAGGCAGCGGGTAAGGCAGCGGGTAAGGAAAGAAGGATTACAGACACCATTCCAGTGAAGCATCACGTAGATTCAGAGTCCGCAGCGTTGGTGTCTTTCTTCGTGGATTCCTCATCCTTGTCGCCTTCTTTCTTTTCGGCCTCATCAGGAGACGATGTCTTCTCCCGTGTGTCGTCTTCGTCTTCGCCCTTGCTCTCCGCAGGTCCGTCGTCACTTTCGTCGGCCTTCGCATCGGGAGCCTCGTCGCCAGACGCCGGATTGTCCGTCTCGGCCTGTGCGGCCGCTGCTTTGGCGGCCGCCCGTTCAGCGGCAATCTTCTCCATCTCCACCGCTCGAGCTTGCTGCCGCTCCCAGACTTCTTTGCGGATCCGGTCATCCTTGGTTTTCCGCAGCCGTTCGATTTCTTCCACGCCGCCGCTCTTCTTCAGCTTGCCTTCCTCGACAAACGTCCCCAGCTCTTTCTGGAAGAGCCCGATGCGGCGGTTCTCGAGCTCCTTCTGGCGCGCCTTCTCCGCCCGCTCGATGGCTTCCAGGCGGGATTCGTGGTTGGGCTGCAGGGCGCGTACCTCTCCGAGGACGCCGTCTTTGGCCTTGACGGGGTCCACGGCCGGGTCGATCACCACGTTGCGGGAAGTGCTGCGCAAGACCACCCCGCCTGGCCCGGGAGTGGTGTTGTTCTGTGTGGCCTGTTGCTTCGTGGCCTGCTCGACCAGCGCGAAGGTCTGGGATGCTTTCTCCAGGTCGTCCTCGAGATCGGCCGCGAGATCTTCCTGCATGGTAAGTTGGTCGCGCTCCTCGCAGACGAGCTGGAGCTCTTTCTCCCAGATCTTAGTCCAGATAGGTTTCTCCTTCTTCAGGAAGTCTAACATCTTGCGAATCTCCTTCGTCACGGTACTGATGTCTTTGCTGACACTCTCCAGCTGGCGGGGCAGCGGCCGCACGCCACGAGTGACCACGTCCTTACGGAGGTCCTCGACGAGATCCTGCAGATCATCGACGCGGGCCACCAGCCGCTCGGACTCCTCGGCGAGCCCTTTCTTGCCTGAGTTGACGCGGGCACGACCCGCGTCGCCTTCGAAGGTGGGAACGGCGACATCTGCCGCGACGGACTTGATCCCGCTCGCCTTTGTGCGGATGGCGCTCATCGAGCCAGCAATGTCGGACGAGAAGCTTGAATACGTCTGCCGCAGCACCGCAAGGTCCCGTCGCAGGCTTTGCAGCTCCGCCAGCTGGCCATCACTGCCCGTGATGGGGCGGTGCTTCGTCGTTGCACCCGCCGGCGCTGCGCCCGCCACCGGCGCGGGCGGCGTAGCAGCGAGACGGGCCATTTCCTTTGCGGCTTCCAGTTGGCGGTCCGAAACCCGTTGCATCATCCCTTCCTGGCCTTCCAGCGCACCCTTGATGGTTTCGATCATGCGGCGCACTCCGCCGAACTCGTCATCAAAGTGTTTCTTCACTTCATCGATCATGTCGACGTTCAGCACGAGGACCGACCGGTCCTTGACGTCGTTCAGATCTTCCAGTTCATGGCGGATCCCGGAGATCGGATCTTGGACGTAGAGCTCCGGGAGATCCGCTCCGTTGCTGTGCGTGTTCCAGTTGAACTTCTCGATGAAGGCCAGCTGGAGTCGGCCGATGGTCAAACCATTATAGCCTTCGGGAAGGACGTACTTCTTGATCTTGCTCTTGTACTGGAGAAACAGGGTGAGTTCCTTGCCGGGAGACGGCTGGTCGGCCGGGAATTGGGATATCGGGGGAGGTGTGGAGGCTTCAGTAGAAGGCCGTCGTTGCTCGGACTTTGGGGTCGTCGGGGAGGCCCCTGATTCTGAGGGGCTCTCCTTCGTCGGCTCGAACGCCTCGCCCAGGGACGGCTCCTCCGGACGAGGCAAGGTCGGTGCCTTCTTGAGGGAAGGACTGCCCTCGTCATCACCCCCCGGGCGCGGCTGAGGCTGGTCGTCAGCGACGGGGACACCGTTGGCCGGGAGCTCGGAGACCGAGTCATTCCGTGATTTCACCGCCGTCGCGTCAACGCTGGGAACGGCCGGCGGAGCTGGTGGTGGTGGTGCGGATTTTGCGCTGGAAGTGTCATTGGCACGGTTGGTTGAACGCTGCCGACCGTGAGTGGTCGGGCCGCGGAGCCGCACCGCGTTGAGGGATTCACGCACGTCCCGACCTCGATTAGGGATGGGAGAGTTCTGGGTCGGAAGCACGGGGACCCCGTTGGAGGAGGTGCCGAGGTGCTTCTGGATCTGATACGCGGAAAATCGCCGAGACGCGCGTCTTTCCAACTCCCCACTCCGTTGCAAGGCACCGAGCGCATCGTCTTGTTTTGGGGGCGGCGGCGGCGGCGGTGTTGGATAGCCGGACACGCTGCCGGGGGTCGATGCTTTGGCGGAAAATTCACTCTCGAGCGGAGACGGTTGCGACAGAATGTTCTGGGTCTCCCGCCTCAACGCCTCCCTTTCCGAATAGCTGGATCCCCTCGGATCGCCCAGTTGGGCGGTCGGCGACGTTCGGGCCGCCCGGGCGAGTCCTCTGCAGAGCCACTACTTCCATAGCGACGTACGGAGCGTTTTGGCGACGTCACGGTGGAAGCGGTCTCCTCATAGGCCTGGTTCATGGCGGCTTGTCCACTTCCCGCACTGGCCTGGCGACCGGGCAGCGGGCGACCGTCCTCCCTCTGTTGCCGCGAGCGCAAACGCGCCTGCTTCTTCTTGAGGCCATGCAGCAGGTTGATGATGATATCGCGAATGCGGGGGAGGAACCGGTCCAGACTTTGGGGGGACGCGTCCTGACTCAGGGTGTCTTCGAGAATGCTCCGGAGAAGATCCGGGACGGGGCCGAGGTCGGATGTATCGACCCCGATGGCGTTGAATGAACGGCAGGCGAGATTAAATTCGTAGCCTAGGCGCACGTAGATATCCGAAACATCGTTCTCCGACGCTTGTCTCCGAGACCACTGGGTCAACGTTTCGAGCAATTGCTTCGTCGCGACCAGCAGGTGGGTGACGCTCTTTTCGATCTGCGAGATTTGTTTATCGGGCTGTGCCAAGGACCGGAGGATTAGCTCGAGGTCAGCACGCGTCGGGAGGAGTGGCTGGAAAACCAGCGTCAGAAGGGTATCCGAGGGGGTTCACTCACCACGGTACTTCTCGACGGCTGCGACCTGGCCGAACTCGAGGAACTGCGTGGCGCAGAAGATAAGGAAGTCATGGTGGAATCGACACTGCTGCCCGAGGCGGATGAGAAGTGTTGGGCTGACGGGCTGCGCTGGGAGCGAGAGGAGGAATGCATGTGTCGAGTCAACTCAGGACTCTCGTATTCTTTTTTTTTCTCCTTTCCCTGTCCCTTCCTTTGCCTTTCTTGGTCTTCTTTTTTTTTGTTCTCTTTTTTTTAAATTAAAAACAGTCGAGCACGAGGTGATGGAACTCGTGGGAGGGTCAACGCTAATAATAGTCCGCAATACGGAGCAGTAGGGTCGGGTTAGGGAGATGATTGCGGGAGGCGGGAAAATAGTGAAACCACCAAGGGGGTTGGGGCTGACGGTTGTCGTATGGCTGGGAGGTAAGGGGGGTTTGGGGAGTCGAGAGATGAGGATGAGGATGAAGTGGAGAGTGACGGGGGAAGAGAAGGCAGAAGAGGGAGAGAGGGATCGGCAGAGGAAGAAGAAGAGAGCGAGACAAGATAGGAAAGTTGACGCTGAAACAAACGTGGAGCCAAAGGACGACTGGCCTGAGGCCGCGCTCTGCCTGTCTTTGGATGCAGTGCCTGAGGTTGTCACTTGGCGTTTCCTGTTCGGGTTAGCTTTGCCTATCTGGGTTAGTCTGAACACATAGATCTTTAACACCCCGCAATACCTTGGATGCCTTGGTTTCTCTCTCTACATAGATCTCGGTTGGTTAGTCTATTGGATTAGCGATATATAGGAAAGGTCCATGTACATGTCTAGGGTGAGAGACAATCGATCACATGGGAGTTGCGAAAGTCAGATCGATGAGGCTAATTTGCATAAAATTCCACGTTATCAGAGCTGACAGGCGCGTCAAAATCCAGGGTAAGTCTTAGATAACCGGACGGTTACTATCCCATAGACATTGCCATGGAAGACGAAAAGGTACCAGTCAGGAATAGGTAGATTGCTGGTTCACTGAGAGTGATCTACTCTTGGTCATTGTATTATGCCGGGGCAACAGAATGCTTAGAATGGTGATCAATGCGCAATAGTTCGAATAATTCAACATCACGCATAAAGTCGGCCTTCTTTCATTCTTCTGCGCATAGATAAACCACCAATTTGTCATGCGACTGGGTTAGACTCGTGAGACTCGGGAGGATAAGATCGGCTGGCAGCAGGGTTCAGCCCCATTTGTCAGGTATTGGACTGCTTTGTCTGCAGTGCCAGTCATCCACGGGACCGACTCGTCTGTAGTAACCAGATCTTCCACTGGTTGATTCCGTTAGTAATAATATGTCTCTCTCTCATAGTGTCCCCTTTATCAACAGTCGGGTTACGAGAAATGGTAATTAGATGATCGTTGTAATTGAAGCTGATCAATAAGGTTAACAAATGTCCGACAGATGACTATCTCTATACTTTGACATAACCTTCCGTGTTTCTGAATAATCCGGTATGCATATCTCGATGAACGTCATCAGTCCATTGGGTTAAATCCATAACGATCAGGCTGTATCAATTTGTTATTGTCGTTGTTTTTGACTGTCACATCATCCATGATCCAACCGTATCTTTTCCCTGTGGGGACTGGGGAACAGAATCCCGGGTGGGCCAGTCATAGAAGATCCCAACCCTGCGCGCCTTGGCATAGACCGCCGATGATCCCTGTAATCTCGAGATGGGGTTGATGGCTGTGATTTGTCAATGACCCGGTCTGACTGCTGTCAGTTTGAGGCGATGAATTTCTTCGGAGCCGAATGAGATTCTCTCTTCGAATTTCCTGTGGACGCCTAGAGAGGGACCTTCTCTTTCCATTGTTAGCAAGTGTGTTGTCTCACCTACTCAGCCTGTTCGGCCATTCCAGGTCAGCCTGATCACGGATAAGATGAGTCGTATGGGGGGGATGTGTTGGCAGGATGAAGCTCCTTGCTGGAGAATTCGGCATGTTTTAGTCGTATCTTAGGGTTATATTATATATGTACTCCGTATATAACATATAATATACTCCGTATAATATAAAATAATACATTCCTACCAGGATGAAAGGGATGATCCATGTTCAAGTCATGATGATTGTGGCGGTGGACTGGCTGTTTGGACACCATGCATAGTAGAATCCTCAGTAAGGGGAGAGAGAGAGGTTGATGGTCCAGGCACTGTATTGTCACTGGAGGTTTCATTTGATATCTGTTATTTATATTGACTATATCCATCCTGTTATATAGCCACATTGATCAATATTGACCAGCCTATTGGTTGCAGAAGAATGGAGGGATATTATTGTCAAGATTCAACTGAGTTTCTATCAGTCTTTAGAAAGAAAAAAGAGAAGAATCAGTCTAAAGAAGGGAGATGTCGAAAGGAAAGGTCAAAGAAGCCATCGTTACCACTGTGTATTCCTCCCGTACGGTCAGTAATGGCCTGACCGACCATTGGTTTGACAGTATAACACAACTTCCCTCATTCCTCCTCCTCTCCTTCTACTGCTTCTTCCTACTTCTGCTTTTTCATCTTAACTCTCTTCTCTCCCTTGAGTTCCTCCTCCCTTTTCTTCCCTCTTGTTCTTCTTCTTTTCCATTCGCCTGTGGATCATTCCTCTCTTCTTCTCTTTCCCTCCCTCGCTTCATTCTTCCACTCTTTTGGTGTCTGCTCCCCCCCGGTCCCGTGACCTCCCCCCTCCTCCTCCTCTTCCTCCTCTCTCCGCCGTGGTTCACAGATCTTCTGGTTCCAAATTCCCCAATTTACTTTCCCCCCCAATTCCCTTTTCCCTACCCCCACTTTCCTCTTTATTTCCCACTGTTTCCTACCCCTCCCTCCCTCTTGCCCGTCCGGTTTCTCTGGTTCTGCTAGCGTAGGCGGTGTGTCTGTTGTGGCTTGGAGCCTCCCTCTCCCATCGTTCCTCTACAGCTTGGCAGTTGCTCATCCACCTTTCCCACGACGTGTGCGTCAATCGATTCCGGTCCATCGAGCTAGATGGCTTCCACCGTCAACTCTGTGCCGACCAACAATGCGTCAGGCAACCCGTCCTCGCAGAATTCCGGTCGGTCGTCGCTGAGGCCCAAGGCCTCCGATAGCCGTCGACAGTCCGGGAGCCCGCTGGAAACTGGCCAACGGTATGTCGTCTTGTCTCTACTACCTACCTACTATTCTGGTTACAATTTCCCATAACCTTCCCCGGTCTACCCTTCCTGATTCGCGTGGTACTCATGGGGGATGCACTGGGAACTCACTGGGTTCCATTCGTGACTGCTGGTTGGCTCCCCGGTCGCCGTGCAGGAGCATGACCTGGCCACTCCTTCCTTCCCTGCGATCAATCGAGCGGCTAGGTCGCCTGGCCTTGTAGTCCCTTGTGGGGTCCCCTCTGCCTCTCATTTGTCCCACTATGGTGCTTGCACCGCCAACACCCTCCTCTTCTCGATCCACGAATTGGCTCCTATCATTCCGACAGTGTCTGTTCTCTCTCTCTTTCCATACGTTAACTAATTCGGGTCGTCCCACAGGCGTAGCAACTCGCAAAAGGCCTGGACTCAGGGCACCAACCCAATCACTCAACGAGCCTCGTACTCTCAACAGAACGGAAATATGTCACAGAGAGGGAAAATGTCGTCCAAGGAGTCCAATACGGCTGACGCTCACGCCCATGATCGTCTGGTCTTCTTGGTCACCAGCTGCATTGTAAGCGGACACTCTGCCAGCATCGATCCCAGGGGAAAGTCAACGGAGCTAATCCTACCCAGGGACTTCATGCCACCATCACCATGAAAAATGGCGAGAGATTCTCCGGGATTTTCTCTTCCTCCTCCCTTGAACCCAGCGAGACCTCCTTCGTCTTCAAGATGGTCCAGCGCTTGCCAAAGCAGGAACAAGGCAAGACGAACGGGGCCAGTGAGCCCGCGACCCCCTTCCTAGGGTCGGCGCCCGATCACAGCGTATCACTCGATGCCAGGGATATTGTCGAGATATCTGTACCGAATGTTTCTACTTCCGACGTCACGGCAAAGGCCCCAAGTGGTGAGTACCGTCCATCCGCTCGGCTCGATCATCTCATTTTTCTTTTTCTTTCTTCTTCTAACAGACTTCAGGCGCGTCTGCTGGCTTCAGAACCGATGCCGACATTTCCGGAAACCTGGCGATGCGCGAACGGACCTTACAAAAGTGGGAACCCGCGGCCGACACGGACGTCGATCTATCGTTGGAGAGCGCCTCGCATTCGGCCGGCTGGGACCAATTCGAAACGAACGCTCGACTGTTCGGAGCCACCAGTAGCTACGACGAAAACATATACACCACCCGCATTGACCGCTCGGACCCCGCGTATAAGGAGAAGGAAGCCGAAGCCGCTCGCATCGCCCGTGAAATTGAAGGAACCGATGTCGATAACGCGCACGTCAGAGAGGAAAGAGGGGTTATCGCCGCGGAGGCTGGTGGTGACGAGGAAGACAAGTACAGCGGTGTGCGCCGTGACGAGAAGGATTTCCCGCCCCTGCTGTCGGGACAGCCGAACAAGTATACCCCACCTGCGCGCCGACAAGCTGGGACGCAGCCGTCCGCGAATGCCAATGCGCCCGTGGCCCCGGCGCAGCAACCGGTGAGCACCCCCAAGGATGCCGCCCCAAGCAGCGGACCGTCCAGGGATGCCGCCCAACTCCCCACACCGGTGGCGCCATCCACGACCGGCCCGAGTGCGGCCCCCGAGGCGGAACAGAAATCAGCGCCGGCAAAGGTCCTGCCCACGGCAGCGGGGGCTCCCAAACGTGCTGGCGCTGAAAATGCATCGGCCAACGTGGAGACGGAGGTGCTGGACCACTTCCGCCAATTCGCCAACTCGGAGAAGATGAAATTGCAAGAACGCCGCCGAAACCAGGCCTCCCAAGACCGCTCGATGAAATTGAAAGAACTCCTGGTCTTTTCCAAGAGCTTCAAACTCAACGCGCCCATCCCGAAAGATCTGGTGCCGATCCTGGCCAAGGATCCGCACAAGCAGGAAGAGATCCTCCAGCGTGCCCAGACCGGTGCGAAGAACCCCGCCTCATCCAAGAGCTCCCCCGTCCCCACCGATCGGAAACCTGCGAACCGCACCCCGGGGCCGGGGCGCCACGACAACGGGGCGACGGTGCCTCCCGTCGCTGCTGCTGCTCCCGCCGCCACCGCCCCCCAGGCCGACCGCCCTGGCTTTCCTCGCGGTCGCCAGATGCTCCCGCCGACGGGCCCCCATGCGGGCGGCCGACCGCCGCACCAGAACATGCACCTCGGCCGCCCGGCGACGGGGATGCTGAGCCACCGGTTGGCCGACAATCTGCAACAGCGGAAAGGGACGGCCCCGGGTCCTGTTCCCGCACCCCTGCCCATCAACGAGGCACGCCTGCCGCCCACGGGCCCGGCGGGGGACCTCGCCGGTGCGGCCAGCCCGAGCAAGACGCACACCCCCACCTCCGCCGCGTCGACCAAGTTCAACGTGCGCGCACTCGAATTCAAGCCGAACCCCACGGCGAGTACCTTCACTCCGGCGGCCTCGTCCAATTCCTCGCCGTTTACCCGGGGCCGCTCCGTGTCGCGTGCCACCAGCCCGGCCGCCTTCTTCGGTGCCAAGAAGCCGCGCCCCATCGCCGAGCGGCCGTCGCTGAAAGACCAGTTCAACCCCATCAAGCGCGCCAAAAAGGAAGTGGCCGAGAATCCGGACACGAAAGATCACTATAATTTCAACGGCGGCATCCCCCCGGCCTATAAGACCCTGCCCACGTGGAACGTCCCCGCGGGCAACGAGGAGAAGACCTACCAGCAGATGTTCAAGGCGCCGGCCATGCCCATCCTCTCCCCGCACCGGTCTGCATCCAACCCGCAGGCGCCCCAACCGGCCCCCATGCCCTTCCCGTTTCCCCAGACGCCCGGGATGCCCCCTGTCTCGGGACCCCCGCACGGGCCTCATCTCCATCCCCAGCAGCACCACGGGTCCGGTCCGCCGCATTTCGATGACCCCCATCGGATGCAGATGTCGGCGTCCACGTCGCAGATGTTCCCGTCGCCCCGGATGCAACAAGGCTACCCGTCGCCGATGATGCCGCACGCGCAGATTGCCTTCGGGCAGACGATGCCCCAGATGTACATGAACCAGGGTGGCCCGCAAGCGGCGCACATGAGACAATATCCGGGCGCGCCTCAATTCCTGGGGCCCCAAGGCGCCATGGGCGGGGCCCCCATGATGGTCCAGCAACCGTCCAGTGGACCCTACATGGGCGCGCCCCAGGGCATGGCTCCGTACACGCCGCAGATGCAGATGTATTCCCCCAACCCGGCCCAGGTCTATCCGCAACATGGGCCCCCCAGCCGCACAGCAGCTATCCCAGTCCCAGCCGGGGTGCCCCGATGATGATGCATCAGGGATCTCAATCCGGTCAGCCGCCGCAGCCGGTCATGTTCATGTCCCCGGTGCAGCACGGACAGCCCTTGTACGCGGGCCAGCAGCCCGGTCACGGTACGTAATTTCCATGCGACGTCCCCGCACTCATCACTGACCCTTGACAGGTCCCCCGGCCCGTGGCAACTACCCGCAGCAGCAGCAGCAGCAGCAGCACTTCCAGTCCAGTCCGCACCAGGTGCACCAGTATCCGCCCCATCAGCACCGCACGCCCAGCAACGGCTACAACGCCATGCCCCAGGGGCCTCAAGCGCCTTCGCAGGCTCCCCCCGCGGCCTCTTCGGGCCCTCCGCCGTCGGAGGGTACGGATGATACCAAATGAACTGCTCCGGCGGAGGGGGTGCGCCACGAGCGGCATTCCTCCCTGATTCAGCAGTCTGACGCACGTGGTTCAACCCGAGACCCGCTCCGGCGTGACCTCGATCCTTGATCCTTTTTGGTACCTCCCATCTTGCCACCGGCCGAGGTTTCTTCCTTCCGGGTATGACCTGGCTTGTTTGCTTTTTCTCTTTTCACTGGTTGGCGCGCCACATCTGTACAATCTACCTACCAGCAGGTTTACCATCCGACTGGTCAGTTTTTTTCTTTTTTCTTTTATTGATTCAAAAGCTTATCGAGTATAGGCTATTCTTATGAGACCGTCGGATCGGTCAGAATTACGCAGTGGAATTGAGGGATCCGAATGGAATGGCTACCGGGGCGTGACTGACATGCGGTCCCGCCGTTCATGCGTCCGCTTCTACAGGTCTTTCCCGGGAGACGAGTGCCAGCACATCGGTCGATCTCAAACTTTTGGGAGTGATGTATGGCAGAATTAGTGCATGCTTCCATGTGCTATCACGAGTTACTTGCTTTGATCTTTGTATTTGTTTTCTATCGCTACGATGCACAGTGGGCGACGGGCTTGAGGCGGATGGGCTGGATGGCAGAGACTGAGGCTGACTTGCCGGAGTGGTGGACAGTGGCTGTGGCAGTGAAACGTGTACCTGGAGTGTGGGGATGGTATTGAGGGTAACCTTACGCTATGGGGAGTCAGAGCGATGTGTTGCTAGCAATCTCGACAGGAATGGAATGATTTGATTTAGGGTGCTATACTGTAAACGTGATGTATAACAACTTTCTCCCTAGCTATCTATGTATCTATCTATGGATGGGATCACACCAATAAAACACTATTTCCCAAGTTAGCCAATGACAAAACAGTCAAGGTGCAAATGACGATAAAGTGAAGGGGGGTCTCCTCAGGTCTTTTCAGTTTCAATATGGGTCATCATCCAAACCAAGACCCACGCCATCCCACCGCGGTACTATCACACTCACAGCCCCGTCAACAACCCCCCAGCAAACCAAACCTGCACTCCCCAAAACCGACCCCAGATTCCACATCTCCGCAAGACGACAACGACAACGACAACAAAACAACACCCCTCCCCCTCCCCTTACCCCACAGGAGATAAAGGAACCATCCATCCAATGTCATCTTCCCCTACCCTCACTACCTCATCCTTGCTCCTCTTTCCATCCAACTCTCCTCTCTCCACCTCTCAATCTCTCTTTCTCTCACCCACTCTCTCACACTATCTCTCTCTCTCCCAAACCCAACAAAACAACCCACGAAAATGTCCGCCACAGCCATTAGTTTCCGAAATTCCTCATAGAAAAAGCGGACCGAAAACTCCAGTATGTGGCTGGTCTGTTCGTGCTTCTCGTTCCGAACGTCTGACTAATCCTCGTCTATCAATTCTATCATTCATCCGTCCACCAACCCAGAGATGGATAGATGATGAGGGAGAAGGACAGGCGGAGGGAGAAAGGGCTGAACGGGTAAGAAGGGAGAACAGTTCACTTTTTTTGTACACATGGATCTTCCCAGGACGGGACCGGTGGTCTTGTAGGTTGTGTCCTTTGCCTTTTACGTTAAGCATGTGTTTGGAATTTTTCCTTTTTTTCGGGAGAGAGATTGACAGTTGAGAGTGAGTATAGAGAGTAGAGAAAAAGAAAAGTATCGAGAAGAGAGGACTCCGGAAAGAAGATATGAAGACAAAGTAACAAGGGCGGTTCATTCTCGACTGGATAGTGGTTTTGGGAGAGCGGCGCGTTGCGCTGCGTTGCGTTGCGGTGCGTGTGGAGAAGGGATTCTGGAAGGGGTTTGAAGAACGGTCGGTTTGGGGTTGTTGGGTTGTTGGGTTTGTTGACGTTTGAGTTGTGTATGATGTGAGTAGTACCTTCGGCTTTGTGGGAAGTGTGGTTTCTTGGTCTTTGCTGTCTGACCTTTTACCAGGTTTGGCATCTTTGGAGAGGTTGGAGGGGAGGTGAGGGGTGTAGTGGGATGGATGGGATGGGACTTGCCTGTGTATTCTGTGGGGTTGTATTAGTGCTCGAGAGTCAGCTAAATATTGGTATAGTGAAGTGAGATCTGTGGTGGATGTGGCAGACGCATGAGTTGCCAGGTTGTATGGGTGAGGATATTCTGATAGAGATGGAGATGGAGATGGAGACGATTTGAGTAGTTTGTTAGTCTGTTGGATCGCGCTAACCGGACTGGGACTATGCCTAAGGTGTCGCATTGAGTCTTGAGAGGACGCTTGAACAGCCTCGTTAGTCTCTCACTGTAGAATAGTATATACCCCCTAATTGATATCAATAGATCCTGATTTATATATATTGAATATTATGCATGTATACTGATATACGTATACCTGTCGTATGTAGTAATGAAATCACCTGACATAACAATAGCTTATCAGCCACCAACCAATCAGACAGCCGCCCTCTGACAAAGCCACCGCCGCCTGAGGCACCCGCGGGCTCAGCTTCATCTTCAACTTCATCTCCGCCTCTGCTGACGCTCTTCGTTCTCCATCCTGACGCAATTTGCTGCTCGTCGACTGCTTAACGCCCAAGACTCGGTACCTTAGTTTAGTCTCCACCGTTCTCGTGCCTGACCACTGACGAACCCATTTGGGTGGATTCCCCATAATCCTGTTGCCTTCCGATCAGCGCGTGGGTGCGTGCGTGCGTGCATCCGGGAAACGGATGTGATGTCCTCGTCATAAGCACGGTGGACGACCGTTGATTACCCTAGGTTGCCATTTCCGCCACTCTATATTGTCATATCCCCAACACCACGGATACCCCTTCCTCCCGCGATGGATCCCGAGGAGGCTCCGCCGCCGCCATACTCCGCCGTTGACCCGTTACTAGCCCAACCCCGTCGAACTCCGTCTGCATTGGCGGAGGTGAATCCGCTTCGTCTGCGTGGTGGAAATCTCCCCTCGCCACCCTCTCTATCCAGTCCTGGGGTCGGGACTGGCTCCGCCGCGACCGCACGTCATCGGCCCGCGAACTTCTCCTCCGCGGCGGATTACTTTGTAGAACGACCCGTCCCCACGGTGGATGAGGAGAAGCCGGTCCTGGAGCACCATTTAACCATTTACCCTCGGAGTCAGGCCAAGGACTTTCCCCGTCGACCGCGATGCTGGAATACGCGATCGGATGACATCGCCCAGCAGGACTGGGACATGTTCCTCAGATACCTGTTCCCGCCGCACCTTGGGCCTGCCTCCGTGTCCGGCCAGCTGCCGCGACAGTTACGGGCGGAGATCCAGCGCGATCGAAAGGACCGGCCGCAGGAGACGGACGAGCAGCGACGGATGCGAATATCAGCGGTCGTGACGGAGTGGAACCACTACTTCTTCGAGCCGCGAGCGGCTCGTCTTGTTTATATCTACGTGACTGACCCTCAATCCGGCCCGGTCTCTCCCCTCTGTCCGAAGTGCTATCCCGCGGCCACGAGGGCATCTCAGGAGAACCGGACGGCTCTGGTCCCGCAGGCTGGGCGCGGTCGTCCTCCTTCCAGCCCCGGGCCGTACACGATCCCCAGACAGCTCCCCGCATTTTCTCCGGTCGGCAATTTTCCCCATGCTCATGCCTACCCGCATCCACGGATGCCTCCATCGCCGTATGCGCCATACAGTGGCCCCGCGTTTTACGGGTACGCGAACGCCCCCGCCGCGCCCATGCATGGGTATCCCTACCAGCCGCAGCGGCCACAGCCGTATCCATACAACTGGCCTTCTCCTCAGCAGTCGAAGGAAGACTCCAAGAAAGGCCCGCTAGGCTGGATGACGTCGCTCGTATCCCAGGCGCAGAAGTACGGCGAACGCATCGGCGAGCAGGCGGCGCAATACGGCGACCATATCAGCGCGCAGGCGCAGCACTACGGCCGACAGGTCGAAGAGCAGGCCATGGCGCACGGTCGCTGGATCGAGGAGCAAGCTGGGCTTCAGGGTCGAAAGGTGGATAATCCGTACCCGGGGTATAACTACCCGCAGTCCGACTACGACGCTCGCCTCCAGGCATACTATGCCAGCCTCTACGGCTACCGGTATCCTGAGCCAGGGCGCGCCACCGTAGCTCCCGCTGAACCGGCGGAAGCCATCGCTGTCGAGACCCCTGTAGAAAGCACCCCTAGCCAGCGAGCCATAACCGCACCACCACCAGCATCACCACTAGAACGCCCTCGTCGCAACTCCACAGACTCCACCTCATCAGATACATCCCTCTCATCCATCGACTCCTTCTCCACGACCTCCGACCTAAGCAGCTCCGACCTCGCAACCGTGCGCGCACAGCTCCTCTCCCTCGACGAGCACCACGGCCGCGATCTCCACGACGCAGCCGTCGACCTCCGCCGGCAGCTCGACACCCTCCGCCAGTCCCGACAACAAACCCGACAACCTCCACCTCGCAACCACTGGCGCAGATGGGACTCGCCCGAGCAACACCAGCGCAGCGCCGCAGACAGACGAGCAATAAAAGAAGAGACACGAGCGACACGGAAAGCCTTCCGGGACGTACTCCGACGCGCAAGGACAGAGCAGCGCGAACGACGGAGGATGAAGCACGCGCGACGACGTCAGGAGCGCCGTTCTCAAGCAAAAGACGAGGGAGAAGTCCCGCTCGACCAGCGGGTGCAGAACCTTGAGCTGGATACGAACCGCGAGAGCAGGTCTACAGTGCAGTCGTTTGCATCGTTTCCGTCGAGACGGTCCGGGGCGGAGTCGGAGGTTAGTGATATCAGTTCGGTGGATACGCCTAGTTCGGGGTCTTCTCATGTGGAGGGCAGTACGAGGTCTTCTCGTGTTGAGGGCACGGTGTCTCATGCTGTAGGCAGTACGGAAGTCAAGGAGAGCAGCACAGATGTCAAGTCGGGGAATAAAGAAAACCAGCACCCGACTGAGCAGCAGCGGGACAAGAAGCAGAGGGGGTAGTTGGAGGGGTCCTGTTTTTGCTTGTTATGGGTTAGCACATTGCTTGTTTTAACCACTAACTCATGGTGTTTGAGCAATTGGCTCACGGTGTTAGAGATTCGGATGCATGTATTAGCTAGGTTTAGGGATTGGTTTTTACTATTTATTAGGTTGATTACAGCGTGTTTTGAATGACGAAAGACATAGCTCTGTTGTTACTTGTATATCTACTCCGTCTACTCCGTAGTCTCATGTACATCATAGACATCCTACCCAGACATAGCAATTGAAAAGAAACGAGTAAACCATGAATGGAGTAGATTTGATAAAATAAGACAGAAAAATCAAACAGCCTGACTCTCATTCTTCTCCACCAAATCCCCCACCCCCAACCCCCTCCCAACCTTAACCTTAACCATCTTCTCCTCCTCCTTCCCATCCTCCTTCTTCCCCAACTCGCCCACCTCCCCGCCCTCATCCCCCTCCTTCTCATCACTCTGCGCCCGCAACCGATCCTGCCTCTCGATCTCCTCCCAATCAAGCCACTGGCCCGACAGATCCATGCGCATCGCGTAGGCGTCCTCCCCGTCCGCATAGTACTTGTTCTCGACGTCTTCAACCTGGAAGCCCAGCGTGTCGCGGTACAGGCGCAGCGCAGCGGTGTTGGAGACGCGCACGTGCAGCGAGACGTAGCTTGCGCGGTGGGATTCGGACATTGCTCTTTCTATATATCACCATCACCATCACATTAGTAACATGTTTCACTGTGTGTTATATGCTCATGTTCCGAAGGAACAAAAACGAAGGGAAGAAGAAGGGAGGGGGAACTAACGAGCCATCCTCATCAACCTCTCCGCGATCCCCAGCCGTCTATGCGTCCTCATCACACTCAAACTCGTAATATGCCCATGCTGCTTCCCGTCCGTGGGCTCCTCCTCCATTTTAGCAAGCACGTAGCCTACGACCTTGGGGTATTGGCCTGAGAGGTCGGGTTGGCCGCTAGCCCCGCTGCCGGTAGTCCGGGTGTAGCCATTCTTGGGGCGGACGACAGCGACGAAGCTCAGCTGCGGCCAGGTGAGGGCGTGGTAGAGGTAGTATTTTAGGAAGTAGTTCTCGGGGAGGTTGGTGATGTTGCAGGTTTGGATGGAGGGGAGGAGGTCGATGTAGGAGGGGTAGGAGGTTAGGGGGACGATGTCGACCATTTTTCTTTCTTTTTGGGGGGGTTTCCGGGGGAGATGTTTGGAGGAGTGTTTGGGGGTTGTGTTTGGTTCGTTTCTGTAGGCTCGAGTCGGTGTCGTGGTTGACTCAATTGTCGAATATGAGTGTCAACTGTCGAGACAGTAGGTATGGTGGTATGGTGTGGTGAAATTCCATGTGTATGATGTGATGTGGTAATCAGCCGCTAACTGTTTTGGTGTTATGCTCGGTGTATCGGTGCATAACTCCCGATCGGGTTAGTGAGATTGTCTGGACTACATCATTTACTGATCTGGGCTATACTTAGATAAGGATATGGTATACTATAGGATAGTATAGTACTATAGAATATGGTATAGTACTATAGATATAGTACTAGTTATAGACGGTAGTTACTGAATAATATAGTACAGTACTAATGGAGGGTATCAAACTCTATCATACACAGATCGTCCACACCTCGTCCCCAGGATCAATATTCGTCGCTTTGCCTTCCAGACTGCAGCCAGCACTACCCCCAATCCACATGCTGCCAGCAATGTGTGCTGCAGGTTCGCCTGCGATGGACCGCTGAACGTAACGTGTGGTGTCTATCCAGTTAGTATTTCTTCAATACTCACAATAGTACAGGGACTTACCTCGTCTGCAGTATTGAACACCCGTGTCATTCCCAATGTCTCCCCCTCCTGGTCTACCGCTACCATGCGAAGATAGTGTCCCTCGGCTTCATCGGGCACCACGATACTCGTCTCAAACCCCTCCTTGGAGGTATATCCCACCAACTCAAACTCCCCACTCGCGGCATCGCTGCGGCTCGCCCGCTGCATCACCCAGCCGATCACGTCCGTCGCCCCGTTCCAGCTCACGTACACCGTCCGACTCTGCCCGTCCATCACCACGTCCGGCGGCGTGGACGGCCGTCCCACCCACATCGCTTTCTGCGCGCGGTAGGACTTGATCCAGCCGAACCAGAAGAACATGGATGGCCCCCAGTGCGCATCGCACAGCACTTCGCCGTCGGCGCTGAACTCGGTGTACGCCGAGGGCTTGCCCCAGCCGACGAACACGTTCCCTGTGCGGGGTAAGACCTGCACGTTGCCCTGCGAGTGGCTGCTGAAGTGGCCTGGGCTCTCGTAGGTGTGGAGGGTCCTGGCGGTCCAGTTCTCGAAGTCCAGCTCGATCATGTAGGCCCGCGAGAAGTCGGCTGTCTGAAGGTGCTCGTGTGCCCCGTTGTCCAGCAACGTGATGACATTGTCTGACAGCCACCGGGCGTCGTGCTGCCAGGTGAATTCGGTGGCGGAACCGTCCGATAGGTCTTTGAACATGTTGCGCTTGCCACCTAGGATCCAGAGAACATCCCCTGACGGGCTGATGCACGTCACCGTGTGTATGTATCGCGAGGACACGAGATAATTCCCGTGAGCGTCCTTGGCGATGCTGTTGATGTGAAAGTAGTCGAAGGCTTTGCCGGCCGTCGGGCCCGTGCCTTTCTCCTCGGCGCGTTCAAAGTACGTTTCCTCGACGGCGTAGTGGTCGCGTGCGCGCCATTCAAACAGGAGCTCGCCGGTTTCGATGTTGATCTCCTGGAAGAGGCCGTCGTACACCCATCCATCTTCGGGGCCGCCCACAGCAGATAAGTCCATGGGACAGATTTCGTAGATCGTCATGAGGGCGGTTCCTTGGTCGGTGATTTTGAAATCGTGGACATCACCGGAGTAGCCATTGGCGGCGGAGACGACGTGAGCCACCTCGTAGGAGGAATTGAGCTGTGATGTTAGATTTGGAAACCAAACGTGCTAAAAAAGAGAAAAAAAATGAAAACAAACCATATAGTATGAACCAATGCCCCGCGTCCCATCATCATCACCAGTGAAAAAGGTCAAATAATTCTGACCCTTGTAATGCTGCACATTCAAATCCATCACCATTCCGAACTTATTATCAATCCAGACCAGATTCCCCCGGTTATCATAGATCAACGGCCCCGGTTCGGGGTAGAAACGCCCCCGCGGACTCAACAGCACATAGCCATCTTCGCAGCGGGGATCCCACTGGAGCACGTTGACCTCAGGAGCCTGTTGATCAAACGAGACATGCTTCAGGGTGGGGTGGGCGCCAAAGACGCCCATCTCATACCACCAGCTATGCCATGAGAACGCCGAAGCCAGCAGCGGCAGAAAGGCCCAGTAGAGGAGGATATGGGCCATTTAGGAGGGGGAACGCACGAGACTCGATAGGAACAACCAGCCCATCGAGATGACGTTAAGAAGTATGCCGAAGGAGACAATGAATGGGGTAGAGGATAGGTGGGTAAAAGTAGAAAGGGAAAGAAAGATTTTCCGAAGAGATAAAATAACGTAAGATAAGAATTAGAATTAAAGAATTAAGACGGAAAACGAACCCAGGAGTTCAGGAGACGGGACGGAGTGGTTCCATAAAACAGGATATACAGGACCGATTTTATTACCCATTAGCATGGAAGCACAGAGAAGGACGGGGGAACGACCCTATCTGAGGACTCGAGGGGCAAAGTGCCGGCGAGTACAGTGGAGATAGCCCACATCGTGACAGCAGTTCCTGCATAGCTCTACCGTAAACCAGAGTCCCATCTATCCCAAATCCATGGGCGGATATGACAGGGCAGGAAAAGGTGACGAAGTGCCAAGAGGGTGGAAACCACACACGTGGGGAGGGCTAGGAAGAAGGCCAATCAAGCCGTCCACATAAGTTGATTAACCTGACGATCGGTGGAGAGCGAGCGCTTGATATACATTGGCATCCCTTATTTATCCCGATGGTTGTATATGCGGATGTGCTGGAGGTATGGGATGTCTTGAAGGCGTGTCTGTTCTGCCATTGTGCAGGATATCCATGGTAATGGGATCTTCCATGGTCAGAATGATTCTGGGTCAGCCAGAGTCGGGACAATCAAAGGATGTGCCGAGCAGGAAGGGGGAGAAAGTGGAGGAGGAAGTGGAGCGGAAAATGGAGAGAAGTGGAGATGAAGTCGAACCAAGTTAGTGTGATTAGCTAATTATCCTTATACATCTTTTGGCTTCACTAGTATACAGTATACAGTATACTACAAGTACTTTAGATGGATTGATAATTTCTAGCCTGGACTCTAAAGATTATAGTAGATCTGATCTGCATGCGCTGATTAGATTCACAACTCTCAAAACTGATCTCATACTACATGACGGGATATCGTGTACAGTATGTACTACATACTCTGTAGTAGATGGATATATGAAGTATATACAAAGCTAACCCTTCCTCGACCTCTTCTTCCTCCCTCCAACCTCCTCCTTTACACTCTCCTCAACTCTCCCTCTCTTCTGCTTCTCCTCTTTCATGTCCCCCTTCTTCTCCTCACCCAAACACCCCCTATCAACAGAAACCAACCCCTCCCCTCCCTCACTCACAAACCCAGAAAGCTCAATATGCCTTAACACAAACGCCACCTTCTCAATATTTGTACACAACACCACCTCTTCTTTCCCATCCTCAACCCCCCAAAGCAACCTCCCCCTTAAAAACTGCACAGCCTCCCACAACCCCTCATACTCCTTAACATTATACTTCAGCGCCAACTCCCCTCCAAGACGCTTATAACAGCTCTTCCGCCTCTGCACTCTCTCCTTACTCTCTCTCGCCAATTCACTCCTCAAACGAGGAACCTCCCCCATACACAACCACAGATACACATCATCGCTGAAAAATGGGATTCCCCCTCCTTTATTGTGGGCCGTCACGGCAGAGAGTATGAGTGAGGCCGTTGCGATGCCCACCCCGCGGAGGGGGTTTATTAACTCTGTTAGGCTTGTTTGGGGGAATTGTCCTTCTGGATTTGGGTTTTTGCTGCCGTGTGCGGGTTTGTTTTGTTGAGAGAGGTTTTTTCCAGGTAATGCAGCTAGTGCTGCTCTCGTGGCTTGCTCGACTGTTTTGTCGGGGTTGCTTTTGATCATGCCTAGTAGAGCGGGTCGGTGGACGCCCCGTTGTCTGTGTAGTTGTTAGGTATCGCATCGCACATACATACATACAAACATATCAATAGATTCATGTATATAGCATGTATAAATCGAACAGTTCCAAAGGGGATGAAGGGGAATAAGGGGAAAGGAACATACAATTTCCACTCCATCAACCTCACAAGATCATCCTTGGTCAGACACCTCCCCTCAGGTCCCTTCTTCTTCTTCTCCTTCTTCAAATCATTCATCTTCGCCTTCTTCACCCTCCCCTTCACCATCTCATCCTCCGGATCCTCACCCAAATCAACATCACCATCACCAACATCATCCATCCACCCAGACCCAGATACATCAACACCAACAAGCTCATACCTCCACCGATCCAACTCCCCCAACCCCTCCATGATACCCTCAATCAAATGGTTCTGCTCTTCCTTACCCTTACCCTGATCCTTACCCTTACACTTACTCTCCTGCTCTTCCTCCATAGAGATACTCTTCGTCTTCTTCCCTCCCCTCCTCCCACCCTCAGCAAGCTTCTGACGCGTAGCAGCTTCCCACGTCATAGGGTACAAACTAAGGAGGCGCGTGAACGTTTCCAGGGTTATGCTTTGGGGGGTATAGGGTGATTCTTCTTCTTCTTCTTCTTCTTCTTCTTCCTCACTGCCATCCCCATCCCCATCCCCATCTCTATCTTCATCACCTGGTTCTTTTTCAATCGCTTCTTGTAACTTGTGATCATCCTCTTTGTGTTCCTCCTTTTGGCTTTCTTTCTGGCTCTTCTGGCGCGTGGAAGATAAGGCCGTGGTCGATCGTCTCGTTACCGCCATTCTGTTGTTGGTTGATTGGATGGATGGATGGATAGAGTAGGTATCTGTGTGTACTGAGTCGTCGCGAATTAAGGTGGAAGGGTCCGCAATCTAGGTAAGTAATTAATATCTGTATTTAGCTTGGCAGTAATGCCGTTATGCTCCGCCGCTAACATACACACATACATGCACACATACAAAGTACTTCGTAAAAAATACCTATTACTCCATACTTCCTACTACGTACAAATCAATGACTACATATAATATGCAGTGTCATAACAGGTACAGCGCATCATGTACTTCATTGCCTCAATCCATATCCATAACCATATCCATAGAATAAAATAAAAATAAAGCCATCCCGAATCGCTCGCCAGTACAAATAATGAATAAAAAAGAACCATCCGAAACATTGACCCTCAAGATCACCGGTTCCAGGTGCTCCGTGGGTCGCAAAGAGAAGAAGAGAAGAGAGAGTACCACATTACAACAGAGGCGTCTAGCCCTCGATTCAAGAGGGGAGAATGATGAATGAAGAGTGAAGAATGAAGAATGAAAAAGACGGAGAAAATCTAAGTTATGACTGGTCCGGCTTGCGACGGTCCTCCTTTTTGCCCTTGCTCGGACTCGTGTCTGGACTGACGAAGCTCACCCGTTTCTCGTCCTTGTTCCGCTGCATCGGGACGAGGGAGGATGGCACCAGTCGGCCTTTCCCCCGCGAGCCACCCCGCGCTAACGATCGGGACAGCGATGCAGGGGGATGCGCGGCGGCACTGGCCATGGGATCCGTCTTGGGCGGGTCTGTCGTCGCGGTCGACGTAGCCGCCTCCTCGTCCTCCACGTCCACGTGACTGAACTCGTCGTCGTGGTCGCCTGCCTCCGACGAACTAGGCCCCGGACTCTCCGAGTCGGACGCCACCCCGTAATCGTCATCGTCGCTGACGAGACTGGGGGCCTGCGTCGACTCCATCGTGTTGGGACTCAGGTTCGCCGTCCGATCCATGCTGTCCGCGTCCCGCAGCGCATCGCCCGGGCCCGGGTTCGCCAGCGGCGGGGGCCCATACGACGGATAGGAGGGTCCGGGTCGCGTCGGGGTGAGGGTTTCCAGCGGAGTCGGATGGCTGGGCGGATCGACGCCTTTCCGGCTGCCGGGCCGTCGGGACATCGTCTGCGAGACCGTCGTGCGCATCGGCTGGCGGCCGACCCCGGCGCCCGGCGGCGGCGGGCCGGAATTCCCGACCGTGTGAGGGGTGGATTGTTCGGGTTCGCTGTCGGACTCGCCCTCGTCCGATGGATAGACGCTCAAATCGACCGTAGTCTTGGCCTCCCCCACCAATCGATCGAGGTCCAGCCCCACGCCCCGATGGCGCATCAAAGACGACAGGTGAGGGGTGTCGGGCGATCCCAAGAACGTGTGCGGTGACAGCCCCTCCGTGGTGGCCGGCGTCGTCGATTTGGCCGGAACAGACGGACCCGTCGGCCGCGGTGTTTCCACCGCCGACGACATCGAACGACCCGGCGTGAGGGGCTCGATACCATGGGCCGACCGAATCAACGGATGGACGTACCCCGGCGTTGTAGTAGGGGCAGTAGTAGTAGGCGTCTCGCTCTTGACCCCCACCGCGGCACCCGCCTCATCCACCTCGACCGTCTCGCCGGACGCCATGGCGGCCGCGTCGTGGCTGGCAAAGTTCCGGCCGTGGGCGATGCGGCAGTGGTTGATGAAGCCTTGCGTGCTCGAGAAGTTGTCGCGCCGACAGTCTAGGCAGACGAGCTTGACCATGATACCGTCCGACTTCCGGCGGATGATCATGGGTCCCGCTTTCTCCTTGGGGGCGGGATAGCCATTCGGCAGCGACTGGAGTTTCGAGATGCTGGAGCCGCGCTGGGGGCGCGACTTGCCGGCCAGGGCGCCCAGGTCGCCCGGGTTGCCACGGGTGGAGCGACCCTCCACCGGCGTGGCCCCGGCGGCACTGGCGGACAGCAGCGGCGTGGCGGGATCGGGTTCCCCTCCGTCGAAGCGGGCATCGGGCAGGAGCCATCGCGCGTAGTGTCGGGTGTAGGGACCGTCGGTGACGCCCCAGGGGGCCGGGGACAGCGGCGCGGGACCATTTCCAGGCGCATAGACCGCCATCCCCGTCCCACTGCTGACGGACTGCGACAAACCCCCGAGTTGCGCGCTGGGGTAGGGGATCTCAGCGCATCGGCGCAACTGCTCCAACGCGACTTGACACTTGGCGATCTCCTGGTCAATCAACCGTAGCTCGTTATGCTTCAAGAGGACCTCGAGACTGAGCTGCGCGCCCAGGGTGTCGCGCAGTCGGTCGACGTCGACCTGGCCCGATCGGGGCGCCTGTTCCGTGGCGAGCGACTGGGAGGGGCGATGGGTGGGAGACGGCGGGGTCTGCACGGGGGCGGTTGGGTCGCTAGTGGGGGAGGGGGAGGGGGAGGGGGCGCAATGCGTGACGAGGGCGGGGTCTGGGGGTGAGTTGTCGACGCGCAGCTTGGATGCGACCGGGGCGTCGCGACCGGTGGCGTCGTGGGTGGAATCCGAGCGCTTGCGCTTCAAGGGCGGCAAGGGAAGGTTGTTGGCGCAGGGCGGCGAGGTGGCGAACATCTTGAAATCCTCGGGCCTCACCTTGTTGACCCCGATCGTAGAGTACCAAGGGAGCAGACGAAACATGCCATGCGAGAGGGGGGAGTAAGATTCGGGATGAGGAATATTGTTGGGAGAGACGACGGAGAGATTAGAAGCCACGGGGAACCGGGCGCTCTGACGTCGGAGGGGGCAACTAGGGGAGGAAGGAGGACTGGGGCATGTAAAGCGATCTGGGCACGGATGTGAGGGAATGGATCTGAGGAAACGGGGAAGAGCGATGGGGTGTGGAGGTGGAGAGTCGAGGGAAATTAGGGGGGGGGAGTAGGTGTTGCCGATCGGACCCAGGGGTTTGCGAGGAAGAAACCAGTGTATTAGATGTATTAGGTTAGGTGGAAGTGTGTTGGGGGAGTGTGTTGGGGGAGTGGTGTAGGTGGTGTAGGGGGGAAGTTGTTAGAGAGGGAGAGACAAAGAAGGGAGAAGGGGGAGGGAGAGGGAGAGGGAGAGGGAGGAGGAGAAGAAGGAAGAAGAAAGTAGAGGAAGAGGAAGAACAGGGAGAGAGAGAGAGAGAACCAAGGATGGATTGAAAGACAATGGAATAATCAATCACAAACAGGAATGACCGTGAAACGATCGACCGATAAACAGATGGAATAGATAGAGCAATCAACTAGAATAAAATAATAATAATAATCAACTAGAGATCCAAGGAAAGGTAAGATCAGATTCCAAGGTAAATAAATAAATAACGGAATAAGAACAAGGTTTGAGGGGAATGGAAGTCAAACCAGTCTCAGACTCATCGATTAGAGAGCGAGAGACCGAAAGAGCGGGGATGTTTGGGAGGCAAAACAGGTCAACAGGTGGCGTAATCTATTATTAATCGATCGGAACTTATTCTGGGCAGATATCAGACTTCTGTGTACAGAGTGCTCTTGAGTATCGTATAGGAGAGATGGAAGAGGAAGAAGAGAAGAAAGGAGGGATAGGAAGAAGGGAGAAGAGAGAAGAGACTGATTCTCTTTGTCCTTCTCTCTGCTTTAGGCAGTCCCATTCCAAAAGTTCCAGGATGACACGTCAAATCAATGCCGGAGCACTGAATGCATCCGATGTATCCAAGTGGGTCCATTCTCTGGTTTCTCCCTTTCGGTGATGCACTGATGCCATGGGCCTGGACTCATCCATGGTACTCTCTCTGTCTTCTTGCTCTTCATTCTCTTCATTCTCTTCATTCTCTTCATTCTCTTCATTCTCTTCATTCTCTTCTCTCATACACACTCTCCCTACATTCTACATTCTCTATTATCTATCCTCAAGACTATAAATATAAAGAGAACTCATGGGAAGATCCCTCTAATTCTCTCCCTCTTCCCCCGTCTCAATCCCTCCAGTGTCCATATATTGATTACATCATAACACACGATCGGCACACAGCTCCACCTCCCGCCCAACCTTTCGTCAATCCTCCATCATCTTCCACTGATTATCTATCTTCTAGACCGAAAGTACCATACATACTATTTACTTACAGTACTTACAGTACTCACTAGTATCGAATGTGGATAAGATACAGGACAGGAACAGTACTCAAACCCAATAGTATCCTCCTATACAGGATAGATCAAACAAGTCTACCAATGTTCAACACACCATCTATCCCGTGAAACACCGACTCCACTTGCCTATCAATGGAGGTCGTGGATCGCTGGTGTAGATAGAGAGTGGAGTGACGCTCCACTCGCCACTTACCGCTATCCATCCTATATATATCACGTGTGTGATATGCCAAGTTCTTACGTTATCGATCACATGATGGTCTCAACTCTTATATAAGAGAAATAAATATCTCTACTGACCACAGCCCAAGGATAAGTTGATATTTTGTCCCGTACAATCTGATCGAAAACACATCACAGCATGCTTAACATTGGAATGAACGAATGGATAAAAAAACAATGAAGAAGAATGAGCATCTATATCGCCAACCCCATCCCCAGAACGTATGGTCTATCCACTCCCAACATGCACCAAACAAAAATCACAAAGACCGCTGGCGTACATTCGTGGGCCTGTGCCAGCATCGACCGTGGAGTACATTGTCCATGTATAGAGAAGTCGTAGAGGGCAGTCGTATAAAAACAGTCGTAGCAGCCACCGGTCGGTCACAAAAGAGATGTTCCAGACCGGGAAGAAACAAAACAACCAAGGGGAGGAAAAAAAGAGAGAGAGAATGAAATTACATCTCCTTCATCCGCAGCACAAAGTTCACAATCACCGCCGCCAACAACGACAACGCCAACACGGTCGGCCCAAACCGATCGTCAATCCCCGTCTGTCCGCGTTTGCGAATACTCTGCGCCCGCCAGTGAAACGTCACCAGCGCGTAGATCATCGACCCCATGGCGATGATGGTGAACAGGCCGGCGGAGATGCGCCCGACGCGGTCTCCGAAGTTCAGCAGGCCGACGGCCAGACCGCCCAGGATGACGGTGAAATTCAGCCAGGAGAGGAATGTGCGCTCGTTGGCGAAGAAGACTTTGGGTTCGACTCGTGTGGGGAGTGCGATGCGTTTGCCTTTTTTGAAGGTTAGTTTGTTGGTTTGTTTGGATTGGATTGATTTCGTGGAGGACTTACCTGGGGCGGTTTGGAGGAGAGGTTGACTCGACATTTTGACGTGGGGAGAATAGAGAAGGTGGGGAAAAGAGGGAGGGGGGGAGATCAGAAGCTGTAGCAGCTCGAAGGTAAAATATTGATCGATAATATAGTAATATCGATCGAGTGCAAAAGAAAGATAGAAGACAGAGCTCTGAGAAGTAAGGATGAGCTCTCGAGCCGTTGATGTAACGAACCGAGGGCGTGACTTGAGTTCCGGGATTCGGGTGGATGCTGCAGAACTCAGTCAAAAGGGTGCATGCCCAGAGCTCGAAATATGACTGGTCCTTGGCAATCAACTAAACTAAAGATTTCTCACAGATAGTACTAAGGAAGGAATTAAAAACTAGAGAATAAGAACCAGTGTAATTTCTCCAACCAGAGCTAGCTCGTCAACTTAATCTCAAGTATGCGGATTAGGTAATGATGATGACCCACGTGTTCAGGCTATTGCCTGAGGCGTCTACGGATCATTATTTTACCGTTTGACGGACTACTGTGGCGGTGGCTGTGCTATTTACTGAGCTAGTCCCAAAATAGCTGTAAGCCACACGCGGCGCCGCTCTGTCACCCCCGAATGGTGATGCCACGGCCCAAACATCTCAACTACATTCCCCCGGTAGCCATTCATTGTTCACATTGACCTCTCGCTTACCATCCTCGAATTGACTGCATGTAAGCTTGACAAGCTCTATCCTCCCCCGCTCCCCCATTCCTACTGTCTCTCCAAGTCCCACAACCACCCATTCCCTCTCAATCGCATCGGGGGCGGTCCATGGTTGTGTTTACCGGACTCAATCCCACCAGACCTTCCCCCGCCTCCAATGCAAACACTAACTTTTTAAACTAAGCTTCAGTTATTAATACCTGAACCCCATCCATACTACACAATGTCCGCCGAAACCTCCTCCACCTCGGTGAGTACCGCTCGCGTGCGGTGAACGTCATTCCCGCATTCCCAATCGCCAATGGGAATCCGCCAATGGGCTCAATCGCTGACTCGGTTTCTCATCATAGCCCATTCCCGTCGAGAAGCTCACCAGTATCGCGACGGAGGTATGTCCAATCTATATACCTGCTGATCCTAGCCAGAACCCCTGACTCAGACTGACTCCTCCCTAACCGTAGGCATGCGAGACCGCTCTCAACGCCGTAGAAGGCTACGAGCACGCCAAAGTCGGCGACTGGAACTCCCAGATCATTGTGAGTCCTCCTCCCTTCCACCTAAGAAAGAGTACATCAAACTAACACCCCCAGAACACCATCCTTAAAGCCCTCATCACAGCTACAACCCCCTCCGCCGACACCGCCCCTCCCTTCCGCTTCACGGTAAACAGCACCATCGTCCAACAAGGCCTCATCGACAAGTCCGCCGCCGCAGACGGCAACCCCTCCAACACCGGCAAGCGCGGCATGCACTCCGCCTCGGGCGCCTACTGGGACGTCAACCGCGACGGCATGTGGACCTTCAAGTACCCTGGTGCTGAGGAGCGGGGGCTGGATGTGGTTATTAGCGTTACGTGGTTTGCGCTGGGTTGAGGGTTGATATCTAGGCTTCTTGGTTGACGCTGTTTACTTTGTCGTATATTGTTTGTTGCGTCTGTATCTATCTGTCTATCTGTGTTGTCAGAAGCGTGCATATATGCGCTGTGTGTTGAGCTGGTTTGCATAGTTGCGGCTTTTCTTTGATATTGTTACTGTATTATTGTTATTTCAGTTCCCGCTGTTACTTTTATTGGGATATTCGGCATATGTCACTTTACTTTCGGTGTATCTCCTGAAAGAGTTATACATAATAGACCCTTTGTTTGTCTTCTTTGTCCTTGCGTCTGATTGTATGATTGATATGATTCAGTCAAGACATACTACTTTAACAGTTCGAGCAGTCTGACAACTTGGATGGTATATATAAACGGTTGATCGGGTAATGTAAAATGGAACGTGTAACCCTATATGATACTCCCTACTCGGTAGATAAATACTAACAGCAAACAAAATCAAACCCCAAACAGCTGTAATAACAACCCTGAACACCAGGAAAAAAAAACAAGGAAGCATATAAGTGCCTCCCGCCCAATCCGAAGCGCCATGCTAGCCCATATAAATGAAGGAATTAAAAAGGAAGAAGAAACAACAATCACAGTGACGACAATCCCACCAGGTATATCTGGCTACCTATCGAGGCTCGGAGTAATCGTTGAGGGCAACGCATACAGCGCCGCGGTGGTGGCCGCTATACTGGCGGATGATCTGCCCCGAAGAGAGCTCCCACAGACGGGCGTAGTGGTCGCTGGAGACGGTAACGAGGTAGGCTGAGTCGGCTGAGAAGGCGCAGTCCCAAACCCAGCGTTGGTGGTTCGCCAGTGTGGTCTCCAGATACAGTGTTCCTGTGTTTGGGTCCATGGGGGGCCCGTCGGGTTGCACGGGGAAGCTCTGCTGGGGCTCGTTGCTGGGTGTGCTTGGCGTGGCGCCGTCGATTAGACTGAATGGGTTCAGTTCGTCGGCGGCTCGGCCGTTGGGTGTCAGGCGGAGCTGGAATTCTGGTGTGGTCGCTGCGGGGGACGCTGCTTTCTCTGGGGAGAGCAGGCCTTTGGCCTTGGCGCGAGCGGCTGCGGCTGCGGCTAGCTTGGCTGGCTGGTAGTCGAGGTCTAGGTTCCACACCTTGGCTGTGTGGTCGGCGGAGCAGGTCGCGAGATGCTTGACGTCGGGGGAGAGGAGAACCCGCGTGAGGTAGTCCTTGTGGGCCTGGAAGGTACAGATCGGGACGATGCGTGTGATCTCGGCGTCTTGGATCATGCGCCAGATATAGACGTTCCCCTGGGACTGTTAGTTGTGCTATGCGATTCTGATGCCAGTCTATGAGTCTACCTTTTTATTCCCCGCACACAAGAGAGACCCGTCGCTGGCGACGCTCACACTGTGCACGGCAACGTCATCTTCCGGAATCAACTGGTGGGTGCAAACACTCTCCCCCAAGTCCCAGACACGGACGATGCCAGCGCGATCGCCGCTGATGAGCTCGCCCTGATTAGGATGAATCACGACGTCGTTAACAGGAGCCTTGTGGGCATAATTGCGCTGCAGACTGCCAGTGCGCGTGTCCCAAACTTTAACCGTGTTGTCCTCGGAACTGGTCACCATCCACTTTCCCTCGCAGTGGAAAGCAACGCCGGTGATGTTGCTCGTGTGGCCATCGAACGACATGATCGGATTCGGGTTGGATGACTTGATGTCATACAGTTTGATGTTGTTATGCCCCGCTGCGGCCAAATACCGCTTGTCGGGGGTGATGCATAGACGGTTTACTTGGGAATCTGGATGTTGGATGGTGCGCGAACAGATCCCCGACAACGCCTCCCAGAAGCTGCATCGCTTGATGAGCGCTTAGATACTATTTTCTGGGTCGGGGCTCTTACCGAATTGTATGGTCATATCCGGCTATAATCGCAATCGTTCAACATGGAGCGACTCAGCAGTGCTCGGGAGTAACCGTGGATTTGATTACGGGAGATGGTAGTGGGGATACTCACCAGTACAGAGAATAACGCTCATCTTGAAGATACAGTCAGCGATGGGAAACGGGAGCGAACGAGGTTGGCGGGGAGGTTTGAGAAAGGAGAATCGCAAGTGAGGATGCAGCCGAAGATGATTAAACCTCGTCGGACAAACAACTCAAGACTGACTCCGGAGTGTAGATCTGCCGGTTTTATCTCCGCCCGCTGCTTCCCGCACGTGAGCGGTGTGGTAGGCGGTCTCAAAGGCGGAAAGATGATCTCCGATCAAATGACTGATTTTCCTTGCGTTTTCTCCGAGTGGGATTTTTTGATCTCCTTCCTGTCTCGTCAAGGAATCGTTGTTTCGGTTCTCTTGGTTTTATGAACAGAAGTCTATATCCCTGTACTTGTCCTCCTTGCTATTGGAGATATTCTTAGTGGTTACTGTCCTTACCATCGTCAAAGGTGGACTATACTACGACATCGCGAAGATCTGCTTCAGCCTTGCTTGGACTTACAACTGCACGCTGCCACCTGGACGATACGACTGAAGGACGGTACTGGAAGCTCTCTCTATCAAGTTGCCTCATTTTCCTCCGATCTGCTATCTTACCTCCTCAACATCCGAACTCAAAAATCAAAAATCAAAAATCTCAAACAGCCACTACGGCCTGAAAGGTACACAGCACTCCGCATCAAGCTAGTTGATCTGTTTCTCATTTGGCCTCCCTACAGCTTCTATTGTGTTCATGCCGCCTGCTACTCTCTGACGTGGTGGACGTCGTACGTCCCCTTAGTCGTTCGCTTGACAGTGGTCCGGAGCCTAGGGCATCGCAGTAGGCCATCCGGTTGAGCTGGCCAGTCTGTCGGGATGGATGGAAGCACGGTTGAAGGTATTTCTACCTCTCTTGAGACCTGCCCTTTCGACCCTCAGGAGCTCTTTGCCCTTGCGGATCTTCCATCTCCCCCATCTATCCCTGACTTGCGTCTGAATGATCTGGGGCTTACACCTCTCCCTGGGTCCCAGCAGCGGTCTGCCGACGAATTCGCAGCTTCTCCACGAGATGATGAACGTGGTTTGCCAGACGTTGGTGTAGGCGTCTCGGCCAAGGCCAGCGAATCTCGGACAAGCCAACTAGAGCCACCAGATTGGGATCTTCGTCCTGTAAGTCATGATGACGTGGTGGACAACAGCCAGGAACTATTACGGCAATTCTTCGATTCCGAGTCTGCCCTCCAAGAACTCAATGCAGCCTTCGAGTCCCGGAAGCGGACCGGTGACGATGCTTTCGATGAAGAGTTTGGATGTTGGGGCGTCTCCGGAAAGAGACGCCACATAGAACTGCCACAACATCAAGACACCGAACCACCGCTTGAAACACCCTCCCTATCCTCTCCCGAGTCGTTCCTTCGTCCCGACCAGGGTGAAACCGCTCCCCACACCCCGGCCGGGGAAGCGCCACATTCTCCGTCTTCCTTATTCAATGCCTACGATCCTTTATTCGACGATCCAGACTTCGATTTCGGGAATATCGACGATGAGCTGCCGCTAGACTTTGAGCTCGCCCCACATTTGGCACATGAGGATAAGCCCGCGGAGGGTAAATGTGAAAATGAGAACGCAAACCCGGTCGACATAGCAGATCACACGGTACAGTCTATTATAGATAACGCCACGGAGAAACTTCCGGAAATATCTTCTACCAGTGAAGCCACGAAACAGAGATTCTCCTTGAAGACACCAGATCTGGCCAATAATGCCAACCGTGAGGTTCTCCAGCGGGTTTGTCCGCAGCAGGAGTACACGTCGCCTTATCCAGTCTACCAAGGGCCTCTGGGCTATCTTCCATCGGCACCAGGGATCCATGTCAAGTACCTTGAAGTTGCCGAAGATCAAGTCAATGATCGATTCCTTACCCTCAACCATCGAGTGCGGCAACTGTCATATGAACGGACCAAGTACAGAAACGCCTGGTTTCGGTGGAATACGACCGACACTAAAACCGGCAAGACTAGGGAGCAAGCGTTGCGTGACGAGACGGCCCTGCATCGACGCTTGTCTTCCCAGCGCCAGTCGAAGGCGGAACAGCACCGGAAAGAGGCTGAAGAGTGGAAGCAACGCTTTTACGACCTCAGCACGGTCTACAACAATCTTCTCTACGAGATCAACGTGCAACGCACCATGCCAGCGGTTGCGCCGACCCCGCAGGGATACCGGCCGCAGGGTACGCCGCAGGCTGTTTCGGGCCCACAAACTGCATCTGGACCGTCCTCACAACCACAGTCGCAGGGCCACAGTCGACCGGTATCCCGGGGGCAACCTGCGATGGGGCCGCCTCCCCAATCCACACAGCCCGCGCCTGCGAATCCGGCTCCCCGCGAGTCTCGCCCGGTCACCATCGACTTGACAGACGAGCCAGAGATCAAGGCGCCCAATTCCGTTCCCGCTCCGACCCCTTCACCAGAGCAACAGCAACGCCGCAACGATCTGCTACGATCGCTGCAAAACAAGGAGTACGGGTGGCTCAAAGACACAGACCACAGCGACCATCACCGCGCGACGTCCACCCCCAGGACTTTCCAATCCGGTACAACGGCAATCCCCGAACGAAGCCACAGTTATCCCCCGGATCATGGAAGCGATGCTCGCACCGACAGCGAAAACGACGAAATGGTCCGTGCAATGGAAAAAGAATTAGCACAGGGCTGATCAGATCTGGCGACACTAGTGGTCTTATGATACCCTTTACACGATACATGCATTAGAATGGATCGGCGTTTGATTTTATTTGTTTATTGTGTATGATTAGCGGGCGCATACTGTATGATATTCTTGTCTAGGGTGGACTGGACTGGATGGACACTGGACAGAGGCAGGATGACCACAGATAGGTATGTAGGTTCATGAATGAACCATTCAATCGAGAAGTACAGATAGAACTCGACAATAAAAAAAAATCCAAATAAACACATTTCAAGAATATTCTATATGTAACCTCCAACCCAACCACCACTACACCACACTCATACATTCATACACTCACCAGGCAGACACTGTCCCCCGCCCCTTGGCAAACTCAACTAAGAAACATACATTAACTTCCGAAGGTAATTGGGTGGTGGTGGTGGTGGTGGTAAGAATGCAAGTCGCCCTTACCTCCCGACACCGCCATCTTGATTTCCTTTCTTTCCTCTTCCCTCGTTTCCTCTCCTTCAATGTTCGATGTTCGATGTGATGGTTGGGAGAGAGAGGGGGGCGGGGGGCGGGGTGTAAAATACGGTATGGTATATTGCTGGCATTTCGAATGGGTATTGTGATTTTCTTTATGTGAGTATTGGGGTTGTTGATGGGGGGACTGATTGTCTATATAAATACTACTACTACTCCTACTACTCCTACTACTCCTACTACTCCTACTACTCCTACTACTCCTACTACTCCTACTACTCCTACTACTCCTACTACTCCTACTCAACTGACCTATACAACTAGCCAAACCTCCATGATAGTTCAAATTAGATGTCGAATATATAGATTGAACAGCTTATATCGATATACAGCTGTTAACGATCTACCTATCTATCGATCATATCATTAATCGTGGAAATCGTAAAGTTCAACCTGCGGCTTTGGATGGAATCAACGCACACCGCGCTGTTTGCTGGTAGACCAGAAAATAGAATAAAATAAATAAAAGAATAATCCAATCACATCCAATCAGAATGGAAGAACCAAGATGACAAGAAGGGAATAAATAAAGGAGATAAAGAAGGGAAATAAAAATGGGAAATAAAAATGGGAAATAAAAATGGGAAATAAAAATGGGAAATAAGTAAAGGGAATAATAGAAGAAAGTAAGTAGAAGGAAAGAGATAAAGGTCAGGTCTAGAGGTACCAATCACCAAAACACGCTTGACAATGCATATAGATCGCAGTCTATATAGGAGCTATTATAATTTGGGCCTTGAGTCCAATTACTCAGTTTCTGTCGGAGTCGTTCCTGTCGGACTCTGGTGGTGGGATTGGGGCTTCTCGCGCATATCGGACCCATTGGAGCCGTTGGAGTCGGAGGACCCATGCTCCTTTAGCTGTTTTCGGGCCTTCCGCCCCCCGCAGCAGGCGGCACAGCACGACCCAGACTGCCAGATGAAGGCGATGAGGTTCAAGGCACTGGCGATCCACATGAAGGCCAGCATGCGGGTGCCGATTTCGGCCTCGATGTTCAGCTCGTAGGAGGAGTTGGTGAAGACGTTGCGGAAGATGAGGAACATGACGGTGGCGACGACGGAGGCGACGATGGTGAAGAGGGCGGTGATGAAGGTGAGGAAGAGGAAGGGGCTGCTGCGCAGGAGGACAAACGTGCGGCGGCGGTGCGGGGGGTGCGCGGCGTTGGTCTCGACCGAGGGGGAGATGCTCTGCGGGGGCCGGGACGAGACGGCCAGCGGGGACAGGAAGATGAGCACAAAGGTCAGGACGGTGGCGGTGATGAAGAGACCGAACATCCAGTAGGAGGCGATGCGGGCGATCTGGAGGGCATCGCTGATGTCGGCGGGGAGGGCGACTAGGATTGTCAGTTGTTTCCTTTTTTCTTCTTCTGTTCTCTTCTCTACTGATTTCCAATTGGACCAGGGGAGAGAGGGGAGAGGGGAGAGGAACATACTACTAGCCCCGGCGAGGAGTTCGCTCAGGATAATTTCGACAGGATTAAACCAGTAGAGTGTCTTGGGACGAGAGCAGTGGGTGATGCCCTCACTGTTGTAGCCCTCACAGAAATTCCACAGGCCGACCTGGTAGAAATCGTGCAGCCCGATAGAGCGGGCGATAGAGTTGATGAGGACGGCATTGGGGACGGAGAGCGGGATGATGTTGGAGAGATCAATTTTGAGAAAATAGGTGTTTCGTAGGACGGGTTTATTGGATGTGTTGGCGATGCAGACCAGGAGGAGAAAGATCCAAGCGAGAAAATAGAGAAGAGAGCGCAGGACGCGATGGGAGAGCACGGTGGCCGGTCGCCGGCCGTACTCGGGCGACGGAGACCGTGAAAAGGTGGGCAGTTTTCCCATATTCAAGTAGGATCATAGATGTATAGCAGAGATCATAAAAGCAGATCTCGAATGAAAGAGATCCAGAAGGATTGGGGAGAAAGGAATTATAGGGGAAGAATCTGGTTGACTAGACTAGAGCAGCGTCAGCGATCGATTACTCCATAATTGATTCATAGCGTGTTCCGCTTGACACGATTCAGGCAAAGCCGGTCGATCAGGGCGATCCCTGCTTGTTTAATGATCCGCAGGGCTGCTAAGTTATATTAATTCAGACAAACTAGGAACACCAGAACACAGACCAAAAGGAGTGGTGACGCTGATCCAAAAGAGAAGAAAACGATAAGAAGAGAAGAAGAATCGAAGAGAATCAAGAAATAATCAAGATCATAAAAATAATAATAAAGAAAATAAAACGTCATAAACACGTACCGAACCGATACCGATACCATACCGGGCCCGTACCCGATCGATACCGATCAATACATATCATTTCTTGATTCTTTTACTTCGACTACTTATACTTCTCTTCTTATACCTCTACTCTTCGTCTCTTTCTTCTCTTCTTTTCTCTTCTTCTTCCTCTTCTTCTTCTTCTTATTCTTCTCTCCCTCTCTATTTACTATATATAAGATAGAACATGAAGTGGCCCCTGGCCCTGGCCCTAGCCCTAGCCCCGGCCCTGGCCCTTCTACTCCCCCTCGTGGCCGCCCTGGACGACATCACCATCGACGGCACCATCACCGCCACCCACGCAGACCATGAGGTCCCTACCGCAGACCATCCCTCCTACTCCTCTACCAAGACCCTATCCCACGATGAAGCCAACAAGTCAGCACCCACAGTAGTCGACCCCGTCTCTCCCAATCCCGACAATGCCTCCACAGTCACGTCCGTCTCCGACTCGGTGACGATGACGCTGCTCATCGGCGGCCAGCACACCAAGCTCCTCACCAATGTCACCGCCAATTCCACTCGCACGCCGACTCCCTCCCCCTCCCCCTCCCCGATCATCAATACCCAGCCCTGCAATGGCCATCCCGAGTTCTGCGCTCGCAAATACTCCAACGTCTCTATTGTCGCCGCCCACAATAGCCCCTTTGTCAAACCGGGAAATGTCGCTGCCAACCAGGCGCTCGATGTGGAGAGTCAGCTGGACGATGGGATCCGCATGCGTATGTATATCTATATATACATTTTCATCTCGAAAAGACAGAAGCTGACCAAATCAGTCCAGTTCCAAACCCACCTGGTCAACAACACCGTCTACCTCTGCCACACCAACTGCGACATCTTCAACGTCGGCCCGCTAGAGACCTACCTCACCCGCGTCGCCCAATGGGTCCGCACCCACCCCTACGACATCGTGACCATCATGATCGGCAACCCGGACTACATTCCCCCCGGGAAATTCGTCGACCCCGTCAAGCGCTCCGGCCTCATGGATCTGGTCTTCACCCCGTCCAAGATCCCCATGACCCGCGAGGACTGGCCCACCCTGTCCGGCATCATCTTTTCCGGCAAGCGCGTTGTCGTCTTCATGGACTACGAGGCGAATCAGACGGCTTACCCGTGGCTTATTGAGGAATTTGCCCATGTCTGGGAAACGCCTTTCTCGCCTACGGACCCTACCTTCCCTTGTACACTCCAGCGTCCTCCGGGTCTGTCGCCGCCGGATATGGATGCCCGGTTGTACATGGCTAATCATAATCTCAACTTGAACGTCAACCTGGCTAGTCTCAACCTGCTAATCCCTAACACTGCCTCCCTGGTCGAGACCAACGCGGTGGATGGGCCGAGTAGTCTCGGCTTAATGGCAAACCAATGTACCAGTGAGTCCCCTCCGTTCATCTCTCCTCGGATCCAAAGGTTCTAACTTCCCAGCGCAATGGCACTACCCGCCCAACTTCCTCCTAGTAGACTACTACAACTACGGGAAGCCTAATGGGTCGGTCTTCGAGGTCGCCGCCCGGTTGAACAATGTGACGTACGAGGGACACTGCTGTGGGAAGACCTCGTCTGCTTCGGGTATACAGCCGGGGTGTCTCCATTACCTAGTTGGATTCCTCCTTTTCGCTTTGTTCTAGCGAACGGTAGAGATAAACGTGATGAGATACGATGTGCTACGAACTACGACCGAACTACGAACGAACTATAAAAACGAACTACGAACCTGACGAGCCAAACTACGAACTACGCTACGAACCACGAACCTAACGAACCTATATAAACGATATCCTTTATATGAGTCAGCGTTATACTGTACACTAGACTAACGGTGTTATGAATCTATAAATATAGGGTCCTGTTTACAGGTTGCCTACCCAACCTACTATACCAGTGTATGGTATCATACTTCGTATCTATACATCTTATCTTTCACACTTAGTATTTACTAGTATGTAGTACTAATGTAAGTACAGGGATCCAGCAAACATCCCCACTCACTCAACCTAACTAGCACTGCACTATCACTGACTTACCCAAGGTACTGTAGATACGAGTATCGCATAGTCAGTTATCGATAGGTATGTATGTAATCAATCTTACATCATCATTACATCACACATACACAAGATAACATCAACAATACAATATCATATCATATCATATCATATCAAAATAATCATAACAATATTGAAACATCTATTTAAAAAACACTCAAAACTACAAGGTATACAGACACACAGACACAGACCCAGCCCACTCAAACCTAAGACCCAACCCATCGAACCCAGCCTCAAACCTGTACAACAACAACAGCAGCCACCCCCTTGCACAATACGAGAATCCCACCGTTCAACCTAAACCATACACACCTAGGCACAATAGGTAGGTACCAATAGGTACAATAGTATACTACTACCGCCACACAGAAAAAAAAAGACCCGTAGCAAACATGGATAGTCCCTGCCCCCCTCCCCCCACCCACACCCCACTATTATAAATATAAACCGTAATTTTATCATCCATCCCTGCCAGATAAGAGTCGAGACTCTTGATGTATATATCGCATCCGCCACCCGCCCGCCACCCACGCGGTGGGGCGTTTTGGCTGGGTGCTTGGCTGGGTGCTTGGCTTTGGGCTACTGGGTGGCTTTGGGTTTGGCTTTGACCTTTGGGCTGCTGGCTGGCTGGACTGGAATGCTGGCTGGGCTGCTGGGCTGTGTACTTTACTATACGTAGATGGAGTGGGTCGACTGTCTAGGCGCTTTCTTTTCTCTCTCTTTTTCTCTTTTTCTCTTTTTCTCTGTTCTAGTACGGAGTACTAACTATATTATAATATAAGTACAGCTCCATATACAGGCTTATGATAGTTGATTTAGATACTGGGTTTAGAGAAGTTAGTATGTACTGACGATGCTCTGTCTATCTATCTATTCATCTAGCCATCTAGCCATCTAGCCATCTATCTAGAGGTATATATATGGTCTTCCACTGAAACATCAATAATCTAAGTGATAGACTATCTGTCTGTCTATTTAACACGAAACTATCCCATCCTACTCAACGCACCATCCCAATTAACATAACAAACAACAAAGTCGAAAGTCAACAGACAAAGTCATGAGAAGGAAGAAGAAGAAGAAAACTCGGTACAATCAGTCCGTCACGTTATCGTAGGCAATAATACAGAGTATATACAAATCCTCCTCCTTCACAATGAAATGGAAGACATTCGAGAAACGCAGAAAAAAGAGGAAATAGAAGAAAGAAAGAAAGAAAGAAACAAGCAGACCAAACTCGCGCGACGATTTGTCCTGTTCGACCGACTGACCACGCATGTACCGAGAAAGTGAATATGAAGATGGAATGAAGATGGAATGAAGATGATATGATATGATGCGAGGGGGAAAAAAAAAGAAAGAAGAGGGGAATATATCGATATTTCCGTATCCATATCCGTATCCGTTCCGTAGTCCAATGGATAAATGATACCTCCATCAAGTCCAATGACAATGACAAAACAGATCCTCGATGGGACGCTCTACGGCAATATTACTATATGAAAATGTTCTACTCCTGTCCGAAACCCAACGTCTCCTCCACTGCGATCGACATCTTGTGCTCCAATGCGTCGTGCGTCTTGTAAGGAGGCAGATCCAGCCGGTTGAAACTAGATACGTTAGAACGATCATCTGAAAGATAGGGAGAGAAGGACATACCAGGTGTGCGACTTGGGGAGCGCTGATGGATCCCCCGACTTCTCGATCGTGAATCGTCGAGGCCCGTCTGATCCTTGCAGATCCTTGAACCCGTTGACCGGAATTCGCGAGGTACCCGTCGTGAACTGCAGCAGTCGAGACTTCTGCTCCGCATCCCAGGTGCGCACGATCTTCCAGAAGTTCTGGATCACCTCGTCCTGCTCCTGGTACCCGCGGTAGTCGGTGTGCTTCTTCCAGTCGTCCACGTCGATGTCCGCGATACCTCCGATCAGCAACTCCAGTTCCCGCTCGTCGAACACGTTGACCAGATCCGCGGGGATCAGCTCGTTGAAGCCCGACATGAACGCGTTGAATTGCTCCTCCACCCGCTTGACGATCTTCCACTCAGTCACCAGCCTATTTCTGTTAGCTCGACACATTCGGATCATTCCATAATGGTTCAAACGTACTCGACATATTCGCCCTTGTTCTCGTTGGTGACAGGCTCGTCCCGTCCACCCGGCTTCAGATCGATCGTGCGACGCTCGCCAAACTTCTCGTCATCCACCGCAAAGTTCATCTCAATGATGCCCTCGATGTCATTTTCCCTGTCAAAGTCAGTCAACAATCCGCGCCACCAAGAAACACAAGAAAAACACGTACAAAGTCCACGCCAGATTGCGGTGCAAATCCTCGTCCACACCCTCCATGTCCTGCAGCGACACCTTCTTCCGCAGCATCATCTTGTAGAACGCCCCGATAAAGAAGGAATCCAGGAAACGGCGGTGGAAGATGGCCAACCCGACCACGCGTCCGATGAACTTGAAGTAGTTCAGATGCTCCGGGTTGACACCCGAGTGCGGGTTGATTTGCAGGGTATAATTATCGTGGGCCGAGTACTCGAACAGACAGTAGAAGGGGTTGAACATTTCATGAGAGAGAAGGAAGAAGAATTCACTGCGAGGATTAGCACAAACTGTTTATAAAGAGAAACTAGGGGAGAAAGAAATACCGAGATAGACCACCATAGTCGAGACCGTCCTCCCCGTCAAACTTGATCATCAGTCGCTTCTTCAGGTCGGACGCACTTTGTCGCATGATCTCGGCGTAGGAGTCCTCGAAGATGTTGTTTCGGCGCACCTTGACGTGACACTGTCCGGACATGATGCGCAGGGCCGGCTGGGAGCGGAAGTAGATCAACTTCCGTCGGAAGTCCCGCTTGTACTGCGGCACGCCCTGGTCCAGCGACGACGGCAGGCGCGGGTCATCCCAAGTGGTGGTCTTGGTGTTGTGGTCGACAAAGTACACGCGGGCCGTGTTGGTCAGGCGCATCTCCCAGCCGCTGGGCAGCGGGCCCAGCTGCGAGACGGGCTGCTGCTGGATCGTCGTGTTGTTGGTGGTGCCGGCATTCTGGCCGTACATGCGGATGTACTGCTGTCGGCGCGGATCGACCCAGGTGGTGGTGCGGGTGTTGTGATCGACGAAATACGGCCGGCCTTCAGGGGTGGTCCGCTGCTCCCACCCGGGCGGGAGCTCCCCAGTGCCTGCCGTGGTCGCTCCCGTGGCCATCATGGACACCGCGTTGGCGCTGCCACCCGCCGGCGGGGTCGAGGCCTGCGGGGGCTGATCCTGCGGATTCGGGGAACTGGCGCCCGTGCGGTCCTCGGGCAGCATCCGACTCTGGTGCGCCCTCCGCTCCAGCTGCATGTTGGCCTCGCGCTGCGTTCGCTGCGTGTGTTCGTTGTAGTTCGACGGCGGGCGGGTCCACGTGGTGGTCCGCGTGTTGTGGTCGACGTAATAGGTCCGGCCCAGGTTGTCCTCCCGTCGCTCCCATCCGGCCGGCAGACGGCCTTGACTGTCCTCGAACGAGCTGAGGTTGGTCCGGGAGCCGTGTTGGTTGTTGGCGGCCGTCGCGGCCCCGTTGACGGGGACGATCGTAGTGGGCGGTCGGGTGGACGAGGGTACGCGCTGGGGGTTCGCGGACGGATTCGTGATCGGGGGCGGGGGGTCCGCATGACCGGGCGCGTGCGGGGCGTTCACTTGCGGGACCAAGCCGCCGGCGGGGGGCGGCGCGTTGTGGGAACGAGGCATCCCGTTCGCTTGGTTGGTGGCGGGGGCCGTGAGGTTGGTGGACAGGTTGACGATGAGTTTTCCATGAACGACCAGATTATCGTTGGATTTCTTCAGGTCCCTGGTGAGCATTTCTGCAGGGAGTAAGCAAGCTGTCCAATACGCCGTACGAGGTGGACATGATAAGGCGGATGATACGCACCATCGCCACCCATCTGGAGGTCGATGACATCTCCGACGCGCACGTTGATCACACCGAGAAAGCCCTGATCCTTCTTCTTGAATTTCTTCTGGTCGAAAATTTGGATGGCCAGAATGCTATCTTCGTTGACTCGCCTAGCCGCGGAACCCATCAGCGTCCATAAATTCAAGCTCCATCGCGCCGGCGACTTACAGATCGAACATCTCATTCCAGTATGGGTTCAAGGTCTTCTTGATGACCGACGTCGTTTTTGTCTGTTCACCACCAACCGTTGCCACCGCGAAAGGATCGGGGAAACCTACGGACCCGGGTGGTTAGCATGGCGGAATCGGACGGGATAGGATCCGCGTGGGATGGGGAGGTGGTTCATACGGAAGACATCGCGCTTATATAGACCATCGGCGGCGATGACTGTGGAAGAAGAAGAGAAGAGAAGAGGTTAGTTAAGTTCGAAGGATATAGGTAGGATGACGGGGTTCTCGAGGAATCCCCGATAGTCGGATCATTTCCTTACTTGTGATCCTGAGATTTGGCTGACTATCATCCCCGAACGACATTGGTTAGTTCACTTTTCTTCAATGATCTCACCCGACCCGATCAGACACGGTCAGAAATCACCGAGGGAGACTTACGCGGGCAGATTGGAACCCATATTGGAGTTGAGGAGGGAGGACGGAACAGGCAGACCAGGCCTGAGGAAGAGGGAGGCAAAAGGCCGATCAAGGCAAGCCTAGGAGGGAATTCGCGACGACCGCATGAACCGCAAAGCAAGAGGACCACTGGGGGACGCACCCGACCGAGGGGCGGTATCGAACAGATCCAGGCCGAGTAAGGAGGACCAGGAAGGAAATGAGAGACGGGGGGGAGAGATAGGAAGAGAGGATGATGGAGGGAGAGGGAGAGGGAGAGGGAGAGAGAGGGAGAGGGAGAGGGGCGGAGAGGGAGGGGGGAGAGAGGGAAAGGGTGGGAAGTGAGCGAGGCTGAACAGAAGAAACCAGAATTCAAGATTTGAATGGATTAGCGGGGAAAGAAAGAGGAAGTCGGCGGAGTGGGGGATGGGAGAGTGATGGAGGGATGGAGATGGAGAGAGATGGAGGATGCGAGAGTCGGTCATGGACTCATGGTATAATACCCGGACGGGAGTAGCTCGAGGCGGTTCAGTAGGAGAGAGAATGGCGGGGGCTGAGCATGACTGAGCATTGGCTAGTCTTGACGTGTGCTTAGTCATGTATTCTTATATAATCTATACATAGGTATTATAGTGTGTATGATAGTTTCTGAGTATATCCAGAGTAGAACCGATTCATTCTGGAGTTCTCAATGACTATAGTGTATGGAGTAGAACACACAGAAGTGATGTTGTGGACAGAACTGCACCCATCGCCCGATCTAACCAGTCAGAAGATCCCTGCTGGATCAGGATTTATCCATTCTGATCATTGGTAAATTGAGGACAGAATCTCTCTCAATGACAAGGCAGACCAGACTACGGAGTATCCAGTCCAAATCCTACGAGCAAGGCTGTCATGGCGTATGATCAAGTCCAGTACGAGGATACACTACTAGGCGCAGTTAGTAAGGCTCCAATACCATGATTATCCTAATCAGGAATAGTCCACCATTGTATCTTTACATGTTGGTTCTCAATAATCTCTAGATAGGAGAAGAGAGATAGACCCTGGGTGTATGACTACGAGGTAACATTGACTATAATCTCCACAGGAAATAAGGAGAAGAAAGACAGAAAGAAGAAAGAAAAGGAGGATTATGTCACAACTTTAATCTAGAATAGATGATCCCAGACAAGGCAGCACCATTCCATGCCCGACTTGGCATACTGTCTACTACCACTATACGGAGTACAGGAGAAAGACTACTACGACAGTGTATAGGATTGACGAGATCATCCTCAGTGACTTCCTAGGTAGTGTGTAGTATATATGTATACTACAGGAATACCCTAGAAGCATCTATATCCATTCCCGTACGAGTCAGTCGACACGGTCGATGGATCTGATACCACAAATAGCGAGGTACGGAAGTCGGGAAAGGAAAAGTAGAATAGAACAGGAGACAAAGATAGAGACCATAGATATATCGATATCAGTCACAAGCGCGTGGTGTCCATCCTGACCCAGTCTGATGCGCCAGTTGGTTATCATACAGCAATACATCCATCCATCCCAGCCCGTTCCCTCCCCAACTCCAAAGCGGTCGGCCTCGAAAATCAAACCGGGCTGATCCTCTCCTCAGATTTGATCCTTTGATCGACCTGGATTGCCACACGTCCTTGGGGCAATCAACCAGCTTCGCCCGTCCGTCGGCACATTAGGTCACTCGCAGTGCTACCCTCGGCCCCCGAGTGGAATGAAAATGAAGAAAAAAGACAAGGTATCTAGTAGGGTGCGTAGCCTCGACCCCGGCCGCGATAGCCTCCGCGATAGCCACGAGGGGCGCCTCGGAATCCGCGACCCCCGCGGAATGCGCCGCGGCCACGGCCCCGGGTCATGCCAGGCAGGTTGGTACGCTTCGGAACGACCTGTCCGTAGTCAGTACTGAACATCAACGGAAGTGCAAGTAAATGAGATGCTCACCTTGAGATTCCGGCCACGGAACACACTCTCGTTCAACACCAGAGCCTGAGCCACCAGACTCGGTTCCGCAAACTCAACATAGGCATACCTAACCCCAACGCAATCAGTATCATTCAATTTCTCCATTTCTGACCCCCCGCAAGATAACCTACCCCTTCGGTTGACCGCTGAACTTGTCCAAAAGGATCGTCACCCGGTTGATCGAGCCGCAGCTCTGGAAATGCGCCTGGATCTCCTCCGGCGAAGCGCCGTAGTCCACGTTCCCGACGAAGATACTCCGCGCATCGATCTCTTCCTTGTCTTCCCGTAGGTTCTCGTTCTGCTGGTCCAGCGTGGCCTGCATCTCACGCAGCTTGGCCGCTTCGGATTCCATCTCGGCTACCCGCTTCTTCATCGCCGCGATCTCTTCCTAAAGTAGACGGACGTCGCGTTAGCTTGGGCCTCGCGGGAAAAGACGAAAAGAAAAAAATTTTCCCCAGAGAAGCAACACAAGAAAAAGAAATGCAAGACCGCAACGGACGGCTCATACATACCTCGTCGTCTCCCCCCTCCACAGGCGGCTGCTGCTGCTGCTCCTGCTGCTGGTGGTCCTGCTCCTGCTCATGCTGCTGCTGCTCCATCTGCTCATCCTTGATTTCCTGCCCTTCCGAAGCCATGATAATCGATGTGATGCAAACGACGAGTTTCCCCCTCGTCTTGTTTTCGGACCGGCGTCAATGGTAGGACACAAATGACGAGACGAGTCAAAGAGCAACGGCCACTTTCCGCCTGTTCGGGTCAGGTGGGCTACGAAGATAGCTCCCCTAGGAAAATCTAAAATCCGGTGGGTCGGGGGCGACAAGGGGTTTTTTTCTTCTGGATAAGAATATCGCGAGGGATGGATTGAAATTAGATCAGGTGTAAATTTGAGAGATTGAAAGATATGTGGAACCTGTCTGAGAGGTTACGGTTGATGTTCAATGAATGCGACCGGGGACTGAGTGCGAGGGTCGACGGTGATTGTGAGGGAAGCTCTTTGAGGCCTGAGGTTGCTGTCCTCTCTTTCCGGCTAGTTCACTTTGTCATCCATATCGATCGATTGATACAACATCCACCAGCTCATTATGACTTGAAGCACTTGACGTCGCTGACTTATACTGTTTTGATAAGTAGCAGTCTGTTGATATTCTGTCTTACAACAGATAGCGATTTCAGTAGGGTACGGGAAATCCCCAACAACTACAGGCCTGACAGGGAGCTGATATAAAAGGAACCGGTCGATGTTTGATAATTAAAGAAATAGTCATGATAATGATCTCATAAATAGAGTAGAACAGTAAACGTCAGATCGCACCGGTAAAGTCAACAACAGGAGTATCTATGGCTTATATACGACAGCAAGAACAAAAAGAAGAGACATCATTCATGACGAAGGGGCGGAATTCTTGCGATAGGAGATCTTCTCAACCTTGACGCTTTCGACTCCCTCCGCATCGGTCTTGAGCTGATACACGTACAGCACGAGCACATCGCCTTGGATCTGGAGAGGGGCAACCGTCCGAGTCAGTCATCTGCCGGTTGAGGTCACCAAAGGGCTCCGACAGGTACTTACATCCATCAAGCAAAAGCTCGGGGTCGGCTCCTCGCCCTCCGGCCAATAGCTGGTACTCAAGGCGCCGGTGGCACTGCCCGGGTTCACGAAGAACCGGCCCTCCATCTCGAACGCCTCGAATCGGTGGGTGCCGCCCCACAGCAAGATATCGACATCCATCTGGCGGGCGGCAATGAGAAGGGCGTCGGCGTCGCCCGGGGGGACAATGGTGTGGCCATGGGTAAAGCCGATGCGGAGGCTGCCGTGGGTGACGACCTTGGAGAGGGGTAGGTTCGGGGAATCGACATCGAAATCGCCTTTGACGACTTGGAGATCGGGGGCGACCCGACGGAAATATTCAAAAGTACTCCGGTCGGTTAAGTTGCCTAAACACAGGATCTGGCCGATTTTACCGGGGGTCAAGAGCTTTTGGAACTGCACGAGTATGTGTCAATCGGAGGGGTTATCGCAAAGGATGACGAGGAAGCGGACGGCGCGCGTACCTTGGCTGGGAGGTCCTAACAAAGGGTAAGGTCTCGTATTAGCGTGAGGTATTTCCGGTGGGATATATGTCATATCTCCAACAATATCCAACTTACGGGAGCTCGATCGGGAATGAAGAGGTCACCGATGACCAGGACCAAACGCGAGGTCATCCTGATAGGGAGGTCGTGATGAGTCGGGAAGACTCAATGGTGCATTCCAAACTTTCTTCTTGTTCTCTTCTTCTTTGTCTTCTTCCGTTCGGGGACAAGTCGGCGAAACCAGGGTTGGAGTAGCGGGATGAGGTTGAATCTAGATGGTGGAATTACTTGGATGGAGCTTCGCGGGGGAAGCTTACCGTCCTGGCTACTTACCTGGTAGTAAGTAGTTCATTCCTCAGGCTGCCTTATCGCTCAACCCTAAACCCTAGCTATAGCTCAGACAATACTTTCTTTCTGCTTTCTTCTTATCCTTCTTCTTCTTCTATACCATAGAGCATCTACTGAATACAATGGAGTCTAATCCGGAGTACAATCATGGTCTATACAAATACATGATGACAGGTCATCAAGATACGGAGTAATACTCAATACATGACGTATTAATCATTATGGTAGACCGTGTATGGACGCGTAAAATACACGGATGCGGACCGCCAGGAACCGACCGGGTTACCTAATCCGGTTTAATGGACGAACTGCATCGTAAGGGATAACAGAATAAATAAGGATAAAAAGGATAAAACGAATAAAAAAAGGAATAAAATCGGAGACACAAAAAGAAAAACAGATATAAAATCGAATCGATCTTTCTCTCCAGATTCACAACCCATTCAATTCTTCATCTCCATCTTCAATTCCCCTCTACTACTCTGCTACTCTGTAGAATCCAGATCTACTCCACCAAAGCGTCATCACTCTCTGCCAATCAATTCCCTGTTGGTCTCCGGCGATCCCCGACTTTTCCCACCCGGTGGATGTGGATTTGAGAGGCTCCCCTTGTGAGAGCCCCGAGGAATCGGAACCGTGGCGACCAAACAGGCGACGCAGCGGCTCAGTCTGATCTCCAGACACCTGGATCAGCGGCTGCCTTTGCCCGAGTTGAACACTCCATTCTCGACCGAAAGGAATTCGCTCCCCTCCGACGACCTGGAATATAACCCGCTCAACCGTTCCACCACCATCACCACTCCTCTTCCTCCTCCCTTCTTCTCCTCCCCGAACACTTCCATATCCACCATCATGTCTGCTCAAGCACCGCATTCGACCCTGCTCATCCCGGGTCCCATTGAATTTGATGATGCCGTCCTGCAGTCTATGTCGCACTATGCGTGAGTTCCTCAACCCCTCACCCCGATAACGACCCCTCTCCGTACCCCTCCATCACCACATCCCCACCACCACAGTTATGAGAAGCTTCATACAACTCCAATCAATTGGAGAATGAAATATAATTTAATAAAATTGTCAAATACTAATAATTCACAGTGAGAGCCATGTCGGCCCCGGCTTCGTCAAGACCTTCGGCGAGACCTTGAGCATGGTGCGGAAGCTCTTCCAATCCACCAACCCCGCCGCCCAGCCCATCGTCGTCTCCGGCAGTGGTACCCTCGGTTGGGACATCGTCGCCTCCAACTTGGTCGAGAAGGGCGAGAATGCCCTCGTCCTGCACACCGGCTACTTCGCCGACTCCTTCGCCACGTGCCTCGAGACCTACGGCGCCAACGCCACGCAGATCAAGGCCCCCATCGGCGAGCGCCCCTCCTTCGAGCAGCTCGAGCAGGCCCTCAAGGAGAAGCCCTACAAGGTCGTCACCGTCACCCACGTCGACACCTCCACCGGCGTCCTCTCCGACATCAAGCGCGTCGCCGAGGTCGTCCGCCGCGTCAGCCCCGAGACCCTCGTCGTCGTCGACGGCGTCTGCAGCGTCGGCTGTGAAGAGATCGCCTTCGACGCCTGGGACATCGACGTCGTCCTCACCGCCAGCCAAAAGGCTATCGGCTGCCCCCCGGGTCTCAGCATCCTCATGCTCTCCGGCCGCGCCGTCGACGTCTTCCAGAACCGCAAGACGCCCCCCGCCGCCTACTACGCCTCCCTCACCAACTGGCTGCCCATCATGAAGAACTACGAGAGCTTCAAGCCCTCCTACTTCGCCACCCCCGCCACCCAGCTCGTCCACGCCCTCCACACCACCCTCAGCCAGATCACCGCCCGCCCCATGCCCGAGCGCTTCGCCGTCCATGCCGAGGCCTCCGCCCGCGTCAAGGCCGCCGTCGCCGACCTCGGCCTCAAGCAGCTCGCCGCTACCCCCGAGAACCAGGCCCACGCCATGACCGCCATCTGGCTGCCCGAGGGCATCGCTGCCCCCGACGTCCTGCCCGGTCTGCTCAAGCGCGGGGTCATCTTCGCAGCCGGTCTGCACAAGGAGTGCCCCACCAAGTACATCCGCTTCGGCCACATGGGCGTCAGCGTCACGGACCCCGCCCGCAAGGACATTGACAATGCCCTCGCTGCGCTGAAGGAGGCTTTGACCGATGCTAAGCAGGCTAAGGGACTGTAATGGATTAATGGACTGTATCTTACTATGAAATATCACGCATTGACTTGGTACTCCGCTTTGTTAATTCTGACTTTAGATTGAGTCAGCAAGTAAGCAATTATTAGAATTCGTAACTTCCGTAGGGTTGGCGATGTAACATCAGCCACGTAGTAGGATATCAACAGTTGATATATGCAGATCTGGATAGATGTATATATATATATATATCCTTAGGATAACTAGTTATTCAACGTCTACATATTCATACTCTTGTTTAACAAAACTATCTATATTTGTGGTTTTGTTAATATATAGCTATAACCACCTCAGGTATATATATATACATTCCTCCATACAAATATCGTTTTCTCTCCCCCCTACTATAGTATATAACCCATGTCAACGAGTCCCAATCACAATAAACAAGAGAAACCATTGAAACCATTGAAACAGAGAAGCAAAAATACAAAATAAACAGTAAAAGCCACAGAAAATCTACATATATTCAGTATTCTCTAAAGGACAAAAAAGAAGAGGAAAGAAGTAAGGTAAAGGGATCACCCCAATTCATAGTCTCCATCTCCGTCTCTGTCTCCATCCAAAGTATATGGTAACGATAAGTAAGTGTAGCGTAATAACATGATTCTGATTCTGATTCACAAGAGTGGAGCTCAAACAGCGGCGATAGTGTAGATAGATAGGTGAATAAGAGGAAAAAGAGAAAAATCAATTACAAGAATACCCCAACCGGCTGGGATAATAGATAAGTAAGAATGAGTCAATAATCGCAAGTAATAGAAAATATGATATAGAATAGAGGGGGGTATGACGATGAAGGAATGCTAGAGTAGACAGGCACTTCGTTCATGCTTTCTTGAAACACACACGCACAGCTCAAGCTCACTTGGTATGATGATGGAGGAGAGAAATGCGTTTATTAGAGGTTGAATCATCTTTCAGGGGAGACACATTGGTGATTGAAAGCCGGGCCTGTGTATGTATGTATGGGTTTGGGTTTTCGTTTTCCTTTTTGACTTTTTTTTTTTTTCAGTTTTTCTTTTCTTTCTAATCTTCGTTTGCTTCATTCCATCCGTTCTAGTACGTCACGTCCTCATTCCACGCTACGACTCGGCTTCGCCACGTCGTAGGGCTAGGAATGCCCGCACGTCGGTTACATGCTGCAGGGCTTCCAACATTGGGATGATGTGGAGGAGTCCATTATCGGTGGGATCACTGATCCACCCCTCGATGGGAATAGCATTATCTAGCACGGTCAGCTTTTTGCCTAACAGATGAGATCAGCGAGACTTACCCTCGTGAAAAATATAGCTCATGGGGCTGTTGTCTAAAATCATAACCTTGCTCAGGTCCGGCTCGACCGAACTCAGATCCTTGATGTACGCGCCGTTGCGGAATGTGCAGTGCTGCCGGTATAACCGCGCGTGGAAGTACTTCCGCTCTTGCTCCAGCCAGTCAATGACTGGGTCGGCATATTCCTGCACGCTGGCGGTGAAGACCACCAGCTTGTACCATTTGCAGATTTTGCGCAGGAAGTCGTCGCAGTGCGGCCGTTTGTGCACGTAGTATAGGATGGGATGTTGCGGTCCCAGCGTCGTGGGCGGGGCTCCGGGCGTGAGGGCCGTCGTCATCGGGGCAGCCAGCTTGACTTCGACCATGTGGCCGCTGGACATGCGACCGCCCTTGGCCAAGGAGTGGATGAGGGTCTCGTCTAAGTCTAGGACCAGGGTCTTCTGGGGAGCGGGTGTAGAGCGCGAAGCGGCCCGGTACGATGGGATCCGCGGAGGGATCAACGGCCGCGGCGGGACCGGAGACGCGTGCGGATACCGGGTGACACGATGGACGGAAGCTGAGGAGGTGGGCGATTTCAGACTGTCGGGGTCCAGCGACCCTTGCCGGCTATGTGATGCCCGGCCGAGATCCGCGCTCTGGGTCCGACGTTGCCGCTGCTGCTTCAGAGCTTCTTCATTATGTAACTTGATGCGAATGGAACGTCGAGGGGTATTCTCTTCGGACACTTGTTCAGTATTTGACGGTTTTGATTTCGACGGACGGTGTTTGCTGCTGGTGAGACCCTGAATGCCCCGACGATGGTCTCCTTCGGACTCGGAGGTACTGGAGACGATGGAATCGCGCGAGGCATGGCCCTTCAGCTTTCGCGCCGAGCCCGGCCTTCGCCGCCCACCTGCTTTCGCACCCCTATTCGAAGGGCTTGTACCATTTGTCGGAGGACCAAAGAGCGACCGCCGGAGTTTCCTCACTGGGGCCATGGGAGTATAGTAACCGTCATCATCGCGAAACAGCTGGGCGACATAGATGCCCGGCGCAGCCAACGTAGAGAGAATGAATTTGATAGTTTCCGCAATCGCGTCAAAGAACCGCCTCGTCACTAATCCGTAAGAGCTTCTCGTCGCCAGGGAACCGTCCTTGTGGAGGCCCCGAACCAGTGGGGTCTTCTCATCGAACGGGGAGTCCGTGGCATGCTCGTCCCCGGGGTCGTCATCGACACCACTCTTTTCGCGGGAAAAGGCAGCGGGAAAGTCATTTCCACTGTACGAGCGAAGATTGGCAAGATCGGCGGCGGAACTCGACGGAGGAGTCTCGTCCTGCGAACGGGATCGCTGGCGGTTCCGGCTCGGATTGGAAGATTGACCAATGACTCGAGACGACAAGAGGTTCAGCGAGTTCATCTTCCACCTCTAGCCACGGTCGGGTCCGGGCTGGCGCAGATGTCTAGAGAGCCATGCCATACAAGTCAGCAACCACTTGTCTTTTCCGACTCAGTCCAAAATGTCAGTCCCGGGGACCAAGGGGCACCAGGACGACTCGAGTCCCCGACCGAGTAGATCCATCTGAGAGGGTGAAAGGCAACCGACCTCAATGCGCCAGTCAATTACCCGACTCTTCTGACTAGATGAGATGCAAACAGAGTTAGGCTTCACAGAAGCGACTCGAACACCTCTCTCCGTCCGGGGATGAGGGCGGAGTATGCGAAGAAATGGGCCGGGGAGATAGGGTGGAGAGAGGGAAGAGCCCTCTCGTGGGCGGATAAAAGAGTCGAGGACGTGAGAGGAAGGGAAGAAGAAATTATAAAAGTATGGGGAAGGAGAATAAAACGACAACAAACAAATCCAATCAACCAGATCGCGAGGGAGAGAGAGGAACGAGGCGAAAGCGGAGGATGAAGCAGAGGAGTGAGTTGTTCTCCATACCAGAATCCCAACGGCAGTTTAAGGCGGGCCAAAGCCGCTTTCTCTCCGCCTTGTCATCCCACTTTGATCTTTCTTCCACCACCATCACCTATATCGCAGCCGTATCCTCCTCCTCTCTGCCGATTTCCTCACAGTTGGGGTGTTTGATTGGAGTCTATCTGCATAGGAAATTCTTCTTTGGAAGATTAGTGTCTATACACACACCATCTAGGTACGAGAAAAGAAATTGTCCTGTGGTGACTCAACTGCTAACAGCGGACTTTACTTCCGTCTTCAGACCTGAATAGTATCTTGCCCATTATAACAAGAAGAAGAGAGAAGAAAGAATCAATGCCTTCCTCCGCGGCCCTGACACCGGGCCTGTCGTCCTATCTCAAATCACTCAAGACCAACCCGATCGACACCTCCATTGATAATCTGATCTCGTGCGTCTGAGGCTCTACATAAGGAAATTATCTCAATCGCAGTGCTGACCCAATTTAGACTTCTCAAGCGGAGACAGATTCGCCATTCTCGGTCCTGCGCGACTGCTACGGCTTACCTTCTTCTTCGAGTGATCTCGGCCTGTAGGACCAGCGATGCCGGCAAGCTGATTGAGCGGGTGCAGAGCGTGGGACGGCGGTTGATCGCCGCTCAACCGCGGGAGATGGTGGTCGGGAACATTGTGCGACGGGTCTTGGGTTTGATTCGTGATGAAGCTGAAGATGACCGGGAAGGCGATTTTACCTTGAGCGAGGCGGGCTCCGAAAGCCAGCCGCAGACTCCCCGTGCCACTGATGGTCAGTCTCCCGCGCATTTGAGCCCATATGCCGAAGTAACCAATGCTGACGCTGAACTGCAGACCCATCGGTCCACGAAGGCTCCGATCGATCCTTGTCTCGCCCTCCTTTCCCCACCATCAACACGACTCCGATCTCTATGTTCAACCTGCTTTCACATCCGGAGCCCCAGCCGTCTCTCCCCGGGACGCCCGTGTCCGCCTCGCCTTCCGGAAGATTCCCGCCTTACGCGCCGACCAAAGACATCCGGGCCGAAGTGCTGGAGGGGATTGGAGAAATCATCGATGAACTGGGTCAGGTCGATGACCAGATTGCGGCGTATGCGCTCGACCACATCCACTCGAACGAGATCATCCTTACGCACACCTCGTCCACGACGGTTCAACGGTTCCTGCTCAAGGCCGCCGCCAAGCGAAAGTTCACCGTGATCCACGCCGAATCCTACCCCAACAACCACGAGGCCACCCATGCCACCGTCAGCGGCAAGGAAACGGGCGACGAGGAGATCATGAGCACCGAATCGTTCCAAAAACCGCTCATCGCGCTCGGGATCACGGTCATCCTGATCCCCGACTCGGCCGTCTTTGCGCTGATGTCGCGCGTCAACAAGGTCATCCTGGGCACGCACTCGGTCCTGGCCAACGGCGGCCTGGTGGCCGCGGCCGGCACCCGGGTGATCGCCCGCGCCGCCAAGCTGCATCAGACGCCCGTGGTGGTTGCCAGCGGCGTCTACAAGCTCAGTCCCGTGTACCCGTTCGACTTTGAGTCGTTGATCGAATACGGCGACGCCAGCAAGGTCATCCCCTACGAGGACGGCGATCTTGTCGACCAGCTGGACGTGCAAAATCCGCTGTACGACTATGTGCCGGCAGAGTTGGTGGATCTCTACATTACCAATTTGTATGTCTTCTTTTTCTCCCTCCTGCTTTTTATTTGACCGTACTAACTGGATATAGGGGCGGCCATGCACCATCATACCTTTACCGGATTGTATCGGACCACTACCGCAAGGAAGACATTAGCTTCTAAGATATGGAAGAAAAAAAATGAAATAAAGTTAACAATGAAAAAAACGATATACCAGCTGATTCAAAAAAGAGAGAGAAAAAAAGGATGCAGAGGTTTTGAGATAAAAGTGGACTGGAGTGGCGTAAGGTCTGTCATCACGCAATAAAGGAACGATACCCACGAGGATCATGGTATGAGGACCTACATAATTGATATAAAATCAAAGTTCAATACATGTCATACAGACCAGTACTCCGTAGCAACTAGTAAGTAGCCTTAGAAGCTAGTGCATACACCCCACAGATGGCATGACGGATGCTGTATGTACTACTACGTAAGTCTACGGAATACGAATACAGGCAGGGGATGATTTTGGAAGGACTTGAATTGGAGGGGCCATCCCAGAATCAATCATGGCGGCATTCTTTCTTCTTTCTTTCTTTTCTTTTGTATTTTATTTCTTTTGTTGATGGGGAGGAATAAGAAAAGTAAAAGAAGAAGAGGAGAAAAAAGAAAAAGAGAAATTCGGAGTATCACAATCGTATAGTAGCTGCAAGATCATATCAATTTGCAGGGTCATGCGTCCCAAATCTGTTTCTCGAGTCGGGCATGAAAAATCCATCTAGACCACAGACGTGATTTCCCACCGTCCCAAATGCATTCAATTCAATCAATCCATCTAGGGCAGGACCCCGAAACCGCCATCTCGAAAGATCCAGTCAAAAACGCCACTCCATCGCTTTCGTCCTCATTTTTTTCCGTCCCGGTTCGTTTGGTGGGTTGAGTTGTTTACGAGCGGGGCTTCTCCTTCTTCTCCTTCCAGAGGGCCATGAGACCGACACCGGAGACCTTGACGACCTTGAAACGGACACCGGGAATATCACCCTTGGCCTTGCCCTTGCGACCGAAACCGGCCAGGAGGACCTCGTCGTTCTCGTCGATGAAGTTCAAGCAACCGTCATTGGGGACTATCACGGTATTAGTATATATCGCACGGTGCGCAGATACCATGGTATCTGCATATCCAACTTCACCGTAGCAATGGCGTGTCGAATAGAGAGAGAGGAAACTCACCGAAAGCAGTGACCTTCTTGCCGTTCTTGATCAGCTGGACCTTGACACACTTGCGAATGGCGGAGTTGGGCTGCTTGGCCTCAACACCGACCTTCTCAAGGACGATACCCTTGGCGTGGGAAGCACCACCGAAGGGAGACGACTTGTAGGCGGTACCGAGCAGACGCTTCTTGTAGTGCAGGTCAGCCCACCGGTTGTCACGGCGGGTGGTGGCCAGCTTGCGCGCGGCGTTGAGTCCACGGGGCTTTCCTTTACCCATCTTGGCGGATTATTCGAGTCTGTGAAAGATATTAATTAGATTGATTGTTCCTTTCTTGTTCGTCTTTTTTTCGAGTAGCGGTGTTCGTGGGGTGATAGACGGATAATGATAATGAGGTTGGATATCGAATTCGAGATAGTCGGACGTCGACAAAAATGATGACCGGTCCAAAATGCGATATCGATATCCACGAGACTAGGAAAAAGGTGTGACCTACCGACTGAAGATAAACTGCCTGGACGGAGGGCTGGGGATGGTTGTCGAAGGAGGGCGAGGGCGAAGTCGAAGGCTCAACTTCACTTTCCGGCTGACTCTGGCGTTCTCTCAGGCGGTCTCGGGCGGGCTCGCTAAGACTTTCAGGGCAATTGAGTGTGCGGTTGTCGTGTGCGCTAGTCCACATTGGGCGGTTAAGCGAGGGTCGGATTACCTTTTCTCCGTCAGATAAGATAGCTTATCTTATCTTATCTGCTCTGTGCTCTATCCATGATAGCATCGTCCTCTTCCCCTTACACCGTCTATAGTAACTACCTACCCCCCCAGTCATCCAACATGGACATCAAATCAGACCCCAAAATGGACCAGCTGCGCAAGATCAGCACGCAGCGTCTCCCACCCCCGGTTCTCTTCCAAGGCCCCCCCTCCCACAGCGCCTCCAATCTCTCTCTCCAGCCACCCACCGCAGCAGCAGCAGCAGCAGCAGCAGTGACCTCCAACGGCCCCGTACCAGGAGGAGCGCAACCACCACCGCTTCCACAACCCCGCCCAACCCGGGCCCGGACCCCAACCTACGGCTCCCTCGATGCACCCTCCCTATCACCGTTCGTCTCGCGCTCGCGCACCCAGTCCAGAGGCGAATTGGACCGCACGGACGCCATCTGGCAGGAGATGCAGAACGCCCTGTCGGAGGTCGAGCTGAGCGCCGTCACCAGCGAACACGTCTTCGGTGAACGCCACTCCGAGGCTCTGGAGGACTTGCGCACCCAGCAGTTGAAGTTGGCGCAGGCGTGGGCTCGCAGCGAGGCGGACGACGAGGTCGTTGAACCTAAGGCTGATGCCGTTAAGGATTTGTCGAGGAAAGATGCCGAGCCTGCTACTACTGCTGCTGCTGCTGCTGCGGCGGCGGCGGGGGCGGCGGCGGGGGTGGCTACTGCGGATGCTGGCGCCGCGCCGAGGAATCTGGACGAGGAGACGGAGAAGGATATTCTTCTGGCGCGGGAGCGTCGCGAGGCGAATGATCGGTACTTTGACCGGGTGAATAATGGGGTGTTGGATGTTGTTGCGCGGCTGGAGGAGGTTGCGCTGGCTATGCGGGCGGTGGAGCGCGAGAGTATGGATGTTTGGAGTGATAGTGACTCGTCGAGTACGCCGACGGAGTCTACTGCTACCAATGCGGGGGCGGGTTGATGGTTTGTTTGGAGTCGGATGACCGATTGAACTTACAGTCCTATCCTACGACATGGTCGTTATCAATATCTCGCATGGTCGAACCGCATACGCGTCGATGCTCTAGGTTGCTGGAGAGCATGCTATGCCCCTACTAGAGAGCATATTATGCCAGGCAGAGCACTCCAGCCCGGAAGAAACCAGTCCTCCCGGGCAACCTATTGTCGCATCCCCGCGATTCAAAGACACGCGACATGGGAATATTCATGAGGTAGAAGCGGTGAAACATGTACATACTAGTCACATCGTGGAGTATACCCATGACCGAGCAAGCCAATATAGGCAAAGACAAAGAGTTGAACATCAAAACAGTCATAGAAATACATAATGATAATAATAATAATAATAATAACAAGGGTATCAGAGCCAATCCGCTCGCAATATACACACACAGCAGAGCCAAACACAAAAACAAACCAAACCAAACCAAACCAACAATTTTCACCACAAGTTCACTCCTTCTTAACCAACCTCACCACATTCTTCCACCCCTCAGCAGCAGCATCCCGCGCATCCTCCCACCGACTCTCATAAGCCCTGCGCGCCAACTTCTCCACCTCCTGGTTCCACCGGTGCTTGAACATCGCCTGCACCGTGGGCCTGGACGGCGGGGTCTGCGCCGGCTGGTCTGTGACTGCGCGTAGGTCTCTGTCTTTCGGGGCTAACCGGCGATCGTAAGCGCCTACGGGCGAGGCCAGTTCGTTGAGAATCCGCGTGTGTTCGCGAATGGTATTGCGCTGGTCGAGGCGGTTGGATCGGTGGACTTGGACGGAGAGGTAGAGGACGGTGGTTGTGAGGGCGAAGCCGCTGAACTGGGTTTTGTTAGTGGTTGTTTGGAGGGTTGGGAGGGGGGTGGAGTGGGAGCGTACGAAGCCTGAGAAGAAGCCCATGCTGCTGTTTCTGTCTCTTTGCGATTGATCAGGACAGATTTGGTGGGTTAATGAGGAGCTGGCGGGGAAGTTGGTTGAATTGCGAAGGAAGGGTTGCTCGGTCGGGGATGGATGCTGCTAGACGGGGAATGTACCATCCAATAGAAGGAACGTCAATTAACCAGGAGACGATATAGATAAACCACGGTCAATGATTGAACTAGGTTTTTATTTACCTTAAACACAAGTAAAGAACGAAGAAGCAAAAGAAAGAAAGATCAACCATCGATAAGTTGCGGACCGAGACGGCGGTCGACTCCGGGCTCCGATTGGCCGCCGGAGAATCGAATCTTCCTCTCTGGAACTTTGGATTGATGCACCGTTTGGATACCTTCAACTTTCACCACGCCTTCACTCCTCACGCATTCACCCCCTCTCTCTCTCCGCCACTTCTATTTCCCTCCGCCTATACCTCTTCTCTTCTAATAAAGATTGTTCAAAATGGCAGGGGGCGCCACAAAGTACCGCCATCTCAGCCGTAAGTCCTCGCACAGGCAGGCCCTGCTCCGCAACCTCGTCACCTCGCTCTTCACCCACGAATCCATCACCACCACATGGCCCAAGGCCAAGGAAGCCCAACGACTAGCCGAGAAGCTCATCACCCTGGGCAAGAAGAACACGGGAGCGAGCCGACAACAAGCGCTGTCTGTCTTCTACGTATGTTTCCATCCCCCAAGGAACACCGCCAAAAAAAAGGCGAAAAAAAAGAGGGAGAAAGAAACTAACACAATAAACGACGACAGACCCCCCACGAACTCCTCCCCAAACTCTTCGGCTCCCTCCGCGAACGCTACGCCACCCGCCCAGGAGGCTACACGCGCGTGCTGCGCGTCGAGCCCAAGAAGGACGATCAGGCCGCGAGCGCCATCCTGGAACTCGTCGACGGGCCCAAGGACATGCGCTTCGCGATGACTGCTCGGACCGTTGCGCGGAGTCGCTCGCAGGGTTTTGAGGGGCTCAACGAGCTGACGACTCTTAATGTGCGCAAGGTTACCCGGTACCGTAAGGAGGGCGTTGATGATCTTGAGCGGGCGATTAAGAAGTTGGAGCTTGAGAGTGGGAAGGCGGCTGCGTTTGCGAAGAGGAATGGGGCCGGTGCGGGTCAATAGATGTACTTCTTTTGTTTTATTTATACCGTTTGGTTTGATTTCTCCTTCCCCCCCCCCCATTTTCTTGTTTCTTTGCCCCCGTCTGATGAGAGGTCTCTTTGTACGACACTACACGTGCTTCGAATGAGGTCTCGATGGGAGGGAAAGAAAGCCCTACACCAGGCTTGACCTTGTCGTCTACTTGAGACTTGAGACTGTCTGTTGGGTGTATTGTATCGCATGTCAACATGCTCGCTGTACTTTTATCTAGTGTTGGTCGGATCATATGTTATCAATTCTCATCGGAGATGATTGAGATGGATATGGATGTGATGGCCTGGAGTTCTGCTATAGCCTTTTTTGACTGTAACTATTTGTCTATCTATCTACATGGTTGAACTGAGTTTTTCATAGTTGTATGGCGATTAGACTGATCGATTGTGAGTCTGGGTGGTCTATAATCTGCCCCCCTGCGATATGGAGTAACATCAGTGGGGATGTATGCCCGCAACAGCGGCAGATGAATTACACTAGCAAATGCTGATATCATCAAGTCATAGGTTGCTTTTATTATTGGCCTGGCCAACCCCATCTTCCCCCTTCTATCTACCAGAGATAACATGACAAGGAAAAAGAAATTATACCACACCACTCGTCATCCCATGCCCATCCATGCAGTTGCGTTACGAAATATATTCGTCCAAACTATATGAGCCTAGTTCGTACGGGGCGCGCCCGTGCCGACCGTGCCGCCCGAGACCACCAGTGGGCCATTCGTGGGATTCGGCAGCGGGTTATTGCCTGCGTACGGGTGCGCCGGCGGGGCCACGTTGCGAGGTTTGCGGTCAAACTCGGAGGAAACTTCCGACGGTGGCGGCTTCGGCGGAAGATGAGACGGGGTGCCCCATTTCGCAATCGAGTCTCCCCGACCACCAGCGGGCATGGCACGGCCCATCAGATCGTGGCTATTGGGACCGGGGTCGGGGTAGCCGGCCCATTGAGGCGACACGCCGCCCGGCATGCTAGGGTATGCGCCCACACCAGGTGGGCCGCCCCGGCTTGGATGCCGTCCCAGCGGAGCTCCACCCGGCACGAACGATCGGGTTTGCGGGTTGAAGGCAGACCGGTTGTAACTACCGGGCATCGGGTGGGAGCCAGCCGGGCCTTGCATTCCCGGGTTCAGATGCTGTCCAGGATATTGCGTGTACGGGTATGCGGGGTTCACCGGCTGAGGCTGAGACGGGTAACTAGTCCACGGGGCGGGCGGCTGATTTCGGGCCGTGGGCTGCTGATAGCCCCCCGGAAAATGAGAAGAGGGCCAGCTCGGAGGCGTGGGCTGATAGGGCATCCCATTGGGCATCGGATAGCTGCCCATCGCCGGTGATGGTTTGGCCGACGGCATCCCCGGCGACTGATTGATAGATGCATACCCCGAGTAAGGCGATTGCGGAGGGATCGCACCATTCTGCCACGGACTGCTGGTGGTCATCTGGGGCGAGACCGGCATTGGATATTGGGACATCGAGTTCACACTCATCTGGGCGGGATACATGGTGCCATTTTGGCTGTTCTGAATGTACCCCATGCCGGGCGGTGCGACGCCCGGGCCAAGCATGCAGGGCGGTCCCGCCACGGACGGATCATTCATGGCGACGTTGTTGTAAGGCGCCGATCCTTGCGCGTAGTTCATGCCCGGGTAGTAGGCATTGAACTGAGACCGTCCCTCAAAACTGTCGTCGTGCGGGGTTTTCTGCCTCTGCATCTTTTTGCGCCCACTGGTCGAGCTCGAGCGCGACATGGCACCTGGATCACTGTTCCCGCCGTTCTCCGAGGACTTGGACTCGGGGAAGTCCCGGAAGATCCGCTCCCTGGCCGCCTGGTATTTGGCCTCTCGCTCCTCTCGGGTTAAGGTCAACCGGTCTTTGGCGGGGGTGCCGGTCGAGGAGCCTCCGCGCTCTCCGTCGTGTCCGCTTTCACCGGCCTCCGAACCGGTCTTCGAGGGGACCGACGAACCGGCGCCCATGCCGTCATCGGTTGCGGACTTATCACCATCGTTACGGCGCATGATCTTCATGGCCGGCATCGCTGGGGGTGGGGTGGTGCTGGTTGTGGCATGTAGGACAGAGAGGGGCGTTGGTCTGCATAAAGTTAACATCAACAGTCACCCAAAGGCAAAGGAGATCCAAAAGCGGGGGTTGATCACGTACAGTCGACAAAATGGTGTTCTGTGTAGTCGGACCGATGTGACATTGTTATCAACAAAATGGGTCAAATGATAGTAATCACCCAGCTTATGGGCAAGGAGTCGGCCAAAGGCATTCGAAGGGGGTAGCTCCAACGATTGTTCCCTGATGAATCGGTCAGACTCACGTCGGCTATTGAAGCTGAAGAAACATGATCGACTTACTTGGAGTTCTGGATGAAATACCGGACCTTCTCCTCCAGCTGCAGAATCAGGAGACGATCCTTCGGGGACTTCATAGCCTCGAGGAGCTTCTCATCCGGATCCAGAGGGAATGGCTGGATCGGTATCGGTTGTTGACCACCCGGGAACCCTTCTGGGTTGGGAACGACGAAATTGTTGGACACCGAATCGGGGATCATGCCCCCGTTGACCCGTGGTCCCCCAGCATCACCGAAGCTCGGGCCTCCATGGAGGATGGCTCGGGGCCGCTGGATATCCCTGAAACCGCGAGCCCCCGATTCGGAGCCCGTGAGGGAATTGGGAGCCCCCGAGGCAGGACCCGAGAAGCAATCCTCTTCGTCAATCGCTTGGACACTCGCACTATCGTCTGGGCGGAGCGAGTCCTTTTCGTCCATCGCGAAAGTGGTGACCGATGCCATGCTCTTCGAGTCGAAACTGGTCATTTTCGTAGAGGAGCCCGAGAGATGCGTCCGATCATCTTCAAATGAGATCTCCCGTTTCAGGGCTCCATTCTCTTGGCCGTCGGTGGAGAGCTCGGGGCTCTCCGGCCCCTTCTTCCCGGAGATGTGAGCATCCTGTACGGCTTGCGATAGACCATCGATGTTTCGGTCGATCACGTTCGGGGTTTCATCGGGGGCGGCATTCGAGGTTTGTTGCGCGACAGAGGACGGTTCCTCGCTAAACTGTGAACGAGCTTGTGTATCAGATGGGACCGAAGCCGTTGGTTGTCTTTGCGGGGCCATGGCGGCGATCTTGTGCGCATGTAAGAAGGGTGGGGGGCATGTACCACACGCGGGGATGCGTGCAAGCCAAACGTACCTTTGCAAAGGAAGGACGGTTCTCGTCGATGGCGGAACCCTTGGATGTCATCGTGACGCAGTACCCTTTCCACTCAGGGGAAGGGGAATAAAAAAGAAAGAAGGTGTAAAATAGAAAAAGATCACAAGGATAGTCAAGTGCCGGTTTGTTGCTTGACGTTCGTCCTTTTCCCACGCTATCGTCCACGTACGAAGGAGGATGGCAGAAGTTGATACCCGGGCGAGAGGAACTGGACGGTCGAACTCAACGCGTTGCGAGGGTGCTCAAAAAAGGACGGAAACCGAGGTTCAAATCGAGAAAATAAAGCCACTCAAAGATCCCACTTCACACAATCCCAAAAAGAAAGACAACATATCTCTGGTAAACGTAATGCGCCATAAGGAAAGCTGGTTGACGTTAGGATCGAGAGATACGGCGGAGGAAGTCCCGGGTGATAGTAATAGTACCCGGAGCGGAGGATCAAAGCTGGAACAGCGCAAGGAAGGGTAAGGCAAAGGAGATAGTGATCTGATCTTACACGATGGTCAGAACAAATGGTTCATGATTTCCATAGGCGCAGTTCTTTCTTTCTTTCTTTCTTGTCGCTGAACAGTCGGGGATGGGGAGGGGGAAGCTGAGAGGAATGAGGGGTCTCCTACTTAACAATCGAATAAAGAAGTAGGAAATCGAAGATCGAAGAGCATCCGAATCGTCCGGAAAGGCTAGACGACGCCGTCAGAGGCGACGACCAAGAAGAAATGAATTGGGTGGAGAGGAAGATGTCTGGATGGAGTCGGAGAAGGAACGAGTAGGCGTAAAGAAAGAGAGAGAAGAAGCGGGATTCGCTTGTTCGTTTTTTTTTTTAATTCTAAACGCGCGGGTGAAAGAAAGACAGAGAGAGAGACCGGTCGGCCCGACCCACACTCTCCAAACAGCCGCCAGTCAGTCAACCAGATTGATATCAAATCAAGTGTTCGCTCCTCCGATCATCTTTTAGTAGGTTTACCACTATATTTTCCAGGATCTTTAATTTCCGTATCCCCGTACTAGACAGTTTACGGATGAATCGTTACCGAAATGCCCCCGGGCTGCGCGCCCCCGCGACCAAAGCCTCCGCCAGTACTCTGTGCCAGAAATGCTTGAAACGAGATATGTGCCGGAATCTCTGAGCTCCTCGAATGTCGCCATGCTGACTTTTGCTCTGCACGGCACTATAGCTACGAGTGTAAGGCGTCTGCGCAGGACCGGCCGTATATCTCACGCCCATCGCGCACCCAGCAATTACAGAACCCGAGGCTACGTCCGCAACTGTCCAGTGATGTCCCCAATGATCTCTTGAACTCGTAAGTCCAGTCATACCCGGTGGTACTGGCACGCGCTGGCGCATCGATGCTACTGTAGTGAGTTATCGAGCGATGGTTAATGGTTCGCAGGAAAGGCGTGGCGGACGAGATCCTGGCCAAGCGCGAAGAGGGACGGGGTCGGCAAAAGGAACTCGATAGCCTGGACCCAGTGGAAAGTTCGTCGAAACGGAGCAGATCTATCTCGTCGCATTCAGTGAGCTCCGTCTCGACCATCTCGACCAACCGCTCGCGCTCTCGTTCCCCCCCTCGCCGTGACGATTACTCTTCGCGAAGCCAGGAGCCGCGTGCAGAATCGACCACCTCGCGTCACTCGAAGCCGAGGAAAAGACGGTACAGCGACTCCTCGTCCGGGTATTCATCCTACTCGTCCGGCGAGGACAACCGGTCACGTGACCGAGGGTGGACAGGAGAGCGGAATACGCGACGACGCCGCCGGGAATCGAGTCCGGATGCTCGCGGTCGAGCGAGAGATATCCCTCGGGGCGGTGATCGACCAGATCGGATGCGAAGCCACAGCGGGGACAGGTTCCGCGGGACACGAGGCGGACGGTCTGGCAGTCCGAACGCAATGGACGATCGGGCATATTCCGGCGGGCCATCGAGAAGCTACGGGGGGCGGCCGGACCGACAGAGCGGTGGTCGAGATCCTGGCCCTCCTCAACCCCCGAGAGAACGCAGCCTGAGCCCCTTCAGCAAGCGACTAGCTCTGACTCAGGCTATGAATATGAGCCGTTAGGCACTGGAACGTTGGAAAGGAATAATATTAATCAGACAAGGCACGAAAAGCGGTTGGGCGCACCGGTGTACGAGGATGGTCTTTTACGAGGATGGTCTTTTGCTCCTTTTTCTTTTTCTTCGTTTTTTGCCCAAGAGGTCAATCCCCAAGGCTCGTCCATGTAAGCTGGTATGACAATGATTTGGATCCTAATCTGTATGATACGGCTATGAATGACATGAAAAATTGGTCTTGGTACCGTAGAATCACAATGCAAATCCCATCAACGCCTAGCATGTACCTAAATCCCAACAATAAGCGCCTGAGGACGAAAGAAAAATGTTAAAAAAAAAAATAAAAAGAAAAAGAAAAAAGAAAAAAAGAAAAGAAACAATGCGATGATAGAAAGACACCAATTCCCACAACTATCCACCTCCGGGGTATCACAAGTCCAGTAATTCAGTCTTCGTCCATCTCATCCGCTCCCTCCTGTTCACGGACGTGGATGCCCTCCACCAACATCTCTCCCTCAATGCCAACGTCCTCGCCCTGCTTCCCCTTTGCCGCGCGCTGAGCGTTCTCTATCCGTTGGCGCACCAGCCGTGCAATGGCATTCTGCGTTCTCACATTCAACACATTCATCTTCTCATCCAGGTCCCGCTTGAGGTCCCAGTTGGGCTTTTTCGGCTGCAGCTTGAAGAGATCGATCGGTTGGTCTGCTTGCTCGTCCTTCTTCGCTTGCTCCGCCGTGGCCTGGGCGATCTCCGCGGCTTGGGCCTCCAGGGTATCCCTCCCATCTAACGGATCCTGGTCAAATCCCAGCTTCGGACCACGGGTTTCGGGATCATAGTTCCTTCCGGAGAGGTACTTCGTTGAGATGTCGGGGGTGCTATCTTGCGCTTCATCGTTCGGCGCACTGGACTCGTCCATGGTCTCCGGCTCGGGTTGTTTCCGCTTCAACGCGGCCAGCTTCGCCAGACGAGCTTTGCGGTCGGTGGCAGCCGCATCGAGAGTGGCATGGTTGGACGACATGACTGGACTTTGAATGGGGGGGAAAGGTAGAAAAAGAAGGAGGAGGAAATAAAGAAAGCCTCGAAGCTAGCGCCCACGACAGTAAATCAAAGACGTATACGTATGTACAGGGCGATCCGATTGATTCGGGGTGAAATTGACCGGCAAGATCCATCATGACCGAAGTTTGGAGAGGTGCGCCACAGTCGGGCGGATCCACCAGCCACACTCTGCGCCGAAGCAAAATATCGAGCGGGCGGATTTCTTCCAGGCCTTTTTCCCATCTATAGACTTCAGTGTCCGCTCCTGAATCCGCCAATCTAACCACTTTTCTCCTTCCACTTTCACGTTTTAGTCCTCTTTCCTCCATTCAATGCAGACTCTATCAGAATTCTGAATGTCATTTGGTCCATCCCTTGTGCGCTCCCGCTTCAGCGCTGGACTGCCGTCCTGCGTTCCGCAGCACCGCTTGCGCTTTGGGCATTGGTTTCGCCAGAGACCAGGCAGTCCTCGCGCGGCCAGATACATTGGCAATGATGCCGCCAGTGCGAGTGTCGTGTCTTCTGTCGGCCCTGGGGTTGGAGACTCAGACCTAAAATCATCCGCCATTCCCCGATCGAATCTGCTGGGCAACAAGCCCGCTGCCACTTCCTATGCCTCGAATACCTCCGACCCCGTCGCTGAAAACCGAACATCATACCCCCCGGTGCCGCCGGCTCAACCGTCGCCACAAGAGCATGGCGGCGGGCCAAAGAAACCCTACCGGAAGGGTTTCAAAACACGCGTCACCTACAACACCATGACGGTTTCCGACGGTGAATTATCGTACCGAACACGATTTGTCGATCAAAGTACGCGGGATCTTGAAAATGAAATTATGGCGAGGACTTGGTTCGACAGTGGGCTGGATGTTCGACGATGGCGAGCGGCCTTGACCGAAATTTTCAAGGCAAAACATTTCGCCAGAGACGCCCGGCGGGGATTACCAGAACAGTTTAAGCCGAACGGAGAGGACGCAAAACTACGTGGTCTGTTAGAAACAGACGGGCAGGGCCAGTTTCGCGAGGCATGGGAGGGCCTAGACAAGAAGTCGAAAGCTGGGCATTGGAAGCGTATGTCGCTGTGGTTGCTGCAAGATTCTCCGGAGCTGGCCCTGGAATTCTTTCTGGTGACCTCCCAGAGCGCGCACAGGCCGGTGTTCCTCATGATGGCGGATTGCCTATCCTTCTTGCGTGCGTTCTATGATGATCGATTGAAGCAGTGGGAGCGAGGCACGCATACGTACGATTCGGCGCTGCAAACCTGTCTGGACCCCAGCAATTGGCCCATCATTGTGGTGTCTCAAAAGGGCGTCCGTCAGTACTTGATGGTCGCCGACCGTGACCGTCTGCATGCGGCTTATGACCACGTTATCGACAAGAACGTGTACGTCACAGCGGAGACCTATCTGTGCTTCATGCGCCGCTTCACGGATTTCGAAGACGTCGATAAGGCACTTGACGTGCTCGAGCGGATTCGTAGATTGAGCCAGCATGAGTTTCTGATCGATTCCGCGGCCGTCATGCATCACTGTTGTAAACTTCTGACGCTCGACTCCGTGATCGACGATTCAAACGGACGCAACTTTCGCATCCTTCCCAGTCTTCTCCAGATGGGCGTACGGCCGGACCGGGACATGATGAACGTGGTATTGCGGAACGCGTTCCGGACGGGGGACCCGCAGTTGGGGCTCGACATGTTGAATTTCATGCGGAACCAGAACATGAAGCCGGACTCTTATACCTACTTGACCCTGCTCACGGATGCCGTGTCTCGGGGAGACCGGCACCTGGTGGACTCGTTGATCGAGGAGATCGAGCCCCAGGAGGAGATGTCGAAGAATCCCTGGATTGCGAACAAGACTTTCCACGCTCACTTTGTCTTCACGGCCAAAAACATCGAGGAGGATGCTGACCCCAGTGCGACCTTCTACTCGCTGTTGAACCTGTACACCAAGTTCCACGACATCACGCCCTTGAAGGAACTCACCATCCTTCCGCCGGAATATACCCCCCCACCAGGGGGCGCAAACGAGCCCCCATCGGTGATCGCGTTGTACCTCATAATCGCAAGCTACCTCCGGTGCCACAAACGCATGCCCCACGTTCTCCGCATCTACAAATACTTCCACTCTATGGTTCTCAGGGGCCACGAGATCATCGCGCCCCTGGCCGCCACCGACCACACATATAACGAGTTCCTCGTCGCCTTCCGGAAAGACCCGCAGGGTATTCGGCCATCCGTGCGGCTCGTCGAAGACATGCTGCAGCCCACCACTCACAGCGACGGAGTCTTACCAATGACCCGCGCCAAACCAACCGTACGGACCTGGACGCTCCTCCTGAGCTCCTTCACCTACAACCGGCAACCAATGGCCGCAGAGAGAGTGAAAGACATGATGGCCAAATACGGGGTCGAGTTCAACATGGTCACCTGGAACACCATCATCAGCGGGTACGCGAACGCGCAGAACGTCCCCGAGGTCGCCAAGGCCATCAAGGCCATGGAAGCCCAGGGCCTGTCCATCGACGCGTACACCATGAAAAGCCTGCGCTACCTGCATGACCCGGAGCAACTCTGGGAGGTGGTAAAGGAGCTGGACGAGCTTTCCGCCGGACCTGCGACGGACTTGTCCTCAGTGGCTGCTCCGCTGCATGATCACGAGGAGTATCTCAGCGGAGCGGACGATTTACTGGACCAAGGACTGCGACGTTTGCAGGAGAGCCAGGCGACCAAGTTATGATACCCCTGTGTTTTTTGACATCTTTATTCTCTTCTTCTCTTCTTCTCTTCTGGTTGGCTATATTACTTTTATTTCCCACCTCTCTTCGCTTTAGGTATTGGTAGGGGCTTTACATGTACTGATAGAATAGATTTCGACACCCCAGCAGATTGCTGTGTAAACCACAAACTTATGTACAATATGAAAGACAATGAACAAGAAACCATGGCAATGACATAAACTCCACAGAACGTGATCTAAATAAAATATAGTCCCGGCTAGAATACTGATAAACTCCAATTGCCAAGATAAGAGTCGACGATAAAGGACCCCATCAACCACCGAGGAAGATCGAAACCTAGACACAGCATAACACCATTGTCAGCGATATGCTCTTCTCCCTGGTTTAGTTATATGAGGTGGAACTCACCGCCATCAAGATGCAGCAAAGACTGACGTATGGGCTCAGCCGCTCCCCGATTCGAGCACACTTCCAGAAGACCCCGAAGAAGCTGTTCGCATTAGTCTAGTCCTACCGTATAGTCCTACACCATTTGCGGCGCGAGAGAGGAGCCTGGGAGTGGAAAGAGGCACGTACCCGTTTTGGTTGCGATCCATGATCCCGGGCATCATGGAGTGGGCGTAGGTGCTTGTGCAGATGATCAGGAGGATCACCAGGAGGAGGGACTGGAAGTTGAACAAGGCTGACTGTCAAGTGTTAGTGACATTTTCAAGTATACTGCAGCTCAACAATAGAACGTCGAGTGAGTGAGCTCTATTGAAGACAGCTCAGCTCAATCCTCTCTTTCTCCTTTATCCTCTTGCTTCTACTTCTGCTTCACTCTCACTCCACCAGGAGTATTCCTACTCTCTCATTAGAAACACTTACCATATTGACTGATTGTGGAACTGCTTCAAGCGCTCAACTCGGAAACAACCAGGTAGCTAGCAGCTGAGGATCATCACCATGAACCACCACCGCAATAAAGCCACTCCCCCATCCCGCCCGCCTTCCAATTCCACCGGCAGAATCGCCCCTCACCGCCCACCCGCCGTCCCATTCTCTCGCCATCTCCAACACCGGCTCCAACCTCACCACAACCACATCCCTCGAGCATCCCAGCCGTCCTCCATATCCCCCCGTCAGCCTAGTACAGGCCATGTGTCGAGTCTGATCGCTCCTGCCTGGCCGTGGAATCCCCACGAAACGAACCTAATCCGCGCCGGATACAAACCTGCTTTTGCGCCTGCGCCGCAGAATACAACAGCTGCTCCCGCCGGCAGCACCGCAACTACCCCCGGGAAGTGTACGAGTACAGCTACATCCGCCGCTGCGCCGAAGAAACCTGCCAAAATGGCGGAACCCCGTGCGCGTATGGCCCGCCACAAGGGCCAAATGAACTTCTCCTCCGAGCGTACGTCAACCCAGTTGAACCCTCTCTCCTCTCTCCTCTCTCCTCTCAAGAAATGCTAACAGCAAACAGTCCGCCTCCTCCTCCTCGCCTACGGCGACCCCAGCCCGCACCCCTCCTTCCCATCCGAGCCCCTCCCCGAAACGGTGCGCGTCCTCGACGAAATCGTCACAGACTTCGTGCTGGAAATGTGTCACGGCGCCGCGCAATACGCGAGCTACTCACGGCGTCAGAAGATCAAAGTTGACGACTTCCGGTTCGCGCTGCGCCGCGACCCGAACAAGCTGGGCCGTGTGCAGGAGCTGCTGCGCATGGAGCGCGAGCTGAAGGAGGCGCGCAAGGCGTTCGATCAGAATGATGACCAGGTGGCGAATCTGAAGGATGCGAAGAAGGGGATGGAGGATGTGGGGGAGGGTGGTGGTGGTGCTGATGGGAAGAAGAGTAAAGGGAAGGGGAAGCGCGGGGCGAGGAGGGACTCGGATGTTACGGATGATATGGCGCCGAAGAAGAGGAAGACTGGTTGATTGGGTTGGATTTGGTTGTTTTTGTTTTTTGTTTGTTTGGCGTTGGGGATTGGGAGATGGTCGTTATAAATACATACTACATACCCCTATCTATTTGCATGGAGGCGTTATGATATAGTTCGTCTAGGTTAATGAATTCAGTCATATTGAAATAGCTTATGGAATGGTCGAGGGTACCATAGTTGTCTCTTAAGGCATATACACCGTTAACCCTATATAAATTAAATGAAGTCACTCAATATAAGTAGGAGTAAGGTAGTAAAAGTTAATTGATATCTATAATCAATATAATCGCGAAGAAGCACAAGATACAAGGTAGAACCAAAAAGGAAACAAGTATATAGATATAAAAAAGAAAAAAAGAAAAAAGAAAGGAACAGCCGTGGATCGAACACGGGACCTATAGATAATTGCTAGTTGTTACACCATTGCAATCTACCACTCTACCGCTGAGTTACTGCTCCAGTTCCATGGTTACTGCTTCAGTAATAGTATACTTGAACAGAAGGTTAGTCTTTCCATAGTAAATGAACTTATCCTACTGCCTTATCCAGTCTAGGTTCTATATACCTACTATACTACGCCCATACTTTGTAGATACTAGTGATTACACTGGTCATTCTTTTGTCCTTCATAGATGATGACCAGGCAAAAAGGAAAAGGAAAAGAAAACCATGGTAACTCAAGGAAATCCTTCTTTCCACAAAACTAAATGAAATAGATGACAGACAATGATAGGACCATAGACACGTATCAAATAGGAAGAAGTAAAGAAAAGGTAAGAGAGCAGCAAGAGGGGTCTGGGCAACAAAAGGAGATACGTCTGAGAGCAACCGTCAAGAGAAGAAGTAGAAAAAAAAAAGATCAAAAGGTCAACAAGACGACAGGTAGAGAGAAGGAAAGAAAGGTATAATCTATCTTCAATTCTCTTCATAGGTTTCCCCCCGCTTTTTTCCAACCCCAACGCAATTCATTTCTTTATTTACGTCTCGTCTCGTTCTTTTGGCGCTTTTTTTCATTTTTCATGTTTTCTTTTCGTTTCGTTTCGAACCTCGTTCTCTTCAAGCACGAGCCTCTTCCGTGGGTCTTTCTTGGTTCCGCTGCTGCTGCCCTCCACGGCCACCCTTGCCGCGCTGGCCGCCGCGCTGGCCACCGCCGGTCTCGGCGTTGGCGCCCTCGCCGCCCAGGGTGAGCTGGGCCGTGGCTAGTCGGTTGGACAACTCCATCTGTGTCCGGATGGTGTTGGCCAGGTAGGACACCACCAGGACGTCCTGGATGTGGTTGTTGCTGTGATGGTCAGTATCATGTACAACGGGTTTCGAAGAAAGAAAGGAAGAACAGAGGCAAGATAAGGCGGGAAAGGGGAGGAACGTACAAGTCACGCTCGATGTCGGCGGGTTCAACCTTGGGTGCCAAGGCAAGAGTGTTGAGCAGGTACTGGCCAAGAGCGGTCGACGCGGGGGCTTCCTCATCGATCACGGACTCAACATAGCGCGAGACGCGGTCGATCATGCCCAGCACTTCCTCGATCGCCCGCTCGAGAGCCTCAATGTCGGTGAAGGTGGCGGTGGCCCGCTCCTCGGCGTCGCGGGCGGAGGCGACGGCCTCCAGGCCGCTCTTCTCGGCCTCGCCGTAGCGGATCTCATAGGGGACGGGGATGAAGGCGGCGCTGTCGGCGGCGCGCTCGGCGGTCACACCGACGGGGGCGGAGATGTAGGCGCGAGTCTCGATGTCCTTGCCGGCCTCGGTCGACACGGTCAGGTGGACGGCCGGGTGAGGCCACGTGCCGTCACCCTGGCCGCTGTAGAAGTTCTGGATCAAGGCGGAGAAGGTGTTCAGTTCAGGGGAGGTAGCGTACCACCCCACCAGGAATTCCTTGGGGTTGGCCTTGAGATGCAGCGCCAGCATCTGTTTCTGGTACTCCATGTCCACCTCCACCTGATCGGTCGTCTCGGTATGTCCCACGGCGAAGGTGGTGCGAATCTCCACCTCGGTGCCATCCTCCGACCGGGTTCCCAGCAGGGTACCGATCACACGTTCCTGGTCGGCATTGCGACGCAGCGAGTGGTCCAGGATCGAGAAAAGAGCCTAATATGGGCATTCGTTAGCACATGCCCCTCCTTCTTTCCCTCCTCCTATTGCCTCCCTGCACAGGCAGTCATATCCAAGCAATATCGTATCGTACCTGAGGCTGAATAACCACACTCAGAGGGGCGGTCGTCGGAGCCCCCACTGCCACGGGGCCCAGAGGGCGGGCGAGGTGAAGGAAGGAATCGGTATCAGCCATTCTCGGACACTTTTTCTCGATGAAATTTTCCTCCTCAGATAGGAATTGGCGCACACAGGGGAGAACGAAAGGATCCCGGTGGTGGACTGGAGGAGTGGCGGGTGGGGGTAATGGTTGATTAGCAGAGATGGATTTTTCTTTGGGTTCTGGTTCGTCTGGCTCAAATCTGACTGACTCTTGCGGAGGTTAAACCGACTTTGTTCGAGGCTCCAAATTGTGTGTGCGGACGGACGCGCTAAGATAAGATAAGCCACTTCTTTTTTCTCTTCCGCCAGAGGGGAGAAAATACGCCCAACAACAAACCATTGCACGACTGGATATCTTTCTCTTTTGTCTTTACAGATATTGACAAGAGGTCTATCTGTATTCCTACTTTACAACGATATGCCTCCATTCCGCGGTCGAGGCGGCAGAGGTGGCAGAGGCGGCAGAGGTGGCCGTGGTGGCCGTGGTGGCCGTGGCGCGAAGAGACCAGCCCAGAGATCAAACTTTGAAACTTCTCGACTGGATGAATTATCGTCGGAGGAATCGTCCGGTGCAGAGGATGGAGCTCCAATCGAGCCGCTAGACGACGAATTGGATCACGCAGTTCCCACGGACGATGCGGCGTCAAGTGACGAAGAAGAAGATGAAGACCAGAAGCGAGGACAGTCATACAACGAATTGCTGCAACTACTCCAGACAACTACCGAAACCAAGGCTCCCGCCCGGAAGAAGAGAAAGGTGGATCACAAGAGAAAAGAGAAGGACCAAGATGTGCAGATGGATGAGGCTCCGACCGCTGATCTGGAGGCGGAT